GCCGTACAGCCTTCGTACCATTATCATTCAGTGGCATTTATCTTTTTAAGTGGGGCTCTAGTACAGAAGTCGCCAGACGCCGACTATATAAAGATCCTATACTATCCTATATCTATATTACAGATGTTCTTATCCATGGCTTTGGGCAACAACCGACAAATGACTTCAAATCGAAAGCATTGCGCATGGTTCGAGAAGTCATGGATAATCTCCTGTAAGATTTTGAACTATGACTATTAATTTATTTATTTGATTAAGCGATAGAATGCGCCAACGACTTCAAAGGAAATTTGGTGTAGCGCCGGAAGCGCTCGCGGCGCAATTAAGGAAGCTGCTTGATTCTACCAGCAACCCTCAGATGTGAGTATTCATATGTCTTTGAAATTTTAACCGAAATGCCTTTTTGCTTCAAATTTTGGAGTTGTTCTTTCTTCCGCCAATTCACTTTTTATTTTGTGCACTAAAGGGTTTCCAAAAATGCAATAAAAATAAATTATTTTTATTTTTAAGAAAATTATTGATTTAAAAAAACTGATTGTATTTTCTCGAAAAATTTAGTTTACGTAACAATGGTTTACAAGTTTTTCAAATTAATAGGCCCATTATAATCTAAGTGAAGCGACTAGGAAAAGTGGAGAAAAGGTAAAAATTCGATAACGGTTTCTTTCTACAAGCGTATATTTGCGAAAAAAGGATAGGTTAAATGTGCATTAGGACTTTTGCCTAATTTCTTAGCAATAGTTGTTGTTTTTAAAAATATCATAACACGGCTTTTTAACCAAGTGTGAACGCAATGAATTCTACTTATTACAGCGTCCCGCTCGATGTCAGTACTGACAATGATTCGAATAGTTCGGCAGTTGCCAGTAACTAATGGTTTGATTATATCTTAATTGAAATTCATTTCAATGTTGTTTTTTTTATTTTAAATTAAATAAATGTGTTAATATGAAATAAATTTTGAATACAGCAATCAAATTGTTTTCTTATTTTCCCATATGGAAGGCATACGGCTCATTCCATATACGAAACACGCGGTTCCGCAAAAAAAATGCTTCCATTATGCTTCCATATAACTTGCATATAAGATTCCTATGATATCCACAGCCGTTCCATTATGCTTCCATTGTGCCTATGCCGCCGTTTATCTGTGATGGTACAGATGATGTGTTGGCGAGAAGAGCTCGACGTTCGATACAAGTGCTTCCAACACAGTGTTTATGGGCAGAATTGAGAGAAACTTGAAGTGTCGTTGACGGCCTGCATAAATGTCCGCAGCAGTGTTTCGACTAGGGTCGACCGCGTGTCGTCAGCGTTGGTTTAATTACCCAAGTTTGAGGTACGCCTTGAATTTCCGACCCATTTCAACCAAGTGGTGTCGATATGAAATTTTGGAACCGTCTCCCCTAGTGGGAGACAATAAAAGCTGATTTCAAATAAATTGCATTGCGTTTATGGTTTTTGAGATTTTCAAGAAATTACGTTCATTAAATTAATTGAAAATGAAAAAAATCCAAAAATGGACCATCTCAAATTATTGAAATGCCCATAAATGTCACCAAAGAATCTTCAAGTCATCAACGAAATTTGCAAAAGCTAACAACATCCGGGATTCCCAAGCCGTCTCCGATCCAAGTACTACACAGATAAACGGCAGCATAGGCACAATGGAAGCATAATGGAACGGCTGTGGATATCATAGGAATCTTATATGCAAGTTATATGGAAGCATAATGGAAGCATTTTTTTTGCGGAACCGCGTGTTTCGTATATGGAATGAGCCGTATGCCTTCCATATGGGAAAATAAGAAAACAATTTGATTGCTGTATTCAAAATTTATTTCATATTAACACATTTATTTAATTTAAAATAAAAAAAAAACAACATTGAAATGAATTTCAATTAAGATATAATCAAACCATTAGTTACTGGCAACTGCCGAACTATTCGAATCATTGTCTGTACTGACATCGAGCGGGACGCTGTAATAAGTAGAATTCATTGCGTTCACACTTGGTTAAAAAGCCGTGTTATGATATTTTTAAAAACAACAACTATTGCTAAGAAATTAGGCAAAAGTCCTAATGCACATTTAACCTATCCTTTTTTCGCAAATATACGCTTGTAGAAAGAAACCGTTATCGAATTTTTACCTTTTCTCCACTTTTCCTAGTCGCTTCACTTAGATTATAATGGGCCTATTAATTTGAAAAACTTGTAAACCATTGTTACGTAAACTAAATTTTTCGAGAAAATACAATCAGTTTTTTTAAATCAATAATTTTCTTAAAAATAAAAATAATTTATTTTTATTGCATTTTTGGAAACCCTTTAGTGCACAAAATAAAAAGTGAATTGGCGGAAGAAAGAACAACTCCAAAATTTGAAGCAAAAAGGCATTTTGGTTAAAATTTCAAAGACATATGAATACTCACATCTGAGGGTTGCTGGTAGAATCAAGCAGCTTCCTTAATTGCGCCGCGAGCGCTTCCGGCGCTACACCAAATTTCCTTTGAAGTCGTTGGCGCATTCTATCGCTTAATCAAATAAATAAATTAATAGTCATAGTTCAAAATCTTACAGAAGATTATCCATGACTTCTCGAACCATGCGCAATGCTTTCGATTTGAAGTCATTTGTCGGTTGTTGCCCAAAGCCATGGATAAGAACATCTGTAATATAGATATAGGATAGTATAGGATCTTTATATAGTCGGCGTCTGGCGACTTCTGTACTAGAGCCCCACTTAAAAAGATAAATGCCACTGAATGATATTGGTACGAAGGCTGTACGGCAATCGGAAATTTCGGCGATTCGGCTAATGGCAAATTACCGATCGAAATTTTCTTCGGCAATTTGAAAAACCGGCAATTTCGGCAATCGGCAATTCCATTGCCGCACAGCCCTGATTGGAACCAAATAATCAACAAGCTTTAAACTTAGGAAGTACTTTATAAAGACTTCATTGCGCATATTTTTCTAATTGAAACCATTTCTGGAGTCGAACAGGCCAATTTTTGATGATAACAACTTACAAATTGGGCGTACGAAGGTTTAGGAATTGGCGTTGATTTTGTTGTTTGTGAGGACTGTGGAGAAAAATTTTTTTGCTGAGTTGGCGAATAAATTGGACTATCTGGATCTGAAGTGTCGAGCGAATTTGGTTCCATGTTAGGGACTTCTGGTTCTTTGTTATTGACTTCTAGAGCAGTTTCAGTTATATCTGACAACACTCTCGATCTTGTCTTCATCTGTAAAAAATTTCAAAACATTATGTTTTATTAAAAGAAAAAAGCGAGCGATAATAAAAAATATGTTAAAGTAAATAAAAATAAAACGGATTCGATGAGAAATTAAACACAATTCGATTGAGAAAATATTTAAATTCGATTTTAAAAGTGTCGGAAACGATTTGAAAACATCGTATCGATTTTAAAATTTTCGAATGCTATCAATTTATTTTTGGTTTCGATTTTGATGATAAATATGAAAATTTTTCCTTTATTTTTTAAAAACATTTTTCCTTTAATTTTGAAAAAAATTCTTTAATTTTTGACAAAAAAAAAACACAAAAAATCTTGAAAATTCATTGAGAAAAAGCAAAAGGACAAAAATTTTGAAAACGAATTTCGAAAATTCTGAGGCGTGGCAGAATTGTGCAATGCGGCGCACGGTTTTGCAATGCTGCGGCACGCCTCTTCTACGCGCGTCTGCTACCAGTTTGGAGCAAATTGTGAGTAGTTTGCGATGCCAATTTCGGAAAAACCGGCAAAAATATATTAATACGACTAAATTGTAGTTGGCAATCTTTAAACAAAGTAAGGAACAGTTGACTGAATTAACATAAATCTGAGTAGCATAAGTCATTAAATGGTAGAAGCTAAATTTCGTCCGTTGTGTATCATGTAATTTTCAAATTTTCATTGTTTATATGATAGCATAAGTTTTTTGTATTGATTTTTCTAGAAATTGTCTTGGTCTGCCGTCCAGACGCCAATTGTATAATGTTTATTGACATATGATTATTTTATCCATATTCCATCCATATTTGTTCCACGGCTCGCAAACACCGGAAGCATATTCATCCCGTTTTCATTCCATCCATATTCGTCCCATAATTCTTCCACAGCCACTAAGAATTACATTATGCTTCCTATATGGAAGCATTATGCTTCCGTTCCACAGATTTCCCACAATGCTTCCATTATGCTTGCGTCGCGCTTAATCAGTGTAACCGGACTCAACGTTGCTTAACTTGCCAGATCGGACGGGATGGCGTGTATTCAACGTGATATGGTCGTAAGCGAAGGCACAGATGATGTGTTGGCGAGAAGAGCTCGACGTTCGATACAAGTGCTTCCAACACAGTGTTTATGGGCAGAATTGAGAGAAACTTGAAGTGTCGTTGACGGCCTGCATAAATGTCCGCAGCAGTGTTTCGACTAGGGTCGACCGCGTGTTGTCAGCGTTGGTTTAATTACCCAAGTTTGAGGTACGCCTTGAATTTCCGACCCATTTCAACCAAGTGGTGTCGATATGAAATTTTGGAACCGTCTCCCCCTAGTGGGAGACAATAAAAGCTGATTTCAAATAAATTGCATTGCCTTTATATGTAGTTTTTGAAATTTTCAAGAAATTGTATTCATCGATTCATTGAAAATGAGAAAAATTCAAAAAATGGACCATCGCAAATTACTGAAATGCCCATAAATGTCACCAAAGAATCTTCAAGTCATCAACGAAATTTGCAAAAGCTTACAACATCCGGGATTCCCAAGCCGTCTCCGATCCAAGTACTAACCGGACTCAACGTTGCTTAACTTGCCAGATCGGACGGCTCGGTAGAACTGATTGGAAACCGCGCGGACGATATTGACCAATTGGACACCAGATCCCGTCCGCGCGGACACCGCGATGAAAAATTTGTCAGCTCGTCTGGCGTCTAGCCCTGCAGGCATCTCTCGCCCCTATAAGTGATTTCCGATTGGTTACCGCTGAGATGTGCGGTAACCAATTGGACAAACGTGCAGCGAATGGCGCCAATGTGCACTGGAAATACGCCAGTGAAAGAAGTAAAAGACTCTTTTCCCCCGTTGAATAAAGTTCATTATGCATTGATGAAATGTGGCTTTTGTGATGTTTTAATTTGTTTTAATCAAAAAGCATTAAATGAAAATTTGTTCGGCATTAAGCAATTATTTTTTTTAGACATAACCTCATCGTTGGATCTGTCAAAAATGCATGGAGCAAGACAAACTATTCGAAATAGAATAGGTGGGTGGATTATTTGCTGTAAGTGATTGAAAAAATTATTAATACAGATGAAATTCGTCAAGATGATCACAAAATGCACACAGAAAATTTTGGAATCGCGGATGACTCAATATGGGAAGAAGCAAAACAAGACGAGATGAAAAGTAACGTGTTAAATAGAGAAAATTATAACATAATTACCAGATCGTGGAGTTGGGTTTATGAAACCCAAACCATTCTTGACCGATCCGCTGCTTGTCGAGGATCTAAACGTGGAGAAACGTGAAATCGCAACGAATCAAGTAGAGATAGGAGAGATGTGTGATGATTTTGGTGTAACTGATTCTGATACGCGTGGTAAGACCACACTAATTATTGATTAATGAAGAAGTTTGTAGAAGTTGAAGAAGATGTTCATCTAGTGGTCGTGAAATTGATTGAAATGGGACTATCAAAAGAAATGCGTCGGGACGTGTATTGGATCATTGACAGAATGAGAAAGAACCAATCAATAACGGTACTTTATCAAAATAAATATCCTATGTAAATTTAACATTCTGCGCATTACGATTACTCTCAAAAATTAGTCGAACCAATGAATTCCTGATTTCGGTTTATTTAAACAAGAATAGATTCACCAATTCCTAATAACAGATTATTTTCCAGTCTTATTTTCATTTAAAACATTCTATGTTTAATGTAAAACATCGACTATTGGTTCACAATTTCGAGCGTGACGCCTCGTATAATACTCATTCCATAAAGATTACCCTCTCGCACTTATTGATGAAATGGGTGTTTTCTTAATTATAGATGCGAATAAATAAATAAATAAATAATTTCTTCAAATATTTCGAATTTGGAGCGTCCAAGACCCAACATCATACTTATGAAACGTTATACTATCATCTTGCCAAATTTTTGACTCGTTTCATCTTTTTCGTCATGAGAAAAAAAGTATCGAATTTGGACGCTCGAAGAACCGAAACAATACTTCTGACTCGTTATAGTATCAGTTGCTGAGATTAAATTTTCAGTGTTCTTATCTTGAGACAACGTTTTTGAAATGGACAAAAGTTAAAGTTGACACATATCCGCTGTGTAGCAACTGTAATGATCAATACGATGGAAAGAAGTGCAGGAAGCCAAATTGCTCTGAACAGTAAGAACACTTATTGTAGACATTATATGACAGTTTCTTCTAGATTGCAGCCCCCCAATAGCAGAAAGCTGATGATATACGATATGAGAGACCAAATAGAGGAAATTGTTGATGCTTTCGGCTTGCCACAAGAACCAATGGCTAATACCTCCCCAACGATTCCTCGAAGAATTCATGAGACCCAAATATACAGAGACTTTCATAATATGATTAAAGGGCGTGCTGAAGACGAAGCCTACCTGCTGGGTACACTGAATTTCGATGGTTTCAAGAAGGACGGCCTGTTTAGGCAATCTACTAAGATAATGTAAAAACATTGGTTAAATCTCATAATTAAGAGGCGAATGTTGGCCGGTATTTTTGTCGATTCATGGCTATGGGACAGCAAGGTTTGCGGATTACCACTCGAAAACCGTAGTTTTTTTGCGCCATGATTTTTACGGCCTCGAAGAAAAATTTCGACTTAAAATCGATATTGGCGTCGGTGATTTATCGCCTTCATTTGATGAGTAAAACGCCGCTAGTCAAAGTGATTAAAGGAAAAAAAACAAAAATTTTCCTTGAATTATTCTCCTGCTGCTTGGATATGGATGTAAGTATGATATTTTTATTGTTCAAGTGTAAATGTTTTTAAAAATTTAAGGCCTCGAGGCGAGTTTTCAACCTTCCCGCTTGGAACAAACATCAAGGTTGTGGAAGATGTGACGTAAATGGTATGTACGTAAAGGGGCAGTGAAAAGAATATTAATAGGCTACTTATAGGTATAATGATTGACAAAACTATGAGGTGGTTACCAAATGGACAAGAGAATCATTATAACCTTGGTTACCTTCCTCGAGGTAAGCTTTCTGTTTAAATATGGTTAATATTATTCTTACAATTTTAAGAGTACAATAAATGCGCGCTGCCTATGGTTTTCAATCACGCATACGATTATTTACATTTATTTTCGGAAGGTGTCAATAAGGATCGACTCAAAGGTTTAAAATACACTTGCTGATTCAATAATATCACTTGTCTTCGTCTCTTTTTAACAGTATGTTTACAGATCTATTTTCGGATCAATCCAAAATTCGCAATTTACGACAAAAAGGTGAGGTAATCGAAGCATTGACGGTATGCGCCATTAATTTTAGACGTTATTTAAAAGTGCGTATTATGTCAGAAATCATTGTTGAGCACCAGAATGCCAACATCAAATAAGCCAAAGCTTCAATCGATCGCAGATCTTTTAAAAATCACTGGTAGAGAATCTGACGAGGTGAGAAAGTAATTTAAACGTTATCATTAATGCATAATTTAAGATTTTCTTCATTGTTGCACCATTAATTGTGGCAACAAATGATGAAATGAGCAAGGAAAGGCTTCTTCTCCTCTTGAATTGGTTAATTGCGCGATGCCTAATGGACTTAGATTTAAAGATTGAATCAATTTCGGAGCTCCAGAAACTGGCAAAACTGCTCCGCAGTCTCATTAACAATGAATTCAAGCAGTGCGGCACAATGAAAATGCACGTTATCTTAGATCATTTGATACCGGATCTCAGAAGATGCGGTTCTCCGGTCTTGAGTGGTACCGCTATGTTCGAAAGACTCAATCAACTACTTTCTCGTTCTGTGTCGATTATACAGCTTCCGCGGCAGAATTTATGCCTAAAAGGTATGCGGTTTAAACATAATTCATAGAATATTAACTTTTAAGGCTATTGGCTATACAAAAATGTCAGCGATTTCTGGAACAAATCGGATCTAAAAGTGCTGAAGAAGAGTCAACGCGAGTCGATAAAACATCGAATATCGAATTGATCGAATTACATAAGGATTTCGCTAGGCAATTTGGATCAAAAGCGTGGTATAGACAAGCTCATCTATTTGTCTGCCATTTCGGCAACGTAATCAGCTACAAACTCAACTGAAATTTCCCTGCTAAATGAGAAACAACCGGATTTGAAAAAAATGAATTATAAAATGAGTCGGTTGAAATAGAATTTAAATTAGATGGAGAAAGTGTTCAAATATGATTTGAAAACTTTGTTTCGATTAAAAATCGTCGAAATTTATTGATTTATTTATCATTTTCAACTTTGAAATTGTAGAATATTTCCAAACTGGCTTATTTATATTCGATTTTAATTCCGATTGATCTTCAATTACCTGAATTAATTCATTAATAATTTAATTTATTTGTTTTTGTTTCTGTTTTCTTGGCTAGTTTATGTGCAATAGTAATTATATTTGTGAATTAATTCGAGTTAATTTTTTATATAAAATGAAACTATAAATGTTTAACGACAAAAATAAGATAATGATTGTGGCTCTTAAGAGAGCCGTTGGGTTTCTCTGCCAGATGGATATCGCCGATATTCTATCATTCTCTGGCAACTCAAAACGAATCGGATCCGAAAATATCTTCTCATTCGTACAATTACTGATCGGACAAGGTTTATTCCGGAGTCGAATTTCGTCAAATCCGATTGGTTTTGAGTTAGCAGAGGACGACAAGAGCGATGGCGTAACGAGCGACCGTAGCATTTAACACTGAAATTGACAACCTGAATATTATTTAATCAATTAGTTTTTTTTTATCTACAAACCACATTTTATTCTTATTCTCCGTAAGTGAATCGTCGACGATAATGCATAACGCTTGATCTGCGATATAATAACAAAATACGGTGATGGCATGAAAAATACTTAGCTAATTGTGAAATATTCGTCCACTTGCTCCTATTCCATTTGGCGCATTACGCGGGTTTACACCTGAAACTAATAAATAATGAATGCATAAACGAATAAGAAAAAGAGTAACAAATACGTTATAATAAAAACGTTGATAAGCTCGAGAAAAGTATTGTCGAAAGTTATACTTAAAATGTGGTTTTTTCGAAATTAAGAATAGTTTTATTTTATATAATATACCAAAATGATTTCTAGTACAATTTTTCAACAAAAAATGTACATTAAACCATAAATTCGCCGAGAAAACACAGAAAATAAACGAAAAAATAAATTTGAAAAATAAATAAATTAAATCTAGTTTAAATTACTGTTGCTCAGGTTGAGATGTGCGACTCGGTGTACGCACACAGTGCATAGGATATCGTTGCTGTTTTTCAAATTTGTCATTTTTTTCCCAATATTAATACGAAATTGATTTGAAATTAGGTTTATTGATTTTCAATTATTAGTTTATCAATAATATAGTTTACCTACATTAATATTTGATGAATTTTAAATATCGTTTTCACAGGTCGAGAGCGTTTCACGCAGGAAAAACTTTCGAAGCCCGTGGCTATGTAAAAACTAAATTATCCCAACGATATTTCGTCAAATTCACATATCAAAATGCTATTAATTTCGGATCCATCGAATGTTTTGTCACTAGTGATACTCGTTCGGATATTGTCGTCATCATTCGTTCTTTTAAAGTTCGTTCCCCATTTAAATTTCAATGTTCGCTGGGAAACTACGCAAATATTCCGTCTATTGTTGACTCTGTTAATAACTACTTCTTTCTGGTAACCGAAATTAAACCATTAATTTCGTGCCCAATAGAAGCTCTATTAGGCCATTGCGCCATTATTGAGTACCTTGATCACACATTTGTTAGTTCTATTTCTTAAACTGCTAGTAAATACTTTATGAACGTTCCTTTTTTAATGTTGTTTACTTTCTATCATCTCACTAATCTTAAAGCTTTTAGACAACAGGATTTCGAAGGCTATGTCAGTTTTCGGTAGGATAACACGATAGTTCAAATATTTGAATTTTTTTTCAGAGCTCCCAACTAAAAGAAAAAAACTTAACATCAACAGTCAGCTAGATAATAGCGATACTGATAATATTAACTATGCCGGTATCAATTATTAAAATGTTGCTACTATTAATTTCTAACTTCAGATCAATTGGAGGAGTCAATGAAATCAACAATAGTGAGGACGGTTGACATCGGTCGATTAATATCAAAAGGCCTACTCAACAAAAGTATAAATTCGATTTCACTTACCGAGATTGAAAAACGAGTCTCCAACTATGAGCAGACCCCATTCGAGGATATAGTGGATCTTGATTTTGCGGTAGGCAACGACGAAAATGTAAGATTTGTCGCAATCGGATCGGCGTTTTTGGTACGTGGTTTTAAGCATTACGCAGTTGTCATTTGTTTTAAACAAATTTGTTCGCATTCCGTAAAAGTTTAAAGAGCGAAAAATTTAATTTAATTATGAATTTCCCGACAACACACACTGTTAATTATGGAATCATTTCATTAAAACTGTTGTTTATATTAATTATTAAACAACCAAAAACGAAAGTATGACAGAAGCAAATGACGATATTTGTTCTATCTTTTAACGTATACTTTCGCATTAAAGTCATTATTTTCGATACAATTAAATTTCTAGAATTTTCAGCGAAACGTCGAACGACGACGATCAATGTTATTCAAGGAATGTACAAAACGAGCTATAAGCATTCTTTCTAAGGATGTCAAAGAATTACCCCACGGTTTAAGGTTAAAAGGGCAAATTCTCAATGCTTCCCATTACACTTCCTCAGCCGATCCGTTTGAGGTAATAATTTTAACACGTGTAAAAATGCGTCTAGGTTATTGTGGAACTACAATGTAAGTCTTTGGAAACGTACAGTACCGCTCAAAAGGTTGGAAACTTTTGGTTTTTTTGGGCATAACTTTTTTGAAACCAAACATTTTCCTATGAACTTTTTTTCCGATTGTTTCTTACGCAATTGCCGATATAATGAGCTAATAGACATGATTCGTACTTACCAAATAAGGATTTTAAGCCATTTTTTCTGAAATCCCTAAAATCACATTTTTTTGGATATGCACTTTAAGTCGGTTTTATTTACCGGAAAGATAGTTTATTAACACAAAATCATTGGAAACTAAATTTATAAGGTTCATACTTTATTGTAAAACCTCGGGAGTCAATAACTGCCTGGCACCTGCGAGGCATGGAGTCGATCAAGTTGTCGATGACCGAGAGTGGAATCTTTTTTCATTCTTCTTCCAATTGTCGGAACTTTTCGTTCGAATTTGTGGCGGTTCTGCTTGCCACTCTTCTATCCAACTCTTCCCACAAGTGCTCGATGGGATTCAACCAAAAGTTTCCAACCTTTTGAGCGGTACTGTATATGCGTCCACTCAGGTGAATCAAATAAAATATTTTGAGATTCTTTGAGAAACTAACGGGTCTCTTTAATATTTTAGATTTTTTAATTCAAGGAAATGCGAAACATAAGAAAAATGAATCAGTTCACTTCAAAACAGCAAAATAAGCATTTATGCGTGACGAGACCTTTTCAAGCCGCGTGCGCGTAAATCTGCCCGTGTACAGCAGTCGCCGGACGCCGACTATATAAGATTTTAAAAAACTATTTTTAAGTTTAGCGATTCTCAATAAGTTTCCAAAAGTATCAATAAACTTTTTTGTATCAATAAAAAAAAAGTATCAATAAAATACTTTAGAATTTCTCAAAATATTTTAGAGTTTGTTATTGAATATTTGATTCTCAAAATATTTTATTTGATTTTCCTGAGTTTTAAATCCGCAATGGAGGCATGCGCGTTCCTTTCCTTTCATATGCTTTCAGTGTGTCTCGATTAGGAAACCGATTTAGTAAGAGAAATCACATAATATGAGCTGAGAAAACCATTTCTGTGGTTTATTTGATACAGTTAAAAAACAATAATTGAACAAGAATCTATTGTTCATTCTTCTATGTTTTACGAAACAAATTTAAAACTATTTATGCCACCCATAGGTTCCCATTTTTGCGTAATTTCAGTTATGCTTCCATTATATCCTCAGCGCATTTCAAGTTTTTAATTCGTTTTATTTAGAAAATTTTTCTCAACGACGTCTATGAAAAGCATAAAATCGTTGGAGGAGATTTGTGCTCCCAACTAAAGGCGTTGGTGCGGGATATATTGAAGACTGTAAGAATTATATTTCGTCAATTATGAAATATATTCTTTTATTATTTTGTAGATCACCACCCCGAAACTATGCATTTGGAAATATTCCAACGCGTCTTGCTCTTCAAAAGAGCCACTATTTCTCAAGTTTCCTCCCATTATTCTGCGCCAAATTGAAGGTAATTATGCTAGAGATACATTACAAAATGCTTAATTTCGCAGAATTCATTTATGATTCTTTGGGAATCTTCATCCCACCCCAATTTGCTACGATCGTGGACGTAGAGGACGAAACATTAACAAATTCTAGGTAGAGGAATTTAATGTATGAATTATTATGATTTTTATAGTTTCTTTACGATGTTGGCTTCGAACCACGAATTGCGGCGCGGCGAATTCACACGGCGCCAACACAGCAGAATGAGGATGAGCCCTCACATCGAAGGCATCATCGCCAAATCGCTGTAAGCATTTTTTGTCTTTTTTCCTAATAAATCAATATCAATATCTTAACTGTTAAGGAATTATCTGAGAGAATGGCATTACGACGCCGCAGAGAAGGAGTTGAAGCCGTGCAGAGTATGACTATTTAAATTATTAACACTCCTACCTAACAAATATTTTCAGATTAAAGGCGAGCACAACGGCCATCTTACATGGCGCGATTGGCAGGAGGCCGCGAAGGACCCGGCCCGACTGGAGGCGTTCCAGTAAGTGTATTAGTTTATACTTAGTCACTTAGGGAAAATAATTATCACGTTATGTCACAACATTCATCAGTAATTGAATACACATTTTAAGTTTTCTTAGAAGCTTGATATTTTAGTTACAGTTATTTTTGGCTACAAATAACTCTATCAAGTTAAGCGTTTAAATCTGATAGCGTGCAAAACTGAATTTCAATAACACAGAGAAACTGATTTCAGGGAACGAGTTTTCGCCTAAGCAGAATATAATTGTATGTGTTTAACTTTATTTTTCTTAGAGTTAGGGCAATCAATGAGAATTTCAAATACACTTGGTTTTGATTGTATCAGAAACCATTTTGTTTGAACCACTTTTCCATGTAGACCAGGGCTGTGCGGCAATGGAATTGCCGATTGCCGAAATTGCCGATGTTTCAAATTGCCGAATTGCCGAATTCCCGAAGAGAACGTTCGATCGGCAAATTGCCGGATTGCCGAAATTTTGATTTTCGGCAATTTCCCGAATTGCCGATATTTCCGATTACCGCACAGTCCTGATACTTCCAAATTCGAAATGTCAAGTCAAAAAAACTGTTTGCGATGTGATTTATATGGGCGTGAGGCGCAACTTAATTCGGGAAATGATTAAAAAAATATGGTTGATTTATAAAATTTGCTTTGCTTCTTAGTCCATCAATCGCAAAAATACCAATAATAAGCACGATTTTTGATATGTTTCGTCCCAACTCCACCCCCTCAATACGTTCAATCTTTGCATATCGTTTTAAATTATTCTATTGAATGTATTGTTTTCATTTATTTGAATAAATGTTATTTTCTGTTTCCTGTGTATTAACAATTAGTCATTGATTCGAGCTTCTTTTCGGAATACATTTTGAACACCGAGCGGACGTCCTATGCGAACACCGAGCGGACGTCTTATGCGAACACCGAGCGGACGTCTTATGCGAACACCGAGCGGACGTCTTATGCGAACACCGAGCGGACGCCCTATGTGAACACCGCGCGGACGTCTTATGCGAACACCGAGCGGACGTCTTATGCGAACACCGAGCGGACGTCTTATGCGAACACCGAGCGGACGCCCTATGTGAACACCGCGCGGACGTCTTATGCGAACACCGAGCGGACGTCTTATGCAAACACCGAGCGGACGTCTTATGCGAACACCGAGCGGACGCTCTATGCGAACACCGCGCGGACGTCTTATGCGAACACCGAGCGGACGCTCTATGCGAACACCGCGCGGACGGAAAATGGTGTCCGCCTGGTGTCTGCGTGGCGTCTGCATTTTTCGTCCGCGCGGTAACCGAAATGTGTCCGCGCGGTTTCCAATCAGTTCTACCGAGGGGATGGCGTGTATTCAACGTGATATGGTCGTAAGCGAAGGCACAGATGATGTGTTGGCGAGAAGAGCTCGACGTTCGATACAAGTGCTTCCAACACAGTGCTTATGGGCAGAATTGAGAGAATCGTGTAGAGTCGTTGACGGCCTGCATAAATGTCCGCAGCAGTGTTTCGACTAGGGTCGGCCGCGTGTCGATAGCGTTGGTTTAATTACCCAAGTTTGAGGTACGCCTTGAATTTCCGACCCATTTCAACCAAGTGGTGTCGATATGAAATTTTGGAACCGTCTCCCCTAGTGGGAGACAATAAAAGCTGATTTCAAATAAATTGCATTGCCTTTATATGTAGTTTTTGAAATTTTCAAGAAATTGTATTCATCGATTCATTGAAAATGAGAAAAATTCAAAAAATGGACCATTGCAAATTACTGAAATGCCCATAAATGTCACCAAAGAATCTTCAAGTCATCAACGAAATTTGCAAAAGCTTACAACATCCGGGATTCCCAAGCCGTCTCCGATCCAAGTACTAACCGGACTCAACGTTGCTTAACTTGCCAGATCGGACGGGACTCGGTAAATCACAGCGGACGCCGCGCGGACGATATCGTCCGCGCGGACACCGCTGCCTGTCCGCGCGGAAGCCGATAAAAATTGAGTGCATTTCAGTGGCGTCAAAATGTGGGAAAAACATAACGCGTCCGCGCGGTGTCCGATAATTGTCCGCGCGGCGTCCGAAAGTTTAAATAAATGAAAGTGTCCTTACAAATGTAGAAGAATTGTTGGTTTAAAAGCGAAATTGTTGTTTTTTAAGTGGACAATAACCACTGTAAAATAAGTTATATATTGTATATAGTAATATTTGCATTTTCTGTGCTAAGTTGAGACGTTATGGCGACATGAAGAAAGTAAGAGAGTCGAACCGAATTTTCGTGTGCGTTTACGGTTACGAGAAAAAACACATTTACCTTTACGTGAAAATGCAGACTATTCAAACGGGGAATGCGGAATTGATGAACCGTAATGTTACCGTTTAACTGTTATTTTTTTTTAACTGAAGAATTTTCTTGCAGAAAAACTGAGCGTTTAGACGTGTTCAATAAGGCACCATCAATAGCTGCGAGAAATGAATCGAATCACGGAGCGTGACGAAATTGGTAAGCGCAGGATATGTACGATAAGCAAATATTGTTTAAGACGATATTCGTCATGACGGTTGGTCAATTATCAATCAAACGTATTTGGTAGATGATGACGAAATGACTATTTTGGATGAAATTGAAAATAAATAGCGGCGTCGAGTTGAGATACCTATAGGTTTGCTTTTTAATTGAGTGTTTGGTTTTGTTTATGCCTATATTTAAGATTGTCGCGTAAAGTTGGATGACGTTAATAATGATGAGATTGCGAATGGCGATGGTAGGCGGTGTGTGGTCTCGGGAAATAAAATCGAGAAAATTAACTGATACTGAAAGAATTTTTTCTCGAGAAAGTTTTAGAGATTCGCGAGACTTTCGAAAAGTACTGAGACTTGCGATAATTTCTCGGGAATTTTTTGCAATCGCTGTTTCTTCATTCGTTTCTATTCGTTTCATTACCAACTGCTTAGTTAGAGGTCTCGAGACTCTGGGTACCAATACGCGCGACTGCTCCATAAAATTTTAAGACTAATAACATTAAAAAATTTCTCGGTGCTTCGGGAGTCTTGAGAATTTTGTCTATGGGTAGTTAAGGGAATTCTCGATAAATTCTCTCTCGAGACCACATGAAAATTTAAAAATCGCCCATGTTTAAAGAAAACAACGACGTTGACGAATATGTTGATGATGACGATATTTCTGGCACTTCGGTCGACGGTAATGTACACATCAAGAATTGAATAAATTGATATTTAGAAAATGAACGAATCACGTATGTGATAGCATCGAAGATAATATCGATGGGAATTTCGAATGATGGAAGAAAGGCTCTATACGAAATAGTGCGCTTAATGCGAGAAACGCCGATTCCGGTAATATGTTGTTGTTGATTTAGTGTAATTGTCTTTAAAATTTCGGAAAGTCTTTAGTTTTGCGCTGAAATCGACAAAGTTTCTCGAAAATTGGATGTTAGGCCGACAGTTCCTAAATTTGATCGAAAATTTCCAATTTTTGGCTTAACTGGTACCATGCAGACAAAGAGAACTTCTAAAAAAAACCCCCACCGGCAGAAACAGTCGAAAAGACACACTGCAGGAGAAGAAACTTATTTGAAGCAGATTATTTTTAGATTTTCTCAAAAAAACTCTATAGTACCAAAAAAATAAGTTCCGATCACATTCAATTTGAAGTGGAAACTTCTACCAAAAATATGTAATTGAACACAAAAAGATCCGTATAAATTCCAAACATTTGCATTGTTCAAGTTAAAATTTTCAATATTGAAGTGTTCGAATGTTGAGAGAAAAATTCAAAAGTTATGTGAGGTTGATGCGACTTGTTACGACGTTTGCGTTTTTTGCAATGACCGTTTTGATGGAAAACGTTGCAGAAAAGAATCATGTTGCAGAAAGTGATAAGAGAACAGAAATATTTGGAGCATAATTACGGTATTTGTAGGTTTCAAGTTCCCAATTCACGTAAGCTTACGATTTACAATCTTGAAAACCAGATTTCCGACGTTATCGAGACCCTTGGATTTCCCGATAAACCTACTGCCAGAAGCTCGAATATGATTGCGCAGCGAATTCACGAAACTGAGAGTTACCGTAGTTTCTACAACGGTGTTGCAAGCGACGCAGATGACGAAGTTCACCTAATTGCGACCGTTAATTTCGACGGTTTTTGCAAGGATGGATACTACCGGTACCGATTACAGGGTGTCATTTAAGTTCCCGCACAAAAGTTTGACGCCATGTAGAGCTTCGCTAACGCACTTTTCGTACACCAATACAATTTATTTTTATTGAACAAGGTATATTTTACTTACTTTCCAAGTTTCACCTCATTCGGATGTGCTTCCGAGAAACGGCGAAGGCTAACATCCATCGCGCTTCCATTATCGAACTTCATAAGCAAAATGTGAGCCCGAGAGACATCATTCAACGGGTCGGTGTGCCTTGTAGAACGGTTTATGACACCATCAATCGATTCAAGGAGCTAAATACGACCAGTGACCGTCCCAGACAAGGAAGACTCGTCTCAGTAACCACTCCTCAGAAGATCAACGCCGTCAAATCGAGGATCAGCCGAAACCCCCACAGGAGCATGAGAAAGATAGCGTCAGACATGGGAATGAGCATCTTCGCTTTGGAACAAATCGTCAAAACGAAGCTTGTACTGACCCCATATCGTGTCCAAAAAGCGGCAATTCTATCGGCCGTCAACAAGCAGAGACGCTTCGAAAAAGCAAAACGACTTCTTGCTCGCACGCGGTCTGGACAAGATCTCGTCACTGTCTTCTCCGACGAGAAGCTATTCACTGTGGAGACGGCATTCTACTCACAAAACCATTGAGTACTTGCCCAGACATCCCAGCAAGCTTCTGAGAAAGGAAAAACAATTAATCGAGCCTCACATCCTGCCAGTGTGATGGTTTTCGGTGCCATCTGCTCAACCGGGATGTGCCCCCAGGATTTCGTGGATCAGGGAGTGAAAATGAACAAAGAAGTCTACGTTCGGGACATTTTGGAGAAGCATGTGATGCCCTGGACCCAAACGCATTTCGGTGGGCAGATATGGGTCTTTCAGCGGGACGGAGCAGCCGCCCACACTGCCAAAACTATTCAGGAGTGGTGCCAGACCCATTTTCCCGACTTCATCAAGTCATCCGAATGGCCTGATTGCTCCACAGATCTGAAACCGCTTGACTTTTCCGTGATAGGGTCTTGCAGGAGAAGGTCAACGCAAAACCCCACTCAAGTGTAGAGGCTCTGAAGAGGACATTACTGGCGGAGTGGGACAATCTTTCCATCGAATACCTGCGTACCACAGTCACATCCTACCCGAAGCGTCTCCGTGAAGTCATAGCTGCGAGAGGAGGCCGAATCGAAAAGAGTTAATAGATAATTATTTGTTGTACTATAGATAAATAATATCTTGAGTCTCGTTTGATTTGGACTTTTAGTTTCAGAAATATACGTCTTCAAAGTTGTGCGGGAACTTAAATGACACCCTGTACAAGTGTGCTCAAAATTAACTCATACGTTTAGTGGTGAATGCTGGCCTGTTTTTCTTTCGATTCATGGATACGGAAATGGGAGACTGTCCGATTATAATAGCAGGACAGTTTTATTGGCTGCCATGATATTCACGGCGTCAAAAAAAATTTCAATCTCAAGACTCTTCTCGCACCGGTCACTTATCGAATTCAGAAATTGAGCAAATCACCGATTATAAAGACGATGAACGGGAAAGATTTCAAAATCTTTTTGTTTATGTATTCGTGTGCTATTGATATGGACGTTAGTAAAAGAAAATATAACCTAAATGCTTCACAATTTTCAGGCCTCACGGAAGGCGTTCGGGCTCCCAGCGTAACATAAGGGGTGCGGAAAATGCGATATCACAGGTTTAGCAATATTAAATCACATACTTGAACGCGACTATTGCAGGAGTCACAGTTGATAGAACAATGCGATGGTTGACGGATGGGACCGAGTGCTCTTACAGTTGTCGATATTTGCCGCCAAGTAAGTTAATCATTGAAACGTCTCCCAAACTTTTGTTGTTAGATTTCAATACGTGCGCGTTGCCGATGGTTTTTACACATAGCTACGACTATCTACACCTTCTATCAGAAGGAATAAACAAGGATAGGCTAAGAGGTAATTAGTCAGATGCGATTTGTGAAACATTATTTTTTCAGCTTTATTTTATTACCGCTCCACTGGTAATCAATTCAGAACAGGAGTTTTTCGTAGAAGTGCTCTTTTTGGCATGCAATTGGATGATCGCCCGATGTTTGATGAATCTAGAGCTTGCTAAGGATATTATCCCGCAGTTAAAAATTCTGGCGAAACAAACAAGAGGACTGGTCAATACGCGATTCAAAGAATGTGGAACAATGAAGATGCACGCAAGAAATAAAATTTCGAATAAATTCTATACATGATGATTCAGTATGTTTGCGAACACGTTGTGAACGATTTAGAAATTGTTGGATCGCCATTCATGACTGGAACTGCGGGATTTGAAAGATTGAATCAGCAGTTAACAAGAGCAATTTCGATCTACACCCCATCGCCGGCAGAATTTATGCCGAAACGGTAATGCATCAGTTCTGACATTTGAAAAATTAATCACTTATTTAGTTTCATTGCTCTTCAGCGATGCGAACGGCGGAATAGCGAAGAAATTCCAAAGTTCAAGTGTGAAGTTGACGAAAAGACGTCCATTGATCTCGATGATTCACATGTTCAATTTTTAAGTCAATTCGGAACTCCATTGGGATGGTAAGTATCAGTTTCATGAGATACATCGCTATTAAACGGTTACAGGTCGCGAATATTTGCCGCTGGAAACGTTTTCGAATCGAGGCAATACAGGAAAGAGAAAAAGTCGCAGCGTTGTTATATTAAATATAGAGATGAAAATGACTCTTCATCTATTTTATTTGGTGTAGTTGAGGTATTTGCCACATTTATTGAGAATGACGATGTATTTGCTATAGTACGCCCGTTTAAACTGTCAGCACCCTTTGCTAATTTGCAAACGCACTTCCAAAATCAAGCCGAAAAACACATTATTTCTACAATTTTGTCGCTAAACCAATATTTTTTTCTCATTCCTGATAGTAGCTCGTGGAAAATTGAGCCACTAATATTGTTGCCATGTTGTTTAATTCTGGGACACGCAACCGTTTCTGTTTATAACAATATTACTTTTGTCAGCTCTGTCGCTTAATTATATGTTCTATAATGTTCGATTTTGTCTTAATTGAAATAAATTCGGAAAATCATTAAATTTGCGCCGAAAATCGACAAAGTTTCTCGAAAATTGTATGATAGACGGAAAGTTTCTAAATTTGATTGAAAAATCGCTAATGGTAATATGCAGATTTGGGGAATTGTTAAAAAAAAACCAGCAGAAATTGTCGAACAGGCTACAGGAAAAGAAACTAAACGGCATTTATTTTTCGATGAAATATGACCTCCGCAATTGTGCGCGATGATACTTACGAACACACTGAACACGACGCGCGTTTGTTTTTTTTTTTTCGCTTTCGTTATTTAAATTTGCTTTTATATATCCTTTGTCTTATGTGGTTTATGAACTGTTTATGACTTCCATTTGTGCGAAATATATATGTCGTTACAGGTCGCGAAAATTTTCTTCTTGTCTTCCTTGAATTTAATTCGTTTTGTTTTACAGCTCTTTAGACTCATATTCTTGCTTCGCTCATTTTGAAACAATGTCGAAAAAATTAGGTATGGCTGACGGATTTAAGCGAAATTTATGAATTTTACAATTTTCAGAACTTTTCGTTGACTCAAAAAAAAGGAAAGTTGCTCCGATTAAAGAACAGGCCGCGCCCATTGACGATTCCTGCAATTACGCAGGTAAGTGTTGATAGCTTTACATTTCTCTTACTCAAAAATGTTTCTCGGCAATGTAGAAATATGGAAATTTATTACCAAATTTCTTTGTACATTTTTGCTCGAGGTGTTCGTGGATTTGGCGAATGCTCATTGCGAACGTTAGTATTTTGGTTAAAATATTACCTATATGTTACGATTCATACGAATAATTAAAAGTGTGATGTGTTTTGCGGAATGTCCACAAAAATTTACCGAATGTATGTAATTTCCAATCGCCTCGTTCAATTCAATACGAATAAATAGTTTAGAATTAGTTTAAATAAAGGCCAATAAAATATAACTTTCTGTTTATATTTTTGCAAATTCTATTCTTTGCGAATATTCGAAATTTCACATCAGATTGAAAATGAGTTACCCCGTTAAGGAAGGAAAATCTTCGAAGTGAACGGTGAATAAGAAGAGATTTTTCTTCTTTTTCGCAACTAAGTGTGTGCATACTTCCACCGCTTTCACGTTTATCAACCAACAGCGTACCGCAAAAAACGATACGAAATAATTAAATTTCTTCATAAATTTTGAACGAGTGGTTCAATCCAGGTGGAATTTTTATCACTTATTTTTCATAGAGTATAATGTTTAAAAGCCAGTTCATATTATGGAAATTAATTTTTTTCAATTATCCAAAAAATCGAAATTTCAAATAATTATAGATATTGGTGTATAAATTAAAATGATTTTAGAAACTTAATTAGATCGTCAAACACAAAATAACTATTTTACCACCAAATAACTATTTTACACGATTCGGCCGTTTTTGAACGCGTTGAGAATTCGACGAAGTCCCAAAATTGGTAATGGTTGGGGTAATTTATGATTATATGATGATGATGATGAGTGCGTGGGGATTGCTAATTACTAATAATCTAAAAGATAATTACGCACTAATTACCCATATTTGTATGGGTCAACAATTACGGTTTTTTCCAAATTTTCGCGAAATAATTAGTGTACGCTGACAACTAGTGCATTTAAAAGGTGTTTAGTGAGTAGAAGCACTTAATTACCTAAAGTTCTAAAATGTTAGTAGTACGTGCGCCCTCATACTTTTTTTGAAAAATTGAATGGATGTCAGGTCAAATGCCCAGCTTACAGTGCGACTTCATGCGCACCCTCCTGCTGTTTCACTCTTCAATTTGAAACGAAACAATGAAAATAAAGATAAATTTTGGCTGTTTTCTTAACTTGACGGGAGAAAGGTGAAATAGGCAAGTGAAACACGCAGAGAGCATGCTTATCGCGCATTTCGTCTATCATGTTAAACATGGAGCCTACTGTTTGTTATTTTAGAAAAACTGATCAATATAATGAAATCTAAGTCAATTTCGTTGTATGGTGTTGGAAAGCTGATATCGTTGGGATTTCAAAATGGCTCGGTTACCAACGTTATCCTTACCGAAATCGAAGGTGAATTAGCAAAGAACGCTATTACTTATTCGATTGATATCGGTGACATGATCTTCAACACTGAGAGAGATGATTCAGCCAAATACGAAAGAATCGCGCAGACGTTCCTGGTAGTTTTTCTTGTAGAAAATAAGTCACAATTCATGTTCAGGCAAACCTGAATTGGAAGAAAGCAGACAGTTTCAAAGAAAAAACAAAAAAGGTGATTACGCAGATAGCGAAGGAAGTAAAAGACGTTCCGACTGGTCTTCAACTCAAAGGTAAAGTTCTTAATGAACGATACCTGACTCCATCGATGGATCCTTTTGAGGTAAACCAGTGTTAATTACAAGTAATGTTCGATGTGATTCAGGCTATTGACCTAAACGCTGTGTATGCCGCTCACGCAGTGCAAGGATCCGATCTGTTAAATCAGATCAAATCTTTAATGCGCAGCATTTTGAAGACAGTACGTTTTTGGAGCTTGTCATAAACAATTATACCAAATTAAGATGACAAATCCGCCTCTCGTAATTTGGAAATTTACAAATTGCGAATCGCAGGTTTCTCGTGAAAGCGCTCTTGAGCTCTTCCCAAAATCGCTTAATGCGATAATCGAGAGTACAGTTTGTCCACAAAAAATTGAGCGTCAAATTTGAAATTTCAGGATTCATATACGACGCCCTCGGTGTCTTTGTACCATCTCAGTTCGAAAACGATGTGAGTCGAGAAGAAGAATTGGTTAATTCCAGGTGAGAATAATTTAGAAATATTACTACTCTTTATTTCATTTTAGTTTCTATTTAATGCTCTCCAGCACTCCCGATGGTCGAAAAAATGAATTTGCTCGTCGTCAACAGGCGAGGCTGCGGATGACTACAAAACTCCAACAATGCATGACAAAGAGTTTGTAAGAGGCACACTATAACCTTACTACTAATACTACTATAAATTATTCAGAAACTATATAAGAGAGCTACATTACAACTACGAGAAAAAAATTTTGGAGCCATGCAGAGTAAGTGTAGTAGGTTAATTAAAATGAATGATCAACTTTCGTTTAGAACATCAGCCACGTCCACCACGTGACCTGGAAAGAATGGCAAGAAGCCAGTCAGGATCCGATTGAGTTCGAGCAATTTCAGTAGGTTCTTTTTTCACTTTTTTAATTCAAACACTAAAAGAAAACGGGAAAAAGACTTATGTGCGAGTTTCACTTTCGTTGTCTTCCCCCTAACTCGTTGCAAGTATGAAAAATAATTTAATTTAAATGCATACCCATCCATAATGAATACCGGAAATTTATCTGCATTTCTTTTAGATCGAAAATATTCGGTAAATCATCGGATTAAATGAATTGTTATGTATAATTTCTATCTTGTCGATAGATTATTTGGTTTTTTGAAGGGCTTGAAATGTGCCGCGGTTTTAAATAGCTGGAATTAGAAATTAATAACATGTTCAATCAAACATCAATTAAAACTAAGAGATTTCTCGATTACATACATTTTCAAACAAAATGTTGCGAATTTCGAAACAACTGGTGAATGCACCTAGCTTAATACATCAAAGCGTCATAAAACGAACAAATTTTCTAATTTTAGTTTGAAGATTTTAGTCAATTAATTGACTAATATATATTGATTAGATGTTGACTAGAATCTCTCTACTCTGGTAAATCGAATAAAAGATTTTGAGATTTTTTGAGAAAGTAACGTGTCGCTATGATATTTTAGATTTTTCTCAATCAACTTTAGAAATTATTATAAAATTTTAGAATTTATTGAGATAATTTAGAATTTGCTCAATAAATTTTAGAAAATCTTATAAAATTTTGTAAAAAGTATTTTTAAGTTTAGCGATTCGCAATAAGTTTTAGAAAGTATCAATAAACTTTAAAATTTCTCATAATTTTTTAGATTTTTGATCCTCAAAATATGTTTTTATTGATATGCCTGAGTAATTACTCTTATAAGAAAAACTGCGGCCAATGCTACAAGCCCCGAAGAACTTTTTGTGAAGCCCTCATTCATTTTGTCCCATCTCTCCCTCTTTTATTTATATTACTTCTATTATTGTTAATAAATATGGTTATTTATCCACAATTCATATGCAATCTACAACAGGCCTATGGCAGGTACAAAGATTGGCAACGATAATAAACGTCGGACGCCGCGCGGATGCGTTTTGCGGACGCCGCGCGGACGTACTTTGCGGACGCCCCGCGGACGTACTTTGCGGACGGCCGCGTGTCGACAGCGTTGGTTTAATTACCCAAGTTTGAGGTACGCCTTGAATTTCCGACCCATTTCAACCAAGTGGTGTCGATATGAAATTTTGGAACCGTCTCCCCTAGTGGGAGACAATAAAAGCTGATTTCAAATAAATTGCATTGCGTTTTATAGTTTTTGAGATTTTCAAGAAAGTGTGTTCATTGAATTAATGGAAAATGAATAAAATTCAAAAATGGACCATCTCAAATGACTAAAACGCCCACAATGCCTCCAACGAATCTACAAGTCATCAACGAAATTTGCAAAAGCTTACAACATCCGGGATTCCCAAGCCGTCTCCGATCCAAGTACTAACCGGACTCAACGTTGCTTAACTTGCCAGATCGGACGGGCTCGGTGCAAACGAAATGCTCCAGTTCGGACGTGGGACTGCTCCCGTTCGAATGTAAAACTGCTCTTGCTCGACGTCGGAGGGGGCGCAGTTTCACGTCCGAACGGGGACAATTCACGCCCGAATGGGAGCAGTCTCACGCCCGAACCGATGTGAGACTGCTATCAAACTGCGACAAATTGGTTGCGAATTGGGCCCGATTCACGCCAGATTCTCGTTCGAACTGGCTCCAGTCAAATGTATTCTTTTTGTGTCTTCGCTACAATTTGGATGCATTAGATTTATTTAAATCAAATAATAAAATAAAATAATAGATATCGAAGGAAAAATATTAATTATCGAGTAAAGAGGAAGAAAATGGGAGGGAGAGGGAACATTAAAAGCGGGTTCGAGGAATTACTGTCGCGGAAAAAAATAAACTAAACGCCAAAAATGAGAAATGTCTTGGCCCACGGCATGAGCCTCAATACTTATATTTTGTCCGTATATCTACACATTTAGTTTTGCACCAAGACATCTCCTTCAATTTTTGGCACTTTGTAATTTTCCGCAATTTTGCGACAATTAAATACAATTAATAAATGTCTTAAACCATCTTACAACAGGAAGGGGATACAAATTCTTCTTCCCCATGACTCTTGACATTTCATCTATTTGGGAAGTTTCCTAGGTCTTCGCATTATGAGAAGCTGGGTCTTAGGTTGAAGCAGTTAGCAGCTTGTAGTTTCATTCTGTAAAACAAGGGTTAATTGATGATAGAATCCATATTTTATAACACTTACTCAATATTTAGTTTCAAAAAAAACCAGTTGGTCCTCCAGTAAGCATATAGCAAACTCATCCTGTATCGCATTCAGCATCAGAAATCAGCATCGCAGCTTGCCGTCTCATTTCTAAATTATAAGTGTTTGAAAGATATTGGAATTGCGAAAAACGACGATAAATTATGCGCAAATTTAAAATCAATTTCTATTCACTTATCGAACCTTTACCGTTATAACAAAACTTTAAAAGTTCTCCTAATTTAACATCATTTTTGCATTTAAAACTATCCAAAAACGTGTTTCCGGCTTTTAATGGCAAAAATCAATACAAATGTGTCTGAAAACTACTTTTTTCTTAGAAAAGACAATGAAAATGCCCAAAAGTTTCAGTTAAAAATTTAGGATAACAAAAAGACGCGAAAGTTTAATAAAAAACAGAAACGTTCCACTAAAAGACGAGCGAATTGATAGATACACATTTTCTTTAGTTTTAGAAAAAAAATTACGAAAAAAGCTCGAGAAATGATCGAAAAAAAGCAATAAAAGTGTTTAAAATAAAAGACGCCATTTCGAAAAAAACAACCGCGACGCGGCAATTCCGCGGCGCGCTATTTTGAATTGCTGCGGCACACCATTGACTGCTCCCGTTCGGGTGCAAATTTGGCTACCCGCTTCAGTTCGGATATGCGTCGGCGCCAGATTGGGCAATGTTGTCCAAACTGAAGTCGTTAGTTAACTGTAGTGAATGTCTGGCTCCCGTTCGGATGCTCACGCCCGAACTGGAGTCAACCGCTAAAAACCCCTGCTCCCAATTGGATGCAAATTGGCTGCAGTTTGGAAGTTGAAATAATCCTCTCCAGTTCGGAAGTCCGCCTGCCACCGATTGAACGCTATCGCCCGAACTGTACCAGTGGGAACCTATCGGTCCCAGTTCGGGAGTGTGTCGGCGACCAATCGAGCGCTATCGTCCGAACTGGAGCATTTCGTTTGCACCGAGGGGATGGCGTGTATTCAACGTGATATGGTCGTAACCGAAGGCACAGATGATGTGTTGGCGAGAAGAGCTCGACGTTCGATACAAGTGCTTCCAACACAGTGCTTATGGGCAGAATTGAGAGAATCGTGTAGAGTCGTTGACGGCCTGCATAAATGTCCGCAGCAGTGTTTCGACTAGGGTCGACCGCGTGTCGACAGCGTTGGTTTAATTACCCAAGTTTGAGGTACGCCTTGAATTTCCGACCCATTTCAACCAAGTGGTGTCGATATGAAATTTTGGAACCGTCTCCCCTAGTGGGAGACAATAAAGGCTGATTTCAATTAAATGGCATTGCGTTTATAGTTTTTGAGATTTTTAAGAAATTGTGTTCATTAAATTAACTGAAAATGAGAAAAATTCAAAAAAATGGACCATTACAAATGACTAAAATGCCCACAAATGCCTCCACAGAATCTACAAATCATCAACGAAATTTGCAAAAGCTTACAACATCCGGGATTCCCAAGCCGTCTCCGATCCAAGTACTAACCGGACTCAACGTTGCTTAACTTGCCAGATCGGACGGGATGGCGTGTATTCAACGTGATATGGTCGTAAGCGAAGGCGCAGATGATGTGTTGGCGAGAAGAGCTCGACGTTCGATACAAGTGCTTCCAACACAGTGCTTATGGGCAGAATTGAGAGAATCGTGTAGAGTCGTTGACGGCCTGCATAAATGTCCGCAGCAGTGTTTCGACTAGGGTGGACCGCGTGTTGACAGCGTTGGTTTAATTACCCAAGTTTGAGGTACGCCTTGAATTTCCGACCCATTTCAACCAAGTGGTGTCGATATGAAATTTTGGAACCGTCTCCCCTAGTGGGAGACAATAAAAGCTGATTTCAAATAAATTGCATTGCGTTTTATAGTTTTTGAGATTTTCAAGAAATTGTGTTCATTAAATTAACTGAAAATGAGAAAAAATCCAAAAATGGACCATCTCAAATGATTAAAACGCTCACAAATGCCACCACAGAATCTACAAGTCATCAACGAAATTTGCAAAAGCTTACAACATCCGGGATTCCCAAGCCGTCTCCGATCCAAGTACTAACCGGACTCAACGTTGCTTTTTCGTAAGCAGTGTGTGCTATCAAGAAAAAATTCTCGAGAAAAATCGAGAAAACTAACCGGTACCGAGAGAAATTCGAGAATCTCTTCGAGACTGCCGAGACTTTCCAAAAAGTACCGAGACTTGCGAGAATTTCTCGAGACTCGGTTCCCGTATGCGCGACTACCCGTATAGTACCGAGACTAATAATTTCGAAAATTTCTCGGTGCTTCCGAGAGTCTCGAGAATTTTCTGTCTGGGTAGTGTAGCGAATTCTCGGGAAATTCTCTCCCGAGAGCACACACTGCTCGTAAGTATTAAATTGGATCGAATGTCACGGCCTTTAATTGTGGAGCAGAATGTTCCTGAAAAAATCACAAATAGAGCATTGAAATCATGGTATAAGTCGACATTAAACTGTCTATAAAATCAATACCAAAGCTATAAACAATGTAAAAAGAGAACTTACTCGATTTCCAAAAGCTTCTGCTTCTTTTCTTCTACTCCTTCCTCCGTAGTCGGGTTGAGCATCAAGACTGCTTTCCATCGACTCCATTTGAATAGATGCTGTGATGATTTACCCTATAATCGTATTTACTTTTCGTCCCATTTTAAAATTAATATTTACCTTTGCATTGACGAGTTTTCTTTGGACGATGTCATAAGACCATTCGCGCAAATAAGTACTAAAAGAGAAACTATGTGCAAACGAAGTAAGAGATACTTACAGAGTCGTTGTCAATGACTCATGTAGCTTCCGTCGAATTGACAATCGTACTTCTCTCCGCCTTCGAATTTCGTTGATCCTGGCCTCATCGTTGGCTCCAAGTTCAACGAAAAATGGTGCTGACTTATCAATATCTGCGAAATGCGCAGTATCAAATTCCTGCGGCAAATACACATCTAAGCAATCGCAAGTGAACTCTAAAATACCAAATAGTAATTGGCGAAAATTAGACTACCAACCAATATTTGTGGTCACAATATCATCGGGCAAAGGAGAAAACACTGAATCACTTGCTTTATTAGGTGAATGGGTGTAAAGCCAAATCATCGGCGGAGGAGAAGTAAGCTAAAGAAAACTGTGAAAACAGAATGTTGAAGGATTTGAATACCTTTACTAGGATGTTTTTCATCAAGCTCCTCACACGTGAATAAAGGTCAGCACCTTTAATGACAAAGTCCGGGTACATTTGGTTAAGATTTAAGTACTGAAGAAATGAGATGTGATAATATACAAATTGGATAAGTTACTTCGAAGGGATCACATGAATTTATGCAGTGAGATCCTTTTAAATAAGATCTCTTCAAATCGATTTCGGAGCTGATATCGGGAGCACTCAATTCAGCCAAAACTTGAATTCGATTTTGAACCTTTTCAAGTTTATCAGCGATGATCAATTGATTAACGTTCATATGAAAATTTAATCATTCATGTTTAAAAATGTATAAATATATACACATTTCACGAAAAAACTGCAAAAAACTTTTCAACAAAACTATATACCCGCTTCATTTTTTCGGCATTAAAAACATTTTTTGTATATTTTCGTATTTTCGAATTTATTTTTTGCAATTTTACTGTTCTTTAACATACGCCTCGTGATAAACCGCTCACCGACTTTGAAAAAGGTGAAATTGAAGTCAATTATTAAATTTTCAGTTTCTTTCAAATTCCAACTCTCGATGCGATTTTCTGGATTTTTTTTTCAAGTGGGTATATAAATATGTGGAAAAATTGCTTCCACTTGTTTGTTACAATGACGAATGTTAATTATTGGACAAAAATTGGGATTGGTATAGTTATGTGGAGCACTGTGTATTCATACTCCATCTTTCAGCAATTGTGATAAAGACCAAACTACTTAACATTAAAAAAAATTATGTAGTTTCATGTTATGATAGTTAAGAAACGTAAAAAGCAATCCTCAAATTTTTACCATACGAGACCCAAGGCAACAATTCAAACAATATCAATGGCACCCCAAATCGTATTCGACGTACCATGAACGCCATTCCCATATTGACGTGAATTGGACTAGATGAGGATGAGCTCTCCGAAAAAAGTCGTTGAATGTCGATATCAGACCAAGAACGGCTGGCGATACTTTTCAATTCCTTAATTTATTGTCATAAATCTCAAAAAAGAAAAACGAGTTACTTGAATCTTGATTTCGTCAAGCGATTTGTTGCTTAATCCGGCTGCGAGATTTTGTCCGAGTTCGTGGACCGAAATCGAATTGCATCTAAGTAGAATCTGAATTTTTTCTGAAAAAAACATTAAACGATTATATGTACGTTTGATGCCTCATACCGAAATAATCGTCATTGTCTGATGGAACTGCTATCGACTCGTCGGCGTTTGCATTGTCATTTCTCATCTTCTCCATTTTTAGCCGCTTCATATTCTCAACCACAGCTGAAAGAAATATTGTAAATTAGGTTCCTAATCCGAAATTTTCGTCGAAATAGTCATACTGTGGTTTTTAATTGAGAAAGGACTGTAAATAATACGTTTGGTGCGAAACGATTTTTTCGGAAGATAATATAATCGGTAAGATATTTTTTAAAGCTTTGTCAAAATTTAACCAAGATAACGTTTTAAAACGCGAAAAATTTCCAAATCTGTTTTTTAACTAGTACTAGTCCATTGTAACTAAATTTACCTGATGTTGCTGGCCTTCTTTTGGTCATGGCGGAGGTTCAGTTGTATAAGAGAGAAAAGAGCTGTGAGAATTAAATTTATTGTCGAGAACGGACGAATTAAGCGGGGGAGGCAGCGGGGCGTTGCTTATTATTTAAGCTTTTAGAATTGATCTAGTACGCAATTCATTGAAAATTAGAGTACATATTAAAGACGAAATTTTCTGTTGTCGTGCTAAGATCAGAAATGGCTAACGCGTTTGATCATTCATATTTGTCAAATTCGTCCGTCTTCGACATTAGAGGTAATGAACCTATTTTAAAAACAATCATAAACGTAAATAACGTATCGCTCTTTAAAAACGACCGAAAATGGTAAAAATGGCATAGGTTCGATATTAAAGGTACACACACATAAAGGAATCGCGATAAAATAGCGCGTTGATTAGTGGAAGTTTTAACTTCAAATCTAAATACATAACATTTATTTCATGATATAGAAGAAGCATAACAGCAATTATCATATTCGAGAATTAAACAATATCCTAAAAGCTGAGTAGGACGTATCAGTTTCGGCTCATCAACGTCTACAATCCGTTTAAAATATCTATTAATTTTTTCTATTCTATCTATAATGTAAAGATCTGAGATATCAGCGCTTGAGCGCAATTTTTCAAATGGTTGAATCGTGTGAAATGGAATGACGACGCATTCAATGTTCGTTGCGTCGCCAACGAAACACTCGATTGTTCCAAATTTCATTTCATCGTCTTCGAGGAATTTAATGTTGCACCTCTGAGTCGTTTTATCCCTCTTAATATTGGACGACTCATATATAAATGTGTTGGCACATATACGCCCCCTTAAAAAATGTAATTAATTACGTCACAATAATGGCAGTTACCATATTTTCGACGAATCAGCTATCCCTAAATGCGACAAAATATTGAACGTTTCGGTTGTCGCTTGCTGTATTGCAGAGTCGGTGTCCAATTCAATTTTTTCCACACCGATCGGTAACGGCCTCCTGATATTATAGTGTTTCCAATACTCATTATTCAATTAATACCTCTTATTTGCCGTCGCAATCAGACTCTGATAGATTTCGTCTCCAGTTGTAATTCCTTTCAATACCAATTGACGGTGTAAATTTCACCGAGTAATAAACCTGAAAATATGTTATGTGCTAGTTGAAAATTTTGAAAAGTAGAAAAGCGATAAGTCACAACAATGAATACTTTTCGCATTCCTTTTGCCAAGTGTTAATGCGCCATTTGCGACATATATTGATACATTTCTTGTCATTACTTGGTTTATCCGTTCGAATGGTGCAGTTGACGTCATAAAAGGACTTCCCACATTTTCGTATTCTTCGATACAATGCGAAACAATCGTCTAAAATAAATCAACTTGAAAGATTTATTGGATGATACAACATAATGTTCCATAGAAATAACCTACGTGCAACTTCATGGTGAAGCATCTCCTGTATCCATTTTTTCCGAGTTCATTCAAATCAATTCCTAGCTCTTTGAGTGTTTTTATATCATTTTTGTAGGCATTCATATCCATAAGAAATCGTGTGATAATCCATATAATCAGCGCGAATAAACTATCTTTGGCTGGTTTATCGAAAAGTACTCCAACTAGCGGAACTGTGACATTCATAAGCTGGAATAGCAAAAGTATCAGACAAATCTAATCTAATAGAATACATGTGTACATAAAAATGAAATATAAATTAAACTGATGCGATTGGAAAAAATGATATTTGATTAAGATGGTGTTTAGATTCGACTTTAAAATTTTTGAAATCGATTGATTTATTTCTCTGTGTCAATGTTGAAATTGAATCCGATTGATTTTCATTTAACTAAGAGTGTACACATAGGTGAGTTTGCAAACCTCGTCAATTTCTCGTCCAGTTAACTTTGCATGATTTTCTAATCCTTGTGGCGTAATAGGAGGCTTGTCAGTGACCATTACCGTCTGGAGAAATATTTTCTGAAATTGTGACATTCAAAAATGATTTCTTAATGTACATCCCTTCAAAACAGTGAGCTCACTTTGAGTTAATACCAAATTTGGAATATTCGATTTTTCCTTGTTGGTGAAATCTGTAAATAATGTATCAATGTAATTATTGAACAGTTACGTTATCGAAATATACCTCTTAGCCTATCTTTTGAAACTCCTTCCGACATCAAATGAAGAAAATCGTATGAATGCTCGAACGTGTGGGGAATTGAAATCCGCTTGTGGTCTGCAATTTTATGTCTTGAATAGATACTTAACGCACTTAACGTCGATACCTTTTGGCATATTATAAAATGAGTACTTACGTTCGGTTCCATTCGTCACATAGGTCATTTTTCCATCATAAAAACCCTTAAATCAACATATATGTCGTTCCAATATAGAATGTGTTCTCAAGATGTTAATAAGAAACCTGCCACATTACACCTCCCACATCCGTATTTTGTTGTCCAATTTGGTAATCCGAATAGCTTCTTGCTCGCCTAACATTGTATACTTTTTAACTATTTATATTAATATCGAGAGCCAGGTATGACTATGGAGCTGAAAGGGCCCCCCTAAACGAAAAGGGCCCTTTGCCATGTCTGACGCGAGCAAACCTACATCGAAATCTATGGCACAACTATAGAGCTCTATCTTGACGAGCCATTCGCAATCGTCACCTCGAACTCTAATCGGTTCTCGCTTTATTTCGTTTAGTTGAATAGTGAAGCGTGTGAACAATTCTTCGAGCGGTATATTGGCCTTAGAATAGGACTGAAGCAACGAACAAAGAACAATGTTGCTCGGATTGTAATCATCAAATGTTTTGTATCCGTAACCATGTAGTGACATATACAACGGCCAAACCTCTGCCCTAAAACTAAGTGTTTAACGTTTAAAAAATTAATACGAAAAAACTACATATTCCCAGATTTACCTCATTAAGCCATCATTTCTAAACCCATCGAAGTTAATTGTTGCTAAAACATGATGAATACCAGGTTCTTTTATTAATTCACGTCGCTCTTTAAATCTCGGTGTTTGACATACACTTCTTTCTGTGAAATCAGGGTTTTCATTCGCGTCTGCATAGTTCGGTAGCCCTAGGCATTCAATGACATTTGTGATTTGTCGCCGAATATCGAAGGTTATAAGGTCACACGGCTTTTGAAAAGCCCTAGGTACATTTTGTATTGGATCTTTTTAATCAATATACACAACATACTCGTTTTGACAATTGGCATTCCGACATTCAGCTTCACGCCGCAACCAGCTACAATTGCTGCATATTTTGTACACATCGCATTGAACATTTGACAGATCACGAATCTTCTTCTCAATATCCATCTTCTGAAATTATTACAATATTATAGAAAATATTGAAGAAACTGGCAACACACACACTGATAGATTGATTGCGATTAAACAATTCGACTATCAGAAAAACATCGTCTCTGGTGCTTCGTGACATGTTGTTTTTTATCATCAATCCAGAAATGAGCAATACAATGTCGGAAGAGCCTGAAAGCAATAATTACTCGAAAACCGTAACAACATTACAATAGGTGTGTTGTCCCGACGCGGAAAACATCCTCTTTTCTAGAAAACTATTAAAATTTTACTTCTTTCGTATTTGCTGTAACGTGAAGCTTCTTCATTGATTTCTTCTTCTTCTGAAGTTGTTTGGTCGCTATTAAAAGCATTTTCTTCCGCGTTTTCGTCTAATACCATCTCAATGTCCTCATCATAAATTGATTCACGGTAATCTCCTTCCAACGTATTGGTTACCGGAGTTAACACCGAAACATAATTTTCTAAAACATTTTTATTATTATCATACAGGATGACTGAAAATCACCTGTCATTTCACCACATTTCATCATACCGTCTTCTCGAGCAGCAGTTCGTCCGATTCTTCGTTTTTTCCTATCGTCATTACTCCATTTCCTTGCCAACTGTTGACACACATTATCTAAACATCACATTACATAGATATATATTCTTTCGTACTGGTTTTCCTTACTAAACGTAGATCTTCTTCTTTGGTTCGACATTGCGTTTGAAACCTATTACCATATATATGACTGAAAAATTAAATTCAGAAGAACGAAAAAATTTAAAAAAAAATTAGAGACTCGCCAGTTAAATGGGCGAGTTGAATGTGATTGGAACGAGCAATTCAAAACGATTGAAACAAATTACGATAAACAGTGGGCACGTGTTAACGGCGGAGTGTCGTACACTGATTAGGTTTCCACTCAAACTTTTTTCTGTAAACGAGATTAGTCCAAAAATTCTCAATAAGAAAAATGCGCGTGTTATTCGAAAAACCATATAAATATATGCATATATTAAAAAATAATAAAATAAATAAAATATTCCAAATGTCTTGTCGAATTCGACGACATCCGAAAGGAATACGGACGTTGTTCAAACTGTGATTGCCACTTTTAAGATGTTTGCGAATGTTTAGAGTTTCAGCTGATGCTTCAGATATTCCAGGCAAGCCTATTGGACTGAAAAGAGGGCCTTTCATTTGAAGAGGGCTCTCATTCCTATGCATGAAGTCAGACATTTAGATACTAAAGCAAGAAGAGTCGAAAATGTGCAAATTATTTTAATAACATTAAAAACATCAACATTTTGTATAACAATAGTATTCGAAAAATTGAAAACAATCCATAGAGGTTCTGAAATATTGATCCTTCACCCCATTTCACAATGGTTTTCAAGTTTCAAAAAATTCTATTAACGTTCTTGGCGTTGCTAGAACATATCGTGATGATTCAAACACTTTGAACAATGTTTTAATTGATACACAACATGTTTAATTCTTTTGCAAAATCTTTTTTGGAAAACTGTAATACGCTGATATATTGCGGTTGCCGCAAATGGCCCGCGCGGGCCCCTCGCATTTGATGGTCTCGCGAGAGTCCTTAGAGAGCCCCGCTTACGGCCCGCAATTGCCCCTGAGAACCCCGCATTATTTTTACCCGCGCGGGCCCCTCCATTCCCATTGAAGGCAAATCACCCGCGCGAGCCCTTCTGAGATATTCACCGGCGCGGGGCCCGCAAATATGACCCGCGCGGGACCAAATAGCCGTTTGGGCCCGCGCGGGGCATAATTTGGAGTCGCGCTGGCCCCGCGCGGGTCCAACCACCCATTTCCACCCGCGCGGGGCCCGCTAATTTTCACCGAGCAGATCGGACGGGATGGCGTGTATTCAACGTGATATGGTCGTAAGCGAAGGTACAGATGATGTGTTGGCGAGAAGAGCTCGACGTTCGATACAAGTGCTTCCAACACAGTGCTTATGGGCAGAATTGAGAGAAACGTGTAGAGTCGTTGACGGCCTGCATAAATGTCCGCAGCAGTGTTTCGACTAGGGTGGACCGCGTGTTGACAGCGTTGGTTTAATTACCCAAGTTTGAGGTACGCCTTGAATTTCCGACCCATTTCAACCAAGTGGTGTCGATATGAAATTTTGGAACCGTCTCCCCTAGTGGGAGACAATAAAAGCTGATTTCAAATAAATTGCATTGCGTTTATAGTTTTTGAGATTTTCAAGAAATTGTGTTCATCGATTCATTGAAAATGAGAAAAAATCCAAAAATGGACCATCGCAAATTACTGAAACGCTCACAAATGCCTCCAACAGAATCTACAAGTCATCAACGAAATTTGCAAAAGCTTACAACATCCGGGATTCCCAAGCCGTCTCCGATCCAAGTACTAACGGGACTCAACGTTGCTTAACTTCTCGGTGCAAACGATTTGCTCCAGTTCGGACGTGGGACTGCTCCCGTTCGAATGTAAAACTGCTCTCGCTCGACGTCGGAGGGGGCGCAGTTTCACGTCCGAACGGGGACAATTCAAGCCCGAATGAGAAAAATCTAAAATATCATAGCGACACGTTACTTTCTCAAAGAATCTCAAAATCTTTTATTCGCTTTACCAGAGTAGAGAGATTCTAGTCAACATCTAATCAATATATATTAGTAAATTAGTTTTTACAATGTCAAATTAATTTAAAAAATGCCATAAAATATATGAAAATTTTAAACTATAAAGCCTATCAATGAGCGATTATAAAAAAGATAAACCGTAAAAATAAAAGAAATTGGCTAATAAAAAAAAGAGACACAGAAAAATTCTCAAAAAATAACGCGCCCAAAAACACGCTGCGCAAAAACACGCTGCAAAGTGTATGCCACATACACTTCTCTTCGCCTCGAGAAATCTGGCAATTAGCCAATATTTTTTAAAATTTCGTCAAGTCGTTTGACGCCGACAATAATTGACTTAATCTTCAAACTAAAATTAGAAAATTTGTTCGTTTTATGACGCTTTGATGAATTAAGCGATGTGAATTCACCAGTTGTTTCGAAATTCGCAACATTTTGTTTGAAAATGTATATAATCGAGAAATCTCTTAGTTTTAATACACTTATTCTGCACGGCTCCAAAATTTTTTTCTCGTAGTTGAAATGCAGTTCTCTGATATAGTTTCTGAACATTTTATAGTAGTATTAGTAGTAGGGTTATAGTGGCTTTGTAGTCATCCGCAGTCTCGCCTGTGGACGACGAGCAAATTCATTTTTTCGACCATCGGGAGTGCTGGAGAGCATTAAATAGAAACTAAAATGAAATGAAGAGTAGTAATATTTCTAAATTATTCTCACCGGCAATTAACCAATTCTTCTTCTCGACTCACATCGTTTTCGAATTGAGATGGTACAAAGACACCGAGGGTTTATTAACCAGTAGGGGATGGACGAGTAGTCATTAATGACAGAGGGCGTCGTATATGAATCCTGAAAATTCAAATTTGACAATTAATTTTTTGGACAAACTGTACTGTCGATCATCGCATTGAGCGAATTTGGGAAGAGCTCAAGAGCGCTTTCGAGAGGCGGATTTGTCATCTTAATTTGATATAGTTGTTTAAGACAGGATCCAAAAACGTACTTTCTTTAAAATGGTGCGCATTAGAGATTTGATCTGATTTAACAGATCGGATCCTTGCACTGAGTGAGCGGCATACACAGCGTTTAGGTCAATAGCCTGAATCACATTGAACATTAATTGTAATTAACACTGGTTTACCTCAAAAGGATCCATCGATGGAGTCAGGTATCGTTCATTAAGAACTTTACCTTTGAGTTGAAGACCAGTCGGAACGTCTTTTACTTCCTTCGCTATCTGCGTAACCACCTTTTTTGTATTTTCTGTGAAACTGTTTGCTTTCTTTCAATACAGGTTCGCCTGAACATGAATTGTGACTTATTTTCTACAAGAAAAACTACCAGGAACGCCTGCGCGATTCCTTCGTGTCTGGCTGAATCATCTCTCTCAGTGTTGAAGATCATATCACCGATATCAATCGAATAAGTGATAGCGTTCTTTGCTAATTCACCTTCGATTTCAGCAAGGATAACGTTGGTAACCGAGCCGTTTTGAAATCCCAACGATATAAGCTTTCCAACACCATACAACGAAATTGACTTAGATTTCATTATATTAAGCAGTTTTTCTAAAATAACAAACAGTGGGCTCCATGACATTTTCAACCATTTCAGACCCTCTGCCTTTATATTTTCATCCATTGAAGACCCACTTTTCAGTTTTTTGTTTTTATTTATTAAAATCCACTATAACGATCCGTTTCATTTATTCATATCATCATAAAAACATTTAATCAAAATAAAACAATACAAAAGACAAAAAAAGAAGAGAAAGCTTTTAAAAATATGGTTTTCATATCGGAGATATGTTCTCCTTGTTTGTCTAGATGGCATCCTTTAAAATAAAAATTTCCTTAACAGAAAGGACATTGCATTTTTCATTCTGTGTTTTTAATGGAACTCCGCCAGAAACATTTCGGCGGTAGTTTTGTCCACTATTTATTATTTTTTTTTGCAAAAAATTTAAGTTCTTACATAAAATTCGTGAAAACGTCTTTCACTCTCCCCCTCAAGAAAACCGAGTCGTCCTTCGATATGTTGCATTTGAAACCGGCCCCCAGAACTTCTGAAAAATTTATGTAAATAATATTTTTTTAAAGACAACTCACCCGCAATATGATCAAAAAGCTCATCGTCCAGTTTAATATACTTTCTTGTTTTTGAGCTACTTGATCCATAAATCACGAAAAAACGATCAAATACAAGTAACTAAAAAAGATAAATTATTTTGTACATATTTTATAAGCTACCTCATTTGCGAGATACAAAGTCGCTTGTTCAAAAGCATATTCAAAACTTTTTCCAATCCAGGAAGCGCAGATTGAATATTTAAAAAACTGAGCAATTCTGAATGATTTACCCGACGGTAAACCAATCAATTTATCCTTTTTCTCAGCATTTTCAATGCTAAAAGCACCAGTTAGCTTCTGTAATCATGTTTTCGTCTTGCTTTTTCTACAAAATTACCTTAGCTTCTCTAGAATCGCATTCTTTTTTGAAACCTCTTTTCTTTCTACTAGCTTTGAAAGCAATAATGGATATTGACTAACACTGGCATTGCTTCAACTTCATTCTGATGTGATTTGATCTTCAGGATCTCATAAAAATCTATATCCACGTTTCTGCTTCGGATTCAGCTCGTTGTCAGGCCGCTTGCTCATCGCTTGTGATCGTCAGACTGGGGTTGGTCATTGGCTTGTGTCTGATGAATGCTAAAACTAGCCGCTTTCACTGCATAATTCCAGTAGATGAAAAACGGTTGAATGGTATATAAAAAATAGATGAGCCAGGAAAACATATGAAAAAGGGTTAAAAAAATGAAAGAAAAAAAAGATAGCGGAAAAAAACAGATGAAAAACCCCTAACAAATAGACGAAAAATAGATTGCAAATAACCTGCCAGGAAAATGGACTAAAGATGGATAAAAAATAGGCAAATAACGGATGGAATTAATTGCATATGGTACTGTATACAAATTGTGTAGATTTTTGTGCTGTGCACACAGACTTCTTATGAATTTCGAAATAGAAATTCCCAAAAATTATTAAATACTTTCGTTTTCCTTAAATTAATAAAAAAATAGTTGCTGAAATATCTAAAAATATAGAACTAACACGACCTAACGTTCATTGAGGTGTTTTTATATCGTCAGTGCATATTTTCTAAGAGAACAGTTTGTAAAAATCGATATAAACTTGGTCAGTTACTTTCGCATTTATTTCATCTTCTTTCTTTGGTGATAGAATGATTTTTTTCAGAATATTCTCAAAGAAAGCTTTCCTGAAAACGGAATTTCAATGCCAAGAAGGACAAGGAAGAAAATAAAAAGGGGCCAATTAGTTCTTAACGAAAGTAAGTTTTAAACAATTATAAAACTTTTAATTTCTTGTCACTCTTTTTAAATGTATAGCTGGCAAATTACGTTGCTGCGCCTTTCTTGTGTTTTAGTGAATCAAAAGTGCGTAAAGAACAAGTTCTAAATTAATTAATGTAAAAATTTTTGATGTTTTTACGTGAAAAGATAGTAAAACTGTTCATCAATAGCAATAAATAAACGCTCTTAAATTTCAACAAAAGAAGTATTTCAGACCAAATTAAGAACTCGAGTTGTATCGTTTGATCAAGGACAATTATTGAAAAGCGGAGAAGAGAAACATTAAAAAGAAGTCGACGAGACCAATATGAGAATGTTGGATATTTCGAAATTAAAGAAAATCAAGAAATGAGTAGTGTTCGTGCAGGTATTTAACCACTAAAAATCATGTAGCTGAAGTGTAATTTTCTTCTAAAATCTAAACTAATTTTAAGGAAATTATTTTCCATTTGGATGACACCATTGAAATGTTTGAAAATCCAATGACAATTCAACCACAAGTTTTGAATCGCTCTATATACGCACATTTGTAACAATTTCGCCCATGTCGTCTTATCTAGGTATGCCTGGAAGAAATTTCCAACGTCATTCGATAATAACGCTACTTTGTTTTTCAGATTCAGGCTTCGGATGACTCTGGAATACGAACTATACAAACGAATGGAATCTCGGCCGAGCGAAATTCTTAAACAATTTGTACGGTTGGCTCCAAGTTTATGCAAGAAGAATGTAGGCCCTTCACGACCAATTTCGGTGAACGGGGAAAAATATTCACAATATAATTCGCCGTTTGGAATGTTAAGGAAGCATCAGAAATGATCACTTATCGGCGTGCTGGTATTTTCTTTTTTCATTAAAATATGTAATAATTCTGTTTCAGTTTCATATTGCAAAAAACAAGAGAATGATAAGTTAATAATCGAGCCGATTATCGAAAATAAACAAAACTTCGCTTGGCTTAATAATTCGGAATATCCAAACCTTCTGATAATATTACGGTCTGGATTAATTTTCTGCTAATACTCATTAATAGTTCATTCACTATTTTTGCGGCACTGAGTTTTCTTTAATTTATGCTGTTAAATTTAACTATGATATGGACGCATTTCCTGTTTAATTATTTTGTTTTCATTTGTTATTATTATAAAAAAAACCTAATGTTTCGTTGTAATGCAATAAACTCGGCGTTTCTGAAACAGTCGGATTTGCACAATGGTTGTAATGGAACCAAACCGATGGAAAATAGATTAAAAACAGTATAAATGAGCAAGGAAAAGTATGAAAAACAGACGAAACGTGGTTGATGAGCTGGCGGAAAATAGATGAAAACCCGATGAAACATGGATCAAATGCGGACAAAAAATGATCTGTGGCAGACCCCTTTTTCATCAGTTTTCTGCGCATTGTTTCATATGTTTTCCGTCCGTTTTAGATATAATTGGAATTATGCAGTGTTTCATACTCGCATTTGAATACTGCATCATTTTGAGTAATTGAAATGGAATGTGTTGTTTTCAGTAAAAATAAAATAACGTTTATAGTATTTTCCGATATCTTTTATAGCCTAAAAATTTTAAAATTTCAACAAAAACTATTCAATCTTAATGAATATACGTAGTAGATGATAAGCAAAAAAAAATTCAAAAATGAATTTAAGTGTTGAAAACGAATTTTGAAAATGGTGAGGCGTGGCCGCATTGTGCAAAGCGACGCAAATGTTTTGCAATGCTGTGGCACACCTTTATACACGCGCGTCTCCTACCAATTTAGAGTAAAATTGAAATAAAACGCAATGCGGAAAGCAAAATAAGAAATCTGAAGGAATGCAGAGAACAAAAAGCAGAAAATTGCCAAAATCAGAAGTATAGTTTTAAATCATGTTTTTTCCGCTAAATTGCAATTCTGAACGGAATCATTTTTAGCGGAAAGCGGAAACAATTCCGTCTTTAATTTTGCTGTGTTTTCATACTTTCTCTTCCTTTTCAAAATTCGTTTCCGCACAACGTTGAAGCGCATAGGCACCGATTTTTTTTGCAAGCGCATAGGCACCGATTTCGTGATTTTGTGCCCCGAATTTTCAAAAAAAACTTTCCACACCATTTTTCCTTAAACTTTTATTTTGACTTCAATCTCTAACAGGACAATTTCAACAATAACAACACAACGTTAAATGACATTTGGGTAAATTAAAAGAACGTGAAAATTTGTTACATTTTTGTGAATACTGTTTAATTACGAAATTTTATTGATAATAAAATAAGCAATTTCATTGCATAATAGTCAAAAACTTACTCAAACGATTCCAACGCCGCATTGTCGTTTATACAAAGCATTGCTTTCCAATGTTTCCACGTTATATGGTCACATTCGTCTTTCTAAAAATTTCAAATAGATGTATGAATTGAACAAATAAATAACTCTGCAGCATACAAGCTCTTTGCTCTCTTTGTCAAGGTGCATCTCGTGCACATAAGTTTTGAAAATTTAATTGCTTGAAATCTATTTTAATTGTCATACAAATTATATGTCAAAATCTGCTGCAATTTCGGGATGATTTCAAGTTTCACAATTTTTCTTCTCTCCTAGCTCATCGTTTCTCTTTTCATCTGTTGTTGTCAAGCGCGTCCGATAAAAATTCGGCAATGTAAAAGGCATTTTACTATAAATTACTGATGGTTTTCCAGAAAAAATAATTCTTACATTCTAACATATGAACAATTTTTTCCGCCAACATTTTCAAATGTGATTCGGCTGGGCACTTTGATTTTCGGCTCGAATATCGCCAAATCATAAAGCGCGGTGATGTCATCTATTTGAATATTCTCAGGTAAATGAAAATCAATCAGATTCGAAGAAAAATTAAATATAAATTAGCCTGTTTCGATTGAAAAATAATTCAAATTTTTTATTTAATTAAGAAAACGCTTAAATTTGATTTGAAATGTTGGTTTCAAAAATTTTCGAAATCGATTGATTTATTTCTCATTCTCAATTTTGAAATCGTATTCTATTGAAATTTTAGAATAATTCGAAAGTATATTAATTTATATTCGATTTAGATTGAAAACAAGATTATTTTCGAATCCGATTGATTTTCATTTAGCCGAGTTATTTGTATTTATGTGTAGAATAAATTTCACGAAATTACCTTTAGTAGTATTTGCCTTGTTAAGGTCCCGACTTGATCTTACAATGACGAACCAGATATTTGATGATGAAGATAAAGCTCGTTCAGATTAATACTCTCGAAATGAATTATCAAGCTTTAGAATAAAATTTCAAGGTACCTTCTTGACTTATACTTTTTGCCATTATTGTATTCTCGATTCCTTAATTAAAAAGGTATTTTGAAAACGAGAAAAAAATGGCAATTTTATGTTTAAATGTTGTAAGAAATACATTTTACAAAATAGGCATGAAATATAAATTAATTACTTAAAATGTAATGAAATAACTCTGCAAATTCATTGTGTGAAGACGCTCTATTTCAATTTCCTGCCAAACGGGAGCGAATTTTTGAGAAAAAATTACAAAAAAAGAAAAAGATGATTTAACGCGAATCAGCAAACATTATAACCTGCCCGTTTCGCCCAAAACCGGAGCAGAATTATTTTTTAACTCTCTGCGAACACCGTGGCAATTTACTGCGTACTTAACATTATTATTTTTTAGTAGTTTAATGACTATTTTTACCTTTTTAACATGAATTGCAGCGCACATGCAGTGAAAATTGACACCGACCTTGTTCGCAGTTGGTTCAATCGCTTTAAACCACTGGTTCCCGCGAGAAACAGCGGACCAGCGTCTTCGAACTGGTTGACGTGCTAAACGACGTAATGAAATTAACTTTATTATCGCTTCTGAGTTAAATTTAAATTTGTTGTCTTACATGCGTTTTCATCGTGCTGCGGAATCACAAAACAATAGTCGTCCAATTCCAGTGTGCCGCAAATTTTGCCGGTTTATTTCTTGTTCAGAATGACCAGCGTCGTCGCCGGATTTGAGCTCACTCTACTATTATGTTTAAGGTGTACTTCAATCGAAGGTCCAGGCACATCCCTATACCAATTCGGAGTCATTGAAGAAATGCTCTGTTGAGGGATCTGCCAAACTATCTCCAGAATACCTCCGTGCCACAGTCGAGGCATTCGCGAAGAGACTCAAAATAGTAATGAAGAACAAAGAAAATCGAATCGAGTAATGTTAATGTATTTTTGTTTATAACTAATTCAATAAACTGTTTGTGAATTTTAAAGTTGATTCGACCATGTTTTACAAAAATCACATCACTTTGATGATGAAACTTAAAAAATTTGTTTCCATTATTATGGGCCACCCTGTATTTTGGATAGGACTATGCTTTTTTAAAAAACGATTTGCAAGACGATTCCGACAATTGGAGTTCCAAATGGTTAGTGCTAGTGAATTGGTACAGGGAGAATTCGACGTGAATGATCCTGACGAATACACAGACAATGAACGAGAATTCGACGACGACTAATTATGAATTAATTTTAAAAAATTGTTAGAAAGAACTCTGAGGAAGGATTTTAAAATTCTATACAGTCGGCGTGCGGTGATTGCCGTACGATTTGGGAATCCCGGACATTGCAAGACGTGTTCCTCCTTTTCATTTTTTTTCATTGAGATCGATGGCGACTGGTGGTTCCGCGAATAACTCTCTCCGAACTACTAATATCATTCCCAAGAATTAGCGCACATCATAATAATAAAAACACTAATCGGTATAAATACCAGGGCTCACATAACACGAAATTATAATATTTGTAGTGTATTTACGCATCAAACACTTCCCCAAAATAAAAACAATAATAATAATAGTAATTGCATTCGAAATGATATCTGCGTTCAACATCTATATTATATTTCACTATAGCTTAGTAACGGCGGGCTGCGCCTTCAACGCACTTTTGATCTACCTTGCTCTTTTCAAATCTCCCCCGGCTATTAAATCCTATTCAGTTTTAATTATCAATTTCGCTCTAACCGATTTTTTTTGCCTGCTTTTTCGACGGATTTGTTCAACAGCGATTAATTCCCTATGGCATCGGTTTGTATTACATTTCGAACGGTGTTTGTCGCCATTTCGGTCCCTATGTCTGCTATGTTGGGTAGTTTTTGTTTTCGAATAGATTCACACCAACAATGAGCTTTTTCAGATACAGCTTGATGCTCCACTTCCTTGCTCACACCCTTTGGTCGCTTCTGATATCGTTTTCGTATCGCTGCTACGTTCTATATCATCCGTCTCCAAAAGGATCAACGATCGCGATTATTCTTCTAATTGTATACCAGCTTTCCTTTTTACAAGTGGTTTGTTTTTAATTCTCCAAAATCGACGCATTTTTTCCAAGAATTCCAGACGTCATTTTTATACGCCTACGATGATCCAAACGAAATTCGCGAAATTCTTCATCAACTCTTCCCGAGCTACAATTTGACCGGCTCGACGATAAGCGGAACAAAAAATATTCTTTGCTTCTCTGCGCTGTATACCATTCTTCACATGACACTTCCGATAGCACCTGTCTACACCATCATCATATTGTTGCGAAATATAATTATCCGAAAATTATCTGTTGTTGGCGTGGAAATGTCGGGAAGAGTCAAAGTGATGCATAAACAACTGCTAATGGTAGAGTCTTCAATTTGCTCAATCCGAGTGCTCTCGATTTTTTCATAGGCGTTGACCTATCAAGCCCTTGTTCCGATGTTCTATAGTGTTGCCGTGGCTTCTTACGCCTGTGGACAACTCGGAATCATGCATCATCCAGTTTTGGAATACATGACGTTCAGCTCGACTCTATTGGTCCCTGTTCTAGCCCCATTGTCTTCGCTGATTTTCGTCTCTCCCTATCGTCGATTCATACTGCGTAGGATCTTCCGAATCGAGAGGTATACCAATTCGGAAATATCTTATACAGCGACGAAAATAACTGTTACCCACTCATAAACATAAATGATATCAAGTTTATAATAAATTGTTTTCGACCGTAAATCCAAAGGGAATACAGATTTCAATGAAATCGACCATCCTAGTCAATTTGAAATATGATAATATTAAGAATCTTGGTGCCAAAAGTAGAATCACTTTATGAAATCAATTAATTGGCAATTATAATTCGTCTGGCCAAGATAACATACATATAAAATCAAACTAAATTCTAGATAATGCCAATCATTCACACCAGGGCTGTGCGGCAATGGAATTGCCGTTTGCCGAAATTGGCGATTTTTCAAATTGCCGAATTACCGGATTGCCGAAATGTGTACATATTTTCGGCAATTTGATATCAAAAAAAAATCGGCGAAACAAAAATCAATGTGCATTGAATAATTTGGGATATAGTGAAAATTCGGTATTTATATTTCGAATTATCGTTGAATTGCCGAAATTTTGATTTTCGGCAAATTGCCGAAATTTCCGATTGTCGCACAGCCCTGATTCACACATAATGTTTCTCCTACGATGACCGCTTTACGTGTGAATCCGGCCGCTCGAAAAGTAAATTAAGAAAATATTTGTTGAATTTGTGCTTCGAATAGTTGAAAAACGAAAACTGAAGAGAACAGCACATTGATGGAATGCGAATTTGAAAAAAAAAACCAATGAAGCTGTAATCGATGAAATTCCAAACTTTTTTATAAATCGATTTTATTTTTTAAAATTGATATTGTCGAGGACGGACTTATTATTCACATTTTGGCGCCATTGTCTTTTAATCATTTGGATTTGATGTACTATGAAATGCATTGAAAATTACTGTAAATATTTAAGACGAAAATTGTTGCATTCGTGCTAAAATCAAAAATGGCAAACGCGTTTGATTATTCAGATTTGTCAAATATTGATGACAAACAGCTTACATCGCATTCGTACACTTTTCTTTTTAAAATTAAGGCTGAAATCTTTAATAATTTTTTGCTGGAATGCAGAATATTCGCTCGCGATCCCGATCATCATCGAATGCTGTTCAAATTGTCTTCTGAATTCACTTTGTTTCGCTCGGCCTTCAAATTTCCTCACAATTTCTGCTCGCTGCTTATTTTCCATCGATTTTTAAGCCTGAAAAATGAATGTTTGGGCATTTTTTGATTGCGATATTCACCATGGTGACCCATTTTTTTTAAATTGTGTAGCAGGTGGAAACTTGTTCCAATCCAAAATTATCGGAAATTTCAGGCTCTTTTTTTAAATATTCACTTCTCAAAAATCAATTTCCCAATGAAATGATCCGTCTGAAATGACCCATTCAACAGTAAGCCATTTATTGAACACTACGGCGGCTGCTGTAGTCGCTGGCAGTACCCACAAATCATGGTTTTCCGAAGAATCGATCGAAGAAATGAAGGAGAGTCTAGTAGAAGTGCTGTATTCAGCACTGAAACCTGGTAAATTCATAAATCGAAAATCCAAGAAAAAAAGAGAAAATTGCTCAGGCTCACTCATATCGTTGGGTGTGTATTTGGTGGACATGTGTTTCACCATTTTCCATTTTTTCATTTCTCATCGAATATCCGGCGATTTCACCACAATTTTCCTCGGCACCATTTATTTTCCGTGCATTTTTCTCAAAATCAATTATATCGCTGAATGGATTTCGACGGCCTACTTGTAAGATTTTCGATTCGCTCGCTGGAAATCAATTTTCTTCGTTTTCAGTTTTCGTCAAATCAACGAGACGATCAATCAGATCTTCAATATGACCATTATTCTCGGCTGCCTCGCCTACAACATCATGTGCACGTTCGTCGCCAAATACCAGAAGCCGGTGCCGATCGCTGTGTCGCGAGCCGTGTTCATTCCGATTCTTCTGTTCACCTCGTTCCTTGTGATTGCGCCGAAAATCATTCTCGTCGCCGTCTTCGACAAATTCTTTCAATTCGCCACTCAGCTTTTCGGCTCAACATTTCTCATTATGCAGATTTGTGTGGTAGACAACCAAACGGAAAAAAAATCTCAGCAATGTCTAAATTTAGAACATCTACAAATTTGCGATAAGCAAGGAATATGTAGAAGCGATGAAAAAAGACGAGAAAACCGCTGAAAATCAATCGGAAGTTGTTTCGAACGCGCGCGGACGAATCGTTTGGGCTTCGGTTTTCTCATTTGTTCTCGTCGTTTTGACAATTCCACAAATCGGTGAGCTTCGATACAAATTTCAATTTATTCATTTAAAGGGTGTGATGGTGAGTACGAAAAACATACAAATATTATAGAAATGAGAAAACGAACAAAAATGTAAATAAAAATTCGAAAATTCAAGATAACGACGCAACTCACGTACGGCCTAGAAAAGTCGTCCTCAAAAATAAGGTTCGGCCACGGCCACAATTGTATGGATTAATTTATTTAATGAGGTCGTCCAGATGCAAATAAAAAACGAAAAAATCTAAATCATGTAGAATTTTCGAGTTTTTAAATATTTTTTTTCATTTCTATGTAACTTCAACAACTTTTTTTTCGTTTTTAGAGGTCACCATCACCCCTTTAAATTTTGTTTCATCGTCGAAAAATTTCCCGATTTTCCTCAAGTTTACTATTTTTAATATTTTTCACATTACCCAATTTCCAGTGGACTATCTGCAACCGTTGGAACCTTACTGGATCACCTATCACTTTCTGATTCAATCCATTTCGCAACTCAATTCTCTATTTCTCTCCGTTGCAGTTTTCCTAATTTTACCAACATACAGGTAGAGTATCGTTATCAATTTTCAAACTTCAATTCTTGATTTATAGAACCGCAGTATTTGGGGGTTTGGCAAAAATTGGGAAATCGAAAAAGGTACTCTATTGATATCGGTCTCAAGGCCGCCAAAAGATCGAATATAGTTTCAAGGAAAAAAACAAGTTTTCGATTGATATTTAAAAAAAATTGTAGGCATCAATATCGCCGTCGCGAACTGTCGAACCATCAGTAATTGAGGAACCCGAGAAGACCGAACAACCACGAGCGGAAAGTGAGAAAACTGCGGTGAAACCGAGAATTGTGCAGAAGCCGACGAAATTCGGACAACATTTGGCGAGAGTTGGCGAAATTCGAATCTACATGGCGCCTGTTCACCAATTAAGAATTGATCCGATTGTGCAGTAATCATCAATAAATTATTGCTTTGTTGCAAGCTGCTTTCAATTTTTCTTTAAATTTTTTGCGCTAGATTTGATGGACATTTCCTAGCAAATTTGGTAAGAACTCCTCATTTTAATCGTCTTATCTATATTATTTTAAGAAGAAACTAGACAATTTTCAAGGAAATTCAAATATTATCATTTTCCATTCGTTTTTCCACATAAAAAATGTTTTCAAAACAGAAAAAATGGGAATTTTTTTTTGCGAATACAGACAGCGATGCTCGTTTCACAATTGAATCGCCACATCGAATGAAATCAACTCGCAATCTTGACCCGACATAGATCCTTTTTGGGATAGTAACCGTCTCTCTTGTGTTGCCGAAAAGATGCGCATCGCAAGATTTTTATCAACCGAGAAAAAAAGTGCAGCGATAAGGAGAGACCAGGGACGGTATGCCATAAAATGGGCGTTTATCGAACCATCCGACGAAATCATACATTCGTTTTTTCAATAAGCGAAGACCATTTTTATGGTTGGCCGATTTCTCATTTTTCAAGACAAAAATCTTATTATTTCGTAATAAATCAAGCGCAATTGAAAAGTACGATGTTCCGAATTTTACGGTAGTTCGCGATTTATTTTAAATCCACATGGAATTAATTTTAAATCAACAATTATTTGACGTGTCATTTTTTTTTTAAATTTCCACCACAAATTTTTAATTTTCCAAATTTTGAATTGCATTCCACAAATTATTTTCATTGTTTTGATATATAGAAACGATTACAATATTTCCAATTCAACGAAAAATTCGAAAATTTAGGATTTTCGCAATAAATAAATCGCAAAAGCAAATAATTCCTGTAGGAATTGGTAATTAAATCGGTTTTCCCAGTATAAAAAGTGAACACATTGTTTTATTTATTTTGTCCAATCGCACAGCGGTTTATATCTCTCATTTTTTGTTTGTCTGTTTGCGCCACCGAAACAATTTTCGATACGTGTTGGCGTTTTCCGAAACTCGGCCGTCGCTCAAGTGCATTTAACAGTTTTGAGTCGAAATTTGCAGGTAATCCACTCCCTGTCACCGAAATGTCGAATCTCCCCGAGAACATCCTTATTGGCATGTGCAACCCATTGTTGGACATCCAGACGACCGTCGAGAAGGCATTCCTTGACAAATGGGGTCTCAAAGAGAATGACGCGATTCTGTGCGACGACAAGCATATTGAAATGTAAGCAAATTGGGCATTATTAATTTTGCGAATTTAATGCTCCAGGTTCGCCGAGCTCGTTAAAAACTATCCAGTCGAGTACATTCCCGGAGGAGCCGCGCAAAACTCACTTCGTGTCTGCCAAGTAACAATTTCCTCTTCACATCAAAACGTTCCTCTTAAGAGTCAAAAATTGTTCGATAATCTTTTATCAAAAAATTTTCCAGTGATAAGGAAACAATTAAAACAAGATTAAACACTTAAGTTGTTTGATAAATACAGAGTATAAAAATAATTTGCAGTGGATCCTCAATGCGCCAAACCGCACCGTTTTCTTCGGAGCCGTCGGAAAGGACAGCTACGGAGAGCAATTGGCCGCGAAAGCCAAGGGAGCCGGTGTCAATGTTCGCTACCAAATCAACGAGACCGTTAAAACCGGAACATGCGCTGCTTTGATTAACGGAACTCACCGGTAGTCCTCATTAAAAAATATCATATTGTAAGTTTGGTTCAGGTCTCTTTGCGCTCACTTGGCCGCCGCAAACACCTTCACTCAAGATCACTTGAAGACTGAGGAGAACCTCAAGCTCATCGAAAACGCCAAATTCTTCTATGTGACGGGTTTCTTCATCACCGTGTGCCCGCCAGCCATCATGCAGCTCGCTCAACATAGCAGCGAATTCAACAAGGTATTCAAAACATCAGTAAATGTCAACTAATTGAGGTTTTTCAGACTTTCTGCCTCAATCTTTCAGCTCCATTCATCTCGCAATTCTTCTACAATCCGTTGTCCGAAATCCTTCCATATGTCGATGTGTTGTTCGGAAATGAAGATGAGGCTGAAGCCTTCTCGAAGGTAATTATATCATCAAACATTTCTATCGGCGTCGTTATCCTCTAACTTCCAGGCTGCTGGATTCGAAACGTCTAGCGTCAAGGAAATCGCACTCAAGGCCGCCGCTCTTCCGAAGAAGTCGTCAAAGAAACGATTGGTGGTGTTCACTCAAGGACCAGAACCAGTGATCGTTGTCGAGGGTGACAAGTTGACTGAGTACCCAGTAGTCAGACTCGGGAAGGACGAAATTGTCGATACCAATGGAGCCGGAGACGCGTTCGTCGGCGGATTCCTCGCTCAGTTCATCCAAGGAAAGAGCGTCGAAGAGGCGATCAAATGCGGAAGCTACGCAGCTCGCGAGGTCATCAAGAAGAACGGATGCACGGTTCCGGAAACTTGCGAATACCATTAGACAGCATCTGGGTGAATATAATATTTGTGCGCCTTTTTCTTTTCATTTTATTTCGTTGTTTCCAATCCCACTTGTTATTGTAGTAGTCGTGTTGATCATTCAACTTGTTACTTGTTTTAGCCCAGATTTTGCACATTTTGAATATGCATCGCCATTCCAATTATGCGTGCCTTGTCGAATGAATCAATTTCAAAAAATTTTCGCGCGTTTATTAGATCAGTCGTCATAGTTCAATGATATTTGTACAGGCCCACCGTTGTTGACATAACCAATGGTATCCAGTACAAAGTAGACATGATCGTGTCTAAAACAACAAATGATTATTTCAACAAAACACTCCGACTGACATTTGCGGGAAATCGTACAGATGGAACGTCTCAAACTCCTTGTTTTTGATCCTTTTCAGCTTTTTGGTGCCATCTTTTTGAGGCTCCACGTAATAAGGAACCCCCGAGTTCAAGTACTGCCGTGGCGACTTCTTCTTGTCAAGCAACATCAGAGTGATCGCCTTCATGATTCCCATTGAAGTGGCAACTTCCATTCGTGTATGAATTCTAGAAAAAGAAACGATTATATGAAAATATTACTAGCAGAAAAATGAAAATACCGTAAAACCGCGTTATACTGATTCTTCTCGATTACTATTAATTTCGCAATTATCATTTCAGTGTGACCGGGATAAACCTTTCAAAATAAATTATTAATAAAATCAAAAATGTTTCACATATATAATTATGTATAATTATGGATGAAAGACAGATAACTTGTTATATTTTCATATTTTTATTGTTATAGTTTTATTAACTCACGTATAGACCAACTACTTACTAAATTCGGACTTTGTGATTTGGTGAAGTGAGCAAACAACCAAAACGCAACTTTCTTGACAACTTTTCATAACACTCTTACAATATCCATGTTCCTCGTCCCTTGTTCCGAATCGTTTTCCTCAATTATCGTTACCGATTTGCTTTCTTGCGATGTTGAAAAGTCGGTTTCAGTGAGCACATCATAACCCGTCGATCGGTCAGTTTTCAGGAAAGTCCGTTTCGAACTATATACATATTTCGGTGTAATACATGATTTTTAAAAATGCAGAAAAAATACTTTGACGTGTGGATGTTGGTATTCGAGTAAACGGAGGCGGGCTTCACATCAAGTCCTCGTTTTTGCATATCGTTCGCTCTTTGACGTTGTTTTCGGCATATCTAAATCAATAGTTTAACTTTTTTTTCATTAAAATGCCGATGGAGCTCCAGAAGACGAGCCGAGCTCATCGTCAGAGTTTTGCGCCATTATATAATTTTTTAAATATATTTGATTTTATATTGTTTCGTTATAATTTTCTATTGGAAAGTGAAATTGAAAAAATGCACCGAATTTCTGCAACTTTGATATTTCAGACAAAATTGACGATTATAGCCATTTTTAAAATGACATTCTCCATTTTCATACCTCTGTTTCATACGCTTTCATCGCATCCGTTTTCGATTGTCCTTGCCAATTACAAGCAAATGAGCTGCAACCTTTCGTACCATCAGAATTTGTCACAATGCCATAACAAGCTTCGCAAAGATAGTGTCCGCATCTAAAAATGTCATAGGCATCGTTTAAAAATTAGAAAGTATTCGAAAAGAAGGAACCTTCCGATAGTGTTCAATTTGTTTGACGGGAATGCTTTTCGGCATGGCCCATCGCATACAGCCATAACAGGATGCACATCAAACTCTGAAATATCTTTGCTTCCTTGTTTGCCTTGTGATAAAATTGATAGCTAATTAAAAACTGGCTCAAATCGATTTATTCCCCAAATTGCATACATTTCAATTTTTCTTCGCAACACATTTAAAATAATATATTTATTGAAATGTAAACAATTTAGCTTGTATTATCAGTTTTCACCTTTTCCTTTTTGGGCTCGCTGAAATTCGGCCTTCTTTGCAGATGTTACTAAATAATTTAGAATGTTTTAAATGAAGAATTAATTTACCGGAGAGCATACTAGCCGATTTTATGCGGTAATCGTCGCGCCTTTTCACATCATCTTCCCAGCAAAGTGTATAAGTGTAAGTTGTTCTAGAAGAATTCAAAAATAATGAACAAATTCCGCAAAATCTCTCAAACTGATTTGTTGGAGCATCGTAGGCCACGCGGAGTTCAGCTGTCTTCGCAATCATTTTGAAGTCTTCGAGTATTGGCGGAACAAGCTGCATTTCATCTAATATTTAATTACACAACTCATCATCCACCAACCCTATTTAACGCATCTTCTGGTCCTTTGTTGTTATTTTTAGTCTTATCGTTGTTAAGTTCTCCGGCAATCTGAAAATTCACTGATTTTTCAACTACATAAATACTTATTGAATTCATGGATAACTGGTAATTTATTCGTATTGAATATGACAATTTTCGACTCAATTTGGCCTGATTCGATTCGAATCAAACCGTAGAATTTTGTAATAATATCAAATTTCCGATTTCCATTGCTCTATAGAATTCAAATGCATTCACAATAGAAAATGCGTGAATACGGTTGAGAAATGTGTCCAATTCATTTTCGATTGGAAAATACTAATTATTACAATAAAAAATGAGAACCCTGGACCGATTTACGGTGAGTTTGAATCACAGGTTATATGTAAAAAGCTTGCCGAATTCTATCTGTTTAAATCGAAATTTGAATTTCCACCACGAAAAAATAATATGGTTCACAAAAACACAAACGGTCCGCTTTTTTTGCAATAATAATACCATAGTGAAATATTCGTTTGATTGTGAAATATTCAACCTTTAAATTCGATGACTCCGTTGCAGTTGGACCATTTGATTCGCAGGCTTCTACGTCGTGCATCTCTTCTGTTTTTCAAGGAATGGTATCCTTTCGAAAATAAAATTCTGTTAGCCGCGAGGCCTCAATTTAAGAATGTGTTTCAAATGATCGATGACTTCACGTTTAATTCTAAAAATTCTAATTAATTTATGACTAAAATACTGATTATTTTTAGTTCATTTTTCATGCTGTTTACCTTATCAGATCCATTGAAATTACACAGACCCAAGGGATTGCAATATGCCAGGAAAAAATATCGCTATTTAGATTATTAGGTTTGTGTTTTTCGAAAATCAACATTGTCTTGTTTTTTGCGTCAAAGTTTTGCGGAATTTCCTACCGTACACACTCAAAAATGTCCAAAATTTTTAATATTTTTTTTCTATTTTTTTCTTAAACCACTGTGCGTCCAGCTAATGCGATTAAACTACATTTTCTCCCAAGAAAAAAATTTTTTTGAAGATATATTTTAACAATGGCCTCTGAAGTTTGCGTTTTATTTAAATTTTTCGGGCTGTCTAACATTTTTCAAATGTTTCATCGATATATCGCTGACGATAATTATCAATTAAATTCGCTGGCGTTCTAATTTCTTAACATATTCCAGTTAGTTCTTCCCGCCTCTCACTATTTCCGGTCGTCGAATCGTATGACAAGACGAGTGTCTCATGATGTCGTCCACAGTTCAAAAAGTCAGAAGAATATTGTTGGGGGATTTTTCAGCGGAATGACCAAAAATGGGCTGTCAATTCTCAGCAATTCGCATTAATAATCTTGAACATTATTATCTTATCAATTTAGTCTAAAAACCGTCGTCTCAAAAGTAATTAATGGGCCAAAAACTCGTTATCAATGTCATGTTTTTATCAGGTCAATTGTTGACGAATCGACGATTTTCGAATAAATTAGGCGATTGTTTTCGAAATCTGTGAATAAGAAAACAGGCGAAGCATTTATTTTGATTCGTAAACAACAATCCCCAACGAAAACATTCAGTTTTGCCGAAAATAAACAAGGAAATGCTTGATTAAAAATTAGAATGTTGTATTCGAAGATATCTCATGATCAGCTAATAGCAAGCCACGAAAACCAGGTCTTTATGTATTAATGTTTACACGGCGTCACAATGTCTCTTGTTTTTTTTTTCGCTATAGCTGTGTTTGATAAAATTTTGAAAGTTTAGGTGTGACTTTATCGTTTCGAAAAAAGAAAAAAAATTCCGAAAAAAGTTGGTCCTGCAAGTTCGATTGATATCGAATCAGTTTCCACATATCGACCATAAATCACTCGATCGTCACTAGTGGCAGTTTTCGATCAGACAATTCAAATCTGATGAAATATCATGGGAAAACCAAGTAGTTCTTGTTTTCACTTTTATCGCATTTGATAACCATTCATTTTTTTTTTTGCATTTTGGTCTGAAGAGCCAATTTTTACAACACGAGATCACATTTCTCCAGTTTAAACTCGGTCAAACGACCAATCAGCAGCTGATTTTTACAATTTCCCAGACTTTGCTGTGTTCCAGAACACCCACTATTTTATATGTAGTTTATATTTATTTATTCAGAAAATATTATATATTCAAACCACGTAGCAAACATGTATATCGTCGTCTTGTGCAAAACACATGATGAGCCGCGAGGAGGACATGAAATAAAGAAGCAGAGTGCAGAAAACGCATTGATTACTCTGCGTCTCTGTCGCCGTCTCTCCGCCCCGCACGCTTAACGGCGCCCGTCCCCTCGCCGTCTTGCGCTCTCACCCAGCGCCGCTCTTCGCCTTCACTTTGGCTTGTGTCTACCTTTTCACGGGGTCGCACACAACCAAGGTTCCAGTCACCGATTATCCCGACAATTTATAGTGTTCGTGCTCGAAGTCCCAACGAGAACGCACAATTATTCATCAATTCTTCGCCAATTATTGTTTTTGGCTGAAATCAATGAGCCAATCGTCGAATTCATTATGAACGCCAGACAGCACGAGCTGAGATTGGTAGGTTCTTTCATTTATTTTCCGCTCTTATTGAAAAATTTCGCGTTGTTCTTTGTAGACCGTTGAAGTCCGACAGGTCACCGATGCCGTTGAATGCATATTCCACTCGCTTTTCCTTCACAGAACACTGCCAAAGGTAAATTTTTCTCGAGTTTTCTCCCTCCAACTTTCTCGTTCGATTGTAAACAAGAAAATTTCGTCAGAGTGACTTTATTGTTCTAAGATTTCATCATCTTCTCCCGCTTTTGCCCTCTCATCGAGACAAACGAACAGCTGATCGTAGTGAATGGCTGCTGCTGAATTCAGCAGCGCTTGCGCCTTAAAGACCCTCCTGTCAAGCATTTGAAGCGGAAAAAAACTGTGGTTTGACATGTGACAATATCAAAAGATGGCAAACGCGAGAGAGTGTATGAGACGAGGAGTGCGCGCGACAGTTAAACGACGAAACAGCGTTTGATTCGAGAGATTACACGACGTAAGACAGTGTCACATCTGTTGCGATGCACGTGAGTTTCGCGCGTAACATTGTCGAAAAAAAAACTCTCACTATTTCTGTCGACCCGACCCCGCCGACCAAGGTTTTATATGCGTTGTATGCCATTCGGTGAAATTCGCGCGGAATCACAGTACGCGCAATTCGGATGAGCGGTGTTGATAACGTAGGACCGGCGTAAAGTAGGATGACGGGCACCGGAGATGTGCGAAGATGACCTTTTGTGAAAATGTTTTCCTATTTGAAAATTGGAAAACTCTGTGTGATTTTTAACTGCTTAATAAGGTTTCAATTCACTTTTGGGCCACAAATACGACGAAATGGGCATTTTTATTCCTGAAATTCTTGTTTTTGGAATGTAAATGTGAACAAAACCGTAGTTTTAAACTTTAAAAAAAAAATTCTACGATTCTTCATAATTTAAAGTGCCCCACATGTACATTTTACATCTACTGTAATCTTTGCTTGAAACTTTTCTCAGAATTTTTGATTCTTTCTCAAAGGTCACGTGTGATGAGATTTTATTGAAGAGAGGGGACGGCTAATTTTGTTTCACGCGACAATCGAAATACAATTTTTGAATGGTCTTGTGATCAATGAGATACGAGAAAGTTGGGCAGTTGGTTTGAAATTTTTTTTGAATGGGGGAAAGGAGAGAAAGGAAGTCGTTCAAAAATTCTTTTGGAAGAAAAAACTCCAGTTGAGGGTCTCAACATAGCTTGCCACAAAAATTGCGGGCCAACACGAAGTATTTTTTGCAAACGTAATAATAGCTTTCAATAATTCGCCGAAATCCAAAAATCCATTTATCAAACGTCGAATCGTTTTTATGAGACCGACATGTCCTAAATTTCACCTTTGTGCCGCTGAAAACTCGTAAAATTGCGTCTAGATGTCAAAGAACAACGATTTCGACGCGTATAAACGAATTGAAATTTTCAGTTCTATTTCCAAGCGGAGAAGAAGTTCAACCTTGGCTCGATAGGCATCATTGAGGTCAATTGCGAGAATATCGATATCACATATGTAAGTGTTTCGATGGAAATTTCGGTTCTCGATTGGTCGTTTATCTTTCTCGGCAAATAGTGAGCAACACAAACAGACAAAACGAAAAACAGTCTCGAGTGGTGATTGGGGGGAGCGGGAAGCGTCAGGAGCTGACAACGAGCAGCAGTTCACAATTTAATGGCTATTGGTTTTCAGGCTCGCGTCAATTCGCCGGAACTTGCCATGTGCATCGAGGAGAACATCAGAACGTTCAAATCCGATGTTGACGAGGCGTGCTGTTCGGGATCGGCGCCTCGGCGAACACCGTCGGTTGGTAGTCCGTCGGACAGTGCAGGTAAACAATAATGATGATGAGCCGGTCATTTTAATCGGTCGACTTTTAGTGCCGCTGCTCAGTGCGCAAATCGGCGTCGATTTTTATCAGAAATTGAGAAGACAGTCGGTCGGAGGATCGCTCGGTTCGTGGATTGGAGGTAGTTGGAAATTAGTCGGCAATTATCGAATCGTAACATTGCCCATTTTCAGCTACCAACGAAGATCAGACCTGGGAGCAGTGGAAGCTCTATCTTGACATTTTCCGCGTCGAAAGCATAGGTAAGAAATTTTGAACTTCCAAATATGGCCAATCGTTTTCCTTTTTTTTTCAAAATACACCAAGGTCACAAAATCTTACGAGAAACCTTGAAATTTGTGTAAACTGTCGCCTCGTTCAATTTGTGAATGGGCAATACTTGAAAATGGCGAACAAAAAACTAATTAATGCCTAATAATTTCTGGAGAAAAAAAAAGCGTTTCTGAATATTTCTCGCATTTCGGACCGAATTTTTTCGTTTGAAATCGTGTTGATCTTCGAATTCGATTCCAAATTTGGGTAATCCTCTTTCATCCATGTTCCCGAAATGGAATGTTTACTCAGCTGTCGCGAGATTTCAGACGAACTCGCCGTAATGCGACAAACAGTTGCCGACAAAATCGGTGAAATGGTTTTGGACATGTGCGAGCGCATCAATCAATCGCTTTATACACCGAAAATGCCATCAAAAACTGAGGTCGGCGACATCTTCGAGACGAAATTCGTCGATTCGCAACCATATTTGTTCAAGATCAAACGTCAAGCGGTGCCAAGTAATAGCCATCATCGAAGAAATTGAAAACAACTCAACCAATTTCAGATATTCCGACTCGTCCAAGCTTCTCACAGATCGCGTTACAAAGAATCTGGAAGGACGTGCTCTCATAGGCTTCCAATTTTGATTTCTAGGTGTTTCTTTTTATTAATGCGAGATTCAATTGAGTTTTTGGAAACAAAACACACAAAAAAAGATCCAAAAAATTGTATATTGTTGTATTTTTTTTCTGATTTCCTCTCCCAAACTCACTACCATTTGTATAAACTGAAATTGTGAATATTATACATAATTTTTTAGTCGCTGAATCATCTCAGTCGCCTTTTTTTGTTACGCAGCTTCAACAATCCCCTCAAACGATTTCCGGGCTTTTACGACTTTTTTCTTTTCATTGTTTTTTTTTTCTCGTGGCTGCTTTGAGCTGAAATATGCTGCATTTCAATACCGTTCATCCCATTCATTCAGGAATACTCGTTTTTTTCTTCCCTTCACATTTTCTAATTATTAATTCTTGAATTCTCTTCAAAATTTCTTTCAATTGTTCACGGGAATTTGATGGTGTTTTTATTCACCCCAATTTCGATTAAAAAAAAATGGAAGGCACCATTCGAATTATTCGATGGGTTTTTGATTCTCCGCTTCTCAGCACAGTGATAACCTTATCAGACGCTGCTTCATTCTGATTTGTCTTTTTCGTGTCTGTATACTACTCACTGTTTTCTCCTCATTTCTAAATTGTTGAATAAATTCGTTGCAATAGAATATTTCGACAGTTTCGTAATGTAAAAGTAATTGAACTTTACATATTTCTCTATTTAATAAATTATAATTTTAAAGAATCGAAACAATTTTAGAAATGTCGTCCGCCAGAATTGTTTCAGTGATATTATGCCGTCCAGCGGTTTCCGGCGACGTTGTTCCAATTGCTATGGGACATTCTGAATTCTATGATTCCGAAGGGACGAGCGGAAATAAGCCAATGCCCAGCGGTACAATTTAAATTCTTCAAACATTGATTCTTTTAGTAAAGAAACTAGAATGGGAAGTATTTATCAAGATATCCCATATTTTTCTTCTACTATTTCAGCATTTTTTTGGTTTTCTTAATTTTCGAACAAACTTAAAATCTCTAAAACGGAAAAAAATATTTTGTTTTACGTAGTCTGTCACGAAAAATGGTCAATTCTTTATATTTTACAAGAATTTTGGAAACTGAAAACCGACTTCAAAATTCGACTCTGGAAATTAGTCGATCCGATGCGAAGTTCTGCCAATTAGATCGTCCAATTTTTGTAATTCCGATCAATAATTTCTCGGGTCAATTCATAACGCGAAAAACCGTTTGGTTTTCCGTTTCCAGAGAAATGGTCAATCTAAATATTGTACATTTGAAGCTTTTGTCAAATCAAAGCGCACATCGATGTTTGATTCTCTCTATTCATATTTTTTGAATCAATCACATTCGATTTTTGGTACTTTGATCTAAATTTGCGAACAACAAATATTTTTGAGAGATTTTATCATGGTAACAAATAAATAAACAGCCTGTAGATTGATTCTTTGTCAATAGGGATATTTGCAAAAAAAACCCTTAATTATCAAAGTGCGTTATAAAATTGGGAAGGGATTTGCACTTCATAAAGGGCAATCAAATTAAAGTTCAATTTGAAAAAATTCAAATACTGATTTTATAGAACATTTTCAGATACGGAAATTACGAGGCTGGTCAAAACTCGCGTGCGAACATATTTCAATAATGATGGAAAAATCGAGCTCGACGGGTAAGGTGATTACTACGGGCGAGAAAATTGAAATGATTTCAGATATATAATGCACTATCTTGTTGTTGTCGAATCATTCTGCACAATGATTTACACGTGTGTCGCTGAACCCGGATTATCGTATGACAAAGCAAAACAATTCTTGGAAACTAAAATAAGGGTTTTTATTAGAAATTAATGTAATTATTTGAATTTTGTGGTTTTCAGAGCATCATGGCTTCTTCACAACTTCAAATGGTTATCGACCAGGCGAACGCTTATGAGCTTCTCGGACATATTCAACCAATCATTTTGAAACACATTGTAATCTGAATTGTGTTATTGATTATTCTTAATTATTTCTTAATTGCTTCAGAAAGAACACAACCAGTCAGTGCCAAGTCCGCAAGAATTGCGGATTAATTCTCTTCGAGCACAGGTTGATGATGTTCGAAATGTAATTTGTTGCCTAAAATATATCGGAAGGTCTATTGAATTTTGATTTAGGTGATGGCTGACAATGTCGAGCGAATAATGGAACGTGGAGAGAGGCTTGAGAATATCGCACAGAGAACGGAGCAACTTCAATCATCGGTAGGATTTTGGGAATTCGATGAGAATATATCTTTAAAAAATGATCAACTGAAAATTTCGAAATAATTTCGCTAAAAAACAATTTCAAAATGGAATTCAGCATTTTACTTTTAAAAATTAAAATGTGAACTCAGTTGTTTTATTTAAACGTGCCATCGCATAAAAATGGGAAAAAACTACCGATTCTTTGCGTCAAGCGGTATTATTTACGGCATATTTTGCTGGATTTTTTCTTGTTTTTTTTTTCCTAAAAAATGCGATGGGTCTCGAGGCGAATCGCAACGCAACCACGCTTCTTTTTGATTCCTTTTTTTCTGCACTGAATTTTCCTCTTTTTCCTCACTGCGTTTCTCTAAAAAGGATTCTTTCAAATTTGGAAACGAAAATTTCATTCGCTGAAATTTCCTATTTTGTGCACGGAATGCAAATTTTACCTGAAAGTTAATATACAAATTTTACCTGAAAGTTAATATTCAAATGAATATTGAAATTGAAATGAAATATATTTTCCAGGCAACCTCGTTCAAGTCCACAGCTCGCCGAGTTCAACGCCGCTTTTGCCAGAAGAATGCCAAATACACAGTATGTGTGATTTTAACATTGATTATTGTAATTGCCATAATTGTACTCACAATCCTTCATAGGAATGGGGTTCTATAATTGATCAATTTGTCTCAAACTGTGATCTCAAAATTTGCTAGTCTGTATTTTCTTAGGCTTTCATGTACTTAATTTGCTGTAACGAATAAAAATTCCCAAAATTTCTCCTTCAAAATTTTTTTCATAAATTTTATTGTTTGCAAAAGCGGGAGTGAATTTTCATGGTACAATTTCATATTTGAAAGATGTAATACACAATGAAGAAAATTGGGCGATATGATGGCCAACATATAGAATATACATTTACTGATTAAAATCAATAATTTATTCATCATCGACTTTGAATGGAATCGACGATTGCTGCTTGTTGCGCAATATCGCTGTCGGTCCCGAAACCGCCTTCTGTAAATTTTAAGCTATTTGTTGCAAAAAAATGATAATTGGATTTTACGGATTAATTTCGAATAGAGAATGACAAATTTCGATTCTACTCAAATCGCACTGGCTTCGAAATTTAGTGAAACGTGTTTTCTATTAGAAATTTCTCGCGTTTCGCAACGAAATACCAGTGAAAAGCTACCTTTTTGCCGAAAAGCTTGCTGGTGCATGGAGAGAGCATGTTGTCGGATGGCGATCCGACATGCAACTCTGCCTGTACATGGCGACGATTTCTCACAGCCGCTGGAGTCTCGTGCGGCAATGGGCATACCGGCGTCTATAATTAAAAGACAATTTTTGAATTTCCACAATAAAATTGTATACCTTCGATTCCTTTTGCGCGTTTTCTTCATTTTGACCATCATTGGTTGGAGTAGTTTGTTGCGGTTTTGGAGAATTTTCGGGAGTGGTGCTCATTTCGCTGGAAGACGTACATATAACGAGAAAATAGAAGTTATATTTAAATGAATGGCAAGTATGTCGTTAAAAAAAAAACGGCTGGTGAAAAAAATTAATTGAGAAACATTGAAATTTTGAAAAACAGTTTAAGAAACATCGTTTTAATTTCGTTAAATAAATTTCGAAAAAAATCGATACCACCAGTCCAATTTCAAATTTATCGTCTCCCGCCGTCGCGGCGTCGCCTTTTTATCTCAATGGGGCGCATTTGCTTCACGCGGGTCGACTTTAATTCGAGAATGTTATTTCTTCGATGTTTCTTCAGTATGAATATCCAAAAAATATATTTCTTTTCTGTTATACATTATAATAAACATATACGTCTCGCGGATAAGCTTAATTAATTTTATGAAATCTTTTAATAGAATGAAATCCTTACTTTGAATTTCAGTTACTATGTATTTTTTTGAACAAAGTTATTCCCATCGCAAAAAAAACAAGCTCCTTGCATAATTATGGACCATCGCACTTTTTCTAGGCGATAATTCTAATTCGAATTTAAATAGTTTGAATTCGGGTACCTCTGGTTAACCTGCGAAGCCATCATCGCAGTGTTGCTTTTTTTCGAATGTAATACATATAATAATAATAACGTGAATCAATAACACGATTCGTTAAAATATTGATTTATACAATTTGAAAAGAACAATAGAATAGTGAGATCTATGATTAAATTAATATTAAAGCTTATTGGAAGATCTTTAGAATTTCGCAGATTCGATTGAATCGCAATTCCATGGGTCATCGAAATCATTATAAATCGGAGGTGGAAGCCATTTCTAAAAACAATAATTTCGATGATGAAATTTGACGAGTCTTACCGTTTTGATTGGCTTCAAAAAGTCCATAGCAACCAGGCAATAGTATGTCTGAAAATGGTACAAATGAGGCATTTAAAGTAGGAATAAAGCATACCAAATAAGCGATACTGGCAAAATAGATGACAGCGAAAATGAGGGAAATCGGAATCGAAACAGCGTTGTATCCGAATGTAGTTTCAACCCAATCATACAAAAAGTAGAAGTTGACAAAGAGAATGATGAGTGAGATAATAATTGAAATGGCTTTCGAGACACTGAAATCGGTCGATTTTTGGTGTGATCTTCACAAATCCGAAATACCTTGCCAATCGGAACTCGAACATCAATTTGGCGTCGGCAACGAACGTGAGAACCGGAACGACAGCAAAAGGCAGTTGGATGAGTTGAACACAATTGAGGAAGTCGTTGAGGCCCGAGATGTGGTCGATGCCACCGCTGAAGATTGTCACAGCCAACGTGGGAAGAATCGCGAGAGATCTGAATGGAAAAATGATATTCTAGTAGGCAAATCATCATAATTCAATTGAATCGTTTACCTTGTGATGAGGATTCTCTTCCATTGCGGCATTCGGATTTGAATGAATCCCTGAATCACATTACGAGATCATTATTGCTTCAATTTGTTCGCACCTCCATAGCAAACTGTCCGGCGTACGTTCCAGTCATTGTCGATGATTGACCGGCGGCGAGGATGCCGATGGCCCACACGTACAACGCGAATATTCCAAATGCGCATCCTGAAACCAATCAATTTCCATCAGCGTCGGCTCATTTCAGAAATTGCCCAAATAGATTCCAGAATGATAAATATCCGACGTCACCGGGTCCAAGTTGTCCGGAAATTCGACTTTATAGAAATTCGGCATTTCATTGTGAGTGTTATTATAGCAGAGTTGCCTCTATAGGAGCTCGAAATATATGTATAAAATTGCTCGCCGAATTTACCATATCGCGATTCGTTTTTCCATACATTCCTTGAGCGAATACCGCGATGACGAGCGTGTTGATGATAAACGAAAAGAAGAGCGCGATGAAGCTTTCAATGAAGAAGTATTTATTCGCTTCAACCACTTTTTCCTTGCGCCTTCGATCCACTTTGCGACTCTTCAATTTGCCCATTTTCTTTTCTAATTCTTCTTATCAATTAGCAGATAACACAATTAGATGATCATTTGGAAACCGAGAATTGGATACCTTGACCAAGGCAGAATGTAGGTAGAAATTGTGCGGCATCACGACCGCTCCGATTATTCCGAAGCCTTGCATCAGCTGGCTGTTGTCGCAATCATCGCACCACGGCACAAACATTCCGGTGAAGATTTTCGCCTGAAAATTATTCGAAAATGTTTCTTTCAATTCGATTGTTTCAATTTACCGCCGACGGCGCGCTTCGTCCGAATTCGTAGCCGAATGTGACAGCCATACAAGTGATGAGGAAGCAGAAGAATGCCTCGAATTTTCGGATGCCGTATTTCTCGAGGAACAGGAATGTGAATGTGTCGAAAATTGTGATGAGAACACCAGCCCAAAGTGGAATTCTGAATTCGACATTCAAATGGTCCCTATCGACGCCGTCACTTACGCTCCATTGGAAAGAAGGTATAACGAAATGGCAGTGCCGATGACTTCTTGCATGTCGGATCCGATGATTGCAATCTCGACCATAATCCAGAGGATCAGTCTCGGCACCTTCGGATAATATGAATAAGCGATCTCGGACATGTGTTTGCCAGTGACAACTCCGATTCTCGCCGCGAGTCGTTGGAGCAGCAAACCCATAATGTGAGCAACGAGGAGAACCCAAATGAGCTTGTAATAGGCGATTGCTCCGGCTTGCAAATCGCTTTCAATGTTTCCCGGATCCAAATAAGCGATGCTCATCAAGAATCCGGGTCCCGTGAATGCCCAAAGTTTATGAATGCTGAAAAATGACTGAAAACCATCGGATTCTTTATCACAAACTCCAGCACTTACATCAGGCTCATCAGGAATCTCGACTTGCACCTCATACGTCTGTTGAGCCTCGCGCTTCATCGGCTTCTCCTCATCCGAGTAATTCATTTCTAGAAATTGATATTTGGTGAATCTGATTGAACAAGGCATGTCCTATTGGAAAGGCCTCAATTATATACAAATCGGTGCCACCCTTATCTCATTTTTGTCTTTGAACCTTGTCGATGAAGCACAATTCGAAATGCAGAGAGCAAGAGATTTTGTGACGGGAAGCCGACAAATTATCAATCGGGTGTTTCTTCGGTTTTCCATTTACTCACGTTCTTGGTCATTCAACGACTCTGAACATCGTCGGAGCTCTCATCGAATCGCACGCTATTTCGCGAATTTGCCCGATTAGTGATCAAAGTTGAGCACATTCTTATCGATTTTGCAGTGTTGCGTTGTATGATTCTCGCAAATTTCCATTCGACCTGATTTCCGGAACTTCTATTTATGACGTCTTCTGAATTTTCTGTGTCGACATTCAAGGAAGCTGATACATTAATTTCTAGTTTATTTTGCAGAGGTACATGGTGTAGCGGAGAATTGATATGTGAACTTGCAAATGCCAATGATCAACATCATATTGAACTTCATTTAATCGCTGTTCAAACTTCAGACAGTCTAGAAAATGGTCGCCCGCACTACAAAAGTTCGTGTGAAGAATTTTGACTGAAATTCAGATTAATCGAATGATACAATTGATTATCAAAAATTCCTTCAAAATCTGCAACCGGTTTCCAAATTGATGATAGTTTGTTTGGGTACAAACTCGAATGTCCAAATGAAGAGATGATTGAGCACCTGAGGCACTCGAATTATGTTTCCGAGAGCTTCTAGAGAACAGATTATCTGTTCTGCGCAATCCTGTTGAAACCAAACCGAACAGCATTGTTCCACAATAACCACAGTTTCGCGCTGCATCTTCTAATGGGATCATCTTTTCAATCATCAAATCTCCAGCTTCTTTTGAGTTATCATCAAAAATTGCAAACATTTGTCTTAGCTCTCCAGAATTTTCTGATAATATGAATTTCTTCTTTTCAAATTTTCGTAATTTTGACGTTATTAAAATTAATACTACTGTATGTAGCCTGTAATTACTAATCTATGTAATTCAACTTTTGATAGTTCTGGACCTTGCAAGTCCTTTTCTTCTTCATTTTAATTTTTGCAATCATAGCTTCAAAATCAAACACGATGAGGTGATCACATCTAAAATCGATGTCAATACTCAGAATGTTCAGCAATTAAATGTTCCTTTTAATGCACAATTTAGGATTCTTCGGGAATCCATTGATTTGTTCGAGTTGATATTTCTACCGAAAACGAAATAAAAAAAATGAATTCGTATTTTTTCAGATTGAGCCTATCAGGCCACTTCTTTCAGCTAAAACACAGTTTCTTTTGTGACAATGTAATAAAAATCGTTACGAACGAAATCAAAAATAGTAGAATATTAAAGGAGGGATGTCAGCGTTTCATACATACACACACACTCTCTCATAATGTCAATTTTTAATTTTTTTTTCGATATATTTTGTTCATTTCAACCAATTTTTTTGAGATGCCAATTTTATTTTTTATTTTCATACTCAAAAAAATGAGGAATTTTCACATTTTTAAAAAATAAAATTGATGGATGTCGATTTTGTTCAATAAGTGCGATCGTCGATGTTGCGCGACTGCTGAAAATTGGTTAAATGCCAAAAAGAATCAATGTCAGTGGTCTTGGCGCAAAATTAAAAGTGTAGATTTACGGGCCTATGTATTAGGATAGGTTAAAGGCGCATCGAGAATTATTTTTTGAATGTTTTGGCATTTCGCCAATTTTTCGCAGTCGCGCGACATCGACAATACATATATACCAGCGATCTGTGATTTTTGAGATTTATAATATTCTGAAATGACTGAAATGCCGAAAATGGTATTATAATCCCAAACCCTAACATAAGACACCCACAAATTTGTGGGCCGCGCAATTATCTCGCCATTTTGATACCAACCAGTGTTAAAATCGTGTTCAGCATGAAAAATTACCTAAATGAACCAATTTTCATGTTAGAGTCTTGAAAAATCGCCGAGTAATGGTCAAAAACCGGTTTTTTCGAACTATTTCGCCGTTTTTCGAAACTTTGACGAGACCAATGTGCATAAAAATCGTTGTGTTTATTATTATTAATCTAGCTCGAATATTTTGAAATTAACGCGGCAGAATGTCAGATTTTCCAAGTGCTCATGTCGAAATGACCTACATAATTTTTGTCGAACAAATTTCTTCGGCTGTGCTAAAAACCTTATTAGATTCGCTAGACGTGCTAGATATTGGGAAATATCTCAAGCGGAACACGGAATACGGAAGTCGGAATAAATTTTTTGAACGGAATACGGAACGCGGAACGCGGAACAGGAAAATGTAACGGAAAACGGAAGACGGAATTCCGTGCAGATCTGCTACAGAATTCTCGATTTTTCTTATTTTGAATAATTTTGAAATGCCACGTATTACTGAAATGATGAAAAAATCCTGAAGATGGATTCTGGAGAAGGTATTGGATCTTTCCAAAACTGATTAATGACGATATTCGTGAACTACCTACATCGCCCGACAAATGACCTTCAATATCACTATTTAATTCATATTTTTTCTTGATGATGAGAAAATTCTGAACTCACACATTAAAATTTTGGCCCCAATCGTTCTTTGTTTCCAAAATTTCCATTGTCAGCAGATTAGGGGACAGTCAGCAGAAAGTGCACGCGTTCCCGAGAATAATTCAACACTCATCTCGGCATGCCCACCAAATATGGAAATAACTCGTTTTTATTTTACAACACAACCCAACACACACACTCATATAATACACAAAACAACATTTTTTATCACCATTCGAAACAGTCTCGCTTTTTTTTGTTTTTTTGTCGGGTTGGGTTCTATTGCGCAAATCGCAGTGTGGTTTCAGAAGGTGGGCAACCAAAAAATGAAGAGAGTGGGCGAATTGGGTTACGGTCAGACGAACTACTCTGGTAACTCAAAACCAATCGTATTCGACAAAATTCGGCTCTAGAATTAACCTTATCCGATTGGCAATTCTACGGATAACATTGTAAAATTGTCGGATCCGATTGGTTTTTTGGGTATTTTCGTATCCGATTGGTAATTTGTCGTATCCGATTGGTCACTCTACGGATAAGATTGGTTTTTTATCGAATCCGATTCGAATTGAAATATTAAAACAAAACGGATTCGAATAATTACCAATCGGATTCGAAGAAAATTTAATCGGATACGACAAATTACCAATCGGATCCGGAAAAACCCAAAAAACCAATCGGATACGACAATTTTACAATCTTATCCGTAGAATTTCCAATCGGATAAGGTTAATTTCGGAGCCGAATTTTGTCGGATACGATTGGTTTTGATTAACCAGAGTAGGTCGAGGTCATCGGAGAGGGGGGGGGGGTTTCAGCGAATGCTTGAAGAGCGAAACGAAAAATATTTGCGGTCCGCATTCCAAATACCTTCAACAAATAAACACGCGCTATTTTACGCCATTTTCATCTTTTCATCATTTTTTTTCTTTTCCGGCTGTATGATTTCGCCGCGACGCGTGTTTATTTATTATGCGCGACAGTGAGAAGCAGGCCGATGGCAACAAACACCCACAAAAAACAAACCGTTGCAAAAATTTTTTGACAGGCCCCCGATTATTAATTCGATCAATTCAACATCTTTTCACTTCCTTTTCGCCTTTTATGTCATTGTGCGAATTTTTCGACAACAAAATATATATAAGGAGAGAATTGAACCAATACTTTTATTATTTCACAATTTCGCTCAAAATTTATTATATTTTTTTCCAACAAATCAAAAAAAAACAATCAGATTCCGACAACAAATTGGGTCAATCTTTCCTTTTTTCTGGTGTAATTGATCATTTTTGCAAATGTTTTGTCGGTAGATCAAAACCATTTCCGTATTGAGCAATATCAATGCATTCGTCTCTTTCTCTCCGTCTCTCTCTCTCTCGCCTAGCGTATTCAGGTCAAACTAAATACAATAGTCAATTCTTTTCGCTAATTTGCCAGCACCTATTCAAATCTTAACCAATCAGACAACACTCGATGAAACGAAACCATGGAAATCAATAGAAAACACATACATATATAGTGTCGCTCATCGCTAACTATGCCTTTTATATGTACATATAGTTTATGCGAAAAAAAAAACAGGTTCAAATCACGTGGTCTCGACGCGCAAAAGCATTCCATTCACTTCGAAAATGCTTCTTTTTTTTCTCATTGTCTCAAAATGTTGGGTTTTGCAGTCGATCGATTTCGACGTGTTGGTTCGCTCGAGCCGCCGTCATGCATTCGAGGCATCGCGACGACGACGACGAGCAGCTCGACGAGCAGCCGACGGTTCCATTTTCAATTCGCAATTCTCGCTAATTCGACCGAATTTCAGAAGTTTGTCGACATCGCCAAAAAATGGCCGAAACAAACATTTTTGATAATCGGCAATGAGTTGTGCGAGCGATTCAGTTTCTACGGAATGCGAGGTTCTTCAACACATTTTCGCCTCTCTCTCCCAAATTTTTTCTTGCAACAATTTTTTTCCAGCGGTTCTCACACTTTATTTCGTCAACGTTTTGCATTTCAAAAACGCTCATGCTACAGTATTCTTTCACGCGTTTACGGTAGTTTCGTACAGCTCGCCTATTCTGGGCTCAATTCTTGCCGACGGCTACATCGGAAAGTTTTGGTGCGTCTTTTTGTTGATACTCGCAATAGAGCGCAATTGATGAATTTTTGGATTTGGGTAGATCATACCTTGTATAAGAAAAAAAATATCAGAAAATTGATTTCGAAAATTTTGTTGTGAAAAAAAAAACGAAAACAAATGCATTTTTCCCACAACAAAATCGCTCTATAAAAAAAAAGTTTTTTTTTTAATTCAACATTTTTCAAAAATTTCGATCCCAATCTAATTTAATGAAATCAAATTGTCAGTATCAAAAATGTGTGTGGAAGTGTTCTAATAACATCGATTCCGATTCAGGACAATCTTCTCGGTTTCGATTCTATACGCAATCGGTCAAATCCTGCTGGCAAGCGCTTCAATCGCTCCAGATGACAACCCAATTCATCCGTAACACTTCAAATCAATCACCGAGAATATTGTTGACATTGTCAGATGGCTCGACATGCTCGGCCTGCTCATCATCGGCATCGGCACCGGCGGTATCAAACCGTGTGTGTCGGCGTTCGGCGGCGATCAATTCCCGGCGCATTACACCAAAATGATCTCCTACTTCTTCTCGATGTTCTACTTCTCGATCAACGCCGGCTCGCTCATATCGATGTATTTGACGCCGTACCTACGATCGGTGCCGTGCTTCGGAAACGATTCGTGCTATCCGATGGCGTTCGGTGTGCCGGCAATTCTCATGATTTTGGCCACGTGTAATCACGAACAATCGCCTCCCGATGAGTTTTTAGCAAATTTGCCAAAATTCCAGTGATCTTCATGGCCGGCTCGTTTTGGTACAAGAAAGTGCCGCCGAAGGAGAATGTGATCTCGCGTGTGATGGCCACCATCTCGCGGGCCCTCAAAAACAAATCGTCGGGAATTCCGCGATCGCACTGGATCGAGCACAGTCTCGACGGACACGTGTGCTCGAAATCCAAAGTGTGCCGCGAATTGCATGGAAAGTGTGCCGAAGTAAGCGAACTCAAATGAGAAAATAAAAGCTTTTCGCCAATTCCAGAGAAAATTCGTCGAGGATGTCAAGGTGCTATTCCGAGTCTGCCTCATGATGCTGCCGGTTCCAATGTTCTGGGCCCTCTATGACCAACAAGGGTCGACGTGGGTGATTCAAGCAATCAGTATGGACGCTCACATCACCGATTCATGGACTCTGATTCCTGATCAAATGGGCTTTCTGAACGCCTTCATGATTCTGCTAATGATCCCAATATTCCAATCGGGCATCTATCCATTCGTCGAGAAAATTGGCATCAAATTGACGCTTCTCCGAAAAATGACGGCTGGCGGACTGTTGACCGCGACAGCGTTCATCATCTGCGGAATTGTCCAACTGTTCGTCAATCGCGATCTTCCGATTCTTCCGTCGGCCGATGAGGCGCACATGACAATCATCAATACATTCCCAACGTGCGAATTTCACACCGAAATCAACACGGTCGACTCGTTCCTGTTGCCGGCAAATCAGGTCATCAATTGGTCGCATCATGCAACACTGAATCGGCATTTTCTAGACAAAACTGAAAGACGTCATCGAGCCGGCGATCATCAAAGGAGGCATCGAGTTCACCGCTAACATCACCTTCGACAGCGATGCTCCGAATTGCCCGAAATTCGTGGCGAATCCCGTCCTCTATTCCGGCTACTCCTACTATCTCGCATTGTCGCCGATCGGCTGGGCCTACACCGCAACTCCATTGAAGAAGCCGTCGAATGGCCAAGGCGAATTCGCGATTAGGTATTCCAGACTTCAATTGCCTCCCACCAACCAATTTTCAGCTTGAATTACATGGTCAGTTGTGATAATATCCCAGATGCTGTTACTTGGAAGGAGTGCAACTCGTCGACATCCACCTACAACGGGGTGATCGGATTGTGCAAGGTCGACGAGCTGACGAGGCCCGAAGCGCCGTGCGATCCGAAGTCCGACGGCAGGTTCTATCAGTTCTCGCCGTCAAGGAGACACCAGTTGGAGGTGCATGATTATCAAACCGGCGAGATTACAAACACCGGCGCAACCTATGATGCAATCGATGTGAGACCTGGAACATACCGCCTTTATTACATTGATTATGAGATCGACTATGTGCACAATGCGAGACCGTCAGCTGAGCAAACGGTAGGCATCACGGAACAGATGATAGGAAATCAGGGGTAACGATTTTGCAGAGGTTCTATCCACTCGACCTTCCACCGATCACCCAAAACCATATGGGAGGAGTTTATACTCTGACAATCGCGACGAGGTCCAAATTAGTCAAGGCATTCAAATGATGATCGATCTCAAAATCAACATGATCGTTATAGGATGTGGTATCGTATTCGCAAATCATGGTGCCTTACAACAAAGTGAGCATCATCTGGCAGATTCCGCAGTACATTGTGCTCACCGCCGGCGAGGTGCTCTTCTCGGTCACCGGCCTCGAGTTCGCCTACTCCGAAGCGTCGCCCCAACTCAAATCGGTGGTTCAAGCCGTCTGGCTGTTCACTGTCGCCGTCGGCGATCTCATCGATGTCGTAATACTGTCTCTCAATTTATTCAGCGATGTTGTAAGTGTAGAATATCGAAAAAAACGGAATGAAGATCACAAATGATTGTGCAGGCTACTCAAATGTTTGTCTTCGGTGCTGCCATGTACATCGTCATGGCCATATTCATTCTGCTCGCCGTCAATTATTACGAATATGCTCATTATGCCAACGATGATTCGGAAGCCGCCAATGCGATTGTTGATACGGATAAAATACAATAATAATAATAATAATAATAATTCATCGACCATGTATTTATTTATTTTTTATTAATAATTGTAAATAATAATCAGTGTAGATCATTTTGTTTCGAAATCGGCCGCTCAGAAAACTTTGCAGATCTCAGAAAAATCTTTAAAAATATTACAGAGGCTATTTGATAATAGTTTTTAGATTTTTATTAAGAACTTTTTTAAACTTTAAAAAAATATTTGAAACTAAACATTTCGTAATCATATTTTCATCAAGAGAAACATTTTTCATTGCATTGTTTTACCTTTTATAGGTATATTTGGATCATCATGATATTTTTAAAAAAATGTCTGAAAACGTCTGTTAGCTAAATTTGATTGGTTTTAAGAGTATTGTATAACCTTTTTTTAAATTAAAATTGACCAATTTCTGGTGTATGACAATCATTTGAATCAATTAGGATGATTCGTGATTTTTCCCCCAAAAAATCACCATAACCCTCATTTGCATCATTCAATTTTTGGTATCGACCGACGGAATTTCGGGTGCAATCGGTTTATCATTCGAATTGCCGCCTAGTTTATTCTCGCACCCATTATGGTCAATATAATTATTTTGTATTGTCGCGCGACTGCGAAAAATTGGCGAAATGCCAAAACGTTTAAACAAGGTCTCGTTGCGCGGCTTGCGCCTTTAACCTATCCTAAAACATTGGTCCGTAAATCTACAATTTTCATTTTGCGCCAAGACCACTGACATTGATTCTTTTTGGCATTTAGCCAATTTTCCGCCGTCGCTCAATAATTTAAAGTATTATTATGCAGATTTTAGATTTAAGAAAAAAATTAAAATGGTTAAAAATCCCCCAAAAACTGTATGCATATTGCACGACGAAATATAAGCCCAAATTTTGTTCAACGGAATTCCAAATGATTTATTTTCACGACAACCAGATCGGACAACAATGAAATTCTGAGCTCGCAGTTGGTTACGAGTTGGTCGGTTGCATCAAATGACGAAATCAGGCGACAAAAAAAAATCAAATAATATAAAGTTCAAAAAAAGTTGGTCAAGAATGTTGATTTTGAGAAAAAAAAACCGTGAAATTATTCATTATCATCGAACGACATCTACGAATTTCGTGCGACGCCAATCTTGTTCGAATCTCACCATCCGAAACACTTTTGCCAATTTCTATTCAATTATATTATTCGATGTGTGAAAAGTGTGATCTACCTACCTTCGGGTTCGATTTCAAATTGTTTCGTTCGACTCAACTATAATCATCGATAAAATCAGCATTGATATCATTGAAACCCGCGAAATTCAAACATTTTTGCCAATCACATGTCCGCAGATGATATTTTATAAAACGATTGAATCTCATTGCACATAACAGTATTTGTCAATGTGTGCTCAATTATTCCCGAGGTTAATTAAGAAAATAAATTAGCATTTGATATACTATCTAAAATTTGAAAATTTCCAAGAAATGAGAAAGATGTTTGAATTGCCGACCAACGGTTTTTTTTTGGATTTTCTCACAAATTCAGTTTTATTTTTGGGTGTTATTTTTCGAATTATTAACATTTTAAGGCTTTGAAAAATCAATAAAATAAAAATAAAAGCAAACTTGTTCAATATTTAGTAGCAGAGTAGTTATTTATTGTTAATATGATTATTCGTCAACTCATAATCAATACATTAGTGAGCCATTCATTCATCGATACGTTGAGAGATAAGATGATGATAATATTGAGGGGTTGTTTGTAGGACTCTCCCATATATTTGTATATTTTCTTTTTTTTTAACCCTCTTAATTTCATTTTTTTTTCGGCCGGGTATTTCAAATTGATTTTGAAGAGAAAAACTGCCAATCGCAATTTTTGCGGCAGCCATGCAAAATTGATTCAAATTATTTCGAGTTGAAACAATTTTTAAAAATATGCGCATAATTGGTCCGAAAATGTGATCATTTTTCGATAAAATGATCGCCACAAAAATTTCCATTTTTTTTTTTTGATAAGAGCAAACCCGAATTCGTTGATTTTCATTCCGATTCGAGCGGCGGCACGTTCTTTTGAAAAAATAATCAAATGAATTGAATTGAAATTGCATCACAATTCGAAAATTCGCGTTTCTATTATGTCTATTAATATTGTTGCAGACAATTTCCTCCGCTATCTCTCTCTCACTCTCTCTGTTTTTTTTTGTGGATCAATTTTTTGACCATCAATTCTCAAATATTCCTTTTATGGTGTTCGTTCAACGACCATTATTGAGTTCTCGCATGCATACGTATAACATCACTTGTGACGGATTATAACAGTCAGTATCAGCCAACAACGACAAATACCTTTTTCAAAAAAACCCCATGACCCGCATCGGTAATTCAAAATTTTATTTATATGTATAATATATAGTTATTATAGTTTGTGATTTCAATGTGTGTTCTCTAGACCCATGTATTCTGCTGAATTCTAAAAAGGAAAGAACTAAAAGCGATCATATTTAAAGGCGCATGCTTACATATTCCAAAGCCGTCTCACATTTGAATAGCATGCGCCTTTAATGAAATGCTTCTCATTTTGTACTACAGCTTTTGGGGGAAAAAAAACCGATTTTTCTTTTCAGATTTTTGGCCAATTTTAGATTATAATTATATCATCCTCTCCACCAACATGATCTCAATTAAAACAGTACTATCTTGACGCCCTATTGAATTTCATGACCGTTTTGAACCGATTTCCGGTTTCTCTGAGTCTCTCTTATCTTTCAACAGATTATTGTCCAAAGTTTGCTGCACATCAAATTTTGGAGAGAGAGAGAGAATTTCGTAGACCTGGTATATCCATAATGATGAGCCGACCATTTCAAGCTCAGCAAATTAAAATCGAGAAAAATTAAGCAACGAACTGGAATCGGCGGGTTTTTCAACGATCATTAATCTGTAATAAAATGCGGCCGAAACAAACCGTCATTATGGGTTTAGCACACATTTCAATATTTTAATGGGGCTCTTTCTGCCATTATCATTTTTTGTTCTCTACAAAAAGTAAGTGCCGCTCGGCTGATTCATGTTTTCCCGCCAAATATTTGCATAAACGCACCCCCCTTCAACTGACCATGAGCCATCATGTTGCATCAGGCGGAGCGAAGAAGCTGAACAGAAAAAAAAAAAAAACGAAAAATAAATAACGATTCGCAGTCCGGTTCGTTGTTGTTTGTTGTCCGATGATACTCGAGAAATTATTTGTACTCGAAGGCTTTGCCAAGATCATCATTCGGACTCGATTTCAGGCGAAATGGCCGACAGCTACTTGGTTCTGCAAATATTTCTCGCGATTGTTATGCTTGTGGTCACATGTGTTGCTGGTTGTGTGCCTTTAATAGTAAGTCGCAAAACATTTTTCAGCATTTTCCATATTTGGCTTCCAGTTATTAACAGTAATGAAGCGCAAAGGGAAAGATCAGTCGAAAAGCGGCTGGCTCTCGTACCTGTCATGCTTTTCCGGCGGCGTTTTTATGGCGACTTGCTTTCTCGACATCATTCCCCATATTGGGTAGGCTTTCAATTCCAGTTTGATTTTGTCTTTTTTTTTCTTCCAGAGAGAATTATGAGAAGCTCGTCGACTCGTATGATCTGCACTTGCCGGTTCCAGCCAATCAGGTCTTCATTTGCTGCGGCTTTTTTCTAGTTTATTTCATCGAGGAAATTACTGCACGGGTTCGTCTCATTATTTTTATTGGTATCAAATTGTCTAATAAGCATTATAAGAGCGTTTCTTAAAGGGACAATGCATAGAAAAAATTATTTTTAAAAATTTTGGCGTTGAAATTTTCTATATATTTTTTTTTCTGTTCATTTCCCTATAACAACTTGAGCAAATATTTCAAAATTCATAATTTCCATGTCTCGGCAATTTTATCAAATTTCAAAGACCTAAAAAACTCGAATGTCATCGAAAAAACCTCCTGAGCAATTGTGGACCATTGTATTTTTTCGATTGGCGGTAATTCAAATTTGAATTTAAACGGTGACTTCCGTTCTAAATTCGAAATCCCCCGTTGATTTCCATAAGGCGCTGGTTATTTCTTGTTGGTAGAGAAAACATCAAATCTGTACGGAATTCCGTTTTCCCTTTTTTAGAAAATTTAAGCTTGTTTGGCCATTTTCCACAATGGATCTGTACTAGCGAAAAAAACAAAACGCAAGGTTTTTTTTGCCTACGGACCATCTTATTTATTCTAAGCGATTACATAAAACTTAGGCTTATTGAATTAAAATGAAATTAAAACGCCTTGATTTCATCTGGCAATTTTTCTAAAAAAAAATAAAGTTGCTGAATCAAATTCGATCGTTTTTCACACAGAAAATGATAAGTTATAATATTTTAGCTGAATTATTTTATTTTTTTAATTTATCAAATCGTTGGTTCTTTAGCGTTGAAATAAAATTTAAAAAAAAAAATATTCAAATCAGTGAAAATATTTTGTCGACATCAAACGACTGAAGGAATGCGGGGCTTTCAAATTCGTGAAATCAGTGTCGATTTAAATTAATCGTTGGCTGAATACTAAATGCGCGTAAAATATAATGCAAGTACGCAATCTCGCGTACATCTCGATTTTCACATTGCCAATAATTTTTTTAAACATTTTGCTCAGTCGATTGTCGCCGACACATGGAAAAGAGTGAAAAGTGGTAAAAAATTAAATAAATGAAGCATGGATCAAAAGTGGATAAAAAAACTGATCCTCTTTTCATTCATTTTCCAACGTGTACTGGCGACGAACATTTTTTTTTAAATATCGGTTCCTTAAATCATCATTTATTGATTGAAAACTAAAAATTGAAACATTTAAAAGCGTTCTTTATTTATTTTTTTGAAGTAAAAAAAATGATTGGATGATTTTTGCAGGTATTTGGTCAAGAAGATCACGGGCATTCGCATGGAACTCCACCAAAACATACCGAAAATATAACAACGTGAGCACTATTTTTATTTGGCTTGGTTTTTGCATGATTTTATTGTTTAACACGTTTTGCATGTTTGTTTTAAAATGGTGCCGGTTTGGTTTTAAGCTTGGAATGTGCGCACGGCGCGCTGCTCGGCGACCGACAACCGCATGCTAACCCGATGCAGATTGCTCGCGCCAGGTAACTGAATTCCCGCTTTTGCTGGTTTTGCTCGATTCTCGGTTGTTTCGTTTTTTTTTGCATGACTCATCATTTAGTGATGGCAACGAGTTGCGACGAATGCGGCCGAGTAATAACAGCATTTCCAGTCTCGTCGTCGAAGAAGCTTCGCCTTGGGTCGTCTCCGACGAGCACACGAATCTCCTCAAATCGCTCACGTTCGCCGTCGCCATGTCGTTTCATTCGCTCCTCGAGGGTTTCGCGTTAGGTGTTCAAGTAGGCAATATTTAAAGGCGCATTGAAACAAACATGGTTTTCTAGGATACCGCCACTGGAATTTATGCGCTCTTCTTCTCATTACTTCTTCACAAATCAATTGAAGCATTTTCTGTTGGACTTCAAATATCGAAGACGAATAGTGACAAGTATAAAACAGTGGCGTTCACGATTCTCACTTATTCTTTGATGACTCCTATCGGGTCCGTATTAGGAACATTGTTGCAGGTCAGTTTTCGAACATTTTCTTTTTTTGAATATTATCAAATTTCTATTTTGCAAAAAAATGTTTTTAAATTCAAATTTCTTAATAAATCAAGAAAATACAATTAATCAATAGAAAAAAAACTAGAAAAATCTTTTTTTTAAATGAACCTCTTTTTGAATTTTACCAAATTATTCGTATCAAATTCCAAAAAAGCAATCGAATAAGGCTAGTCTCAGAGCCGAAAAAAAAGAGCAAAAATTCTGAAGCGATATATAGTCGGCGTCCGGCGGGTAGTTTTACGTCAGAGCGGACGCCGATGTGAGCATATTGCGATATTGCTTTGATTTTCAAGCGTCGAGAATGCAACAGCTATAAAAGAGCCGTGATCTGCGCGAAAATGAAAAAAATGTAACTCTGAAATGAAAACATTAATGAACTACAGTAGTAAAATCGCGACGTGAGCCATGCAATTGTTCGTGTGAAAACAATTGTCGGGGCGTTTTTTGTATTTGTCTTCATGTAGTCGACGTCCGGTGACTGATGTAAGCGGGTAGATTTACGGCGCGCGTCTTTCGAAATGGTCTCGCCACGTGTGAACGCTTATTCTTAAATTTTCACTCGAACTGCTTCATTTTTCCTTAAAATACTTACAAGGAAGGTCTTTTTGCTGTCCATCTTAAATTTTTTATTTTTTGCATCTCGATTCTTTAGAAAATTTCCAATCGAATGAACTAGGTGCCTACCTGCGCAAACTTCTAGTTATTGAGATATGGTCCTTCAAATTTTTAGCCCCTCCTCGTGAATTTTGCATACATGTTCATATCATTGCTAAACGCTATACTAAAACGCGAATCTGAAATTCAAAAAACCAAAAATTGAGATTTTTATCGAACTGGGGCCCATAAAAATAAAAATCTTTCAAATTTTCAGAACTCTTCTTCAACATCTTTATTAAAAGAAGGAGCAATCCTTTTTTTGGAAAGTCTAGCAGCAGGAACATTCATTTATGTGACATTCCTTGAGGTATCCCATTTTATAATATTTATCTACATATGATAATAATAATTTAGGTTCTTGCGCATGAAAAAGAGAGCGGTTTTAATAGTTTAAAACAGCTTTCATCCATCATCTTCGGGTTTATTCTCATTTTAATATTGCAAATGGTTTTTGGGTAATTTGAACAATTCCACAAAATGCATTTATGGATATATTTATAAATGATGTACATACTAGCGATTCAGACATGATCATGGAGCAGAACCTCACTCACATCAGCATTTTAACAATGTAACAGCGCACTGAACTCATCAAGCCTTGTCCGTCCTTCCTTCAATAGTCATCAAGCTTTACAAAGTGTATGTACATATCACTACTAATAATTATTATATATTTATTTATTAATAAATTTTTTCAATTTTTAACCAGAAATACAGTAACCAGCACATTTGCTATTTGAAATATAGCAAGAAGCAAGAGATCCAAACGATCGAAAAATTTCATCCAAGTCAATTCTCGATGAAAATCGCGCTCCTCTTCGTTCAAATATTCGCGTATCGACGTCAGCGATTCATCAAGATTTCGAATAAAATTGGCGCTAATTAAATAATTAATTAATTAATTATTGGGATAATTAACCAACCCCTCGCCGGAATATTGCACAACTTCCTCTTTCGTCAATTTTCTCGTGATTTTTGGTAGATTTTTTGACAGAAACTTTTTCGAACCCTAAAAAAACTTTTTAGATAGAATCTATTTGTTCGTTTTTTCTAGTTTCTCGTCGCCTACCGACATTCTGAGAATCCACAATAACCAGCTCGGCGGCCTCCATTCCCTTGTATGGGCTCGATGATGAATGGAGAGCACGAGAACAGCAAACAGGACGCCGATGGCGACGACGAAAATTTCGGCGAGAATGAAATTTCCTGGAAGAGCGCCGATCGGAATGTCCCTAATCAATTCAATGATGCTTACCTAATAGGGGCAATTCGGACGTCTTCGGCATCGACGAGGCAACGATCTGCAGGATGACCGCCGATGAGAGCAGCGTCGTGATTCCGAGATTCACTCTTTCCTCGCGATAGCCCAAACTCGACGACGGTGTGAATAGGCCGAATATGCAGACGACGGTGATTATATAGGTTGGGATCAGAAGCACCCACACGTAGAATTGAGGGCGACGACGAACGATGAGCTGAAAGTGGGGCGACGATTCGAGAGAATATCAAAAAAAGAAAAACCGTGAAATTGATTTCAGAATAGGTGAAATTGACGTCAGGATCCACCGAATACACATGGGTGTTCGTCACACCTTCGAAATCCCATTCACTATTCCCCTATAATAATAATAATAAATCGAAATTCGATATTTCGATAAGCCCCCGACGTACTTCAAAATATGTGGAATTCTCAAAAATTTCCGGACCAGCGACACAATGAATTTCGCTTGATGTGTACGTAAATGGTCCAATATTTATGAGACATTTTTGAACATCATATGGGAATTTTTCGACCTAAAATAGTGGCTCGATCAAATATTTTCTTTAAATTGATTGATTCCAACATTCATGTCGCAAAGATTCTTGAAAACCGCGTAAATGCTTTGCCGAATGGTTCCGTCATATTTCAAAGAAACATATCGATCGGATGGATCCAGAAGGGATGTTGTCGATACGCTGAAATGCTCACACTATCCGATGAATGAAACAATTTCACCTTGTGGTTACTGTGGTGTCTGGAATCCAGACGAGGTCTTCCTTCAATTTGATCCATGTGATATTATATTCCGACATATTCCATTTAAGGAATTCGTCCTGCCATTGAAGTATAAACTCGCAAGAAAAGGTGACAGTTTCCTGAATTTCAGACGTTTCAGATTTACCAAAAAAAAGTCGAATCGGCTCAAACTTCAGTAGGATCGAGCACAAGAACTGTCATAGAGTTTAGCGAAATATTGAGTGTGATGACGTCGTTCTCGTTTTGAACCGGCCGAATCGAGATGTCATAGTCTGAATTTCGAAATTCATCATTTTGAAATATGTTTCAACTTATTTTTAGAAGACTGAATGGGTTTCAAAAATAACCTGAAGTGATTTTTACATAATAGAGCAAATAAGTGCAAAAAAAGGCAACTGGAAATTTGGAAGCGTTTTGGGAAAGATCCCGATGTTTATTGAGCAAACACGCTTTGAAAGGTCAATAATATTCACAATCAACTATTATTTCTATAATAATTCTCACAATTAAATATGAGCAACATTATTTTAAATTAATATTTGGTTTTATTATCGTAGTCAAACGACTTGACAAAATTTAAAAAAATTATTGGCAATGTGAAAATCGAGATGTACGCGAGATTGCGTACTTGCATTATATCCTACGCGCATTTAATATTCAGTCAACGATTAATTTAAATCTATTGTTGAGAAATGACAAATGTATCCAGATGTCGTGGGATCCTGCGTTTTGTACGCAATGCGATGAGCCAGTTCTTTAGAAATCTTATATTTAAATTCTGTAGAAACCGAGTTTAATTATTTATTTTTCAGATTTTGAACTTTTCCATTTGTCCAGTTGATTTGGGAATTATTGTAAAGATTTTGCCGCTCTAAAAATTATTTTGAAAATGAAGAATACAAAAACAAGATAATAGAAACGCGTACAAAAAGCAAAACACGAATAATTAATTTTATTAACGACAAAAATGATTTCTTTTAAATCTCTGCTGTTTTTACCAAAAAAATATCGTTTAAAAGTGCTCATTCTGCTAAATAAATTATTAAACTCGGTTTCTGCAAAATTTAAATAACAAAATTTCGAAGGAAAATACGAAAAATGAGCGAGAAATAAAAAAAATGAATATGCGAAATTAAAAAAAAAGCCCTCGTAAATCGCTACGAGGATTACGGTAGCTATCTCTTAGCATTGCGTACAAAACGTAGGATCCTACGACACTTGGATACATTTGTCATTTTTCAACAATTCTTTAATTTTGCGAATTTGAAGGCATCACCTCCCTTTAGTCGTTTGACGCCGACAATAATTCAGCCCTCACCTTCCATTAAGCGATTCTTCAGCCTTTCCGCAACTGTCATTGAATTCAATTCACGAATTCTCGAAATATACAAGGCGATTGTGAAAATGAGCATCGCTGAAGGTCAGTCAGAAGACACCTTCTTCAAATGCCCATTTCTTCCCTATTTAATGAATTCATGGCGGGAACGAAATTCGAGCCGTGCCGTCCGTTTTGCCAACACCTCGCTGTGAGTGCCTGCCTATACGTTGTTTTCGAGTTTATTTTTTCATTTTCGATTCGTCGTGCGTGTTTTTTTCGTCGTGCCAAATGCCAAGCGAAATGAAATAAAAAAATAGGCATAAATCAAGATGCGTCGAGCAGCTGGCGTGAGTCTTTAATGCGACAACCGACACAAATCATCGAGTAGTTAAGTGCTCGTCGATTCGATCGCGAAACAACAAACCACGCATTGCGATTGCGTACTACATATTTTCTTTTCTTTCTTTTTTTTTATGACAACAAACGTATCTTCTATTCCGATGGTCATTTATCATTGAGAAACGCTGAGAGTTTTTGTAGTGAGGTACGACAAAAAAAAATCGTTTCATTGGACTCTGACGATAAACAAAATGGTTAAATATCGCTATTTGGAATGGCCTTGAAAAATTATTTAAAAATGAAAAGTTTGGCAAACTATTACGACTTTCTTTATTTAAACAAGGTTGTGACTTCTATTCGGCTTTTGAAATCACATTTAATTCGTAAACACTTGTTTCGTTCTATTAAATTAATTTAATAAATCCATAGTTGTCAAAAAAAGGGCCCTTTGTTTGAATTACCGCCGACGCTATTTACATTAAACAAAGGGCACCGTAAACACGGAGTGTCGTTATTAGTCGGTTTTTTTCTCCTATTCTATTGATGCTTGGCAATTTTTTGTTATTTTTTGCAAATGTAATTAGTGATTAAAAGTAAAATAAATATAATAATTTTTATATAAATACACCAAGAAATTCGAGTTTTGAAGCTATAAAATTTTGCAATAAAATCTCGAATAAAATGTTGTATGTAAATCATGTAAATCAGACGAAGATTTCATGAAATAATTCTATTCTACAGGGTTTTATTCGAAAATCAAATGCTATAATTAATTCTGTGAATCAAACAGCAACACGGAAAACGTCCGCAGATGTTTATAATGAAATGTCTTTTGTTACGATTTAAAAGTAGGACATCACTGAATAAATCCATCTAGTGTGGCCGCGGCTGAACCTATTTTTAGGGCATTTTTCTAGGCCATGTCAACAGCGGTTAGCCGTGTTCTATGAAGCTCCTTGAACTGTTTGATGGCGTCGCAAAAATGTTCTTCGTGGCACCCCGAGACGATGAATGGATTATCTTGGGCTCACATTCTGCTTGGGAAGCTCGATGATGGAAGCGTGATTAGCATTTACCATTACTCCAAAATATAACCGAATAACCTGAAACTTGGCAAGCCAATGAATTAAACAATTATAGACAAAATTAAATTGTATTGATGCTCAAAAAGTGCGACAGAAAACCGCACCTTTGCGTCAAACTTTGTGCAGGGTAATTATATTCCACCCTTTAAGAAAATGAGCCACGTTTTCTTCCAAAATTTACCATTGTTCCGCCCAAAGCAAAAAAATCCTGCTTTGCCCGAGTAAAAAAATGATGTCCTTTTAAATTAAAAGGACTTATTAAAAGTTTTAATAATAAAGTATATTAATACGATCCATTGAACACTACGACATTAAGACATTTTCGTGTTTTTTTTTTGATATCGGGTCTAAGACGGGGACTGTAAAAAATGTTTATTTTGCGATAAATACAATACGAAAAAAAATGAGGAAAATATTGAAACATCTAAGCAGCTGGACATCCAGGTCCTCGCTCTCCTTCGGCACACTTACACTCGGACTCCTTCATTCTTCGCTCAGTGATGTCGCGTCCCTCTGGAGTCTTTCCAATGACACAAAGGCACCCTCTCGGTCGTGGATAGCATCCATCCTTCAGTCCTTTGAATTTGTTCTTGAGCTCGTCAACAACAGCGGCGTAGTTCGCCTGAGCTCGCTCTCGGACCGGATCGCGAACATCATAGTTGGGCTGCGATCGGCTCTGGTGCTGCGGCAAATCCTTGACGCTGGCGCGGGCGACGCTCGATGGCTGGCGTTGGTGTTGGACACCAATGTCTCTCTTGGCGCGCACACTGCACTGCTCGGCGTTGTTGTACGACGTCACCACCTCATTTCCATTCGCGTCCTTTTCGTTGCACTTGCATCCTCCCGATGGCTTTGGGAAGCAATTCTCCTAAATTGCCCAAAATTGGAATGATTCGATGTACATATACTCAAAGGCTACCTTGAAGTTGCCGAACTTCTCCTTGATCTCATCGTTCACATTCTTCTTATCCTCAGCAGTCTTCACTTCGACCGCCTTCTTGCAGTCGGAATCGCGCGAGTATTCAATGACAGTCTCGCCGTGTCCCAAGTCGACGTTGCACTTGCATCCTCCCGATGGCTTCGGGAAGCAGTTATCCTTGAACGCGCCGAACTTCTGCTTGATCTCGTCGCCAAGCTTCTTCTTGTTCTCAGCGGTTTGGACTGGAATGATCAACGGATATCGGATGCTCATTTCAATCGATTCTGATTCTCACGTTCAACCGGCTTCTTGCAGAAGTCGATGTTGTCAAACTCGCGAGTGGTCACCTCATCATGTCCCTCTTTCACATCGCATTTGCAGCCTAGAATATTTCAGTGAAATGCTTAAAATGACGAATCGGTCGGGATTCATTTCCCTCAATATCGATTCGTACCTCCTCCGGCTTTAATATAGCAGTTGTCTTTGAAGTTGTGTTGAACATTATTGATAATGACAGCGGTGTCTCGGCGAACAGCGGCCTGAAAGGAGTCTTTGAGAGAGAAAAAATAAAGCGCAGAGAAAACTAGTTTCCAAATCAAATCAAAATCTCAAATTTCGACGAAGAATACAAAAAATGACCTTTTGAGCAATTTGTTTGTCTACCCACCCATCGTCCTTCACCGATTGTGTCTCCCCCCTTTAATCTGGTCTTTTACCTTTTATGGCCGACCAAAATAACAACAAATTTAGTAGTTATTTCAAGTTCCTCAACGATCTCGGAAGTTTGCTTAGCGAGAGGAAAAAAAAAACGTCGGATGGTAAACTTTGTTGGTATATTTGTTCGCGTCTTCACAAAGAAACCCTCCCCCCGGTTGAAATCAATTTTGAAATATCAAATGAAAATTGGTGCCAAAATTGGAATACCTGAGAGGCGACGACGAGCCCGATGAGCACAAGAATCGACTTCATTTTTGAGTGAGAGAAGTTCGTGAAAATCACACGTCGATCGCCGTCTTTTATACGCGCTTCGTCGCTCGATTCTCGCTGTCTCTCGTGTCTCGCCGCGATCGCTGCTAGTGGGCGGAGTCGATGTCGGTTCGGTAGCACGAATGAGTCAGCGAATCTGGCTGGAATCATAAGGTTGATGATGAGCTTCGATTTTAAACAATCCATGTGTTATTTTGAAACTGATAACAACGAAATGAGTCATCGGCGGGGGAAGAATCGAATGAAATCAATTCCATTCTGAAATTCTCTTTGTTGAGGTTTTTTATTAGATTTTTCTTCCCATGATTTTTTTAAAGTTTCGTGATTTCATTGTTATATTGAAAAAAGAGAGAGGAATTCAGAAAATTAGCAATTACAGAAATTCCAGATTTTTTTCTTATTAATGGGTTCAAAAAAAAATAAATTGCAGTGAAGATCCACTGAACGATACTCGAAGTATCACGAGTTTCAATTCATATTTGAATTACCGCCTTTAAAAAGTGCAATGGTCCGAAACCTTTTAGAAAAATTTGGTAAGAAAATTGAAGCAAAAAAACAATTTCCGGAAAAGGTGTGCATACACATGCACGCAAAATTGCACATATTTTTTTCAAATATTCATGAATTATATTCAAAAATTTGCATTTGATTTTCGAAGAAAAAAATGAATTTCGACATTTCCATGCTCAATTTTTGATGAGAATGGAAAAATTGGATGGAAATTTAAATTTTGAAAGGCCAGAATTAATGCAAAAGAATTAAACAGCACATATATATTTTTTAATAAAAAATTATTCATTTTCATTCTCCCATCGAAATATTTCAATTTTTCCTTCTGTAGTTAACACTCCAATACTATTTTTCGAATTCTCATCGAAAGTCCAAATAAACATTTCAAAGTGATTTATCAATATTTCGAATAAACAAAAACACATTTGATTTCAAAAATAAATCGAGACCGATTTTATAAACATAAACTATATTGGAAATGAATTGTTTATTTGAAATGATCAAAATTCAAAAATTTCAAATACAAATGTATAATAAAGAAAGAAGAAGAAGAAGAAGTTATTGAATAATTGTGGACCATCGCTTTTTTTGAAGGCGATAATTCAAAATTTAATTCAAACAATGGGCGATAGCCTGCGAATCAAACTGGGTGCTCATTTTGTAGAAGCTTGGCGACGTGACAAAACCGAGATAAATTTCTCAATCGCATAAAATGAAGGCGTCCGTATGAAAATACATACATATTATGTATTTCGTGGAGAACGAAGGTCATTTCCAATGCCATTTCGGTTGACAATTTTCTTCGATTCGTTTCGATGCTTAAAGCGGATCCACAAGATCAGGTATTTTTGAACACTCAATTTTTTGGCTCATCGAGTAAATCTTTTTTTTTCAGCAAAATTTCATTCCCAAAAATGAATCCCCTCAATTTTGGAGGGGTCTGAGCATTGTTTAAAAAAAAAAGAAATAATAATTTTTAATTATTCATCCCAATTCATTTAATTGTCCCATATATGTATATTGTTTTTTTTTATGACATCTAGTAGAATGGAATCTTGCGGGGCCGTCGGATGGTTGCTATGCACACGTCGTCCAGGTGCTCGAAACGTCTCGATTCCGATTATTTATTGCCGAGGCGTCTCCTCTGGAAACCGTTGATTTTCGACGGCCCGACGCGCCTCGCCCAAAAATTTCTCAATTTCGTTTTCGCCGCGCTATACGAATTCCGATTGTCGCTTGTTCGATTCGATGAACTACGAGGACGATGCTCGGTGGGCGAACCCACCGCAGCCTGTCGCTTCCGACGCGCCACCGCCGCCGATGTTCGACCACGCGATGACCAGCGAGGAGTATGAGAATGAGAGGAAGAAGAACCCGAAGCCGACGAAGGGCATCTCGTTCACACAGGCGCTGTTGGCGTCGGGTGTCGAGAAGTCGGACGGCAAAATCAAATTGACAGCCAGCTCATTGATGGAGGTCGGAACTTATGCGGTTTTCCTCATCGTTCTCGTTTATGGTAATCAACGCAATAATTGAAAATCGACGGTTTCGATTTTCAGTGGCGTTCGCCCAGAACAACATCCAATCCTACTACTACAACAAAGTGATGAACGATTTGTTCGTTTCAAGAAGTCCGACGGTTGGAACGTTGACATTCAAGACATGCACCACTATGGACGATATCTGGACGGTTCGTCAATTTTTTCAGAATTTTCAGTTAATTTCACAAATCATTTTCTGGGCTCTATTTCTGAGAATCGCCCTCAATATTTCAGTGGCTCTCTCAAATATTGATCACCGGAATTTACTGGAGCGAAACGGACAATTCGACCGACACCGACATGATCTACTATGAGAACAAATTGCTCGGCGAGCCGAGAATCCGAATGCTCAAGGTGCACCATTTGAGCGGTCATTTGTGAGAGTTTCGCTTGAAATTCAGGTCCGAAACGATTCGTGTACGGTGATGAAAAGCTTTCAACGAGAAATCAAAGAGTGCTTCGCGAACTACAAGGAGGATTTGGAAGACCGTCAGCCATTCGGCAACCAAACCGGCGCCTATGTGTATCAGACGGCGAAGGAATTGGAGAACCACGCAACGTCGGGCAGCATTGCCACCTACGGCGGCGGCGGATTCGTGCAGAAGCTGCCGCTGACCGAATCCACTGAAGCGCAATCAAGTCTCGAGCAGCTCAAGGTGAACCCCCCATCCCGCTTTTGTGATTGACGATCATTCGTTCGTTATTCCAGTCGAATCGCTGGATTGATCGTGGAACTCGAGCAATCATTGTCGACTTTGCTCTCTATAATGCAAATATCAATCAATTCTGTGTTGTCAAGTACCAAATTCAAACCAAATTTTGAACATCTCAATCTATAGGCTACTATTCGAGCTGCCAGCCTCCGGCGGAGTCATCGCATCGCCGATATTGATGACGTACAATTTGATGAGATATCAGGAAAAATCTGGAACCGTCATGATCGTCTTCGAAGGCATTTTCAGCGGATTCATAGTAATCATATTGAAATTGGCGAAATTTCAAAAAAGAAAAGCAATGACTCTTGCCGCAAAATTATTGTTTAAAGGCGCACACAGCTCTCAATTTTTTTCGTCGCGCGAAAGAGACATTCCGAAATTGACTTGACGATTTCAGCTATTTTTCATATTGGAAGAATTATTTGCATTCGCTCGTCAACGCCTCTATTATTTCTTCTCATTCTGGAATCTCATCGATGTTTTACTTCTTGGGGTGATTTGTCAATTCGAATTGATCGAATCCGAATCCGGAATCCATTTTGCAGTTCAGCGTCGCCGCAATGATCCTTTCAATTCGTCGAACCTCGATTGCCACCGATCGAGTCAATAAAGTGATTGAAGGTTTTTAAAGCGCGCTCCAAATATATACAATTATGATTCCAGGAGGCCTTCTGAATGCCGCATTCGACGACGTCACCGCTGCCGAGAACATCTATCTCAACATGAAAGCGCTCGTCGTTTTCATCGCCTGGGTCAAAGTGTTCAAGTTCATTTCGGTCAACAAGACCATGTCGCAGTTGTCGTCGACGCTCACCAGATCCGCCAAGGATATCGGCGGATTCGCCGTCATGTTCGCCGTGTTCTTCTTCGCGTTCGCCCAATTCGGATACCTCGTGTTCGGAACCCAAATCTCCGATTATTCCAATTTGTACAATGCCGCTTTCGCGCTGCTTCGCCTCATTCTCGGAGATTTCAATTTCGCGTTAGTTCGGGGGCGTCTAATTCGAGCTCCGATTCAAATTCCCTCCATCGCTGATAATTTTCAGAGCTCTCGAGAATTGCAACCGCTTCTTCGGACCCGCGTTTTTCATCGCCTACGTCTTCTTCGTCTTCTTCATTCTTCTGGTATGATTCGTATTGATATAAGGCGACTCATCGAATTCCTCTCGTAGAATATGTTCTTGGCCATCATCAACGATTCGTACGTTGAAGTCAAGGCGGAATTGGCGCGAAAAAAAGATGGCGAAGGAATTTTGGATTGGTTTTTGAATGTAATCCAAAAAATGAGAAGGAATCTCCAACATTCTTGTGGTTTTTGCAATTTTCAGAAAATTCGAGGATTCGGAAAAAAAGGAAAGAAGCCCGAGAAACCGGAAGACAATCTGACATACGAAGAGTATAAAATGATACTTTATAGGTTATTTTTTCAAGACGATATTCCAGTTAGGAATATTATATTCATTTTTAGATCTGGCTACGCTGAAAAGGATATCAATGAAGCTTATACTAGATTCAATGTGACTTCAATGCAGGACCATGTTCCACCAAAGGTAAAACCTCGTTCGGGCAACCGTCAAGACAACAAATGCTTTCAGATTGTCGAGGATATTGCTGATGAGGTGGCTAAAACCGCCGAGCAAAGGCGAACTTATATGGAGAACCATCGGGACTATGTCATGTAATCATGTTCAATTCGACATAAATCGTTGTGATTCAGTTTGAATCGTCGCGTCGATCAAATGCAAGAATCCGTGTTGAATATTGTGGATCGAATCGAGCAAATCAGCGGCACTCTGATGCAAATCGAGCAGCAGCGAATGAAGGCCAAAGACGAGCAAAACGTGAATGAGATAAATGTGAGTTGATGTCCGCCGATTAGACAACGCATCATGTTCAGAATCTATTCTACAACGATCTCCGCCATCGCAATGTGACGCACGGCGCGTCGCATTCAAATGACAGTCACGATCTCGCCGATTGATTCCATTTCATCCGATTATTTCGCATTGCAACTCAAACAAGACGAAGGCGTTCCGAGTGCTGATTCGTATGGTCCCTCAATTGCACACCATTTTCTCTCCCCCCAAATCTGTTCGTCTTGTTCTGTTGCTCGCCGAAATTCCAATAAATCATTTCTTGTTAAACACTATTTACTATTAAACAAAGTATAATTTAAATAAATAAATAATATCAATAATATCAATAAAAACAATTAATTGGATTGGGGTATCATTTGAGCCAACGGAATCACCTCGTATTGATCCATACAATCCTCATGAATATAGCTATATTCACAACAACTCGGACAATATTTATTCTCATCAATTGAGAATAGGCGGTAGCCGTTTCTGAAAATTTGATTCGAAATCGACGTGTTGTTTTTCTCTCACTTTGCAATTTTCTGCATCAAATTGAGATGCATTTTCGGGGTTCCGTGAATTTCAATGAATATCTCAAATCGAAGAATTTTGAGCAAAACAGCAAACCGATTACCTGGCATACACGGACTTTCTCCAAAAATGGAATGAGCGCCTGAAACTCGGCGCCTTCGATATCGATTTTGAGCATTTCGGCGGTTTTGCCGTCTTCGAGAACACTTTCTGAAACAAACGGGCTTCAATCATTCTCAAACAAAATCCTACCGATTCCTTCTTCCGCCGATATTTTCATTGTCACCAACTTGCCGTTGATACTTTTGTAGGTTTTCTGGGTTTCCGAATTCTGCTCATCCTTTAAATTGCTCATGCCTCTCATGTTTCTCTCATTCTTTTTAATTGAAACCAACCTTATCGACTCCAATTATTTTACATTTATATGATGTGATTGCTTGAATTTCCTCATCAAACATTATTTGATTGCTCAAACCGAGAGAGATTATCCTGGAATTTTTTCCGGATTATATAGTCGGCGTCCGGCGACTGCTGTACGCGAGTAGATTTACGTGCGGGTCTCGCAAGGACTAACAGGTTATTTCAGATTTTATGGATCGGTTCGATAATTATTTAATCGAATGCCGTTGAAAATTCCTCGAATAGAAAAAATGAAATTGTGTGATTAAGGGGAGGGCGAGGTGTCCTCTTAATTATAGCAATTTGAATTTATCATTAAAATCAAAATCAAAACCGAATATCAAAATAAAAGACACCCAAACAATTTTTTGATTTTTTTTTTGAATTTACCTCACGGGCTTTCAGTAAAAAAAATTCGCGACCAGCCGACCCGCAACGACACTCCAAGTTTACATCGAGGCCTTTGTTTAGCGTAAAAAGAATTTCGAATTGCATTATTTACAATATATATAATTTATTTTGAGTAAAATTAATTGTTCTTGGAACAAAAATTGCTAAGAAGTTCACAAACAAAATTGGTGATGCAAGTATGGTAATTTTCGTCTGCTTTCATAAAATTAAGCTTGGTTTAAAATCAAATAAAAATGTATGGCAATGTCGAATCGAATCCGAGGAAAATATAACATTATGAAGCGAATAATTTCACCTGAGAAAAGTGACGATTTTAAAATTTGTCACATTTTTATAGATCATTAAGCTTAATTTTTGAAAAAATTCATTCATTTTTAACTTAATTTAATCAATAGTATTTTTTAAATATTGATTTTTATTGAACATTTTTGAGAAAACCCACTGGTGAAAAAATAATCATTGAACCCCAATAATTCATTTTGGTCATTTTGACCCATAGAAATTTTTCAGAAAGATAATTGCAAGAGAATCGGTAGTGAAAATTTGCTTGGGAAAAAACGATAATGAAGAATCATTGGCCATTTCAAACAGTTTATACTTGCACAATCGTCTGTATTTGTACAGTACGTAGTTGGGCAATTGGATTCGAAAGAAGGAAAATGAGATATAAATGAACACGACTTTCGATTGAGAAAGTGTTCAAATTCGATTTGGAAACTTTGCTTCTTCGAAATTGATCGATTTTTTCTCGTTTTGAAATCGCATTTCATTGAATTTTTGGAATAATTCGAAACTAATCAATTTATATTCGATTTTGATTGAAAACGAAAATATATGTTCAAATCCGATTGATTTTCATTTACTTGAGAAAATACATCATCGATTTTGAACAAAAACCCCCACAATTTTCCCTTCCTACAATAAAATTTTTATATGGTTTTATATTAAATATTATAAGGCTCAAAATGTTTAATACTTTCCGATTTTGAGTTTTAAAACATAAAATTTGGTTACTATCAAATGTCAATAAAAATAGGAGACTAACGTGCATCCATCATTGATATTCTTCGGATTACACACTAATTTACTGCCATCATCATTGCCTCCAATTTGCGTTTTCAGCGGACAATGCGCCTGAAATCACAATTTCGCTGAAAAACGTCCGCAGATGGAATAATCGACTTCTGGTTTCAGAGATTTATAGAATACAGCGTTCTCATTGCCATTCGCCTTCTCCAAAATATTATCAGTGACACTTTTCGAATACAAAATCGCATATCTTTGCAACGTCTGAAAAAAAATTCCAGGCTTTTAAGAGAATTTCATCAATTCGCTGACCTCATAAAATGAGCTTTTCCTATTAATTGGAGTATTATTCGAGCAAAATGACGAAATATCTGCAAGAAGAAAAAATGAACAAAAAATGGGTTCATTCGATTATGGTCAACTTACGACTTTTCCCAATTCTCAAATAAATTAATATAGTTAGGCCAATTAAAACGGCGAACCCAATAAATGTGGTATTGTAATTTTTTCTAGCCATTCCATTCACCAAAATGCCCATCTCGTTGGCAACAGTGTCCAATTCGTTTGTTTGACCACCTGGAGCTCAAACGATTTTTGCCGAAATGAGGCCAACGCCGATATCAAAACAAAATTAATACAAATATGATGGATTTTGAGGGTCACGTGTCTTTTTTTTTCACGGATTCGATTATTTTCTTGGAAATTCCAAATTTTCGAATTTTATTGGGACCTTTAATATGAATTCAGGATGGTTCTTCGGAGTAGAACTCGGCGAATGAATTGATGAGCCATTGAACCAAAAATTATGGGACAAAATAATTTTTTAAAGTTGAGTTCGTATTTAAACACAAAAAAGTTTGAATGTACCATCAAATATAGTAGATACATTTACAATTTAAACGAAAATCATGTTTGAGCAATTTATAGGCTTTAAGAGTTTTAATCAAGGGTCTAAATTGATTTTGAACATTTGCAAAACCCTCAAAAATGAAACTACTTAAGGATTTTATAAAGAATTGTGAAATGAAAATCAAAAACTTGAAAGAAATTTAAAAAAATCTGAAAACAATTCCGATTATATAATCGGTTTCAAGTTTTTAAACTAATTTGAGATTTTTTTCAGTTTCAAAATTTCGTAGCGATCCAACCACTTTGAAGAAAGTAAAAAACCAAAAGCTGGATTTTATAAGAGCTTGAAACAATTTCCTACATTTCGATATATTTCGAACCTTTTTACTACCTTAACTTTTTTATTTTGGATGTCCTCTATTAGCAATCGAGTTCAATTCGCCATGGTTGGCCAATAATTATTAACTAAATATTTTTTAACTAAATTCACTAAATATGATTTTTAACTAAATATAATTATTAACTAAATAAATAATTTTTAACTAAATTCATATTTTTCAACTAAATAAAATATTTTTTAACTAAATATGTTTTTTAACTAAATAAATCCAATTTTTAACTAAATAAACCTACAGTAAAATGATACGAAATAATTAATTTTCTTCATAACATTTAAACGAGTGGTTCAATCGAGCTGAATTTTTTAGCACTTATTTTCATTGACTTAAATGTTTAAAAGTTATATATTATGGAAATTAATTTTTTCCAAGTATATTTCGCAAAAAAATCGAAATTGCAAAAAGTCATAAAAATAAGTGTATAAATTCAAATTGCTGTAGAAATAAAATTAGATCATCAAACACCAAATAACTTTTTTACAACTATGAATAGACCTAATACTTAGTCGCTACACCATTTGCGATCAGCTTTAGATAATTTTTAGATCCTTTTAGTCAACCCATCCTTAAAAGTAATGAATATATCACAAAGAATCGAAAACTAAAAAATATATTTAAAAAATAGGATAACTAAAATTTATCGATTTTTCCGTTTTGCAAATTTCAAAAAATAGTTTTCTAGCACGTATTTTTTCGAACTAGTGTAATTCACTTTGCAGTTAGTTTTTAATTGTGTTTTTGACTCCCAGTAAAAATTTCATTTCGATTGGACCACTCGTTCAAAAGTCATGACGGAAAATTATTATTTCGTATCTTTTTCTGCGGTTCTGTAGCTGAGTATAAAAGCGTGTGCATAGTAGTTTATCCATCTATATAATAGCAAAATATGATGTGCAGCTTATCGACTCTTCAAAAATTTACCAAGATTTTATACAGTGCGTCGCAGAATTATAAGGCCACCCCCGAATTTGAACGCCGCGCAATGATTTCGATATTTTGAGACCAACCAGTGTTAAAATCGTGTTATGCATAAAAAATTACCTATATGTACCAATTTTTATGTTAGCATCTTCAAAAGTAACCGCGCAGTGGCCCAAAACCGTTTTTCGAGCGGTGCAGAATTATAAAGCCACCCCCATGAAATACGTTATAAACTCAAAAATAATGACAGTTCAATGTTTGGTGGAACCTCCATTTGAGGTAATAATGTCAGAAACACGGTCTGGCATAGATTTGAGAAGTTTTGAAACATGTTTGGCCGATTTAGATTTGAATTTCTGCTCCAACGTCTTCCATCAAAATGATTCAAAAATAGAAAAATAGGGAACACTGTAGGTTCTTAAAGCCACACAACGATTTTTGTGCACATTGGTCCCGTGACAGTTAAAAAAAGCGAAATAGTCTGTTTCATGGGGGTCGGTTTATAATTCTGCTCCGCTTGAAAAAACGATTTTTGACCACTACGCGGCTACTTCTTAAGATACTACCATAAAAAATTGGTACATATTGGTTATTTTTCATGCTGAACACGATTTTAACACTGGTTGTTCTCAAAAAATCGAAATAATTGGGCGGTGCTCAAATTCAAAATAACTCTAATTTATTCAATCCTGACCTTTAATTTAATATAAAAACACCTAAAACGTATAACATGAAATTTTATCATTTAATTTTGATACAATAGGTCAGATACAATGCGAACATTGCATTATAGTGTTCGCGCATTAAATATTCAGTCAACGATTAATTTAAATCTACACTGATTTCTCGAATTTTAAGGCCCCGCCTCCCTTTTGTCGTTTGACGCCGACAATATACTTCTTAAATTTTGAGACGGACAGCAAAAAAGACATCCCTTGTAAACTAGGTTTATTTAGTTAAAAATAATTTTATTTAGTTAAAAATTGGATTTATTTAGTTAAAAAACATATTTAGTTAAAAAATATTTTATTTAGTTGAAAAATATGAATTTAGTTAAAAATTATTTATTTAGTTAATAATTATATTTAGTTAAAAATCATATTTAGTGAATTTAGTTAAAAAATATTTAGTTAATAATTATTGGCCGCCAAGGTTAAGGTGGCGGCCGGGAAAAAATTAGGCCAGAATAACCCGTCCGCGAAAAAAAAATAGTTTAACATTGAGTATTTTTGGAATAATCAGCTGTGAAACGTTATTCAAGAGCGCTTTTTCTTACCTTTATAGCATTTATATTATCGGAAATACAATTTGGATCCGTTTTTATTCAAAATATTAACGATTTATTATTTATATGTTAATAATATGAAATATTGTCAAATTTCCGATAAAAACCTTCCCCTAACACAAAATCTATACCGACTTTGAAACATCAAACTACTTTATATTCATTTTTTTAAAATTATTTTCTATTTAAGGACCACCCCCCCCCGCTCCCCTCTCAAAGCGGTTTATCTATTCGAGACCCAAGAGAACAATTCAAACCTTAAGAAAACGACACCCGCAAACTCATTTGTTCACGGCAATGTATGGAAACAACATTTTGTTGAATTTTCGAATTGTATCGCTAAAAACGAGCTACGAAATTAATACATATAATTTTGAGGAAGCATTTTGAAGATTCATTTGAACTTATCAGACTTTATTTCGGACATGACAAATTTCACAAAAGGGCGCGCCCATGGGCAATGTTTAATTAATTCCTCAAACGGCTTATGTCCATTGTTGACACTGGTCAATGATTTTAAGAAACATATTCTTATGTCATCATGCCCAATACATAATATGCTCAAACCAAAATTAAACAAATTTTAAAAAATAAAATTTTAAATCAAAAATATTAAAAACAAAAGCTCCTTCGAAGGCGTGTTTCTCTGATTCATTCATGCATTCCTATTGTCATGGTGAATGCCCGAAGAATGGCAAATTTCAAACAATTGTTGGCACCTTTCTTCTCACGTTTCAAGTTTTATTCGAAACCAAAATGATACAATATTTTGAATTTTTGTTTATTCAGCTACATCATCAAATGAGGCGGGACTACAAAGAGCCCGTTGGAAAATGCTCATTGGTGCTCAACTCAAAACGAGCGATGATGATTATAATCGGTGGCATTTCGAATGGAGAATTCAAACAAATTTGAACCAAACATGACAAGGATTTGCATGAATTATCAACACCAACAACCCAATTCTTTCATGTTTCATTGTTTTCAATTTTCTGCCTCTCAAAATGGTGGTCGTTATCGATTCGCGCGCCGATTTGGCGCAAGAGAAAATCATTTTGGCGAAATTGAGGTTCTCGATGGATTTTGATCGAAATGCTGAAGCGAAATTTCAGAAAATACCATTTCTCAGTTCTATTCCTCAGTATCGCATGTGTGGCTCTTCTAATATGGGCTCTTGTCGCAACAACTCTGCACATTCTCAAACCGGTCCCTGAGGTTTTCGATGAATATCTCATTTCGACCAATTAAGCCCCCTCAATTAAGCATATTGTCGTCGAGCCGAAAACGAAATCCGCGGTTTTTAAAGCAACTGCAGCTGTCAGTGACACCGTATTATGCGCCGAAATCGCAAGGTACGCATTCCTAATTTTTTTGATTCCTAATATATTAAATTTGCAAAAAAAAAACGAGCTGCTCCGATTTACGACAGTTTCGCAGGTTATCCAGATTACAGTATCGGAATTCCCAGACTTAAAATTCAAATTTGAATTACCGCCTTGAAAAAGTGCGATGGTCCATGATTATGCAAGGCACTCGATTTTTTTTGCGATGATAATACGAAATGCGATTTTGAATTTTCGAACTTCGGAATTAATTAAACGTGCAGTTTGTCTTTTATGGTACTATGCTGATTTTTTCGAAGAAATACAGTTTAATCACTGTCGGAAGCCTTTAACTGTAATAGAGAAACTTGAATTAAAAAGAATAAAACAATTAAAGGGGTATGCGGTAAAATTAAGATGATTCTTACAGCATCTAAATGAAAATCAATCGGATTTGAACATATATTTTCGTTTTCAATCAAAATCGAATATAAATTGATCAGTTTGGAATTATTGCAAAATTTCAATGAAATGCGATTTCAAAACGAGAAAAAATCGATCAATTTCGAAGAAGCAAAGTTTCCAAATCGAATTTAAACACTTTCTCAATCGAAAGTCGTGTTCATTTATATCTCATTTTCCTTCTTTCGAATCCAATTGATTTTCATCTACCTAAGGTTTTGCGAGTTTTTCTTCTTCAATTTTTATGGTTTCTTACTGCTTTTTTTTTAAGATTTTTTGCGACCATTATTCATTAAAAAAACATTGTCGACGTCTGCGGAAAATTGACTATTTGCCAAAATAATTCAAGAAGAGGTCTCGGTGCGCCTTTAATCTATTTTTGCCCCTAAAATCTACACTTTTCGATTTGCGCCAAGACCACTATGTTTTATGGTTTTTTGCGAATTTTCCGGTGTCCAGAAAACTTTAACAAAAATCGAATTTTTTTGTTTGCATCGAACTGAACCCGTCAAAAATTGTTCAAATTCAATAGAGTCGGCGACTGCTGTACGCGGGAAATATACGGGAATACATCTTTTGAAATGGTCTCGCAAGGACTAACAGGTTATATCAAATTTTATGGACCGGTTTGACAATTTTTTAATCGAATGCCGTTTAAAATTCAAGGAAATGCGAAACTCATTAAGAAAAATGAAGCAGTTCACGTGAAAACAGCAAAATAAACATTCACGCGTGGCGAGACCTTTTCAAGGCGCATGCGCGTAAATCCACCCGCGTGCAGCCGACAATACGAAAACCACAAAAATGTGATAATTGAATTGAAGAGATGTCATAATGCAAGGCGGGAATGCTGTTGATGCCGCAATTGCAGCCACATTCTGCACCGGCGTCACACTGCCGTACGCGACCGGACTCGGCGGCGGAGGGTTCATGGTTATTTACATGAAGTATGACAAACCAATACGATATCAATGATGGTTGAAAATTAAGAGAAACCAAAAAGTGTATATTTTTGAATTCGCGCGAGACTGCTCCGCATCGCGCGAAAAAGGATATGTTCGAATATGATCAAGAAGCGGCTCAGTTCGGTAATCGAGACCCCTCATTTTTTTCTCTCGAACCCACTTTTCATTTAGGATACACTTCTATTGGGGTTCCTGGAGAATTGCACGGTCTGTGGACCGCTTATAAACTTTATGGATCCAAGGTTTGTCGAATCGGAAGAGGGTGGATGGGTCTGAACAATGGTTTGAAGGTGGTGTCTTGGAGCGATTTGGTAATGCCGTCGGCGCGATTGGCGAAAGCGTTTCCAAACACGTTGGCAATTTATAATTATTTGGATCGGATTGAAAAGTACGCGGATCGCGAGGAGATTCAGCCGCTCAAGTAAGTGGTTCAATTTTGTTTTTTTTTTTGGAAAAAATTGGGAGAAACAAAAAATTTCCGAATGAATGCATCCTACTTTTTTTTGGAATTGTGTACATAAATTTTGCATTTTTTTTTGTCGAGGCCATTTTTTACAAAAGAAAAGCAAATAAAAGAATACGTGGTTCATTCTTTTCTGGCGACGACCCAACATTATGCAAAATATTCATATAGTCGGTTTCAGAAGAAAAAAAATTGCGTCGATGATGTCCATTTGACATCATCTGATTTCTGTTCGTCCAGAATAGTATTCAGTATCATCATTTTTATGAAATATAAGCAGAATCCCAGAATTATTGAAAAAGCGACCGCACGCGAGCCGCAGCGCGCCTGACGTCATAGGCTTTCTATTTTTGAAATATTTATTGTAAGGCGTTGGCGGCAATTCAAACAACTTTCGCGCTGTAAGGAGGGTCCGATTTTTTCCCACAAAAATCCAACAATTTATTTCAAAAAAGAAAATGCGAAAATTAATATAATTTGCAGGAATTTATACTACGACAAATATACGGATTCCTATTTCAATGATGGCGACATTTTGACAAATTTGGAATTGGCGAAGACGTTGGAAATGATCGCACAATCGGCGGATCCGATTCAATTATTCTACAATGGGACGATTGCCGAAGGAATCGTCGAAGAAATGCAACTGAATGGCGGAATCATTACCCTAAAGGATCTTCAGAATTACAGAACCGATATATCTGGTAGAGGGGGAGGGATGGGGGTGCGAAAAAAGGAAACTACATCTCATTTCAGAAGCGTTGTATTCTGAAATTGATGGCTATAGAATGTGCGGACCACCACCGCCATCATCCTGGGTCATCACACAAATGATCCCAAGAATCCTTGAAGGTCATTCGTTTTAACAATTTCGTAGAGATGGCATTTGAATTTCAGAGCAATACAGCAATAAAGAATATTTCCAAAACACTGAATTCTATCACAAATTGGTGGAAGCTGAGAAGCTTGCGTACGGTCTGCGAGGAATGTTGGGCGATGCTCGGCATAATGAGAGAATGATGAATTTGGCAATTAATATGACGTCCAAGTCTCGATCAATTATTCGATAATCGACGCATAATTAATATTTAGAAGCTTCATTCAATCAATTAGTTTAAGAGTGCCGAAAGAAGCCGAAGAATTGGAATATTATATGCAAGCGGGTGTTTTTTTTCCAAAAATCATTTTCAGTTATTCAAAATGGTTATTTCAGCCCCGGGTGTTAATGATGCGGGCACTTCTCACACCAGTATTATCGATGATGATGGAAACGCTGTTGCGATCACCTCGACACTCAACATGGCGTAAAATTTGCTCTTTTTCAATCATTCTATTTAAAGACATTGAAATTTGTTATGCTTTTAGTAGTTGAGATCGCAAAATTTGAAGATTGTTGAAGAAAAATGTGGAGGTGTGCATACACACGCACGCAAAATTACACATTGTTTTTCAAAGAAAAAACTAAAAAAAAACAGCGCAAAAATTATTTTTCTTCGAAATTCGAAAAATTTCTTCAAATTTTCTTTCAATAATTTTCTATTTTTTTTTTTGCATATTCGAATATCCAAAAAAAATTCAAGGGAAAAAATGAGAGTTGGGTCTTGCGGCGACTGATTCTGTTAGTCGACACAAGCAATAAAAATAAACTTCTTCAAAATTTTCTCAAAGAAAAAATATTTTAGTAATCAATGACGTTTCTAATTTTAAGATTTTATTTGAAAATTGATAATTTGTGAAAAAAAATTTAGAAAATTCGCAATTCAAAAAAAAATCAATATGTTGAATTTTCAAGATTCGGCTCGAAAATGTTGTCCAAATTCGGTTTCGTCTACAACAATCAAATGGACGATTTCTCAACGCCAGGTCTCACAAATCATTGGGGATTCGAGCCATCGCCAGCCAATTATATTCGGCCAGGAAGAAGGCCGATGAGCAGTATGAGTCCGACAATCATCTTCCATCCGGGAAACGGCCAAGTCCGAATGGTGACTGGAGCCACCGGCGGCTCGAAAATCATCTCAGCGACGGCGCAGACAATCACAAGGGCGATGTTGTTCAATGAAAACGCCGCCAAAATCGGTAGCAATCGAGTGAATCGAGTTGATTGCTTCCAATTTTTCATTTTTTTTCCAGTTGAAGCTCCCCGAATCCACAACCAGCTTACTCCATTTGAGACGCACGTCGAAGTTGGATTCTCAAAGGTTGGCTTAATCGAAACAGAGAAAGATAGAGGAGGGGGGTTCCTTTTTCGATCTAATTAAATCAATTTGAAAATGGGATCATGTGTTTGTGTTGATTACAGAGAATCGCCGATAAACTTGAAGACAAATATGATCAAGAAATCAAAGAAGTCGCCGAGGCATTGGCAATTGTCTATCCGATAACACACGACGATTCGAAATACACAGCGGCGGCAGATTATCGAAGAAAAACGAACAATTCGCCAGCTGGATACTGATATTTATTCAATCATTCTTCATCGAAAATAAACATTTTCATCTTGGCCGATTTTTTCGCGTTACTGATGTTTCACAATGTCGATCATGCCTATCAGCCGGCGCTCGAAAATTTACTTCCGCGTTCGTTTGATTGACACATCATCTAATGATCTTCAACGAATTCGCCCCCACCGCAAACTAGACTGAAACCCAACCAACTCAAATCTCTCATTGATTCCAAATTTCCATATTTGGACGCGTTAACCAGATTAGCCGTTTTCTTCATGGGTGGTCTCATACGCATCAAATCGGATCTTCCCTTTTTTCGCGATTTTGATATCGTTTGGCTATTCGAAAATTCCTTTCAATTGTTTCATATCGGAATGTTTCTAATTTTTTTTTGTGGAAATTTACAAAGAGAGAAATGTTTTTTTCATTGTTTTTTTCAAGACTTCTTCGATTCCAATAGAAAGACTCACAACACGAAGCACATGAAATAATTAGATGATCATGTTACAATCTTCGCACCTAATATGGTCGTCTAATTAATAATAAAATAGTGAAAGGTATTGCGTTGCAGAAAAAACATGAAACATGGCAATTTTAAAATTTTATGAGTTTCCGGGTTGTCCGGTTTAAAGTGAGTAAATTTAAAACCAAAAAAAATTATTCAAAAAGATACTTCCGATATTCTTGGTCAATTTTTCATTTGTATTCAACAGACTTCGATACACCAAAAATTGGGGGCTCGAAATGCTCAATCACGTGAAAATTGCACGTTTTAAAATAGTCGTCGAATAAAATGCATTAGGTGTAAACACTCGAAATACGAATTTTTGGAAATTCGAATTTCAACAACTGATATATTGACTCAAATACGTTTGTTAAGCAATGAAACGAAGACGAACACAAAACGAAGAAGTAAAATTTCGAAATGAAACCGAAAAACACATTGCGGACTTGTGCATTTTATTTGACGACAATACACAATGTGTTGTTGACTTCGCCATCGATTTTCTTCGCTTTGAATTTAAGTAGAATTCTCATTTTTTCGATTTCTTATTTAATTTCAATGATTTTTTAAAACTTCTTAAGATTAACCCCTACCCCCCGCCCCCTTTTTTTAATTCGAAATTTGAATTGCCGCGACGAAAATAAAAATTAAAATGGTCCATAAGCACCATAAAGCTCTGTTATTTTGCATTAATTACTTTTTGACACAATTAAGGACATTTTCAAGGCAATTAAAATTTCGAAGCAAGACATAACTAGAAAAAAACGATATCAGACTCAATAAACGTTCGGGATTTTCACTACCGTATCGACTACAGTATCCTTCGGCAAAGAAAAAGAAACGTTGTTTGTTCCTTCTTGGTTGATTTTCTTCGTCAATTTCTTCAGAAATCAATTCACTGAATTAATGTTGCATTTAATTACTGTAATACCGTTTCCCCCCCGAGAAAATGTGGCAATTTGATTGACGCTTCGTTTGCACATAATCACAACCAGGAAGCAAATTTCGCACCGGTGGTGGGTGTATGCGATTCGCGTTGCGTGGACGATATAAACAATCAGTCTAGCAGAGAGAAACGAATCGAGCGGAGATGACACAAATCGCTCGCCTCATTCCCCCCATTCAAATTTACTGTAGTTGTCGTCTAAAATTGCACAACCTCCCCGCTTATCAATTATTATCGGCTCAGCTTTCGTTGTGTTTTGTTCTCTTCCTTTCTTGGTCATCAAACACCGATTATCAACATGCTTTCACAACGATAGCAAATTCAAAACGTGCTAGAATATGTTCGCAATTGACTACGGTAATCATGCGAAGCCACTCCCCCACATTTATTCGACCTTGTTTGTTGTAATATTCTTATTTGTTGTATACACAAGTTTTTGGCCTTTCCATTTCGTTTATCATTCCTGTCGATTGCAAATTTCTCATTGTCATTTCTAGCAACCTGAAGATCCCGAAGAAGTTAAGAAGCATAAGCTCAAAAAACGCTTTTCCAATTTTTTCAATACTCACCAATTAGTTCGCGATAAACCGAAAACAAGGAACGGCGTTTCCTAGCAGTACGACACTCCAACTACACACCGCCCTCAATTTATTGTCTGCGGATAATCGATAAATTCAAAAGCTATTGCGATTCGTTCAAAGTTTCTAATGGGACCATTCTTGCACATGAAACTGTTTAAATGTAATTTTTTGAATTTTTAAAAGAAAAAATGCAATAAGTACAGTAATTGAATTGCTAAAAGAACCACGAAACTAATAAGACAACTTGCTGTATTTTTTAAAGCTACGGAATTAATTTTTTAATCGTTGGATCCAATTTTCTCGTTTTTTTAAAAATATATTAGTGTTTATAAAGAAGTAGGGAAAAAAATAAAGATTAATAATGTTATTTTCCGAAAAAGGAAAAATTAGGAAAAAAATTGAATACTGTAACTGCGAAAAAAATACGCATGGCAACAAATTGTCTCATTGTTCGCGCGATTTTCTTCGTAATTTAACTATCATAATTTTAGCATGCCTGCATTGAAACCATTTCGATTTTAAACATTTGCCGAAGCATATCTTAAGGGTAGATCAATACAATTCTACTGTATGAATTCATTGTGAAAAGTTTTCACGCTGATCGCGCTTTATAATTATTTCTAGCTCCGATTTATTTTTTCGCGAAAAATTAGAAACTAAATATTACCGTTGGAAAGGAACAAGCGTGTTGAATAATTGTGGACCACCGCAATTTTTCGAGGCGGTAATTCAAATTTGAATTTAAACAGTGGAAATTCCGTAACGGATAACCTGCGAATCATACCGCAATACTAAATATGGTGCTCGTTTTTTTCGATTGTAATCTTTTCCCATTTTTTAAAATTGATTTTCTTAACTCTTTTCCAAATTCATTGCTCGTATGTAACCAATTTTGAGCGGAATTAGTCTCATTGATGATTTTTGATAAAAAAAATTTTTCATACCGCGCTATTTGCTCACAAATTCTTCGTCGCATTGTGGCGCCTTAAAATTTAATTTCCTGGTTCAATGTGTCAATTTTTGATTGCAGTGACAAAAATGGAAGCGTCCACTTCAAAATACTGTCCACATGATAACGTTGCCCGGCCGTTGCGACCTTCGACTTCTTATCGGAGTACTTGGAATGTTGCCCAGTCGAAACAACCGATGTAGGCAATTATTAATGGAATTGGCAAAATTCAAAGCAAAAAAAACAATCATCGCTTCAGTTGGTCCGCTTTCGTCGCCTCGCTTCTATTGGGAAACTCGAAATCGCTTCTCAACGAGATCGGTTTCGGCTCGTTATTCAATTATCGGCAGACCGTCTCGCGGATCTACCTCAACTCGTATTTGCGGTGTCTTCGAACGCTCGACAGGATATTTCGAAAGAAGGAATACAGTTCGGAAATTGTTCGATTACACGCTTCCGGCTGTCAGATCGTAGAGTGCGTGGTCAATTCTTTTTAAAATCAAACGTGAACAGATGTTGTCTTATGATCGCTGAAGGTTCTGTTGAAAATGAAAACAACGATCGTAAAAATTCATCTAATCTTGTTTTTCTTGCATAATCGTTGTTCGAAGACAATGTAGATTTACGGTCCTTTTAAACGGTGTTGCCTGACGCGTTGCGGCCGATTTCTCTGGCTAAATGCCTACCGCAACGCGTCTGAACTACAAGGTCTTGAAGCGAAAAATTTTGGTAGCCGCTTTTTTTTTGAAAAACGAAGTGTGAATATGTTCTATAATTTATCCGCCTGAATTTTCTATTTATTTTCGTTTCTTTGATCGTAGCCGATGGGTAAATTTTCTGCCTGGAAACCGTATTTCAAAAATATTCGAAAAAAAAAATCAGTTTCTTACTTTACGATAAATAAATTCAAATTTTCAGCTATCCGGATTCATTCTTAGAAGATTTCGAGGCGAAAGTTCCTGTGGAGATACTTGACAAAGTGTTCGAATATCTTCCGAGCACTGATATTAGAAATGTGCAATTGGTATCGAAGAAATGGCACAGTCTCGTCAAGTAATTATTATTCAATTTCTCAAATATATTTCCATTTCGAGAATTCAGATCTCGCCGAAATCATTATTCGAAGAAGGAGATTGGATGTCTCACGATTTCCTACAATCGCGATATTGCTCGAGTTTCGAGCGGTGGTAGCAGCACCGAAATGTTTGACGGCGCTTCAAGGTAAACTTTCTAAATTTTTATTTTCATCGGGAAAAAAAAGTATCATCTAAAATGATTCGTCCGTATTTAAATTAGCATAATTCCAGGCAAATTGAGTGCTCGCAATTAAATGCTCGATTTCGACACGTACGCTTCAAAAATCTAAATTTGGACATTCATAATCAATTAAGTGTCAAAATTCCAATTTCGGATATTCAAGTGCAAAACTTGCGCATTTATTTCTACAACGGGTTCAATCAAGATGAATCGTAAGTTGGTCTTTTTCTTAAAAATTGAACATTTTTCTTTTTTTGAGGTCAATTAAATCGCTTCTCGAAGACATTAGAAGAAATTGTTTTATCAAGCAATTAACTTTTATATGCTTTGGAAATCGAGACGGATTTCCCGAATACTTCAGAAAAATGGTCTCAACACTAGATAATATTACTGTGGAACTTTTTATTTATTAATTATTATCAACGATAAATAATCTCTAAACTTGAGAAAAAAGAATGCTCAGACATCGGGAGCAAAATAACAATTCTGATGAAAATCTAAATTTTTTAATAGGAGGCTGGGTAACATGAAATTTTCATTTGTTAAGAATATTGTCAAATGCAGCCAACTGATCAAAACCATTCTGAAGTGGTTGAGTAGAAGGAGAAGTTGCTGGCACCGCTGATTCACCAAACGCATCACTCGAATTCGGAGTTTGAAACGTCGGAATGATGGATTTCTTGAACGAGAATTATTCATTGGTTTGTAACTATATTCATTTTACCATGAACGATATCGTTCTATCCCAATTCTCAGGGCCCAAATTGATGTTAATTGCCCCATTCTCAAAGAACCCGATACTAGCAATCATTTTTGACGGTGCAGGAATAAGCGAAACCTGCTGGCTCGGATTTGTATCAAGCGAGTCTTGCCGACAGCGCAACGTCGGAATCGGCGACGGAGCAGACTATAAGGAATCTTTATGATTGCGACAATCAGATATATCAATCTTTGAACCTCTCTAGCCATATTTGGAAGTGCATTAGTCAAACTAGATGAAGCCGATAGAGATTGATGATTGCATGTTTCATCAAAATTTCGGCAGCGCCGTGAAATCCGTGTTTCTGAATTTTCATAGCACGACGTGGGGTTTCTAAAAATGAATACACTGAGAAAATATTGAAAACATAGGAATTTCACCTATCTTCCGCAACAGATTTCTGCTTCTCAAAATGACCACTTCCATATGATTCTCTGTCTGTTTCGTCTTCATCTTCATCATTCTCGGAATAATTCTAAAATCGATTTGACTTTCATTTAAATTATTATTTACATTTACTTGAACGGCTCGGCGTTTTCCGTTGTTCAGCCGAAACTTCACTCCCGCCTGTTTCGCAGTTCTTCTCATTGCTTCTATGGCAGCTTTTCTGCTGTTTAAATACTATTTCTCAAGATATGAATTCTAAAAAAATTACCGTGGCGTTCTAGACGATATATTCTCTGCAATTTGCTCATCCAAGTTCGTTTGCTTCTTTTTCTTCTGAAATTTATCGCATGAAACAGAGTCAAAGTTTATATCCGAGCTTACACTTATATTATTTTTTCGTATTATTTGCTGGCGTGACATTTCGTTAATTCGTCACCTAATTAGCCGATTCTTAACATATATTTTCAAAATTTGTTTAAAAAAAATTCAGAAACATTAATTTTTAATAGTTTCAAAGTGTGAAAAACACAAGTGGATTGATAAAAGTTTTTTGATAAAAGGTCAAAAATAGAAACATTGGTTGGTGTAAATCGATTATAAATATGGTGAACTCTATGAATAATATAGTTTTTGATTTGCACGAAAACAAAAATGAAACAGATGAAAGACAACAAAACAGTATTTCTGAAAACATCTGAAATTATTAAAAAATTAAACGATTTTTTGCGATGAACAAAATCCACGTGGATCCACATTTCTCAACTTCACGTGAGGTCACGTTTCTTTTTTTTATTTGGGCGTCGAAGGGAATTAATGTCTTCAGAATTCAACATTTTTGAAACAAACTTGTATATTACAATCAAACCCATAATGTATTTTTCCTTTTTTCGGATTTATCCGATAATGATCTCGAACTGATGAAAAACGCTTTGATTGGATTTTATTCGAGAAAAAAAACTAGTATTTTTATTGAAAGTTTCGGTTTAATCAGCATTTCGTTTAATAATATGAAATTAAACGATTTAACTAATTATCTCATTTCTTAAAAAGTAGCCACATCGATCTACAATAAAACAAGATAATGAAATATGGGATATGTCATTCAATTCATTAAAAACCGTTAAAATAAATATGCACGGAATGTGTTAATAAAACAACAAATACGGACAAAAAACGGAGAAAGAAGAAGCGAGAAAAAAGGGGGACAAAATTTGGGGAATTAGAAAAGGTGAAAACTTAAATATCATCATGTCCCAACATTTGGTGAAGTGTGAAATGGCGGCGACTTCTTAAAAAAGAACCCCCAAATATGAATCACTACCAAAACGAAATTTTACTTTTCGTGACTTCTCGAATTGTTCAACTCCTTCGAAATTCGCGATTTTAGCAATTTCGCTTGTTTCCTTGTTAGCCTGAATGTTTCATTCGGAGCACACACTTTATGGCATCCAGCACAAACTGAAATATTCATTTTTATTAAATTCTAAACTCATTTATTTGTACTGCATTGATTCTTCGACGAAGTTCCGCTAGTATTCGAGTAGCCCAATTCATTATAAATCTTTGGCAAAAAATTGTTGTCATTATTACTGTTATATTTGTCTTCTGTGAGTTTCGTCATTTTCCACAATCCTGACTGAATTCTCACTAAAATTATGTTCGAGACTTTAAACTTACACTCTGCTCGAATTCTGAAAGTGCCATAGCCTGAAAAAAAAAACAATTGAAAGTGATTTCAAAATGAAAATCTCACCCAGCGTCGCGGATCGTCGAGGATATTCTCGGCAAGATTTTCAGACACTGCTTTTATATTCATGATCATTTCTTGAGCGTGTGATATTGCATGAAGCTTATGATTTACATGTACAGCCCATTCCTGAAATTGTGTACAATTTTTTTGGAAAAATTTTCAAAATCATACAAACAATGTGGAGTTTTCAATTCCTCGTCCATCTTTTGAAAACTCGCAATCACACGCATCGAAAATATTCACAGCTCCCTTTAAAAAAATTTAAAGAAAAACTCAATTTGAAGAAAGAACACCAGTTGCTCAGAAATACCTTATACATTTCTGAGAGAAGATTCTCATTTCTGAGATTTTCCAATATCGCATTGCCCATTAACATCGCGTCCCTGCGAATAACTTGGCACGTCTGATTTGACGTGCGTTTCGTCTTTCGACGTTGCTTCTTTTTCTTCTTTCTCTTTTGTTCCTAAAAGAGAATCATTTGATCTATTTGAATAATTCTTATAATAATTACTGTTGTTGGAGCAAAATAGTCGGTGTAAATCATTTTCTTGAATGTGCTGTTCAGATATCCTTTGACAATATCGATCTGGCAAGGATCAGTGGCTTTTCTTTCAAGTTCCGCTATTATTTTTGACTTCTAGAATGAAAACTATGAAAATGGATTTAAATAATCGCCATCACTACCCAGCCAGAAAGGTAATCGTTGAAATCGGTTTCGCTTTTGATATTTGACACTGTTCGCACATGATCATCCAATACTTGCTTGAATTCCTTAAACACATTACAATTGGTTCAATTGGAAAAAAATATCGCTAACTTTTGACAGTGTATAATCTAAATCTGTGATTTCGGAGCTTGTCGTAACTTTTTTTTGTTCGGATCGTCCTCGGACCAAATCTTTGGCAATTAGTCGTTCGTAATACTCCAAAATGACGGGTTTGTAAAATTTTCCTAAAAATCGATTTTAGTTTTTGTTTTTTTTTTCATAAATATTGTCGGCGCCAAACGACATAACGACATGTATATATTGGCTATTTGCCAAGTGTCTCGAGACAAATTTACATTTGCGTGTAAAATCGTAGATCATTTGACGCTGACAATATCTATTGTTAAACTCATACCCAATTTTTTCTGAGCTTCATTTTCTAGCATCGTTTTTGAAACGCATCGTCTCAATTTGAAAATATTTCTCACTCGACTGGATTTTCCATAAGAAATTAACCGCTCGGGAGCAGAATTGCTTTAAAAGAAACCATGTAAAATCAACAAAATTCAAAAAAAAAACTCATTACCTTCGCAGTTTATCATATCTAACACAAATTGCTTTAAACCTCTTTTGAGGATGCAATGATAACTGACAATCTACATCCTTTAAATAATTAATCCTTTCGCTTGAAAAGTAAATAAATTTATGATAAGTGGGAAATTGAAATACCTATCAATATATTTGCTAAATAGTGCTGTTTGAAGGTACCATAATTCTAGAGGTTGCTTTTCCTCAAGTATTTTGCGAATTTCGTCCAGAGGTTTTCTGGAAGCCTGGAATAAATGTTCAATTGTCAAATTTAAAAAAATACGCAACCTTTGGAAGGCGATTACCATACTGATCGTACAGCCCAAATCCTTCTGGCAATATACTGCCTTCTTCGGTTGTTATCGAACATATATTACCCATATGCCGTGCTTAAAAATGAATTTAGTAATGTGAAATACCGTTATAAACTTAGTAAAATATGTGCTAAATCGATTTAATTACATCTTAATGCTACGATTGAGAAAAATAATATCAAAATAAAAAAATTGTTTACCACAATAATTTAGGAAAATGTGTTTTTAGCTTGCGCGTATGATAAAATGCATTATATTGCAGATATTGAACTATTTTACGAACATTTGCACAAAACAAAAAATTCAATTTTCCTATTTTTTTCGTCTAGTTTTCGATTTATAAATCTGAAATTTTACTATAACCATGAAATAAATATGTTTTTACAGAAATCCATGGATGTTGACGAGCTTGAGCTATTACAAGAAGAACGCGAGGAACAACCAATCCGTTATTTACCCAAAATCGCAAATGGCGGAATTTCAGGAATTGTTGGTGTATCATGCGTGTTTCCAATGGATCTCGTTAAAACTCGCCTTCAAAACCAAAAAGGCGATCAGAAATATTCGGGAATCATCGACTGCTTTAAGAAAACTTGGAATGCTGGCGGTCCGAGCACATTCAATAAAATTCGTGGATTTTATCAAGTCCAATTATAAACATAAAAGGAAAGCGCACGTTTATATTTTCAGGGAGCCTCAGTCAATGTATTCTTAATCACTCCTGAAAAAGCGATCAAGCTGGTTGCTAACGACTCATTTCGTCATGCGCTGATGAAAGATCAAGCTGAGAGGCTATCTGCGCCTCGCGGGATGATAGCCGGAGCAGCCGCCGGTTTTTGCCAAGTAGGGTTTCATCAAAAACTTGTGCGTTTACTCTAAAAACCGCTCAGGTAATCATCACAACCCCAATGGAATTGCTCAAAATCCGAATGCAGCAATCATCAGAACAACAAAAAACAACAACCGTTATTTGGAATCTTCTAACCAAGGAAGGAGGTTCCCTCACGAAATGAAAATTAAAAACAATAACATTTTAGGTGTATTTGCGTTATATAAAGGACTTCGGCCTACATTGGCGCGTGATGTCACGTTTTCGGCAATTTATTTCCCGTTGTTCGCCTATTTAGACGGATTGGGTCCAAGAAAAAAGGACGATTCTGGTACTTCGTAGCTACTCCTTATTCGAAATTAGTTTTTGTAGGTGACGCAGTTTTCTGGGCGAGCTTCGTTTCGGGATTATCTGCTGGAGCAACAGCGTCGCTCTGTGTAACGCCATTGGATGTCGTTAAAACGAGAGCCCAAGCTGGCCGGGTACAAAAACGGGCACAAAAATTACACGTGATTAATTTAAGGCGAATTACAAAGGAATCACTCATGCAATTTTCGAAATTCTCAAAGAAGAGGGAATTTCGGCGTTATTCAAGGTTAAATCATTTTATTTTCTCTTTAATATTCTCTATCGTGTACTTCAGGGCGCTGTATGCCGAATGATGGTGATGGCTCCACTGTTCGGAATCGCACAAACCGTCTACTACATCGGATTAGCCGAAAAATTGTTGGGATACGAGAAAAGTTCGCGTGTTTAATTAATTCCAAGTTTTGCCTCTTTTTTAATTGTTAGTTGCATTTGATCCAATCTTGTTTTGAGTCTCAGACTGTCCCATTTATGGCTTTCAGAGCAAAATAAAAATCAGAAAATGACACAATTCTACTTCGGTTTTGACATTGTTTCAGCTCTTGAGGAGGCTTCAATGACAGCTTCCATGACTGCCGAGCGAAACCCGTGCCGTTCCAGCGACCGAACTCCTTCGATAGTAGTTCCGGACGGTGAGCACACTTGATCCTTCAAAAGTCCCACATGCTCTCTCTCGATGTCAAATCCTGATTCTAGAGTGGTTAGCATTTTGGCAGCTCCCTAAATAATACATGAATTGAAAAGTCAAATGTCGAAAAAATTACCATAACAGCGTTAGCGGCCATTCGCTTCGCTTCAAGTCTTCCCAATCCTTGGTGAACTGCACCATCTGCCAATGCTTCAATAAACATGAACACCCATGCTGGACTGCTAGCAGCAACCGCCGTCGCTGCATTAAAACACCTCTCCGGAATTAATTCAACACTTCCAATGCACTCAGCGAATCGCTTCGAATATTCAATATGAACATTCTACAATCATCTAATTATTAGAAAAAATAAAAATAATGATTCGAACCTGCTCGTCTATTCCATAATCCTCATAACACATTGACGTCGCCGAACACCCAATTGAGCTCGCCATATTTGGCATAAGTCGCACCATTGTGGTATATTGCGATAAAAACGGAATCTAAAAGTGAAAATCGAAAAGAAAACCGGAAAATGGGAAAACCAAATACTTTTTCACGAATCTGCCCCAATGTGATTGAAGCCATAATTGAAATAAAAATTCTTGGACGCGCATTTACCGGCCACGACGAGACGACTTCATCGAACAATTGCGGTTTCACGCACATCACGTAAATCGCTAAAAATCACAAAATCTCGGAACACTCATCAGGCGAATCGTGGGGTTTCTTCGCGTCAGGCAAGTTTTACTAAAAACAGTGGCTATAAAAAACAGAAAAAAATCGAGACCGCGAATTCGAAATTTTTTCCCCGCTGAGTTGCTATATCTAAATAGTCAATGTGGAAAAATGAACCCTGGTAACTCGTTTCGAATTGAATACAAACTGCGCGTTTTGCAATCGAACAAGCCCATCGTCGAAACGATTGCGATGAATTTTAAATAGGAAACCGGTCAATTTCAGAGCCGAATTTTCAGATGAATCCAAATAAGCACGATTCTTGTCTTCTCAACTTAAAAAATCTTCACTCTTTCAATTTAACCATTTTTCCCATTATATAGAAATTTAATAAGGCAAATAAAAAGGATTTTGTTGAAGACCTGTTGGATAATTTTCGAGCATCTGTTGCGTATTTGTGAACACATTCTCAAACCCTTTCGATCTCCATTTTTCTTCCGATTTCTTTGATTTCACACCAATCACAATTTGCTCGGCCGGAATGAATTCTAAAAAAAAAACCTGGATTTCTTCATTTCGCATTTATTCAATAATTATTAAAAGCACACTCACGATTCTTCAAACATCCTCTAATAATCGCACTTGCCATATTCCCACCACCAACGAATACAATGGGAAGCGATTCTAATTCTGGTGTCGATTCGCCAGAATCCATTCTATCCAACTGCTGCTGGTCTTTCGTTATTTCCATTGTAAAGTTGAAGATATATTATTTAAAAAGAAAATTGTGGCCTAGAATTTTCGCCAGTCACGGCCGCACACAAAATCAAACTTTTAATTTCTTCACAAGTTTATTGGCATTAATTATGCTATATGATACAGTTTCTGAGTGGCGTGCAATAAAATTCGCAATTTTACAAGATGTCAAATAATTAGTAAAGGTTTGGTGGAGTTAGTAGGATGGTCATTTGCCGTTTTGGTTTTACCAAGGCAAATTGTTAAGATCTTTGAGTGCCATTGAAGCACAATAAGCTCTGTCCGTTCTTGTTGCATTCGGACATGTTGAATATGGGGAGCAGACATCATCACGGCGAAGGCAGCGAGATGATCCGTCACACATGTACGTCGTCGAGTGTTTTCCGACGCATTCGTCGCACGAGCACGCCTTCTCATCGCTTCCGTCTGAGCAATCAGTTACTCCATCGCATCTGGCAGACTGTGGAAGGCAAGTCTTGTCGATTTTGCATTGAAGAGCTCCAGATAAACACTGAAAATATCAATAGAAATTAAAAACTTAACAGAAAATAAAATTGTTGTACCTTATCGCATTCCTTTTCGTCAGACGAATCATGGCAATCTTGAATTCCATCGCATCTACGAGAGCTATCAATGCATGTTCTCGAGTTCAGACACTTGAACTGATTTCCACTGCTCAAGTCACAGTCGCAATTCTGCTCATCAGCACCGTCAGCGCAATCAGAGAATCCGTCGCAGACCATTTTGCGTGGAATACACTTTTTCGCTCCTCCTGAAGCATTGGGGCATTCGAAAGCGGTTCGCTTGTCGCATTTCGGACAACTTGAATTACAGACTTCGAACTCTCCGGAGCAGGCCTCTTCCTCGGTGTATTTGCGTCCGTCGGCACAGGTAATACGCTAAAATGTACAACTTCGCAAAAACGAACAATATAAATAAAATAAATACCTTTCCGAGAATAGCCTTGGTTGCACAGGATCCCGGGCAATCCTGTTCATCCATTCCATTCTTACAATCGCGTTTTCCATCACAAACTTGCGAGCGAAGAATACAGGTACCATCGTCGCAAAGAGCCTTATCCGAGCCCGAGCACGTCTTACAATCACACTTCTTCTCGTCGCTGCCGTCTTTGCACTGTGCGACTCCATCACAAATCTCGCTTGGTTTCACGCAAATTTTTCCGCATTTCTAAAATTTTCTCGACATGAAAATGTTCAAAAATTTGAAGTCTAACGTGAGAATCTTTTCCACATTCGTTACAGTTCTTCTCATCGCTTCCATCCTCGCAATCGTTAATTCCATTGCATTGGGCCGATTCCGGCAGACAGATGTTCTTTCCTGGGCATGTGAACTCATTCTTATCGCACGTTGATTCTAAATTGAAGCCGTTCGGTTTTAATGGGAAAATATTGAAATACTGCAGAATTTAGTCTCGTCAGATCCATCCGGACAATGTTCAACACCATCGCAAAGCTGCGAAGCCGTCAAGCAGATCAACGAAGGTTTTGGCTGAAATTGTCCCTTTTTTGCTGGCGGCGGAATGATCTTTGACGAGCATGAGAAGATCGTCTGGCACGATTTGCAGTTTTCCTCGTCAGATTTATCGTTGCAATCGTACTTTCCATCACATCTTTGAGACGTTGGGATAACTCGATGAACCGCATCAGTACATGCGAATCCAAAACCAGAGCACATTGAAACATTTGGTGGGAAAAGTGCCATCATCGAGATTCCACGATAATCGTCATCAGAATCCCCATCAAGAGGTGATCCAATTTTATCGATTTTTGGCCAAAACTTTGGATTTCTCGTTTGCTTAAATATTTTGCTAATTTATTCAACTTCTGAAATTGTTTAAACCTTATCGAGAATTGCGAGATCTGAAGATAGCTTCTGAGTAGAGGAAGTAAGCATTAGTGTTAGTGGGATTGCTGCAAGAACTAGGAGAAGAACGAATGCTGTGACCAAAACAATTGCTATTGAAGGACACTGAAAATACCCGTTGTTTAAAAGCAGATTTTTGTATTCACCTTGCTAGCACATGAACAACAACCGCTGGAAACCATTTCTTTGAACTGTTCCATCCGATGACTGAGTTTTTCACCGAGAGTTCTGAAAAAAAAACTGATTATCTTAATCAAAATCAATAATTCCGTTGTTACAATGGTTCCTCGGATGGGAAGTTTACTCGTCTCTCGGTTCCTGCTGATTGAGTCATAGCTGTAAAAACCGAAAAATTAAAGAATTTAAAATATAAAGAAGCAACAATTAGTACTATATATGTTTTCAAGTGGAAAGAAACTAAAACGTCAATGAATTCTAACAAAATATAACTCAAGGGCAAATTTCGCGCCATCGAATTTTTCCCGCGAAGTAAATCATTTTCGTTTTAGATCAAAATTCCTAAAAATTACGACCATTTTATTCATAATTTATAAACACCACTAAAAAATAAACAATTAAACAGAATTTGAATAAAAACTTTGTGAACATAAAAAAATTAAAATCTGCGATACGAAATACAGTAACACGTTTTTCTACTTAGAACCATTTACAGGACTATTTGATGTGCCTTTAATCATACGATATCTTCATTATTTTTTTTTAGTTTCACGATTTGAAGGCTGCCCACGTATTGTGGAAAAATGACGAATGTGAAAAACTGCAGCGAATCCTATGTATTGTGTGCGTGCACCGAGTCGCACAGTTCAATAGGAGCTACAGTAATCTTAACTAAAATTTATTTATTTATTTAATTAATTTTTTTCGTTTTTTTTGTGTTTTCTTGGCGAATTTATGGTTTTATGTATATTTTTTTGTTAAAAAAGTGTAATAGTAATATTTTTTTGTATATTATTCAAAGATAATTGTTTTATATAAAAAGAATTTTTTTAGCAACCTCGAATCGGAGGGGCAGTTACGGATCATGTCGACTCAACATTCCTCCGCGTTGATCCAATTGATCATCTAACTGGAGTGTGGATCGCAATCGACGAAGCTAGTGTCGAAAATGGGTGTCTCTCATTCATTCCGGGAAGTCATAAAGGTTTTAAAACAATGTGTATCTGTATTGAAAATTGAGAATATGTTTTCAGACTTTTCTTCGACGGATCATCGATTTGTGAGGACCCACGACACTACCGGAGGACCCTTATTGAAATTTATTGGAACCCAACCAACTTATGATCAATCAAAATTTGTGCCTGCGCCAATTTCTAAAGGTATTGAAAACGATTAGATGTATATGAATCGATAACTAATTAATTAAAGGATCATTAATCCTCATCCATGGATTGGTTGTGCATAAGAGCGAAGCGAATACATCGAACCAGAGCCGTCATGCATATACAATACACGTGATGGAGAAGAAGAATACTCGCTGGGACCCTGATAATTGGCTGCAGCCAACGAGCGAACATCAGTTTCCAAATCTCTACGAATCTCAGTAGGCCATCATTGCCGACACTGTTTTGCTGACGATTATTTTTCTTTTGCGAATTCTCAGTCGTAATAAAATATAATCGCGTAATGGAGGAGTGAAAACGCATAGCAAATATGGATTAATTCCCGAATAAACATCGCTGAAATATTGAAAAATTATCGTAATTAGTTTGGAAAAATTGACTTTCTTTCAAAAAAAGGGGAAATTGCTACCTTAAACAACTGTGGATTAAATAGTATTGATCGGTATTGAGAGCATACCATGGCGAAATATTGTAAGCCAAAACGAGCATGAGCAAAATCTGAATTCCGACTGCAAAACATTGAGCCCGTTAAAGAAATATTTTTAAAAAAATATGCATTCAAATCTCACCAATAATTGAGCACATAATCATCATTTTCGTTTCAAATTCACTCTTTCCCTTATCACTTCGTGAAAATAATTTCGGCTGAAAGTTTCAGAATAATGTTTGAATTGAAAATATGAAATTGTACCATTGATTGCAATTTCTTTCTGGATTTTATCACATAAAAAATATAAAAGTATGTACAAATAAGGAAAATGCAATTGGATCCGATTACAACCCCACCAATAACATAGAACATGTTCGTCATTTTGTTTCTGGAATATTTTTTTATAAAAAAAAACATAATTAAGGCTTACATTGTGAACTTTGGAACAATTCCATTTGTGGAGTTTCTATAAAGCTGAGCCGGATTGAAAAGCGTCATAATTCCAAGAAGACAACCAGGGACAAATTGAATTGATATAGGAATCCATATACGGTGATACCAGAACATCTAGAATTTTTCTAACAATAAAATCCAAACATTGATAAATTGGGATACTAACAAAAAGATGTAAGAAAAATTGATTTTTGGAAAAAAGAATGGTGTGCATTGATCCAATTAAATCAGAAAATCTTACACTACTATAATTTCCAGGAAAAATGACGGCGGATAGCCGGTTGGCAGCAAGAATGGAAACGGAAAATGCCTGACAGCAGCCTGAAAATGATGGGAATCATTCGAAATCGAAATATTGCCTTTTACCGGTTGTCCATGCAATGTATAAATAAATTTGCCCATAAATATTGCCGATTTTGAGATAGAAATCAATAAAGAATGACCATTTTGGGAACATTGCGCCCAAATAATTATTTAACATTGTGACTTGAATCAAATCATTTTTGAATTCAACTAAAAAATTCCTACTCAAATCAATAACTGCCGTGCTGATACATAATTTGAAGAACGGACTATTCAGCCATTCATGATTCCGAATTTGGGCGTCTATTAGAAATAGTAATAACACTGAATAGAATGGTACCGTAATACACAACAACGTAAATTGTACACTTTCTACAGTAGTAATCAAATTGCGCGGAATTGAAAGATCGGATTCTGGAATCATTGGCAATGACGCCAATGTCTGCATCTGGCTGCAGAGGATTCGAAATTTAAATATGCTCAATAGTCGCACTACGGGGATAACGTAATTGAATTCCGTATAACTTTATCAACTATGAGTTCAAAAATCGGGGGGGGGGGTCCGAATCCTAACAAGGTAATAGAAAATTATTTGTTTTTATTAACTAGTCGAACATTTTGGCGCATATAAGAGTGAGCGATGTACGAGTTGATAATTACAGTAGTTTATTGATTAAACAATATATAACAGATAAAATTATAGAACAAAAAGGATAAATAAAATGGGGCCGCGAAGGGAGTCGATAGGGGGAGGGAGACTGCCAATTTATTGATAACGGCGCCCTTTATACTTGGCGCCGCGACTCCTTCAGGTTACACCTTCCCGGCCACTCGTGACCGTCCAAGGTCCGCTGTCGCTGTCTCTTCGGCGGCATCGCTCCCTGTTCATTCTTCGGCGTCAGCGTCCAGGGAAGGAGACTGCCAATTCATTGATGACTCATCTAGATTTCAAGTTGAACCAATTAGTGAATGAGCTCGTCCTCTTTCGCGTTCACTCCGCTTTCCGTTACCCTTTTGCGTGTGGTACAGTATTACTGGTGTACCGTCCGCAGCAAGGAGCCCTGCGCTTCTTGCCATCGGTTGCTTCTCATCGGTGATACCTGGCTCCACTCGGTAAGGGTAGCAATTTCGCAAGACGTTCCGAGTGATGAGGGGGGTGCGCCCGGAATATCTTCTCCAAGTGGACGACTGCTTTCGGGTACTTCTTCAATCGTACCAGATCCGCTTCTCCTGCATACTTCTTGATTTCCGCTCCATCTGGCGCTGGGTAGAATGGGGCTAGATGCTCCGAGTCTCCGATCAGGGTGATCTCCCTTAAATGTTGGAAGCTCGCGATCATCGCTAAGAGATCCGATGGTGGAGTCGAGATGCTTCGTCGATGATTATGTTCGTCGCTTCTCGGCATGACGTTCTTTCGCGGTATCGCAACAAGAGCGTTGCTGTCGTGGCAATAATGTTCCGGTTCCACAGCATTTCGAACTCAGCCATGAGCTCCTGTCGATACCTTCCTTGTCTTCTCCTGCTTCTCAAGAATCTCGAGGGCAGTAGTTGCTTCGTCCAATTCCCTTTCCGCCGCAACAAGAGCGTCACGCGTCGTTTTCAATGATTTCTGCTGGATGGGGTCTGTGATGAATTCTTCGTATCGGCGATGCCTATATTCTTTCTTTACAGACTCGTGTTGGGGTGTCGTGGTCTGCTCCCTTCATAGCATCGACGCTAATTGTTGGTTGCGGATGAACAGGACTTCGATCTGTCGCATTGCGTGACTCATAACCTCGTCCGAATCGCCGACGACTCTCTAGATGTATAAACGTCCGTCTCTTCAGTCGTCGTACCTCATGTTTCCGCGAAAATCGTTTTGATCTCTTTGGTAGTAGTACCTGTCGTTGTCTCTGTAGTCGTTCCGGTAGTTGTTCCTGTACTCGCGCTGGTCGCGGGATCCGCGGCACAATCGGTCGAACCTGTCGGTGTCATTGTCCAATCGGGCAATTTCGTTGTATGTGGCCTTCTCTGTTACACATGAAGCAGACTGTCGGTGCCCTATACTGCATCGTTGGTCGGGTGCGCGGTTGAATCTGTTCCATTCGCTTGTTTCCTTGTGCGATCGATCAACTCTCCTGGTCGACGCTGGGATGGTAACACATACTCCAGTGTTCTGCATTCGATGGTTGATACGCCTTGAGCGATCAGTTGGAACGAGACGTTTTGTCGGACCCTGTGGATTCCTGTCAGCCGATCCAGGAACTGCAGAACGTTTTCTTTTGGCTCTTGCTTGCAGTTCTTGAGCGCTGCTCGGGATGTCATGGGGTTCGCATCGGCCGTGAACTTCTCCTCTAAGAAGCGGCACGTCTCGTGGTAGTTCGTGTCTCGGTCGAGCGTTTCTAGGAATACTTGCGCGGGTCCGTCAACGAAGAATCACAGAATCCTTGTCTTCTGCTCGTCTGCTGCTTCGGGGTAGCTGACCGCTATGTAGTCTTCGAATTTGGCTGCCCATCTATCCCATGGCTGGAATCCCAGTCTTAATATTTTTTGTTTATCAAGGGCTTCTATTGCTCGCGCTATTATGCGAAGGTCGCGGCTTGGGCGTTGGGATTTTTGCTGTGGATGAGCATATTGGGCGGTTCGACCAGTTGAACGATGATTGCTTTGAAAGGGAAGAAAAAAAAAAAACACTTGTGAAAACGGGGGTGCTGCGACTAAGCCGTCTCCGTACCGTTGCCTATCCGGCCGTTTGGTCCGGGGGCACCGTCCTCGATCGTCTCAGGACAGCAGAATGACTGCTCCTTACTTCTTATCACCGCGTCGAGCCCCGCTACTGTCTCAGCGCCTTTGTTGTCATAGGCTCCGCTTCCTTATCATGGTTCTTATCACCACGCCAACGTTACTGTATTTCTCTCGTCTCCCGGTTGCCTGTATGATAACAAGGAATTTACGATCCGTCGACGCGAGATAGACGCTGTTTCGGGCTCCTGGCTCCGCATTCTCGTGACTCTTTATCTTCTCCGTTTTTATAAATTCTGCAGCTGGCGCCTCAGACTATGGAATCAGTGCCGTTATCACCCATCGGTACCCGTACGGATCAGAAAAGGCTATCGCGCATGCCAGCCGATCACTAACAAAGGCTCAGCATGGATACAGCCAAATTGAAAAGGAAGCCTTAGGATTGGTCTTCGCTATTGAGAAATTTCATCGATACATTTACGGACGACAATTCACACTTCGCACGGACCACATACCGCTCCTTGCCATTTTTGATTTTCGGCAAATTGCCGAATTGCCGAAATTTATATTTTCGGCAAGTTGATATCAAAAAAAAATCGGCAAAACAAAAATCAATGTCCATTGAATAATTTGGAATACCGTGAAAATTCGGTATTTACATATATTTCGAATTATCGTTGAAAAAATTTAATAGCCGAAATTTTGATTTTCGGCAATTTGCCGAATTGCCGAATTGCCGAAATTTCCGATTGCCGCACAGCCCTGCTCCAAATGGCCCGAAATTTTGCCAACTTGGACCATCATAACTCAAACAACAATCGATTTACTGACTCCGATCTTCGCCAGATTCGGAAACCCGAAAATCGTCGTATCGGATAATGGAACGCAATGTTCACTTCGTCGCAATTCGCGAACTTCTGCACTTATCGAGGAATCCACCACACCCGATCACCACCGTTCCACCCACAAAGAAATGGTCAAGCCGAACGGTTCGTTGACACCTTCAAAAGGGCAATGATCAAAATGAGAGGGGAGGAACCGACGCAAGAAGCTCTCCAATCATTCTTGATGACTCATCGATCTACACCATGTTCAAGAGCACCGAACGAACTATCGCCTGCCGAAAACTTCATCGGTAGAAAAATGAACACCGTGATGAGCCTCATGCTGCCGACTACGCGGCCGGACAAAGGCGAACGGAGTAAATCGATGAAAGCCCAGTTTGACCGCCATCACGGAGCCAGACACCGAGCCTACGAAGTCGGAGACGCTGTCTTCGTCAAGGACTATCGCTCAAAGCAGACTTGAAGCCCCGGAGTCATCATTCGACGTTTAGGAGCGGTAAACTACTTAATGAACTGTCAAGGGAATCAATGGCATCGACACGTAAATCAGTTAAGGCGCTGGATCATCAGAATCAATGTCTGCCGCTGCATATTGACTTTGATCTACCGATGCCGATACGCCGCCCATCGGCACCGACGACCGTTCCAACTCAACCAATGGTCGCTTCAAAAGGAAATAAAGAACGTGCACCATCAACTCCTACTACAACACCAGTACACACCAGGACAGCTCAAGGACCATCACTTTGCCGATCATCACGAAACACTCGGGAACCAAGACGCCTTATATTGGATCCCCGTCGAAAGTCCTACCTTTGACAACAACACTTCGCGGGGGAGATGTTAGAGCCACGAACAGAGATATTGCAACGTAACCGACGACCTTATCAAGATATAGGAGCGCTATATAAGGAACGCCCTCACACACTCTTGATTCTCCTCATTGCTGTTATTTATTCGCTAATAAAGCCATTGCACTTGAGTTGTCCCGCAACACAACGCCTCGTTACCTTCTTTAGCGTGCATAACAATATTTTACGACAGCTCTAATAATTCGTTGAATACATGGATTAAAAATTGTTTTTCCCTATTGTTTTATGAAAATGTTTAGGGTCGTCTTTCCATTAATCGAGAAAATTTCTGGTAAAACTTCTCGTTTATTCTCAAATAGTTTTTACAAAATTTAATACCAATCGTCTGAAATAAAACACGTGTTTCGAAATAATCACAAGCATTTACTCAATCTGATACGCAGACCAAAATCAACTGGCGATTGTGTCTGCCCCGCACCAACCCATCCATCAGAAATTGTAACGAATTTAGAGGATGGATTCTCTCAATCCGAGTTCAGCCAAATTTTATAGGCTGAATAAACGCCGTCGAACAGGTTGCTTCGAACATGAAATGAAGATAAATTGAACAGTGAATATCAAGTATCTCATTAACAACCGAACAACCGGAATTTAAACGTTCTTCGTTCTTCTCGACGACCATTTTTTCCTCTCTACTTTTTTTTCCTACTTTTATTACCAAGGGGATTAAAATGATGAGACTATTTCTGATTAATCCCCGGCTCAAACTCGGTCGACAGTTGAGAAAGGCGGGCAATGGCCCAATTTTCAGCATCAGGGTAACTGATTCTGCCTGCCTCTCTCCCACCCATTCATCTGTGGTGATCGAATATTAATAAAATGGATGGATTCATTCTATTCAGAGACGGTGATCTGAAGAATTCTTCAATTTAAAATAAATTGCTAAGTTTAAAAAGTATTTGAACTAAAAATTTAGAAAAGTTCATTGTGATAATTTGAATAATGAAAAAACATTTGTGAATTTCAAAATGTGAGTTGTTGAGAAAAAATATAAACCCACGGATCCATTTCGAACTCGTATCGATTAAAATCATTCATCAATTTCGATGTAGTCGAACATATTCTGCGCCGCATAATTTTCTATTGGTAGAAGAACCACGTTCACATAGATTTCTTACCATTTCAAGAAATTTACGATAAAGAGAAATAATTGACATCCTACCCTCCCACCAATCCATCAATCTCGAATTTAATCAAATAGAGTAGATGGATTCACTCTATTCAATAGTAAAGCAAGAAATATTTTTTTAATTAGCGTAAAAATCATCAAACTGAAATTGAATTGAAAAATTCAAGCAAGAATCAACTGGTTATAATTGGTTCTGCCTGCCTCCCACCCACCCATCCATCATTTGAAAACAGAAGAAGAAGAGATGAACACGAATAGAATGGATGGATTCATCCTATTCGGTTCGTGGGGTAAGTAGAACAAAACAAATCAATGAAAATAAATGGAAGAGTCAAAATTAGGACGACAAAAAAGTAATACAATAGCGATTATCAATTCTCATTCTTACAATTTTTAGGGAATGAATATAATAGATTGAATAAAATTGTTGGAAGCGAAACGACATTAGAGTGTGAGTAGAACAAAAAAAAACAATATTTTTTAAAAGAAAATTGAATAGAGTAATTATCATAGTAATTATCTGATTTAGGAATGACGGAAAAATTCATAAAGAAGGAGACCTAAAATGAATTGAAGGTAGGAAGTTAAACATATTATATTTGGTGTAATCTAGTGTGAGTAGAACAATCAAATTTGAAATTAAAAATAGAATAATCGAATAATTGAGCTGAACAATTAAAGATTGGAGCACTTTTATTTTCATTACTTTTGTTTTTATCTTTTTTGGTCAACCTTTTTTTCTAATCAATTCTTTTATTTTTTTTATTCATTTTATTTTTTTCATTTTCTTTTTTATTATTTTTTTGCTGTTTTTTTCTTTTTCTTTTTCATTTTTCTCTTTTTTCTCTTCAATATTTTTTCCTTTTTAAACAAAACGTGAGATATGGGGAAAATAGGTCGAATACATTACAGTTTTAAAGGGAATAACAAAAAATCTCACGTTTTGTAATCACTTTCGGCCGTAGAATTGAGATTGATAGAAAGCTTCGGTTTTCAAATCCTTTCGTGTGATTTCGCCTTCTAGAAATGTTGAAAGTTCTGAAAACAAGGAATTAAATTTAAAAATTTGATAAATTCGTGTTACCATTGCGATATTTCCGGTGATGTCACATGTCCCAGAATAGATTGTAATTCAGGAGCCAACAGACACCGAATAATTTAAACGGATCTCATTCGGTAACTGTTTTTCAAATCAAATTAGACTTCACGATTATATTTTATTTTCTAAAAATATTTTTTGAATAGAGTAAATTTGAAGATTTTCTTACCATGTTTCTATTGAAAACGCCATTTTCAGATGATTGATTCTCCCCTTTAATTAGTTGGTTTTCATCTCTTACAGTTTTCAAGTATTTGATCGCATTAGATGTTTCTGAAAATGGAAATAGGCTATTTTAAACAGAAGTTCAAACTTACTTTGCGATTCAGACAAGATTTCGAAATAATTCAGAGCTATGTATGAATTCTTTGATAATTTCCCAACAATATTCAAATATTCGAAAAAAAAACGAATAAACTCTAAATGAATGATGAACTTTTGTAGAAAATTTAATGAAAAAATACCATTTTGTTATCAACACAAGACCTCCTTTGAAAATAATGAATCCAGTTGAATAAAAAATGATACAAATATCAATTTCACTTCAAAAAATGTGTCTTGACAGGAAAAAGAAGAATAACTTCTGAAAATATAAAATAAAGGGTATTTGGAAAATGTTTCATACCTAAAAAACACGAAATAGGTAGAAATGTGATCAGAATAGAAACGTCGTCCAACTTGCTGGTTGATTGTTTTCAGATATTCATCGTAGAGCCATCGAAGATCTGAAAAAAATTATACATTCTGAATTAATTGAAAATATTACCTTTTGTGTTCCAGCAAGAAAGGCAATAAATGCAAAAATAAAATCAGAAGGATTGACTATTGAAACATTAAGATATTGATGAGCAGTGCGAATTCAAGAATCTATCCAATTTAATCGTCCTCATTTTAAAACATTTGGATGACGGATTGAATACTGCATTTGGGGTTAAATTCAACGAAGGATTAACAATAAACAAACAAACAAATAAAATATCAATAGAAAAACAAAGAAACACAAAACAAATGGTAGAAATTAAACATAATACAACAATATAAAACAACTGTGATACTAATATTTTTAAAATACATATTTAAAAACAAAAAAATATTTAAGGCATTTTTTTTTTTACTTTTTACATTTTTTTTAATTTTTTTGGTTTTTTTTTTTTAACTTTTTTTTTGTTTTTTTTTTAACTTTTTTAAACTTTTTTTGTTTTTTTTAACTTTTAGTTTTTAGTTTTTTTTTTTTAAATTTTTTTCTGTTTTTTTTTCCATTTTTTGCCTTTACAATAAAAAAAAAAACAATGAGACAATGATGAATATGTCAATAAAATGTTCATTTGACACTAAAATTCAGATATTTGAATAAAAAAGTAAATTAAATACTCACAACTTGATCCTATTCGGATTTTTTGACACTTTCCAGTCGAATTCTTGTGCGAGTCGATCGCATCAGTCTCTTCATTGTACATTTTCAACTAAAAGCAATACATTTTATGAAAAATCACATAAAATCTTACTTTTACACGAGCATCATTATTTAAAGCCTTTTTTTATTCGAAATTGCGGGTTTCAACGAATTAAACTGCGAAAATTTTAAGTAGAAATGATCTCAAATTCGCATTTCCTCAAAGATGTTTTTAATTTTCAGCAATCTAAATTATCCTATTAAATTAAATTTTACAGCAATTCAACTGAACTAACCAAGTCAAGGTTTTCATCATTCCTTCTGTTCGAATATTCGTTCGGCACCTCCATATCAAGATTAATAATATTTTAAATACTGACGAAAATAAGTAGGAAATCCAAAATATTTGAAAGAGGCTAAACAAAAATAATCGAAAAATTATAAAAATTAAATAATTACCTAGAAAACGGCAAAACTTGCAACGTTTTCGCCATTAATTTAGGATTTAATTGAGCATCGTCAGCAAGATTTTCCGGTGTTGAAATCTATTTGAAACACAATCATTAGAATATTTTCGTGCAGAAAACAATTACCACATCTGAAATTTAGTTTAAAATAAAGTTAAATAAAAACTCTTACCATGAATGATTTACTCAGCTGATCATTTGAAGGAAAATGAAAATTGGTATTTCTTTTTGTTGAATTCCGACACCATGGATGACGAAATACCGATGAACCAATGGCGAAACCAATCTGAAAGTAGAATATTATTGAAGAATTAAAAAGAAATTCATACCAACACAAGCAGAAGTGGAACAAAACATTTGGCGACGACATCTGAATAGGGAAACACGTATAAAAATTGTTTAAATAAGTACTGTCACCTTGAAATCGTGTAAATTCACGCGACGCACAATTGCACATTTCTCTTGAACATGCGTTGAATCAATTCTCATCACTTTCTGGCCGTGATGCGGTTTCTTTACAAGAGGTTGCTGGCATACATTGATCGAATGTTGCTCCTAGCTCGTTCAGCGGCCATCCGTTTCGGTCGCGCCTGTTGTGGAACTTGAGGCATTGGTGGCGGATTGGCGATGGCTTCTTCAGCGATACCATCTGCAAAATGGAAATACTTATTAAGAAATAAATCTGTAGTGCCAGAAAAAATAATGTGCAGAATTCAACAAAAATTCTAACTCAGACGTTAATTTGAATTAACTTTCAACATGTTACACATTATTCTTGAAAAATGAAATTTAAAGATACTCACTAAGCTGTGGTATGAACTCTTCGATTACCAATCGAAGATTACGGCGCTCTGCCCTCACATCGGTTCGTCCGAATCGCGCCAAGTTGGTGTTGGGAGCGACGAGGATCCTCTGCGCGTTCGAGATCACATGGACGCCGCAATTGTACCCGTCCAGCTGGGCCTCCTGATGGCGCTGTGGAACCCAGCGGACTGTGGAGATGGTGGTTGGGTACAATGCGGCCAGGATCCTCTTCACACCCTTCGAGACGGCCGCTCTCTGCTTCGGCGTGCGGTGTGCGGCAAGCGAGTCGTAGATACTGCACTTGCCGCTCGCTCGGCGATAGGACGCGAGGTGCCAGTGCTGATCTTGATGCACTGGCATGAAGAGCACCTCGCAGTCCTCCCGCACGCCTACTGTGCACCGCCTCAGGACTTCTTCGGCATCGTCCCCTTCCTTCTCTTCCACCATCATCTTCACGGCCGATGGCAAAACGACGGCGACCTTCACGTGTGTCGACTCGACCAGGTTGAGCAGACCTGACAGCACGGCTCCTGACGATGTGATTTAAGCTGTTTGGTCCTGTTATTAAGGCTGCAAGAATAACAGAATCGACCTTTTCTTTTGATTTTCTTCCAACTCCTTCTAAACGAACGTATATTGGTGTTATTTCGTTTCTAAAATTTTCAAGTAATTGCAAAAAGGAACAAGAACATTTAGGGGAATACCTATTATGGTTAACTGGTCGAAACCCGTCCACCGCCAACGAAATAGGAATAGTCAAATGACTATTCTCAAAAGACTCGAAACTTTCGATATTATCATGATAACACCGCGATCGGTGAAATGAAGAATAATCTCGAATTGTTTCCTTAAGAAAATAAAACAAATTCGATTAAAAATATCACGATTATAATGTTGCAATAAAATATTACCACTGTATTTCTGTGATGGTAGCTGTGGGTTGATAGTAATTCACCAAATTGATTACTCGTAACTCGTTCTAATTGTGGGCGAACACTGTATGAAACAATTTTTAAAGCTTCTGTCTTCGTTCCTTTTTTCATATGTTTTCTGAAAGTATTTTATATTCGTGGAGTGCTATATTCATACCTGAAATTTACACAGATATTGTTTTGACAAGAATTTGAAGCTCCAATTGACACCAGACATTCGTTGCAGAAAACAGAAACTCTAGGTTTATACTTCGATAAGAAAACATTTTCATTTGTCTCATTTAAATCATTAATCTAAAATCATGCATCGTGAGTTTTTCTCTTAGCTTAGTTTTACCGTTAAGTTATAGCTACAAATAAAATGTGCCGCTAGCAGCACGGCTTCAATGCACGACTTCGATAAACAAAATGGATTGAGCAATTGATTAACCTTTGCAATGGCGTCATATCGTTGCGATATCTCATCATTCTGAGTGTTGAACCCCAAATCATTCATTGAGTAGTTGACCGAGTCTGGCAGTGAACAATTCGAATCGTCTTTCATAAACGGCGGCTGAATTAGCAGCGACTTTTCGAAATTATGATTGTTTTCATTGCAAAATTCTTCCTTCATATCCATGAAGAACGCTGGTCTTGTGACACGTATGCCATGATTTCTCAGCATTGTCTCTAGAAAAATGTGTTTATTATTCCATGCTTGCTAGGCTATATCTTCAGTCTCATATTTTACGGCACACTGGAAGAAGTGGAACGATCGAAGTCGAATGGTTAATGAATGAACAGCAAAAACATTATTAATGAATGAAAAATGATTATTTAGAAAATGAATCGTCTCATTAACGAATGGTTTTTAATTCGCGAATGAACGATTTTCGATGGTTAATGAATGGTTTTTTATTATTTTATGGTAAATAAATGGTTTTTTACTGTTTGATTGACGAAAAACCATTCATTTTTTGTTCCGCAATCATCGTTTTCACTTCTGCCAGTGAGTATTTAACATTATTTGACATACCATTTTCTTCAAACGTTGGCCTTCTTCTTTTCATTCCAATTGTTGCGTTACCGTGGATGACTGCGCTAGAACTAAAATTAATTTTTCTTTACATAATGATGAAAATTATATAGAAATTGAGTAAACGTTAAAAAATTTTCAATAATTCCAGTACGACACTCCAATTACAAACTGCCCTCCGTTTAGAGTTTGGGCTAAACCGTGGACGACTTTTGTTTTGACCGAGTTCAATGTTTCCCGTGTTTGCCCCAAATTGTTCCGCGGGTTATCCCAAACCCAAAAACAACCGCTGTTCGTCCCGATTGAATCGCTGAGTATTTCTTTAACAAACGAAAAATGGCAGAATGTGGAAATTTTCGAGAAATTTGGTTAAAACGAAAGTATTGGATATAATTGAAACGAATTTCGAGTTTTGCTTCTTCCTGTAAAAAAAAATGAAATAATCGGAAATTTCATATGATGCAACAAAAAATATTCCGATAGTTTTTCGGCATTTTGTTTCGAATTTTTGCTGCCATTCTCAAATAAGAATTAGAAAAAAATTAACGTCTGAATTTAATGAATCTAAAAATGAAAATATTCTTTCCGTTGTCTTTTTGTATTTGATTAACCGATTATTCGACCAGAAATAAAAACGGCGGTGAATGAAATGGCCGACAATTTTGCGGCCACCAAAAATAGGTCATGCCTAACAAGAAGTCGCAATTTGAAAAATCAAAAAATGTATGCAGAAATCGATAATGAGAACAGACAAACGAGTAAATGTTATAAATATTTAATAATTGAATAATATAAGCCTGCTTGAAAATTTTTGTCAGTTGATGAACACCATTAAAATTGAAATTTAGGCCATAAAAGCAAAAAGTTTTAAAACCCCGTGAATTTTCAAATTTTGCTATTCGACATTTTAAATTTTCAATTTAAAATAAAATGAAGATATTTTTTTACTAAGTATTTCAGCTTAATTCATCATCAAAGTGGGTTTTGCAATTCAAAAATTAATAAAAAATGAAAAAAATGACGCACCTTCCACGTTCTCTACGTGAATCTCCTTCACGGCCTCGCTGAAGCGAAGCCGCTTCGGAGATTCCGCTTCTCCAGCGTGCTCCGTGCTCTTCCTCTTCATTGCGCTTCTTCTCGTGAGAGGCATCTTTCTCGCGTGTCAATAAAATTGAACTGAATTTCAGTTGACCTAGATTTCACGTGTCGACGTGTTAACTAGGTCACGTTCCAATTATTTTTTTCATCTTTTTTGCTTTAATTTTTTTGGTCTTAAAAATAGGAAAACTCGATTTTGATGAAGTTTATATGTTTTCACATGCAGAGATTAATCATTTTTAGCCATTTAAAGTCATTTTAACTGTTTAATTCATTTTATTATGAATATTAAAGTGTTTTTAAAGAAATTTTCGTTAATAATTATTTTTTTATTTATTTTTTGTTCGTGAACAATTTTTAATGGGATCAATCGTGTAAAATATTAATAAGTTCTATTTTTACGTTAACTAAATTAATTTTTTAATTAGATTTTCACTCAATATTTATTCATTTTAAAAATTTATTTGTTGTTTCGCGTGAAGGCGACATTTTTATATTCTTTCTCATTCTCTCTAATAGTTTTCAATATACATTATTTTCTTATTATGTTTCCAATATTTTGAATATCAAATTCGCGAATTATCTGAATATTCATATCATCGAAGTTTTTTGATTCGACTGCTCGTCAAAATCATCAAGAGTGTTTGTTATCCGGCATTGACATTTTCGTTTTCTGGAATTTTTGTAGCAGTTGAGGCTCAAGCGATCTACTTGAATTGCATATAATGATTTGCAGATTTTGCTCCATGAGGAATCTTATTGCTGACAATGCTTACGTAAAAATTGGATCATCAAACGACAAAAATTGATTTGATTATAATGGATGTTTGTCAGAATGAGTGCCGAAGCGCAATTGGTTGGAATTGTCTGAAAAATTAATCAATGAACATTCAAGGTAAATTTATTGCAAAATCTAAATTCAACTAGGAAATTAAGTTTCAAAAATGTCCATGCTTGTAAATTTTCCCTAAATAATTTCATATTTTCCCAAATTCTTGAGTCCAAAATTTTAAAGGTAGTCGTTGCCAAATGATACGTGCAAACATGGAATCTTGCCAAACTTTTATGACGCTCTATATACCATCGTATCAAGTGTTATTGTAAATTGATTGGGTCGATTGATAAACGCTCTCAACGCAGTTCGATAAGATTGTTATTAGTTTTTCTCCTATTCATTTTTTCTTTTTCTTTTTTGTTTCTAATGAATTTTTAAAGGAATGAATCGTCTCAAAGAAGAATTCGAAACGAACGGCTACGCCGTTGTCGAAAATGTGTTCAGCGACGACGAAATTGACAAGATCAAGGCTGAAATCAATAAAATTGTGGCTGAAACCGACCTTTCTCAACATCCGCGAAGCGTTTTTTCAACTTATGACAAGGATAAAGTAATTTATAAACAATAATGATTTATTCAATTTGTTTTAATTAGCACGCCGCTGATGATTATTTCCTAAATAGTTCGGACAAAATTCGATTTTTCTTCGAAGAAGGTTCCGTGGATCAAAATGGTGATTTGACGGTGCCCAAGGATTTAGCATTGAACAAAATCGGACATGGATTGCATTTTCTGAATCCAGTGTTCAGGAAAATGACGTTCAACGAGAAGATCAAGTCTGTATTTCGAGCGATTGGATACGAGGAACCGCAAGTTGTGCAAAGCATGTATATTTTCAAGGTAAAACGTCAACGAAAATTTGATACTCTGTTTTTTTTACTCCAAAAACTGGCTAAAATTAGTTTTTTTTCCCTGCACAAATTTTTTGAAATTTTCGAATGTGTTACCAGTTTTTTTTTGTCAAATGTCTGAAATATAATTTATAGCAACCTCGAATCGGAGGGGCAGTTACGGATCATGTCGACTCAACATTCCTCCGCGTTGATCCAATTGATCATCTAACTGGAGTATGGATCGCAATCGACGAAGCTAGTGTCGAAAATGGGTGTCTCTCATTCATTCCGGGAAGTCATAAAGGTTTTAAAACAATGTGTCTCTGTATTGAAAATTGAGAATATGTTTTCAGACTTTTCTTCGACGGATCATCGATTTGTGAGGACCCACGACACTACCGGAGGACCCTTATTGAAATTTATTGGAACCCAACCAACTTATGATCAATCAAAATTTGTGCCTGTGCCAATTTCTAAAGGTATTGAAAACGATTAGGTGTATATGGCTCGATAACTAATTAATTAAAGGATCATTAATCCTCATCCATGGATTGGTTGTGCATAAGAGCGAAGCGAATACATCGAACCAGAGCCGTCATGCATATACAATACACGTGATGGAGAAGAAGAATACTCGCTGGGACCCTGATAATTGGCTGCAGCCAACGAGCGAACATCAGTTTCCAAATCTCTACGAGTCTCAGTAAGCCATCATTGCCGACACTGTTTTGCTGACGATTATTTTTCTTTTGCGAATTCTCAGTCGTAATAAAATATAATCGCGTAATGGAGGAGTGAAAACGCATAGCAAATATGGATTAATTCCCGAATAAACATCGCTGAAATATTGAAAAATTATCGTAATTAGTTTGGAAAAATTGACTTTCTTTCAAAAAAAGGGGAAATTGCTACCTTAAACAACTGTGGATTAAATAGTATTGATCGGTATTGAGAGCATACCATGGCGAAATTTTGTACGCCAAACTGAACATGAGCAAAATTTGAATTCCGACTGCAAAACATTGAGCCCGTTAAAGAAATATTTTTAAAAAATATGGATTCAAATCTCACCAATAATTGAGCACATAATCATCATTTTCGTTTCAAATTCACTCTTTCCCTTATCACTTCGTGAAAATAATTTCGGCTGAAAGTTTCAGAATAATGTTTGAATTGAAAATATGAAATTTTACCATTGAATGCAATTTCTTTCTGGATTTTATCACATAAAAAATATAAAGGTATGTACAAATAAGGAAAATACAGTTGGATCCGATTAAAAATCCGCCAATAACATAGAATATATTCGTCATTTTCTTTCTGAAATATTTTTTGATTAAGATAAATCCTAGATAAAGGCTTACATTGTGAATTTTGGAACAATTCCATTTGTGGAGTTTCTATAAAGCTGAGCCGGATTGAAAAGCGTCATAATTCCAAGAAGACATCCAGGGACAAATTGAATTGATATAGGAATCCATATACGGTGATACCAGAACATCTGAATTATTATTTCGATTTTTTCTGACGATAAAATCGCAAAAAAATTTATAAATTGCGGAAAACGAAAATTGTGCAAAAAAGAATGGTGCGTCATGATCCAATTAAACTGCAAAATCTTACACTACTATAATTTCCAGGAAAAATGACGGCGGATAGCCGGTTGGCAGCAAGAATGGAAACGGAAAATGACTGACAGCAGCCTGAAAATGATGGGAATCATTCGAAATCGAAATATTGCCTTTTACCGGTTGTCCATGCAATGTATAAATAAATTTGCCCATAAATATTGCCGATTTTGAGATAGAAATCAATAAAGAATGACCATTTTGGGAACATTGCGCCCAAATAATTATTTAACATTGTGACTTGAATCAAATCATTTTCGAATTCAACTAAAAAAATTCCTACTCAAATCAATAACTGCCGTGCTGATACATAATTTGAAGAACGGACTATTCAGCCATTCATGATTCCGAATTTGAGCGTCTATTAGAAATAGTAATAACACTGAATAGAATGGTACCGTAATACACCACAACGTAAATTGTACACTTTCTACAGTAGTAATCAAATTGCGCGGAATTGAAAGATCGGATTCTGGAATCATTGGCAATGACGCCAATGTCTGCATCTGGCTGCAGCGGATTCGAAAAATTTAAATGTGCTCAATAGTCGCACTACGGGGATTACGTAATTGAATTCCGTATAACTTTATCAACTATGAGTTCAAAAATCTTAGGGATCCGATTCAGCATAGGTTTATGATTGTCGAAATATTATGTTCATATTTTGGGAACCCTAACTAAGTAATCGAAAATTTTTTTAAAAATTATAACCATTTATTTAAAATGTATATATAATAATACACATTTAAATATTCAATGGGGGAGGGAGTCCAAATATAGGCGACTGGTACTCAGGAATCCTTTTTGGTGTGGGCAGTGCTCTGTTGCTCATGGAACGACGCGTTGGAAATAATCCACTTATGCCATGCTCGCTGGACGATGGTTCTGCTCTCTTCGACATTGTCAGTTTCACGATCCGATAGATGCCTTTCTTGTCCACTTCACAAGATCGGAAGCAAAGAACCAACCATTTGATCTTATTCAGCTGATCATCATTGACTCCCACTCTGCCCTTCGCTCCAACATTGTAAACGATCGCTGGGACTTCAACTGAATGTAATAGGACTCTCAATAATGTAGAGCTCACTTCTAGCATAATTGCGTTATTTAATAATTTTAGAGCATTTTTGAGTATTCGTCATTTTGTCAAAAAAATGAAGTCTATGTTAATTGGGAAAATATGTCACGCGGACCAGCATGAAAGCTTTTAGACGAGTTCAACTCCGAGACGCCGTCTCCCCTTTTTGGCCAGGCTCCTCTCCTGTTAGGCATATGTAATCATGTCACAACGACTCGTTGTTACCAAATTTTTTAAACTAATCAATTTTTTCCGTATTAAATCGCAAAAAAAAAACCGGAAATCTGTGATAGAGATTCTCGAATTTGCTGCTGAAAAATCTACACGCTTTATGTTGGAAATATCCGTTTCTTTTTTCGAAAATACAAACTGAAAATGTGATTTTAATTGTTTTTGTCCTTCTCATTCTTCGTCAATTCTTCCGGAATCTCGATTTTGATTTCCGCAAATGAATTTTCCTGAACATTTATTGAATGTTTTCATCGAAAATAAATCGAGCACACCTCGACGGAATCTTGTTTTACCGATTCCTCAATAACACTTTCCAAAATTGCTCCGGCTAAACAAGGGTTCAATGAAAAATGGTTTAGAATTTAAACCAACGAGATTGAAGACTCGGCGTTTCCGTTGGCGATTTCGGTTGCTGCTCAACTTTCTGTGCAGAAAATGATCGCCTAATAGAATAATTATTTTAAAAATAATAATTCAAATATAGTCGGCGTCTGGCGTCTGCTGTACGCGGGTAGATTTACGGGAATGCGTTTTTCGAAATGGTCTCGCAAGGACCAACAGGTTATTTCAAATTTTATGGACCATTTCGATAATTTTTTAGAAATGCGAAACTCATCAAGAAAAATGAAGCAGTTCACGTGAAAACAGCAAAATAAACATTCACGCGTGGCGAGACCTTTTCAAGGCGCATGCGCGTAAATCCACCCGCGTGCAGCAGTCACCGGACGCCGATTATACAAAATAATAATTACATCATGCTAATTTTGTCGCCCATCCGACTGAGTCTTCGACGCAAACTCTGCTCTTCCTTCTTTTCCCCAAAATTGATGGTCACTCCTCCAGCATCGTTCGACGTCCTCCGACCAGCCACCTCGTCGATTCTTCAATTACATTATGGTAACTTCGAAATTAGAATTATTGCTACACAACGCTCGACGTGGATCCCTGCAATCCTCCACTATGTCCAGTGTGTGCTCCAGTGACCGACAATGGTTGAAATTTGGGATCGGAGAATTTGTCAATGTTCAAATACGGGCACTCGTCATGACTATCGTCAACAATTTGCATACCAGTCTAAAGAAAAACCAAATTCAGCTGAAAATCGAAAACATTTCGGTCTCGCCATGATATTTTTCTCCAGAACCCAATTGAGCTCAAAATCATCGTCGTCTTCGCCTAGAGGATTCAAAAGAGCTTCAGCAACCTCAAAAAGTAGGGAATTATTGAAACAATTTGAACAAAACTGACACGCATCCATCCAACGAAAAAAATGAATTGGAAGATCGTCATAATAGGAATATATTTGATAAGCTGAAAATTAGAATTTCAAACGATGATCGATGGATTTAAAATGGACACCCTCTCATCGTCTTCGGTCAATGGAAGATGTTGTCTGGAGAAAAGTGCAATCAGGAAATAAACGCGAACGGCGAGGAATACCACCTAGACATCGACCACCAATTATACAATTATGTGGATAATATGCGACACCTGCGGATAAGCGATTGGTATTGGGACCCAGTCGAATTTGCACATATTTTCTAAATCTTTTCGAAAATCTCGAATATTCTAGAATCATATTAATTAAGTGGAATTTCGACGAAGATTACATTGAGAATATTGTTGGTCGAAACTGGAGCATCGATGTAGTGCTGCTAGAATGGAGGAAATCAATTCAATTCGATTCGGACCATCGCTCATACCGCATTCATTCTCCACACAATCGAGTTGGCCCAATTAATCGGCGCCCAATATTTCTTATAATTCACGTCGATTTCCTTCAGCTCTCTGAGCTCATTCTCGAACAGAAACCCGCTTTCAATTAAGCTCTTCATTGTTGGATAGCGGCGGCGGACTTGCATTGAGATGTCGCGAAACACTAAAACCTGAATTCGAATAGGTGATCTTGAAGCGAATCGCTGACTACGGTACTTGCGACAAGACGAGATATCGAACGATTGATCGACGCGCGAGACGAACATTGTCATCCTTGCCGCGGATCAACGTGCTCACCGAGAGGGCGGTTCTGAAAATGCGCTAAGAAAAATATTCAATCGGAATCAAACGTTTCGATGAAGGTGATATTTTGCAGCATTTGCTTCCATCGATCGACTACACACGAAACGAAGAATCCGAGCATGAATTTGATATCAAAATATGAGAGGCCATAATCCAACAATTGAATTTCGTTGACAGTTTCTCTAAATCGAATTTCAAGCTGCTTGAAACTTCTCTCCTCATCATGCGACTCACTGCTTCCATTCTTGTGGCAATGTTAGCTGTACGGTGATTGTAATAATATAGTATAATACCAGCCAAAGCAATAATTCTTTCCATACAACCTTAAAAATCGAGCCTTCCCATTTCTTGAAGAGTTTCAGAAACGAGTAGCCGTCGGCGGAGGAGACAGCAAGCGCATAAGAGACTGTCATATTTCGCTCGAACACAAAATTTTATCGAAAAAGAAACGAACAAATTTTTTATTGGACGACAATCGATGCCGGGGCTGAGAGCGACGAGCAGACGAAAAAAAATGCAAATCGCGAGAAGTTCGCAAATTTGCATTGATTCACTATACCATTTATGGGCGGACTACTATAAAAATTCGACATAATTTTTGAATAAACTCGAAATCAACGAATAAATTTGTGCTTAATATTTATGATTTCTGCCATATGGATCGTAGGAGTGGCTTCTGTGATGATCGTGTCTTGAAGGTCCATTGTCATTGTTCTCCTGAAATTTAGAAAAATTCATGAATTTTAAGGGGTCCGAGTCTTTTGGATCATAATTACAAATCCAAAATTGAGTGCATTTATTTAATACTGCATGAGTTTTTTGAGAGAAGGAGTAAAGGCGCATAGTTTCAGAATTTGAATTTCACGTGAATTCAGAGAGGGCTGTTCCCCAAATTTGGTGTTGTATTGAAGCAAAGAGATAATAGATTGAAGAATTCGTAGGATGACGATATAGCGGATAACAAAGAGAGTCATCCAACAGTATTTTAGTTCACATTTAGTGACGGCAATGAGAGAATCGAATACGAGGTGTGCGTTGGAATAGGAAAATTATAAGCTACAATTTATCGATCAGCAAATTCATATCGATTTTGGAATCGGAACTATTGGAAAATTGCAGCAAAGGTCAAGTTTTTTTTAAAAACCATTTTGTGCTCTTCGTTTTTCACAAATAATGCGGATTTTTCATATTTTCACTTGATTTTATAACGATTTTTCTATATTTTTTAAAAATAAATATAGAGATTTCTAAAAATTACTATGTAAATATATTTAAAACTACGTTTATGCTGATTTTCAGTTTCCGTCAAAGTCGACTCTCATTTTCGGCAACTCTTACTTCTGTAGTTCCCGACGCTAGCAAAAATAATTTCACAAAAAAAATTTGAACTTGTTCGAGGGAATCTGGTAATAAGTCTGGTGAGAAATCACCTAACCATGAATCACAAATATGGTCATCGGATGGTTATCTCCTGCGGTCTAGACAACTCTAACATTGATGCAATTCGTAGAGCGATGGATGTAGACCTTATTGCCTTATTAGAATGCAATTTAATCACGTATAATAATTAAAATGGAACGGGGGAACACGTGAGAGGGGAGAGGTCATTCCAATCATATCAAAGTCCTCATAAAATGAGTAGTGAAGCTGTTTTGACCAAAAGTTTAAGGTGAGTAATGTGAACGGTTTTATTGAACGAACTTGCTTTCTAATTTCAGCACCTGTGAAGAAGTGTCTCCAAAACGAAATGAGCATAACGTTAGAATTTAAGAGTTTGAATACAGGGTGTCATTTAAGTTCCCGCACAAAAGTTAGACGCCATGAAAAGCTTGGCTGTCGCACTTTTCGTGCACCAATACAATTTATTTTTGTTAAATAAGGTGTATTTTACTTACTTTTCAAGTTTCACTTCATTCGGATGTGTTTCCGAGAAATGGCGAAGGCTAACATTCATCGCGCTTCCATTATCGAACTTCATAAGCGAAATGAGCGCCCGACAGAGATCATTCAACGCCTCGGTGTGCCTCGTAGAACGGTTTACGACACCATCAAACGATTCAAGGAGCTAAATACGACCAGTGACCTTCCCAGACAAGGAAGACTCGTCTCAGTAACCACTCCTCAGAAGATCAACGCCGTCAAAACGAGGATCAGGCGAAAACCGCACAGGAGCATAAGAAAGATGGCGTCAGACATGGGAATGAGCATCTTCGCTATGGAACAAATGGTCAAAACGAAGCTTGGACTGACCCCATATCGCGTCCAAAAAGCGGCAATTCTATCGGCCGTCAACTAGCAGAGACGCTTCGAAAAAGCAAAACGACTTTTTGCTCGCACGCGGTCTGGAGAACACCTCGCCACTGTCTTCTCCGACGAGAAGCTGTTCACTGTGGAGGCGGCATTCAACTCACAAAACCATTGAGTACTTGCCCAGACATCCCAGAAAGCTTCTGAGAAAGGAAGAACAATTCATCCAGCCTCACATCCTTCCAGTGTGATGGTTTTCGGTGCCATCTGCTCAACCGGGAAGTGCCCCTGGTTTTCGTGGATCAGGTGGTGAAAGTGAACAAAGAAGTCTACGTTCGGGACATTTTGGGGAAGCATATGATGCCCTGGGCCCAAACGCATTTCGGTGGGAAGATATGGGTCTTTCAACAGGACGGAGCACCCGCCCCTACTGCCAAAACTACTCAGGAGTGGTGCCAGACCCATTTTCCCGACTTCATCAAGTCATCCGAATAGCCTGCTTGCTCCCCAGACCTGAACCCGCTTGACTTCTCCGTGATGGGGTCTTGCAGGAGAAGGTCAACGCAAAACCCCACTCAAGTGTAGAGGCTCTGAAGAAGACATTACTGGCGGAATGGGACAATCTTTCCATCGAATACCTGCGTACCACAGTCACATCCTACCCGAAGCGTCTCCGCGAAGTCATAGCTGCGAAAAGAGGCCGAATCGAAAAGAGTTAATAGATAATTATTTGTTGTACTATAGATAAAAAATATTTCGAGTCTCGTTTGATTTGGACTTTTAGTTTCAGAAATATACGTCTTCAAAGTTGTGCGGGAACTTAAATGACACCCTGTAATCGAAATTTGAGCAACTTTAGGTTACAATTCGAACTAGAAATTGAAAAAAAGAAGGCTTACAATTTGAATCTGGAACAGATGAGAAAATTGAGAATGGCAAGAAGACGACGGAGAAAGAGGCCACACTTCCAATAAGAAAAATGGAGCCACCAATGTCTACGACAACACCAGCACTGGTATGCAATTTGGTAATCTTTTATTCACCAATCGAGAGAACTAAACACCCAGAATACCACATTGCGGCCAAGGTCAAATGGGACCTTTTTCTAAAAACATTACAGTACCAATTTTGAATATAAATCTGCCAAGTGGTTCCGAAGCGATTTTCATTGAAAATTTGATCGTTCAAGGATCAAAACAGATTTATGTGTTGTTTTTCTGCTGAATACAATTTTCCTGTGAGACCCAAGTATGCGAATTTTAGCGTTTTCTTTTATAATGTCGTCGCAAAAAATTAGACGATTGGGTACTTTTTTTTCAGCGCGACAATTGAAATTATTTCTAACACAGAGTGGCGCATTATGCTTTGTTGATGCATTTTTGGTGCGTCATTCCAATTAAATTTTATTTCGCAGGACACAACTGGGTCGTTCCGCAAGATGCTGCTCCTGCTCATACCGCCAAGGTGACTAAACAGTGGGCGAAACACACATGCCGGGTTTCATCAAGTCGGCCGAATAGCAGGCTTTCTTGACGAACCGGACCTGAACTCGTTCGACTATTCCGTATGAGAGGTCTTGAAGACGAAGGTCAACGCTAAACCCCACTCAAGTATCGAGACATACATAGAAGAAGAGTCTGGTCAAGGAATGGGACAATCTTTCTGACGACTACTACAACCCTCGACGCCTATCCGAAGACTCTCCGAGCTCTCATCATTGAGCAAGGCAGCGAGGTTGAACAGAAATAGTTAAAATTTAATTTTTATTCTATCAATAAAATAATTGCCGAATCTCATCTCATTCTGACTTTTGATTTTTGAGTTTCATGCTCTCAAATGTTTTTTTAGAAATATTTCAAAACAGATTTGATTTCGATATTCATCAAAACTCACGTGATAGTGCGATTTCTTATGATGATTCGGTTGTGCTCCATGTCCAATACTTCTTCTCATTCTCACCTCATTATCAATGTCGTCGAATGGTGTTTGATAATAGCTGGAATCGAGTTTAGCCGAAAGTATGACATCGAACGCGTTTTTCACAAGCGAATCTTGATCTTTGACAATTTCGGCAGTCAGTCTCGCGCGGTCTTCCGACGACAAATTTTCATCGACGATCATCTCCTCGAATGATTGCAGAACGGCTCCAAGATCTTCGTAGATTTTGCGTCGCAACGTCGCTTCTTCGATCTGGCGTTTCATTGATTTCCGAATGAATTTTTCCATCGCCTCCTGAAATGTTTCCAATTTTTTCAGATATTCATTAAAACAAAATGATTTTTTCATTCAACAACTATCGTAATTTTCGGTTATTTATTTTCAAAGGCGCATTCGAAAAGTTTCGCGGGTCTCGTCGCAATTTCGCTATTGTAATTTTTGTGGATTAATATACATATTTGCACAATTGTGGACCATCGCATTTTTTTTCGAGGCGGTAATTCAAATCTCAATTTAATCAGATCCCGATTACCTGGAAAGCTAACTCGCCGTAAATCTACACAGGGTGCTCGGTTTTTTTGCGAATGTAATATATAATTGGAAAATTGGCTAAATGCCAAAAAGCAATGGCAGAATTTCTCTTGACTCAAAACTAAACGTGTAGATTTACGGGATTAACTTTAACGAACAATTTTTTTGCCAATTTTTCACAATTTTTCGACATGTTCCTTTCAAAATAAATGAATAATATTAAAATAAAACCAAAGAAAATTTTTGAAAAAAAAAGCTGGAATTCCTCAGAATGTTTACTCTTCCCATAATTCAATCAAAAGACGCTCTCCGCCAATTCGAATGTCGATTGATTTTTGACAAACCACGTTTTTCCCGAAATTAAAAAAAAAAGTCAAAACTAACTTCCATGTTATTTTTCTTCGCCCATTTCCTGCAAAATTCGATCATCCTTTTCGTTGAGATCGATTTTTCATTTCGAATTCGGTGCAACTTCCTTCTTTCTTCTAGCGGAACATCCTTAAACTCATTGCTCTTCTTGGCGCGCAAACCATTAGTCGGCTTAGTAATTCGGCTGACTTTAACCTGCAATATTTTAATTAATCAATTAAACGTCAAGAAAAATGAATGGTATAGTTTATAGTTTCTGAAGGTTGGGATATAGATTGGCCAAATCCTTTCGTCAATTTTACGCGATTCGAATCAAAAATTGAAAATGAGACACTTTAACTGTAGTAGTTGTTATTAGGCACTTTTAAACTATTTAAAGTGCGAAACCTCCTTATAAGGAATTTGTCAAATATTCAATTTGCAAGAGAAGCCAAACCAAGATCAAAAGTCTTACCATAATAACTGGATCATCGTCTTCTTCATCGTCCTCCTTATTCTTAACATCCTTCTCGACACTTTTATAGAATCTATCTCGTACGATTCCCTCGAACTCCTCCTCCTCACTGATGCTATCGGGTTGAGACGCATATCGATAAGTACGAGTCTTAGTTTTATCATTGTAATGATATCTATCCTTTACTTCGTTATTTTCGGAATACTGTAAAATAATTGTTTGGACTTGAATTGGGCATCATTAATACAAAAATGTCGAAATCAGTTTTTTCGACTTTCGAAGTGGCACATGCATAAATGACAACAGCGAATAGTAGGAGTAGAATCCGCATTCTGCAACAAATCAATGATTTTCGATGGGGAATGATGGAACTCGAGTGATTCGTTGTTTACGGGGGTCTTAAATAGGAACGAAGCAGCCAACTGATAAAAAGTAGGTGGGAACTCTTCGGTGGATTGGGCACCCTGCCGGAAATATACAACATCAGGGTTAAGAAGCCTCTGATAAGCAACGTCTCATTATACCTATAGTTATGATATCATTGGTGTCTTCAAATCGAATTGATTTCATAACAACTATTTTAAAAATGGGAAATCGAACTTATGATGGAGTTCTTTTTGCAAGCTGTCTTAAATTTTTTCATTTTTGTGCTCCCACATTCTTTAGAGTATTTCAAATAGATAGAATTGGAGCCTAAAAATTTCTAGGCATCTCATCGAACTATGGTCCTTCAAGTTTTCAAGATTTTCCAGATTCTAGCCGGTAGATCATCATTGCTAGAATGAACATAAAAAATTGCAATTACATATTGGTTTAATTTTTATTAGTTTCCCAACTGGAATTTTTTTGAAATAAAGTGTATTATAATTTAATACATGGCGATCTTTTCTTGAATTTTCAACAATTCATCGAGAATTTTCGAGTTCAATATTCATATTTTTATGGCTCAAACAATTTCATTTTTCAGATTTAATATCTAAAATTTTGATTTTGAAGAATAAAATTGGAAGAAGAAGAGCAATAGAATATTTTTAAAAATCCTCCAGTTGTCATAATTCGCTTCTCCTCTGTTTATGAAAAAAAAATCAAAATCTGCAAATGCCCTCAAAAAAGCTTATCAATTCAGAACGAATTGGACATTAAAAAATTGACAAACATTTTAATGGCCCTAATACTGATAGTGTTCTTCGAGAATGTTGGTTCGTTGATTCGAAATATTCGAGTTATTTTAATCTGTAATCAATGATGATTTTGATGAAGAAGTACATATGTACATCATCTTGGTTCCTAAAAAGGCCCCAAAAAATTCGTTTGAAATTCACAAACACCCAATAAGGAGATAAAAGTACAACTCAACATGAGCCAAAACGTCTGGAGCATGCGAAACATTTTTGAGGGTATCGGGATTTGGGATAATTCCAAATTAGGTGATGGTTTGAAAAGCATTCAAAGGAGATTTTTGTCAAATTAGATCTAGTCTTAAAATTTGAATCTGGCAGGAAGTAGGAACATGGAAAATGGGTTCACATTGTTTTTTTTTAAAGTTGATCTCGTTTTATCGGGTCCCATTAAAAATTAGCCAAAATTTGGACTTTAATTCTGCTATAAATTTCCAAAATTTCATGAAATTGTTCGTTCCATTTTCGCTTTAAGAATTCCAAAACTTTCTTCATTTCTATCAATATGTAGAATTAGTCAGAATTGTTTGATGGCATTCTTCCTTGAAACCTTCTTCGAAACGGTTTTCCCATACAATTTTGTGACAGTCTTAACTCGAACGATGTTTACCAATGACTATTGTGATTTCCCATGGCTACATGATTATTTTCAGCGTTTGGCACTCAACTCTCAATGTTTGCCATTGTGTCAAACAATAGAAATTCCAACAAAACGCAAACATTTAAAAACCGTTTCAAACTTTTCATTTTTCCAACGTTCGCTCTATTTTTTTAAACGAATTTTGAACTTCCGTGTTGTCTGCCAAAAAAGTCATTTGAATATTCAAATTGAGGAGGTTTGATTATAGGAAAAACATGTCTGGCAAAAATCGTTGGGCTGATTTCGATTTGATTTCAGTCTATAACAAAAAACTATATTATTCGTCAAAAAACTGGTACAATTTAATCCCTCAAAAATTCTTTCGATTTCATCCAACAATTTTATTAATATTTTGGCAGATAATCGTAATTTTTTAAATTCTTTTTTTTTCTATAAAAAAAAAATCCTAGTATTAAAAACGAAATGATGATAAAACAGGAAATATTTGTATAAAAAAAACCCCATATTGAATATTATAATATACGGTAAAATAATTGATAAAAATTGAAACATTTTCATTATAAATTTAGCATATTTTTTCGAAACAAAGTGGGTTTTTTATTTTTTAACATTCTGAAACAATTTTCAGATTCGCCATCTTTTGAAAATTCTGGGCCCCGCCCAGAATTCAACGTCCCCGAAGGAACAATTTTTTGTGTGGCAAGAAACGAAGTTATCAGTCAGAAGCTCTTCATCGCCGCCCAAATGGACGGCTAGAGCCTTCTGTCATCACTTAACTCCGGCCCTTCGCAAGGGCAATACTCCCGAAATTCTCCCTTCCTACGGCCGCGCCGTCTTAATGGGAAAAGAAAACCCCCCAATATCTCCCACGCGGCCGCGCCGCCAATTTGGGGAACTCTACCAAGTCAAACTACATACCTGGGAGGTTCTCTTCCCCTTGAATCGCGCATCTCCTTCCTCCGCGAGATCGCTCCATAATCCGCAATCAGAATAATAGGCTTTTACTCCAGTTAGAAAGAAAAAGAAAAACTAAAAAACAACGTTTTTTTTCAAAAACCTCCTAACGCCGCCGCTAGGTTACTGTCGCTCCGCGAGAAATCCAAGCGGCATTACTGTGCCGGCCTTTAACTTCTCCCCCTGCGCCTCCTTTGCGCCCGTTGTCTTTCCCTCAGCGCGCGTTATCTCTACCCTTTGGCGCGCGCTTTCTCCGTTCACACACTCTCTCTCCGCGAGAGATATTTATCGATTTCCCTCATTTTTTCCTCCTTTTTCGTCGAATTCCCGCGGAATTTGACACATCTGACATTTCCATCAAAAACACCATTCCTCCGTCCTCCAATATTGTCCGCAAACCCACAATTATTTATTATCCTTCTAGTGTATCACTTGTATTTTTTTTCCAAATGCAACCAAATTTTAGACATATTCATCAGTCAATTTTAGACCACAAAATTGTGATATTGTTCATTTCGCATGATGTTTCAAATATTAGACTTATCACCAAAAGTTCAACAATATTGTGCTGACGCGCTGAAAGTAATCAAATTTTTTTTGATAATTTTTTTACGATTCTTAAGAGGATTACGAAATCAAAAAATGAATGAAAAAAATCGTATAGTTGTCGACATTCATAGTTTTTCGAATAATTCTTGGGGGCAATGGAAAAAAGGCAAATAAAAAAATAAGGGTCCCAAGGAATTTAATTAAAATTGGCAATAAGGTATTCATCAACTGAAAGCATTTGGTTTATTTTTCAAACTTGCCGAGTTTGTGAAGAATGATCAGAATAACAAACTCCTCCAGTTCTATTCATTTCCTTTTTTTTTAATAATGGTTATTGTGGAATTTTCCAGGTCAAAATTTGACTCTTCTCTCATATCTTCCTAAATTTCACAATAATATTTACATAAAGTATTATTTTGTGTTTCATCAAACAATGGTCTTAACTGATACCCAACACAACTTCTGTTACAGATGATATTTATTCTGATAACCGCTCTCTTTAAATTTGCAATTGCGAACGAACCGCTGCCCGCCAACTCAGTCAATATTGATCCGAACACGGTTTTTGTCATTTTTGGCGCAAGGTCGAAACAATCTGATGGATGAAAATTGGAAAAAATGACAATTTTTAGGCACGGCAATCGAAATCCCGATGAGTTTTTGCCGAATGTGACCCGGAAATGGGGTCAAGAAGGGTCGCTTGAGTTGACTTCGATCGGAAAACGACAATCATACGCGATGGGCGTTGAACTACGCGCATTCATTGGAAATTTGAGCGCCAAAAATTACAATGCATCCGAAGTCAAATATTATTCGAGTTCGGCCAATCGGTGCCAGATGACACTTCAGGTTCGATGGCTCATTTATTTTTTCGGAACGCGTCAAGCGATTGCAGGCAGCACTTGCTGGCCTTCATCCACCGGAGGATTGGAGTGTGTGGATTATTCAATAGCGGAAGCCTAAAAGACTGGACACCGATTCCATACACGATCGACGATCAGATCCTTCGGATGTACTCGGTTAACGAATGCCCCAACAACGATAAAGGTCTCCGTCCATCCGGCGATCATTTTGATTTATGTGATTCGATTTTTAGTTTGGGAACCGATTGATAACGACGAACTGGATAATTTGAAGGAATTGAAGACCAAATATCGCGATGTTCTCGAGTATTTGCAAAATCATACCGGTTGGAATACGACGCACGATCTCGGAAAAGCTGCCGATGTCACTGACAATCTGTTCCAGTTCGATTTTTACAACGAATCTTATCCCGAATGGATTGCTAATCCAAAATTGGCTAATTATACTGGGGAAACACTCAAGGCGGCAATCATGGAATTCGGTAGAATTTTGTTTCAAAAAAGAAAAAAGATTGGTTTTTTTTTTCTGAAATTTGCTGCATTTTGTATAAAATGAGCAATGCGCGCATTTTAGCGATAGAGCGCGATTGCTGATCACGAATTCTTTTTTTCTCATTCAATTTAATATTAAACGAAATATTTATTTTTGTAACAATTCCTATTTTATAGATATACTGTTTACTTTAAAAAACAAAGTAAAAAGAAAAAATGTATAAATATATTTCAGCGGAAATCCATCCCAGGTCATGTGCCTATGCTTCGCCTTGCCGATCGCTCATGGCTGGATATTGGCTGAATGATATAATCGACAAGTTAAATGATGCAAAAGATCAGAAGAACAAGCTGAAAGTTGTCGGATATTCGTCGGTATTAATTATTATTATTATGGTCAACGTTTTATTTTTCTCGAAAATGTTTAGCACACCGAAATCACACTTTCGGTGATGAAATTGTTGGGAATCGTGAAGGATGAGGTCACGACGTCCGCTGGATTCGTGATCGAGTTCAAATTGAATCAAGGCCCAGCTATTCGGATTCTGAATCACGATCCGAATCCGATTGACACTCACGTCATCTACAATGTAGGATTCCCTCTAGTCGGTTTCATGGTTTTGTTTTGAAAAATTTCAGGCAACTCTTGAAGAGGATTTGAAGAAATTGCAACGAAATGATGGATTCATTCCTCTTGCTGATTACCTTGAACATATCAAACCTAACGTTAGTAGCAGTGTCAACGATAATAGCTTAATAATGATCGAACGGTAATTTAGGCATTTTCCGACTGGCGTGCTCAATGCGATGCTCCAACATGCTCCCGCTCGGCGTCGACTCGTTTTTTAACGCTCAGTTCTTTAATTCTCCTCATTGCCATCATTCATGTTTAGCGGGTGTTAAAACACAATCATCACATAATAAATTGTGTTTCAATGAAATTGAATTGATAAACAAGGAAGTATTTTGTGAGACGGGGGCGATCGCGTATCTTATCATCAGGTCATTGATGAGGGGGGATATAAAGCCGCCCAAAAGGGCTCATAGCGAACATTCGCTTTTTTCGTTTTGTTTCTATCATCATTCGTTTTCAGGGTAAAATCCACCAAAGAAAAGCAATGCGCGGATTTTTGATCGTTTCATTGGTTTTTCTCGGCGTTGCCGCGCACGAGCTTCTCCCGAAAAAATCGGTGAAAATCGACAAGAACACGGTTCTCGTGTTGTTCGGAACACGACACGGCAACCGGCATCCGGAAGAGTTCCTCGAGGAGAATCCGCGAAGCTGGGGATACGAGGGGAACACCGAATTGACATCGGTATTCGAATCCAAACAAATGCATCCATCGAAATTCTCGTTTTCCAGTTCGGCAAGAGCCAGGGACTCGGTTTGGGCAAAGAATTGCGAAGCTTCATCGGCGATCTCGTCTCTCGCAACTACAACTCGAGTCAAGTCAAATACTACTCGAGCTCAGCCAACAGATGTCAAATGACGCTTCAGGCATCAAACGAATCTTCCAAATGATTTTCCATTCATCAAAAATTCAGACCGTCACTGCTGCTCTCCACGATCCAGAGCAATGGGGAGATTGGAACAAGAAGTGGTACGATCATTGGTCTCCAGTCCCATACACCATCGATGATCCACTCCTCAGAATGTACGCCGTTAAAGAATGCAAAGGAAGCGATAAAGGTGATCATAATGAATTAATTGATTAAAGGGGGTGGGGTGAGAAATGATAATTAATTTCTCAAAAAATCCCTTGAGCAAGAAAATCAAGCATAATCATAATATACATATTTGGATACAAAATATCTGCTGCGCATGCGTCATAATTTTTAATGCTTTAGCACCTTCTCATAGTTTCCCATAAATCGAAATGTGTTGTGTGTGTGTTTGTACCCTTTTATGTATACTCCCTTGCCAATTCCTACATTGCATGACGTTATACACACGTGAAAGCTCAATATGTTGAGAAAATGAATAACCAAATACGACAACAATTGGATTGCTTGCAGTTTGGAAGCCGATCAGCACTGACACACTTCCAACCCTCAAATAGGTCAAGGCTAACAATGCCGTCGAGCTCAAATACTTTGCTGAAAACACGAAATGGAACATGGAGAATCTCGGAAAAGCCGCCGATTTGGCTGATAACCTTATCGAAATTGAGCTCTACAAGGCCAAATATCCAAAATGGATCAAGAGCCCAACGCTGAAAGGGTACAATTTCGAGAAGCTCAAGGCCAAGATTCTAAGCTTCGCCGAAATTCATCAGAACGCTTGCGCCGACTATGCGCCATGCGGAAACTTGATGTCCGGATATTGGCTTCAGGATGTTCTTGATCGGTTGGAAACCGCCAGCAAGGGAAAGGGACCAAAATTGATCGGATACGCTTCGGTTCGTCTCACTAATTCCGAACGATGTTGCTTCAATGATTCGCTTTCAGCACACTGAAACCACGTTGTCCCTCATGAAGCTCATGGGATACGATAAGGACGAGTTGACCACGTCGGCCGGATTCGTTGTTGAGTTCAGAAACAAACCAAAACCAGCTGTCCGTCTTCTCAACCACGATCCGAACCCAATTGAGGATCACGTCATCTATCCAGTATATAACGCATTCTTATTTTTTTAAAGAATTTCCTAATCTCATTTTAGGCCAAACTTAGTGCCAAGCTGAAGAAGCTCGCCGACAAAGATGGTTTAATCGCACTTGATAATTTCGTCAAGTTCGCCAAACCAAGTGTAAGTGTTTAAAATGTCGAGCTCAGTATTTCATTTTCTTTTAATAATCGATTTAGGCGTTCGCCGATTGGAAGAAACAATGCGACCGCGCCTAATAACAACAAAATTTAACAAGGATTATAAAAGTTACTCTTAAAGAGATTGAATAAACCGGTTTTTCACGATTTCTGTTGTTGTTCTTGAAGTAATCGAGCTGCGACGAGGTACGCAAGACGAGATGACGTTTCCTGGTCGGATAGTTCCCGGATCTGAAAAAAGTAATTATGAACAGGAGAATTGTCCAAAAAGTGTATCACAGATCATTGGACACATTTTCAGTTTTTAGTTCCTTCTTTTTCCACTTTTAAAAAGATATAATGCTATGAAGTGTTTTTTTAATGTCTCTAACTATGATTTCTTTACATATAACTCGGTGAACGTTCATTCTCGGCAAAATGTTACCCCCATTTCTATTAATTACACGCTTTCGTGACAATTCGTTTATTTTTTTTCGAATGCGATATGAAATCTTTCATACCTCATAGGGCTCGCTCATTTCGTAGCACGTTGTAATCGAGTTCAGAAATATCGAGATCGAGTAATCACGAAGAAGGCGCACGCAAGCGGCGATACGAATAATTGCCTGTCGTGTATCAGAGGCAACCTTCTAGAAAAAAAACGACGTTTTGTAAATCAAGAAGTTTGAAATTTACTTCATAATCGTGAACTAATGAATTCTCCTCCTCCTGATGGGTTTCTGGAAGTGCAGTTGTCACCCAGACACAACCATTACACCCAATAATAATGGCCATTCCGTATGGTAATGTGTGGAAATGCACCTTTGTCCTTTTGATGAGATGTGGAGGCACCTAATGTATATGTTATAAATATTAATAATAAAATGGAGTATCACCTTTATAAGAATTCCTTGCCTCAATTTGCCGTATTTGTTGTTTCTTGTGTGAAGTATCAAAGTTCCATCGTGTTGAACTTGCTGCACTTCGGCGCAAATCAATTCACCAACTTTCAAGAATTCGCTCATTTTGCCTTCATCCTCGACGTCTTTTCTTCGGAAATCACCGCCGGGCAGCAGCACACTTCCAAGCGCCAAAATTCCGTGCAACCGCGAATTGATGTCGACCTTCCAGCGCTTCGCTTGAATCTCGACGACTCTGCCAATGACCACATCTCCGACTTCACCGCCGTACCTTTGTTTGATCGTCTTCACCATCAGCAACCGATTGAGCTGATGGACAACACCGGAAAGTGTTGACACAATTTCACCGTCGCGAATATACGTTCCATGACCCCTGGATATACTTTTTTATTGCGAACCATTTCTGAATTTTTTCAAAATACCTAAGAAAATGCTGTGGCGCATCTGATACTGAATTTCCGGGAATCACAATTTTTGATTCGTCGATTTCATTTCGAGCTTCGCTTACTGAGAGCATCATCCATGATGAAATTAACGGCGGGCCAGAAATTTGATAGCTCATATTCTGAAAAATTATTTCAAATAAACTCAAAAATAATATCTAAATAAATACATAAAACAAATAAAAAATAATTTTTTATGTCGAAAAACATTTCATGCCTTTGAAGCGTCTTCATCCACATTGCATTAATATGGTCATTTTAATTTCGAGACCAACTCTCTTTGCGGTTTTTATATAGTCGACGACGGACAAATTTAGAGTGCGACTACTTTTATTGTTTGAATTACCGTCTTGGCTCTCATATGGAAAAAACTTTTAGAGCAATTTTTACGTTTTCTAACTATCAAAATATGAAAGAGAATAATATTTTATGAATTTTAAATACTTTGGCACAAGTGCCGTACGGCCGAGTATAAGCCGATTTTTCTTTTTTTGTGAGACATATTGAATGGCAGCCCTTCTCTCAAATTCGTTCGTCCACGACAATAATCTAAACCTCAAAGAAAAATAAAAAATTTACGAAACAAAAAATCTAAATGACCGAAGAAATGAATTATATTCGGCGTCCGCGGCCACAAAAATTTCTCGGCCTTTGAAATTTCTTCAAATTTTAGGGTGAATATTTTGCGAAATTTTAAAAATTCCGTAACTAATAATAATACGTTTGACGAAATGAAAATTTTTAATGGGATAATTCAATTTGTCTTCCAGATTTCTATAAAGCCGGCATTGAAGCTACAATCATATGTCTAGCAATACAAAAAACTGTTTTCCAGATGAGCATTTTGGCCCCTTAGCATTTTGAACCGCCCAAAAATATCACTTCGCCGAGTTCAGTGATATATGTATATATATTTTTTATTTCAAACTATCAGAAATATCCCACCCATGAAAAATTCTCTCTTGTACCGTCTCAAAATATTTCTTGAGATGCTCCAAATTTTCTCTCACAAGTTCTCAATTTTAATGAAATTGTTTCTTGTCTATTTTTCCAATTAACAAATGGTCCCGCACAAAAGTTATAAATACCAATGGCTCAAATTAATTTACGTCGCCGAAAGTGCGTAAGGTGGCAAACGAATGCGCGAATTTGCCGATCGAATGAATAGACCGTCGTCATCGCCGTCGGAATTCTATTCAAACATCGCCATCATATCTACTGTATCCCTCGACGGCACATTCAATTGTGAATAGAATGCGTGATTAATTTTTTTTTGTTTCGTGACGCCGTTTAGGAAGAAGCTTGAAGATGAAAGAAAAGAAGGCGGTGGCGAGACAAATAGGAGACCGCCCGTGGTGGCGACGAATCGAGAGTCAACCTCCGCATATTTGATCGTCCCACCCACTTTTTTTTTTGGCTCTCCCCCAATTTCGAGCTATATAAGGCTGCTCGAGTTGCCCGAAAAGCCCATTTTTACTCGCCGCCCCTGACTATTGCTGTTGCTGCTGCACACAAGATGAACTTCTCGATCACCTCGATTGCTCTCATCGCCATTCTCCTTCTACAGTGAGTTCGACAAACTAGTTGGTGCTCCACCCACCCATCCACCCACCCACACGCAAAAACAGGCGCCTCAAAATCGCCGGTTGAGAGCAAAAAGCTCAAAATGAGTAATCTGAAGAATGCGAGACTGACGTGATTCGGCTTCTCGTCTACAATAGAAGACGCAATCAAATATTTAAAACGAACCGCAAAACAAAAGTTCAAATTTCTCGAGTCTGGGTGCCTCATCGAGACACGTGAATCGTCTAGAATATTCCACAACGCGAATTTTTCAATGCAATCCCTTATATAAAGAATTTTTGAAAAGGCGCACGCGAACCGCAACGCGTCGGCCGACATTGAATAATTACAGTAGCCGCTTTATAATTATAATTAGTTCTTAAATATAAAAATCTTTAAAATTGTCCACAGCTAACCAATGTTATTATTATTTTAAAAATTATAACTCTAGTGAATTAGAACTTTGATCAATATTATAACAATTATGTCAAACCATGAGAATTCTTCTCATAAATGGAACCCATGTGATTTTTTTCGCCTCGAGACATTTGGCAGAAAGCCAATTGAAAAAAAATTACTCAGACATTTGAAATAATTAATATTTCATTTTGCTAATATCCTTTTTATTCAAATAAAAAAAAATTAAACTAGATTGCATTCGCTTTAAAATTTGAAAATATTCGAAAAAAAAAACAACAACCAAATTCAATTAGGTATCCGCAATTTTTGTTGTTTTCCGTCATTCATCTTTTTCAAACCCGCTCGAAAAAAAAACGCCGAAATTTCCCGCCAAACGATTCGGATGCCATTGTTCGCAAAATCGGCAACCTCATCAAAAATTAGGTGTCACCGCGTGAAAAAATGAGCTCTCTTTGTTCGGACCAATTCCAAAAAAAGACGCCGAAAAAGCAAATGGGCCCCCGGTTTTTTCTAAATCCGACAATTTCATGACATGAGCCTGTTACGGACCATTGGACTCGTGAATGCACTTTACACGTTTCAGCATTGTGACGGCTGCCATCGAATCGCCGGACGAGCAGACCGAGTATGCCGCCCGATTGTACGCCAAACTGTAATTCGCAATCTCCCGAATCGGGCTCCAAAGCAAATTCCTTTTATTTTGTTGAGAATCCATATTTCAGGCGTCCGTTCCGCATGCTCAGACGTGCGCACAACATCGATACGCGTGGATTGAACAACTTCAAAAATTGCTATTTCTCGCCGATTCAGTGTGTGCTCATGGATCGCAAACGCAAATAATCGAGTCGATTCTCGTTGCTCGTTGATCTCTAATCGAATCTCCACAACGGACCCCGTCCTGTTCACTGTGTGCAATAAATTTTGTTTGTGAATTCTCTCGTACGAATTATTGTAGCGCGAGCCGCGTGTTTCGGTTTCCTGAAAAAACGTCATTCAATGTTGGTTGCTAATGATGTTTCCGAGCTACAAACTGAATAATCCAAATGGATTAATCATGCATTTCCGAGAAGTAACCTTCTAGTGTTGGACGTCTAGTCAATGAAGCTGAATTAGTTTGATGCTCAAGAAGAGGCTACCTCAAACAATTTCATTGGTGATCGTGCTCACCTCGTGCCCCCGACTCGTTTGAAATCGGGTCTCGTGACGAGAGCAGATTCGAAATTTCGAAGAAAATATAAATCCACAGGGTTGAATAGTAGATCTATAATAATATTTGAATTAAAACGAAATATGTGATAGAAAAAAATAAAATATTGAAGAAAATTCGGATCTTTACGATTTTCTATAAAATCTCACTGAAAAACGACACATCAATTTCAATGAAGGAATTTTTAAAAATGCGCATTCAATGTAATTTTTATATTTTTATAATCAAAAATATATTTTATGAATATGCTAATAAAAGAAATTATTGATATTCTTATCAAAATTTTTGCATATTGAGATATTTCCAAATCAGTAAAAGCTGTACCACTTCCGAGCAAAAATTGTGCACATTTTTGCTCAAAATTTCAATGGATAAAATCTACCAAATTTTAAAATCTACCAAAGAAAGGCACAATTTTTGAATCTTTTTTTGATCTACTTTTAAACTCTTAGAAATTTCCCAATATCTGCGGGAAAGTTGCGAGGTTTTGATAAGATTATTCCAATCGCAAAAAAATATCCTACGCCGATTTAGGGCGATCGAGTTTGATTCGCAGACTTCCCGTAGTATGGAACCCAAAATCCCAAATTTGGAATTTACTTTCATTTCAAAAATGTCGCTCATTGTCAAATTTAGAAAAAAATGTTCAGAGACTATTTAAATGTGTTATCATTTTCAGATGGAACGCCAATCTGAAATTCCAGTTTTGAATCGGAACTTATTTCTAATTGTTTATTTAAATATCACAAGAATTCTGACATGATCTAGCAGCAATATTCTAGAATTCGAGTTTCAGACTGTTGGAGCCGTGACCTCGACACGTCACGCGACACACCACGTGGCACACGTTTCATAGGAGCGATATAAAAACCCCTTTTTACGCTCAATGATCAGTTATTCATATTGTGTCTAATAAATAATATTCTCTACGTTGGCTCGTTCACAAGGACACAACAACTGGCGATCAGGATCTACGCACCATGGACGTCAACACAGTCAAACTGCTCTTGGCAGAGCAAGCGAAGCAGCACCAAGACTTCGTTCGAGAAATCACCAAACTGCTGATGGAGGGACGACCAGGCACTTCACCAACCGCTCCCGCACAACCAAACACCCAAACAGGGCTTATCGACTCGCTAACGACTCGACTACCGACATTCTCCTTCGACCCGGATGAAGGAACCACATTCGAAATCTGGTATTCACGGTACGAGGACATTCTGCGACTGGATGGATCAACATTGGACGACGGCACCCAAACCAGGATCATCCTATCAAAGCTCGATGCCCCCGCTTTCGCCAAGTACGCCGACAACATCCTGCCAAGGAAACCATCGAATCTGACGCTCGAAGAGACCATCACCCGGCTCAAGACTCTCTTTGGACACTCGAAGTCTGTATTCCGACGCCGATTCGAATTTCTGCAATCGCAATTCACTGGTTCGGATCTTGTTCAATACACTGGCCAAATCAAGAGGAAGTTCGCACAAGCAGAATGGGCAACGACGACGCCGAAGCAAACCCAGATTCTCGTCTGGATCATGGGTCTCAACGGACCGGAATTCATGGACGTTCGCACCCGCGCTTTGCAGCAACTGGAGTCAAGGCCGAGCATCACTTTGGACGAATTGCAAGCGGACGTACTGCGCATTCTTGGAATCAAGGACGACGCGAAACTCCTCAATTCGCCAACAATCAAAGGACCTCAGCACGACCACCAGCACATCTTTGCTATGTCGAGAGAGGACCACCACCAACAACGATCAACGACGTCACGAAGAACCTCGACCCCGAAGGCGAGGACACCCGAACCACAGCCAGAACAGCCAACAACGCAGCAGAAGCCACCATCACCATGCAGACATTGTGGAGGACCTCACTGGAATGCTGACTGCAACCGCAACCGAACGGACAGCAGACGAAACCCGAAATCCCGCCGGGAACGCCAAGGATCCCGCAGAGGACGTCAAGGAGGACATCTGGGACTCATCTCAGTCAACCACGCATGGATCAACAAGAGCAACCGGATCTTCAAGAACGTGAACATCAATGGAACCGACGTCAAGATGCAATTGGACACTGGCGCCGATATCTCGCTAGTCTCAACAAAGGATTGGATTCGACTTGGGAAACCATCGCTCGAGCCTGCCAACGTCAATCTGAAAGCCGCCAACAACAACAGGATTCGCCTCAAAGGACGGTTCAACTGCAAGTTCATCATCAATGGACAACACGGATCCGGATATTGTCATGTAGCCGATACCGCCACACTCCTCGGACTGGATTGGATCCAGCACATTCCCCGCTCTCTCTTGCTCACGGACGATGCCGCTGCCGACGCACTCTCTCATCTCATATCGGAACATGCCCGCACTATGGAGAACGAAGATCGAGTCATTGCCGCCGTCGAAGCTGAAGTCATCGCCGATCGGACCGAACGCTGCTCGAACCTGCCCGTCACCGCCGACCAGGTTCGTCATCACACCCGCATGGAAACGCTTCTCCAAGAACAAGGATCCCGAAGCCGGTCAGACGACTACAGATCAATCCATCCCGAAACACCTATGTTTCGAACTAGCGAGGGAGATGTTGGAGCCGTGACCTCGACACGTCACGCGACACACCACGTGGCACACGTTTCATAGGAGCGATATAAAAACCCCTTTTTACGCTCAATGATCAGTTATTCATATTGTGTCTAATAAATAATATTCTCTACGTTGGCTCGTTCACAAGGACACAACACAGACCTATATTTGATTTTCAGCAATTTGCTTAGAATTGGGAAAACAATGAAACAGATTGATGTCTTCTGAACAATCTTATGTTAGAGTTCAAATTTTCATGATTCAATGATGAACACCAAATGAGATATAAGAGAATACTTTGATGGAAAGGGCGTGCCAATGCGGATGATTCCCGGGAACGGGGGGTGGGGCGTGTCCAGGTGTATCGGATAGACACTCGCCGTGCACAACACGTCCAAGCGGTGCCGTCGACTCGAAAGTGTGGCACAACACGAAATGACGCACCGAATGCTCCTTTTATTCCTAATCATTTCGACGCAATGCTTCGCCTCCGGCTACCTTCAAGATTCGTGGGCAATGTTTTCATCGGAGAAGCCGACCGGCCCGAAGTGCGTCGACATCCCGTCAAATTTGAGCATCTGCAATGGAATCGAGGTGAGAGCATTGCAACTCGTCCAACCATCTCCAATTAGCACCCAATTTTGCAGTACGCACAAATGCGACTACCCAATCTGCTCGAGCACGAGACGGTCCATGAGGCGATACACGCGTCCAAGGACTGGGAGAGCCTCCTTCGTCTCAACTGCCATCCCGACACTCAGCGATTTCTGTGCTCGCTGTTCGCACCGGTGTGTTTGATGCATATGGATCGCGAAATATTGCCATGTCGATCATTATGTCTCGCCGTCAAACAGGTAAACCGTTTCAAATTACCATTCTATTGTGCACTTTTCAAAACATCAAAGAATTCTAAATTATGGTCTGAAATCCGAATCCGAAGGTGGTGAATGACAAAATGAAGGCCGAATCTTTCAATTTGGCCTTTTTTCTCAATCCTTCTAATTATGTGAAATCTACAAAAATGTACTCATTTTCTAGTAAAACTCTTTTTTTTTTCTATCCTAATTCTCATGATATCAAGCCTTCAAAATTCGATCATAATTCTCCCCGATTGAAATCATCTATATCAAATTTTGAGGGTTGCGAAAGCCGCATGGCCAACTACGGTTTCCCATGGCCCGAAATGCTGTCATGCGACAAGTATGTCGACGATGATATGTGCATCAAACCGGTGGCACCGGCTCAGCCCATCACAGGTTAGCACGTTTTCACACCATTTATCGCACTTCTATTCTTTTTTGAATCAAAGATTTTTGTCGAAAAGACAAAAGAGAAAAAAAAACGAAAGTGTTTCAAAAATAAATCGATTCATCATTTTTTGAGTGGTGGCGCGAGTGGCGCGACACCGAGCAACTGGGTCGCATCAGCGGCTCTTTCATGTGTCGCCTGATTTTGACTGATTAGGTGACGAGATGGCGTCCGGCGGGCTCTCAGTCTCCGACGATTTGGTCCCATCACCAATTGTCTGGGACCATCGGCAACGTTTGGAAATTATTAATAATTCGACGAGGCGAGCTGGCGAAGAAGGGGGGGGGCGACACACAGCTGCCAGTGCGAATGTCTCAAATTTCGAGCCACCGCTTCTTTCTCATCGCCGTCCCGATCCCGACAGTTTGGAACCAACAAGAGTAATACGTATTCGATTTCAGGTGTATCGACGACGTGCACCGCGTGCTCACAAGTCGCAACATATGAGAATCTCGTCGATCAGTTCTGCAGATCGCAATTGGGTAAGCCGCGTTTATTTTTTCGAGATAGGCTTTCAATGCGAATTATTGGAATACTAGCCATTTGCATGAGTAATAATGAAAAGGAAAATTGGGAGAAATCAGAGTGGATTTAAATTTATCGTTGACTGAATATTAAATGCGCGTACGGTATAATGCAATGTACGCAGTCTCGCGTATTTCTTTCGGCCTCGAGACGCATTGGCATGTAGCCAACAATATTTTTTAATTTCGTCAAGTCGTTTGACTCCGACAATACTTTCAACATCATTTTTGTCAAATTCTACACAATTTCCTTGAGTGTCAAGGGAAAATTCAGTAATTTCGCAAGAAGCTGAAACCCATCCACTCAATTGATTCTCAAATTCTGGTTTTTGAATCTCGACGAAATCGGTAATTTCAGAATTTTATTGAATTATAGCCAAAAATTTTCTAAAAGCGTTTTCCGTTCTGAACCAGCGTGCAAATTGTACGCAATTTAAGGTATTTGATCTCGCGATCATTTCCGATTTGGCTGCGTATCACAAAAATAAAAAAAACTACAGTATACGTCAAAGAGACTTGAAATCCAAAAATTCAGAAAAAATTTTTTTGAGCTGTTCGTTTTACTTGTTTACTTCAATGTGTTTTCCCACAAATATTCGAATGTTGCCATCAAATTTGGGTGCAAGAACACCATTGTTTCGTTGGTGGACAATAGACATTGTATGGGACAAAGAATGACGGCTTAATGTGGGAAAACATCCCAATAGAAAAAGTGGGCGCGATTTGAAAAAAAATTTTTCTGGTGAGGTGTGTGTCCATTTGAGTGTGGATTCATTAAAAAAATAATCGAATTATTGAGTGACGCGCAGAGATTCGAAACAGAAGCCACAATTCAACAATAATTTTCAGTGGTCAAAGGGAAAATTGGAAAGCTGACGAGCACGTCGATTTCGGTTCGCAACGGTCGCAGTTTGAAGAAAGGCGATCGGCGACGAAGTGTTCCCGAGACGGAGATCCGATTGTCGATGGAATCCGATGGATGCCCGTGCAATATTACGACAAAGGCCAAGAATGAGAAGCTTCTCGTCATGGCGAGCCGACAGTCCGATGGAAAATACACGGCAAATCTGATATTGCCATGGAAAAAGGACAAGGTTGGGAGTCGGATGAATGTTTGGGAAATTGATCTATTGTCTTGATTCAGTAAAAGCTGAAACCACTTTTTTTCAAAATTTAAACCCCCCCCCTGTTTGAAATTGGATATTTCTTCATCGAATGTTTGATTTCGATCGATTCAAGATGTGCTGCATTTTTATGATGGCTCTATTGCTCTTCTGCGATCCCAATAAAACATGTCGTGTTGCAGAACTTCAAACGCGCAATCCACCAATTCCAACGTCTCAATTGTCAATCTCTCGGACGCGAAATCCGCGAAAGCGCTTCCCGAAGGCCGCATTATTACGAGATGAGGAGACATAACACCGGCCGATACCAGATGTTCTAAGCCGATGTTCCAGTTTTCACACCTACCCCAATTCCCCAATACAACATTATATGTAGTATTAATTTGTATAAAACAAAAATGCATAATAATAATAATTAATATTATAATTATAATAAAAAAGCACGGGATGAATAATCCCATTATAATTCCTTCTAAAATAATAATATAATTGAATATCAAATTCCAAGATCCTTATTTTTTTTCTCTCTTTCTCCTCACTGGTAAATTGTTCTTCCCCCCCCCTCCTCTCCCCCTTCCTCGATTTTTTTTGTCGAAAATTGAATATTCTAGTCCCTCTTACCCCCCTTTTGTCCTCTTTATTTAATGGACTTTGATTTTCTATAAAACTGCTCCGTCTTTTCGCCCATTTTTTTTTGTGACATTTTGATTGTAGGCTTTTTGTGGGCGGCGGAAAAATTGAATCAGTCCCCTCTCATTTTTGTTTTGTAAAGAGAGCTCTCGGCGCAACTCAAAAGAAAAAACCTAAAAATAGGAGGTCGAGCAAATTGGTTTTGTTTTATGGTGCCGTTTGCAAAATACGTGCAAAATGAAATGGAATACACTGTTTTCCATTTTTGTTTTCTCCTCTTCAAACTACCCAATTAGGATGTCGAACTTATTAGAGCGTTCCGACCTTTTGCAGCGTTTTTGAAGATTTTCGACGAGACTTTTGAAGTATGTTCTTCTTAGGACCTTCAAACCGCTTTTTCAGACCAAATATGCTTCTCATTCGACCCTGACTTTAATATCAAATTGTTTTTTTTTAGTATTTAACTCCGAAACTCAAACGGATTATTACGTATCAGATTATCTCGCGATTAATTCAATTCACATCTGATTCTAAACAAGTGAAAATGATCTATGATTTCCTTTTTTTTCGTTTTGAAAACTGAGAAATTTGACGAATTTAATGGACCTATTCTTGCAATAAAAAAATGCAAAAAATGTTCAAATTATTTCCAATGCAAATTTATGAAAAAAAAATTCATAATTAATGTAATTACATTTTTTAATAAAAAATTTACTTCATTATAAGTTTATAAATGATCAAACGAATTTACAATTTTTGATTTCCTGTTGTCGGCGGTGCCTTTGTTCTTCGCGGAAACAGAGCGAAATGAAAATACATTGGAACACAAATTTTTAGAGCATCCAAGAATATTGAAATTTTTAAATTTGTCGAAATTTATTATAAATCCATTTTTAAAACGTTAAAAGCATTCGAATTCTTCGCGTTTTGAGAGCAGTATTCGTCATTTAATAATTTTTTTGAAGCAATATCTAAAAAATTTCAATTTTTTATATGTGATGCTTCTATATGGACATTCCGCGAAAAATTTAATTGCATCAGAAAAAGTTGAAAAACGAGAAAAAAAAACTTCAAACGGGCTGGTTCCACATTGTGACACGCTGACGAAATTTTGAACACATTTAATTTGGCTGAAACGATTACCTTTAAAAAAAAATTTCTGACAAATGAAATTTTTTCCAGCGTTTGAATTGCACGCCCAATTTCCGAATTTTTTTTTAACTTTCACCTATTTTTTTAGCTTTTTAACAAATAAAAAAATTCCAAAATTGGGCGCGCAATTCAAAAAAAATGAAATCCTAAAATTTATTTTCTTTTCCTTACCATGTATTTCAAGAATACTATAGCTTTTGATGGATTTCTTATGATAATCGACGACGAACAAAATTAGGAATGCGTTGCTTCAATTTTAGTGTCATGGCCTTGTGAGCATTTTCGATTTGATCTACATAGCATTCAAACTACAGTAGTAATTGAAGACGCGTGCAAAAATTTGTCCAATTCGCTCTGAGATCAATAATGACCATTCAAGTTTGTCAAATTGCTCCGTCTTCAATTATAGAAAATTCATGGCGCCAAAATTTGAATAATTAGCAACGCGCCTTTAAATCGTTAAAAAATCCTCACCAGCAAATGCGCATAAATGTTATTGATCTATTTTTGGTATAAAAATAAAAAATGTCTAAATTGGATTTTTTTGTTTTAATTATTTTTTTTTATCAAATCGCTACTATGATGCCCAAATTTTCGCAATTCCGTTTTACTCCTGTTTCCTAAAATGTACATAATTCTGACAATGGATTTCATTTTTAAAAATATATATATAAACCATATTTCAATCTGATGGATGTTCAAAAAAAATGTAGGCCCGGAAAATCTGTTTCGGTTGAAACGTCGAAGTGTCGGCATTTCAAATTCCACGAAACGCCGTTTTTCTCCGGAACACCGAAATTCTCAACTTGGAACATCATGAACATTGATGCCTCGCAAGCATTTCATTCATGGCGGTCGCATTATAGTTAGTATAGTTATCTATGGGGCGGTAGTTGTTTCAACAACATCGTGCATAGCCGTCCCATCACCGATGCCTCTCGTGTGGCAGGCACATATATACTCGCAAACGCTCATATACACACACTCTCTCGCCTTTCTCTCCGCCACTCTCTTAATAATTTATCATGAAAGAAAATAGGAGAAGAATGACACAAAGCGAATGAAGCGAGGGGGGGGGACACATGCAAGTTGGACCACAAAAAACGCGACCCGACGAAGAAAGAGTGATGAGAAGATATTTCGACGATGGATTGTGGATTGAAGGATGAGCATGACCCTCCTCCCCAACAGCACACACTGAACTTGATATTATCACGTCGCATCGTATCGTATCGTGTGCCTATCATTGGGCTCGATTCGAGTTCTCTCCCATCAACGCCTTCTTTGAAAATGAGTTGTTATCCATATATGGAAACGACCACTCAATTTTAATTATACGAATGAATGTTCGAATAATTATGGACGGCTTTATAATTGAGTATTTCTGGCCGCGCTTTTCGCACCAATTTCGATCCTTTTTTCGTTTCATTTACACAACCGCACACCACATTTTCGCATAGAACACTTCTTACTTGAAAAAAATAGAAATATAAACAAAATATGGGACTTGAAAATCGAGTTTTCTGCAAGTTTTGCCACGGCTGGAAACGAAATTCGAAATTTTGCACTAATTTTTTAAAAGCTTTCATTGTGCTAAAAATAGTTTGCAATAGAGCGCGTTTGCCCATTTCATATTTCGTAAATATCCACAAATAGTTTTTCGTCAAAAAAAGTGAACAAAATTCCGAGATTTTCTAAACAAATTTAAATTCGCTACCTTCAAAAGTATTTTCATAATCCTTTATAAAATCTCTTGATCAAAAATATTTAAAAAAAAAAACTTTATTAATTAGGGTGGTAACAAATTAATATTTTACGTTCCCAAGATTTGAAATTTCGCCTCGAAAAAGTGCGATGGTCCACAATTGTTCAATCTACTCATTGTATTGATAATTGTAGACACAAGATTCATTTTGAAATATTCATAAATCTTGCTTCTCGTCCAACAAATCGCCCTATATAGGGAAGAGATGCGATGCGTGGAAACCCATGATTTATGCACTCCACAACAAGGTTCAAAATTAACGATTCCCCGGCATTAAGTGCGTTTTCTCATATTTCAAGTTCTTCTATTTTTTTCTCTCGTTGAACAGGTGAAGCTAAAAAGTTTCCGACCACCGCGATCATTTATCGCTATAATCCTGTTAGTGCTAATGGATGGATATTCTCTTGAAAGCAGTTTTCAAAAATGTTGAATGTCTACGAATAAAGCGAATCTTAAAATGAATATTCACGTCTCATTTTCTATTTTTATCTCAAATTCTCGTCATTTCGAAACAAATTTGATGGATTTGGTCAATTCGAAATTTCAATTAATCCATCACGAGACATTTACCGAACTGAACAATATATGAAAATGACGTTGAATGGTCTCGCAACGATTAATATATGGGTGGCCACATTTGAGACCAAAGCAGAAAAAAGCATGGATTTTTTTTTGCATTTGCACACGTTGAAAATCACCCTATATGCTCACTAGCGACGCCACGAATAGAATGAATATAGAATTAATTACAAATGAAATATACTCTCGTATATATATATATATATGTGTGTGTGTTGTTCCAAAACGAAGATCTGTGTCATGGTCTCTCGGCTCTCTCTGTCTCATGCCATCCTCATCCTCCTTCAGCATCATCATCATCTTCTTCTTAGCTTCTTGTTTCTCTTTGTGTTTTTGATGCTCAGACAAGAAGAAGCCTGAGCCCTCACAGGAGAAGACGAGGAGAATGAGGATTCTCATCATCATTATTGCCTTTTTGTGTTCAAAACTGAAAAAAAACTGTTTGAAATTTGTTCGTTCAGCTCAATCCGCCCCATCATCTTGCAGATCATCAAGACCGGAATGTTTCCGCTCGTGAAATGCCTTTTTTCGTCATTTATGCATAATTTGTTCCGATGTCGGAGTTTTTTTCTTCTTCTTCTTTCTTTTCGCCAGCCTCCTGCGTCACTAGACCATTGTTGGGATGAAGCCTTCTCGAATATGAATTAGGTTCGATTTTGGTGGTGCGGTTTCTCGCGGCCGCCCAAAACGAATGACGATCGGAAATTGTCGGCAGATGGTTTTCATCGAAGCCTACTAAAAATGACAACCAACTTGCTTCTCTCCAATCATTATTTTTTTGTGTGTGGGAGTGTGTGTGGACTTCTTGCTCATCATGTGCTCTTTTTGATATTTGTCGGCTTCTCTCGAGGTCACACATTTTCATGTGAAACAACTTGTAAGATGATATATACATATATTCTATTTCGAAGTATGTTATGTTTCTCGCGAGAAGCTGATCAGCAAACGTCGATTCGTCTCCAGATTTTGTTTTGACGAAAAAAAAAACAAAAATTGTCCGCAGCTTGTTCTTTACATATCTAATTATTGTAAGTACAATGCGATTTTTAGCACAAGTATACTTTTGATTTGATTTTGATAGTGTTCTTCTCGTAATAGCGCGCCTTTAAATAATATGCAAAATTCAAAAAGTATAGAGAAAAAATAGTATAAATGGTGAAAAAAAACCTACTTTCATATTTTTTTTGAAAAAAAAAAAGGATTCTTCGAAATCAACCAAAAGCCGAAATTAATGAAAGAATTCTTCGGAACCCCCTCCCCCCTCAAATCTATTTAAAAATGAAATTTCTAGATTCGAATGATGGTCCCTATCCTCCCCCGTCGCTTTCATATCTATTTTGAGTTGTTTGGAATTGTTGTCGCCCTACTAGATAATGAGTGTTCAAATATCGCCGCTCATTCCCACAATTTTTCCATCGTCGTCAACGTGTTATCGAATGCTTCTGAATTTCGTCGTGCAACCCGAATCCGAAATAGCGCGATTTTCTTGTCTAGACACAATCATTCACAATATTCTCGTGAAAACCAATATTAGCCGTCTGTTTACAACCCATAATAGGCATAAATAGCAGCAAAAAACAAAAAGAAAATTTTTATGATGTTAAAATGTTTGTCAATAATTTGTATCAAACTAGCATTAAATTTTAAATATTAAATGATGTTTTATCTGCGGACATAATTTGTCATCAAACAAGTGCCGCCAGCAAATCCTTATAAGGCCATTTCAACTCCCAATTAGCGTGTGCCGCTCATCGAATATATCTGCCTTCAAAACAAACAACAATGCTTAATCCCATTGTTCTGTCCTAATCCGCGCTGAAAGGAATATAATCGAAATCTCAGAAATGAATAGCTAATCCGGCAATGTCGTCATGGCAATACGCGCACCTGATACAAACTTTTGCCTTCTGATTCTTCGCAATATGACCGACTACTTCTTCATGTTTTGGCATTCCTCTTCTTATTCCTTCCCCCCTTTCTTCCTCTTCTTCTACGCCTTCTCAGCACGTCTTCCGCTGATTTTTCGCCATCTTGACGAATAGCAATCGACGCGCAAAAACAAATATCTTCCCATATAAGCTGTCTGCCTCTCTTTCTCTCAATCCCACCGGTCCTTTTTGTCTTATTATGATAACTTTTGCAAAAATTGCCCAACAGGTAAAGTCTGAGCAAAATGCGCAGCTGCCAGAATCAGTCGCCACAGGACCCAACTAAATTAAGCCTTTAATCGATTCTTTATTCATTTGAATTTTACTCAAAGGATTCATGGAAATATCAAAAATTAAAAAAAAAATGAAAGTCAATGGTTTCTAATAAAATTTGAAGTTTTCGGAAAAAAATTTTGGATTTCATCAGCGGTTTTTTTCTGGTATCCAATTATTTTTTCTTGGGTGGTCCGCACTACAATCGACATTCAAAAAAAAAAATAAGGTCCATCTTGACCACGTTCTTCTTTCATTGAGTCGTCTTCAATTCACACGAATATCGAATAGCATTTGACCCATGATTCCCGGCGTACAACAAACTTTTGAACACGAATTCGCCAATCGCCCAATTCCGCCACCATTTTCGTCCCTAATTGATTAATTCTCTCGATGTTCAACATTCTCAAATTTGGTGTGAAGGCTCTATTATTCAAATACTGAGTGGCCCAAAAAATGTGAAAATTTTGAAATTTTTGTGGGCGGAGCTTAGTGAATTGCCAATTCATTTTTTTCAAAGGTATAGTATTTTCCAGCAAACCTCTTGCTCCTTTAATTCGAGCTTCAAAAATATTTATGTCGTGCCAATGGTCTCAAAGCGAAGAGAATTGTCTCTCCCTTGCCTATTGTATCTTATTTGATCTACTCTATATCCCCATTGATTATATCTTGAAGCACAAAATTGCTCAGTTGTTTGACGCCGACATTATCATATTACTAATTTCGCATTCTAAAAATGGGCATTTGTTCTCAACTCCGCCCACTCGACGACGGCGAACGCGTCAAATACTCGTAATTAGCAAAGGTTTTCGATTTCGAGCCGGATAAAAATCTTGAGCTCGAATTCCGAGTATTTGTTGAAATTCTTTCTTTTTTTTCGATTTTAAAACCATTCCATTATTTGGAAAAAAATAGAGAGAGCGAGAGGATGAAAATCACTTAAAAATTTAAAAATATAGATTTCCATTTCAATTTGCGAAAAGAGGAAAAAGTCAAATGAAGGGGCGCTTAATGAGAATATTTGACACTTGTCTTTAAAGATTTCTCGCCAACTTTTCACTATTTTCATTTGCTTCAGCTTCTTCTTCTTCTTCTTCTTCTCCATCTCGTCTTCGCCAATATCGAGTTTCAATATCCAAAATTGGTGTTTTTGACGCGAAAATAGTGTGTTGATCGATGAGAGGCTCGACGACGCGCTGCGTCTTTTTAAAACCGACCTTCTGCTCACGTTTCTCATCCTCTCAATTTCTCGATGGTCCCACAAAATTCATTTGATTTTCACACCTTTTTCTTTTGAATTTTTTTCGCTCGAAACGATCATCGATGCCCCTATTCAAGTTTTCTTTTCAAGCATCCAAAATCTTTTAAAAAGTGCACATCCCAGAGCAAGTATATTAGGAATTCTTTAAGTACTTTGGGTACCACTAACAACTTTCATTACAAAGCTGACAAGCAGTGAATTCTCAAAGTGCTCTAAGAGTATTTTTGCCGGATTTGACAATTTCGAAGCATTTGAACAATTTTTAGTATTACCTGTTTCTGAAAAAAAATTGGTGGCTCTCAGAATCGGCCGCTGTAAGACCAATGTCGTTGGGCGCGCTGCGGTTCGCGTGCGGTCGGTCTCGTGTAGTTTTGAATTTTTGCAGGGTTGTTTCCAAAGGAAATAAATCATAATTGTAAAAAAATGTTATTGAATAGATCCTAAGGCGACCGGAACCATCTTCTGTCGGAATCGAAATTTGAAAAGTAGCGACCGCACGCGACCCGCAACGCGTTGCCCACTTTTTACAGAAACTGACTATTCAAAAAATGTGGTAACTCTACATCATATGATATTTCAAGAATCTTTAGTTCTTCCAAATGAGACCCAAATATGAGATACAAATCATTTTGGTCCCATTTTGAACTCAACGTACAGAAAATCCTTTAACGGTTGGATTTCTATGCAACCTTGAATCTGAAGATTTCAATCTTTAGATATTTGAAAAAAAAAGTGCGAAACATATCAGCTTCTACAGATATCATTGAATTTTTTTAAACTATCCCATGAAAATATGGCGTGAGCGGCCCAATCTTGTAGCTAATTTTTTACTCTCTTGTCAGAAGCAAATAATATCAACTGGGTTCTCAAACAGAAAGAATTAAAAAATAACTTTTGCGCAGCTGAAATCCACCAGCGTGAGATTTTTCTCATTAAAACCACTACCTCGACAAAAAATTTCCATTTGCAATTCGGCGTCTGATTGGTATCAAAAATGAAATTGCTGGAAGTCGATTTTAAAAAAATCTTTCCTATTTTCACACATCTCGAAATAGTTTTTTTTCCGCTGTATTTTTGTTGTTTCAATGAGCTTCCGAGAAATCCTCAAACGCATTTGTATGCGCATCAAACAAGCCGTTGTTGTTTGGAGCATTATGGCAAATCTCATTGTGATTACGACGTTCGTGTCGTTCAATTCCAAATGCACTTGTTCTTATGATTCGTCGCCATTCATCCTTCTCTTCTTCTCGCTTTTTCTAGTTGCTTGCTTCGCGCATTTCTCCATTTTCTTTCAAAAAAAAAAGTATTATGCTCGCGCGAGTTCTTCTTTCTGGGGGCGTTTTTTTTTATCTGTGCGAGCTTGTTCAATTTTTTTGCACTTCGCCCTCATTTTATTTCCGATCCGAATTGCTGCCTCGTCGACGACACATTCTCTTTTCAAACATTTTCAACTTGTTCCTCACCAGAAACTCGCCGCAGCTGATAGTGGCGTCGTCGTCGCTTGTTCGCCGATATGGCATCTGTCGCTGCGTGGTTACCGTTCGCGCGAGCCGCTGCCATCGGATGGGTGCCTATATCGAGACAGCCGATGCCGCAAGCACCGGTTGCCATTCAGGTATGCCAACGAAATTGTCCGCAAGTGATAGCTAACAAGTCAGTTGCTTGTTTTGAAGTGTTATTAGAATGAGACACACACAGCGCTTTAAATCAGTTAAAAGATTTTGTCGAAGTCAAACGACTGCGGGGCTTTCAAATTCGTGAAATCAGTTTCGATTTAAATTAATCGTTGACTGATTATTAAATGCGTGTACGGTATAATGCAATGTACGCAATCTTGCGTACATCTCGACGCCTCGAGACGCATTGGCACATAGCCAATAATTTTTTTAAAAAAACATTTTGCTCAGTCGTTTGACGTCGATAATATTTTTCATTGTAAACATCTGCGGGAATTTCCCCGAAATATGTCATAATTAATTCAGCGTTGTCGGCAACTCTGGTAACTCAAAACCAATCGGATCCGACAAAATTCGGCTCCGGAATCATCCTTATTCGATTGATAATTCTACACATAAGATTGAATTATTGTCGGATCCGATTGATTTTTTGGGTATTTTTGGATTCGAATGGTAATTTTTATCCGAATAGTTATTTGTCTGATCCGATTGTTTATTTTTCGTTTTTTTTTATTTTTTAATTTGAGTCGGATCCGAAAATACCAAAAAAAAAAACAGAGAATTCAACCAGAGCCCCTACGACTTTTTGGTTTTTTTTTTTGACATTCTTTGTTTGATAGCAATTTCAATTAATTCAGGCGAAAGACCTTGCCGTGGATCACGTGTCCGATGAAAAGCTCGCTATCAACATTTCGGGAAGGCGATTCGAGACATGGAAGAACACCCTGGAAAAATTTCCGGAAACCCTTCTTGGATCGAACGAGAAGGAATTCTTCTATGACGAAGACACCGGCGAATACTTTTTCGATAGGGACCCTGACATCTTCCGGCACATTCTCACTTTCTACCGAACCGGAAAACTTCATGTAATCATCGCACATAAAACCAAATGCAATAGAATGATGAGAATTTTTGATAATTGCAGTATCCTCGACACGAATGTCTCGTCGCTTATGATGAGGAGCTCTCGTTTTTTGGCATCATGCCCGATTTGATATCCGATTGCTGCTATGAGGATTATAAAGACAAGAAACGAGAAAACCAGGAGAGACTGATGGAAGAACGATTGGAGACGGTTGAGACCGGACAGGTAGAAACGATTTTGCTGAAATTGTTGTCATATAAAGTTTTGGACAGGTGAAACAAACACTCCAGCAGAAAATGTGGGCTGCATTCGAGAATCCGCACACATCCTCAATAGCTCTCGTCTTTTATTATGTCACTGGATTCTTCATTGCGGTTTCTGTCCTTTGCAATATCATCGAAACGATTCCATGCTGGTATTTCTAAGACCCCCCCACACCATCATGATAATTCGGATTCATTTGCAGGTACGAGAACAACCAAGCCGTCTCGTGCGGCGATGCCTACGAGAAACAATTCTTCGTTCTCGATACCGCATGCGTCATTATCTTTACTATCGAATACTTGTTACGGTTATACGCGGCGCCGGACCGCTGCAAATTTATGAGGTCCATAATGAGCGTCATCGATGTCGTCGCCATTATGCCATATTACGTTGGTCTAGGATTGCAGAACAATAAGGATGTGTCGGGAGCATTCGTCACACTTCGAGTATTTGTAAGTGGTGTTTTTTCTTTCCTTCAAATTGCTGTTGAAACAGGAATAAGACTTTTTTAGAGGGTGTTCCGAATATTCAAATTCTCACGTCATTCACAAGGCCTTCGCATTCTCGGCTACACTCTAAAGTCTTGCGCTTCCGAGCTGGGATTCCTCGTCTTCTCGCTCGCGATGGCTATCATCATATTCGCTACAATCATGTACTATGCTGAGAAGAAGGTCGAGAGCACTAGGTATCAGCTGCCGACATTGCATTTACATATAGTTGAGTGTCTCGCCGATTTTCAGATTCACTTCCATTCCATCGGCATTCTGGTATACGATTGTGACACTGACGACACTTGGCTATGGAGATATGGTGCCTTCGACTGTGATGGGTAAAATTGTCGGAGGCATTTGCTCACTCTCCGGTGTGTTGGTTATCGCTCTTCCCGTTCCCGTAAGCCCGTGCCTGATTGATTCCTTGAAAATGATGTCGGTTCAGGTCATCGTCAGCAATTTCTCTCGAATCTACCATCAAAATCAGCGTGCTGATAAGCGACGAGCTCAAAAGAAGGCGAGACTCGCGAGAATTCGAATTGTCAAAAATGCTTCCGGACAAGCGTTATTCAATAAGAAGAAGGCGCATGAAGCACGAATGCAGGCGTTCGAACAAGGCCATCTCTCATTCGATGCGCTTCGCGACGAAGACATCTTCGAGATTCAGCATCATCATCTACTTCAATGTCTTGAAAAAGCAACGGTATATTGACAATTGCCCGCAGATACTATCTATGTAACCAAATTTTAGGAGCGCGAATTTGTTGAAGCCGAAGTGGCATTCGAAGGCGGCCGAAATACACCGCCACCCAGCGATACATCGTCATTACGTGTAAAAGCGAAACGAAAACGGAAATTGTGAGTACCCGGAACTTTTCCGCAGATCAAACAATTTCCGTCGCATTACAGATGTTGTGTTTCAAAAGAGAATGAGGAAATGGAGGAGTTGGACCGGGAGGCCCGGGTAACATTTAATCAGGATCTGAATCAGGTTTTAATCAAACCATCGTTTGTAAAAACCCCGACATATTTTTCTTTTTTCTAGATTTGCGAATCAAAATCCAACGACGATCACAATTACACAAATCAAAACGATAAAATATGCGTATCACAACTCTAGTTCTTCCTTCTCCCATGTATTTATTCGACATTATTCGACATATATTCAACTCATTTCTTTCATTCGAACAAATGATGTTCTTCTCTCACTCTCCTTCTTCTTCTGTTTATTTATTCATCTCCATTTCTCTCAATACATATTATTATTATTATTAAAATTATGTTCACAAAATTTTCCTTCTTTTTTTCTTTTTTATACGGGTCCCTATAAATTGATCATATTGATAATAGAAATTGTACACACTACAATATACTCTTCAAGACGCAAAGTTTAGAAAAAAAAATGCACCCGACATCAGCTGAATTAAAATTTACGAAGTTTGGTAAAAGAAAAATTTGAATAATTCGAAACAGATCAATTTATATTCGATTGAAAAATAATTTGATTTCGAATGATTTTCATTTACCTGAGTTACCGCCCCCGAAAAGATCGGATGATCCACAATTTCTGAAAATTATCGTTTTTTTTACGACGGTAATACTTGACCTCTGGTAAATGATTCCTAGTCGTATACGAAAAAAGCGAATTTCTTCATCGTATAAGATAAAATTAAAATCGTATACGTTAATGGTAATCGTATTAGTTAATGTGAATCGTATAGGATCGTATACGATTCTGATGAATGGTTTGTAATCGTATACGAAACATCCGCATTTCCTCGTCGTATACGTTATTGCAAGGATCGTATACGATTTGGATTTTATCACAGTAGTGTAACCACCACAATTATACACTGCGGACATGCATTAAAATTGACGTCTAAATTCGAAAAACAATTTTCGAAAATCGAATCGAACGACAGATGTACCACTGAAGTACTCAATGCTGGCTCAAAAAGGCGATTTGTTTACTGAGAAATACAGCTATCAAGGCTCACACTACTCAATACAAAGAAATATTGCTTCGGATAATAGCGTCGTGATGTTTCGTTGGCGAAATTCACTGCAATATGGCGATGTATTGGGATTTCTCCTCAATGAGAAGTTCGGTGACCGGGTTATTCTACAACCATACATTCTAAATGAAAGGAATCATGTTCACGGTATGTTTTATTTATTGTTCAATCATTCCAAATGTAATGGTACCAGATTCCGCGAAAAAAAGCATTAAAATCATCAAAAGCCGTAAAAAAATATCAGAACTCGTCAAAACCGGCAAAAACCATTATAATTATGGTTACCGCTGTTTGAGTTTTTGGCGAAATCTGCATAGTACCACAATAGAAACTATAGAAACCCTATACTTCCAGATAGAAACTTTATCCCAAAAATTCGCGGCAAAGCCAAACAAAAACAATGTGAGTATTTTTTTAAATTTTGCTATTCTCTAAATTTAGATCGACGTGATCACCGTATACAACCCTGAAGCTCTTAAAGACGCAGAAATAATTATTCCATCACTGGATGGAAATAGTGGGTTTTTTGTGTTTCGAAAGCTTTGAATTTGTATTAAATCTTTTAACAGGAGACATCAACGTCGCCCAAATATTTTTGGAAATTCCGTTCATGAAGGCAGCTCTGAAGCATGTGATAAATACTACAGTCAACAGATTTGTCGATAAGGTATCTTACAATTATTTAAAGTTGCAAAAAATATCTTCAGACAATTCCTAATAACGATCGTGTGAATTATTCAACATCGTTTAAGCCAACTCCGCCGCACGCAACGCTTCCAGTTCGGTTTGTCAACACAGCGATTGGTATGCTCAAATAGCGCGAAAAATGTTTAAAATATGTTTAAATTAATTTCAGCTGTTTTACAAAAGACGGTTACCATCGATGGAATGGCTGACGAAACGGCGAATTCTACAATCTCCTATTTGGTACACGGTCATATGACCTATCTCCTGTGAGTTTTCACTTTTTTAGTGGGCCTATGCAGATTTTGAAAAGAAACGCAGTAAAAACCTTTTAAAGAAACTCGACAACATTATAAAGATTCGGCTAAACTAGTCTTAATCAGATTTTTCGCGTTTTTCTCCAAAATCTGCACATGCCGAAGACTGCCTCATGATTAATCATTCAAATGAACTTAATTCAGAAACAATTCACGATCGAAAGCGCGAGCAGTGGAAAAAAATGGTTGATGCGCCAACCAAAATTAATTAATTTATTCCTTTTTCTTTTTCATTTTTTTGTCTTTCATATTTTTTTTTAAATAAACAGGTATAGAAATCTTTACATCATATATTTAAAAGCGTTAAAATGCCAAACGAGTAGTGTAAAGTGAAATGGTATACGAAAAAAATCTCAATCGAATACGAAAAAATCTCAATCGAATACGAAAAAATCCCAATCGAATACGAAAAAATCCCAATCGAATACGAAGAAATCGTTACCGTATATGAAGAATTGTAGTCGTATACGAAGAAATCACAATCATATACGAAGAATTATAATCGTATACGAAGAAATGCCAATCGTATATTAAGAAATCCCAATCGTATTTGGCCGCGTTTGAAGAGCGATATCAGCGTATACGATTGAGCTTTCTTCGTATACGACTCGGAATCATTTACCAGAGACAGACCACTTTAAAGGTGCATAAAATTTTATTAAAATTATTTTTCGGTACTAATATTTGACGCGCATTTGAATATTTCATTTATTTCGATTCGTATAATATGCCCGCAATATATAGTCGGCGTTCGGGTGACTGCTGTACGCGGGTAGATTTACGCGCATGCGCCTTGAAAAGGTCTCGCCACGCGTGAACGCTTATTTTGCTGTTGTCACGCGAACTGCTTCATTTTTCTTGATGAGTTTCACATTTCATAAAATTTCTAATCTCGTTCAATTCAAAAATTATCGAACCGACCCATATAATAACCGACCTTCTTAGTCATCTAGGGAACATTTAGGAGGATGTGCCTTTAAACATCGCCAACTTCATAGATAATACTCTGCTTCTATATATATCGACAACATTTTCCAAGAAGATTGCATCGCATTCGGCGTTGTCATGACAATATGGTTATACGCGCATCGTTTTCATCACATTTATTTTTCTCGCGGTTCGAAATGCTCTATTTTAAATACAGCTGAATATTTTCAATGTGTGATGATTTATAAGAATTGCGTAAATCAAATGCAAACACTATTATTATGATTTCTAGTATTTTTCCATTCTTTAACCGTTCCATCCGGATTTGCAATGAAAACTGAATCGACGACATCAATAAATAGGCCGGTTTCGACGATTCCCGGCGTTTTCGCCAATCGAATTTGTACCATTTTCCAATCGATATTTTTGCGCGTCTTGTCAAAATGCCAATCAATAATATAATTGAAGTTGTCGGTGACGACTGGCCCATAATTTTCATCGCATACTCGTAGTTTTGCGATTCCACCGAATTGTTGAGGAATCGAGAGGAGAAGTGGCTGATAGGCAAATGGAATGACTTCGATCGGAATTGAATCATAGCGCTCGCCGAGATGTTGCGACATCTTCTGATAATCTCCTATCACCTGCAACAAGTGATTTGTTATGATTTTAGCTGTATGACCTACATAAAACCGTTTGGAAGCGTGTTGAACGATTTTCTCCTGCGCCAAACAGCCCCCGCCGCCTTTTATACATTGAAAGTTTGAATCCACCTTCAAAAATTTCGCGTTCACAATTTACAAAGGTTTTCGTATTAAAATCATTCTTAAATCTCAAAGATACTAAAAATCACCTCGTCAGCTCCATCTATACAAATATCAAGCTCGGGAGTGATATCCAAATCCGATAACGGAAGTTTTGCATCCACAAGCCATTGTTTTGTCTAACAATTTCCTTATATAATCCCTATATTCATTTTATACTATTAAATACCTGCTGACTCGTTGGAATGCACATGATATCAGTCAGTTTCCCATTCTTGTAGGATTCACCGAGATAGTCCACCAAATATTTTACTGTGCTCCCCGATCCGACGCCGAGTAGACATCCGCTTCTCACATACTTCTCGCCGCACGCGAATGCCGCCTATCAATTTGTTTATAGTTTTCTCTTCGTTATTTTTCGCAATTGATACAACTTACAAGCTTTTTCGACTGTTCAATAATGTTTAGTTGGGATTCAGCCGAAACCATAAAAAATAGAATATGATCGCGAGAGAGTGAGCTCGAGGAAATGAGACACAGATTTATTACACATTGTGCCCGGGATGTAGTTTATATTTCGGCTGATTCTTGGAAAAAAATAGATTTAAATGAATCATTGTGGGCATTATTAATATTAATAATGATCAAAATAGTGAAAAACGCGAGACATTACTCATTAATGTGAAGTGAGTAGGATGCTTATTATGCATATATCTTGATTAGTTTCTGGGGCAACCGAACGCAACTATAGTCATTAACATGTCCAAATAAAGACTCGCACATTCACAATGTTTTTTTTTTTTCAGATGTTCAACTTCAAAATTCCTTGACGAAATTGCGAATAAACCGAACATTCTGCACGGTACGATGTATTGGACGTGACATTGCGTCATTGTGAATGCACTAATCATAACGTAAATACTTTCCTCAAAATTTTATTGGCGCCCGGTTTTAGACTCTCCAAATTTTTATGGCTCATGCTTCTCCAATCCGTCGCTATTTGTTCTGGATTGGCTATGATGGGTCGAAGTTCCCCGAAATGGCTCGAGGTGGTACAGGATTCGGTGTAATGGATCTATTGCATCAGGTATTGCAGACAACCAAATTCTGTGATCCATCTATATCGTAGTAGGTTGTAGGCAATTCTCTATTTGGATCTAGAACGGACTGGATCGAAAATGCACGGTCGTCGTTGAAATTTTCACCAAGTAGTCGAACCGACGCTTTAGTTCATGCCATTCGGAATGCTATCATTTGTCAAGTATACATTGTTTATATGAAGCATTTCGAAATTTTATTGTTTTAGGTGCCTCTTGCCTATGCGAATCTTGATGAGAACATCACAACTAAACAGGAGTACTTAAACTCTTGGAATAGCGAAATAGAACGAATATCACCGGGTAAGCAAAATTCAACAATTTCTCGTTAATGTTTATTTGTGCTAATACGTATATTTATAGGCTCCTTGAAAATTCATGACGTTCATAGTGTGTCTGCAGGTTTTTGCATTCGTAGAAATGTTTCATATAGGTGATAATTAATTTGAGTTAAAATTAATCGTTTATCAAATCTTAGGAGATATACTTATCGATTGGCTGTAGCACGAGATTGGGATGTATGGCATGCAATTCGTGAAGATCCTAGTCTCCCATGCTTTTCCGAACGTAATTATGCTTGGAGATTGCCACCGGGATTTGATCCATCGAAATGTTTAGCGGCTGGGAAATTGTTCGAAGGTTTTTTTATAATAGATTTTGAATGAATGTTATATTCGCTTGAATTTCAGGTGAGCAAGTCATGGGCTCATTTTTCAAGCACACATTACGTGATAAACGCAGCGATGTGAATCCTCCAAACGCGTTGAAGTACATTTATCATGTAGGGTTGTATCCAGGTAATAAAAATAAATCCCATTATCTACTTTCATGTGTCCATTATTTAGGAGAAGCTTATTCACTGCCGAATGATATTTATGAATATTATAATATCACTATTATTTCAAGATCGTTTGTTAGGGAGCAGGTACTCGAATCTGTCAAAAATTCAACATTATTCAGTATTTTAGATACGTCGAATGATGTCATGTCTAGTGAATCATTCCTACGATAGAATGCCCACCGAAATGATAAAGTGGCTCTTGAAAAATCCAATAAGCTCTAATTTTTTCGATAGGAAAATTCCTATTGCCCCTCCTAATGGATTATTTTTGACTGATGTTGTTTATGATCCTAAAATGTTTACTGATCCTGATCCATATCATTATCATTCTTGGGATTATCCTAAAAATGTTATTTTTAGTAATGATAAATGAATTATTTAAGAAGCAGGGTATCGAAAAAATTAACTTTTGGCCAGATTCGAAACTAATTTTTTTCTGCGATGTCTAGGAATTATTGATTGAATGCTGTGTAATCTGCGAACGCTTTTCAACCGCATTGCCAACGTTTCATCCATCGGTTCCGGCAGTTTCGTCGAAAAAGAAGAGAAATAGCATGAGAGAGATACTCCGCACGGAGTACACAAACGCGACAGCAGTCATGTCTCGCCGCGAAAACTATAGCGACGCCGCGCAATACCGTAGTCAACGTCGTTTAAACTTTTTAATTTTTTACCGTAGCGCGGCGGTTTTTCATCTTTTTCTCGATGACTTTTATTGATTTTTGCCCCGAGTTGAGACAATTTTATCAGAAAAACGCGTAGAATCTCATCGATGTGTAATCATTACACAATGTCTTCTGCAAAATTTTTAAAACGCGATTTTAGGCCCATTGGAAATTCTTGCTCATTATTTTAAAATTGCATAATAATTACTCTTTCTTGCAGGGTACTTTCTAGATAGTCTTAAACGGCTACTTTTTTATTTCTCAGGCTTTTTTAATCTGCTTTTTATTTAACTTCTGTTCTTTTTTGGTTCAGTAAAGGTAGGTTAACTATATTTTGAATTGAATAACCCGTTTTTTTCAGTATTGTAGTAATGGGAGCTCAAGATAACAAGATTAACGGTAACGCCTCTGAGACTATTAAAGAAAATGGACACTCAACTAAGGGAAATGAAGACAAGTTCGTTTTTTTTTTTATTAATTTAGTATTAAATCTCCGAATTTATGTCATATAGGAAGATCTTTGTTGGAGGAATCGCACCAGATGTCACGAATGAAGATTTGAGCAGCCACTTCTCCCAATTTGGAGATGTTGCCCAAGCTCAGGTTAAATACGATCGATCCAACGGCCGTTCGCGTGGATTTGCATTTGTCGAATTTGCGAATGGAGAAAGCTGCAAGATGGCTCTTGCTGCTCGGGAACAGACTATCAAGAGCAAGTCTGTAAGTTTTTGAATTAAAAAGATGACTATGTACAGTGCCTAGGCAACACTTCAAAATATTTTGTTTAAAAAAATATGGATTTTTATCGTTGGGCTAACGCATTGATAAAGTTCCTTCGGAGTAATTATCTAGAATTAATTTATTGAAATTAACTTTTAATAGAAATCCTTGATGTGCATAACATTTTTAATACAAACTGAAATAATTATCTTTTCTGGAGCTCTTTTTTATTGAATATAAAGGTTTACAGGTCGAGGTAAAACCAGCGAAATCTCGCGAGAACAAGAAAGTTTTCGTTGGCGGCCTTCCATCGGATTTCAACGAGAATGAGTTAAGAACTCACTTCGAACAATTCGGAAAGGTTGATGATATCGAATGGCCATTCGACAAACAGACGAAGGCTCGCAGAAACTTCGCTTTCATCGTGTTCGAGGAAGAGGAGTCCGCTGACAAGGCTTCGGCGCAACAGAAACAGTCTTTCGGAGGTCGCGAATGCGACGTGAAGAAAGCTGTTCCACAAGGAAAACGTTTCATGGGCATGAATGGCCGCATGAACGGAAACCGACTGTACGGAGCTCGAGCAAATCAGAACCCAGGATGGTACGCTGGATGGGGTCAGATTTCTGGAATGCCCTATGGTGGCGCTGCCTGGGGAGATTGGTATGGTGCTGCAAACAGCTACTACGGACAACAACCACAACAGCAAGCTCATCATCAGAACGGAACAACTCCAAATGGAAATTATAACACTGGATACCAGCAACGTAAGACTTAGATTGTAATTATTTAAATTTGTTTTGTTTTGAAGGTAATGCGCAAGGTTACGATTTTCAACAAGCTCATGCTGGAAGACAAAACGGAAACACCAACGGACAGAGATTCCCACAAACTGCCCAACCTCAACAATTCTAAGTGCTCTTAATCCGAATCGCGACATCTCGGATTTTCCTCCAATTTTCTTCCTAATCTTTCAAAAAATTAAAATTGTCCTCAATAAGCAGTTATGAACTAATTCTAACTTTGGCAACTTGGCAACTCATCCTTTATCTTGTTTTGGTTCTTCTACCCGTTCCCCCAAGACTATTTTTGCCGTAATCAGCAAGACCCGCCTCAAACAAAGAATGCCTTAAATAGAATTTATATATTTTTTTCAATCAAACGTTAGATTTTGTTCGAGCTGATGTTAGTTTCTTTGCTTGTACTTTTCTATAATTTGTACGGCATTCAACGCGCGTTGTATGTTTCTTCTTGAGTTTTGTTGTTCGAAGTGGTACCTTCCAATATTCATGTTTCACGATATTCCTGCCCTTCCCGAACTTCTTGCTCATATTTGCTTTCGCTTAGTTGTTGTTGTTACGGTGCGTATGGGATCTCCATAGCACATCGGTTCCTTCAAATCATTGGATTTTTGTTTCATTTTAGAAACAAGCTAAATCTTATTGATTTGAGGGACAGTTGTTATCGTATGTCTGATGAATTATCAGGTGTGCAGTTCAAATTCAAAACAATGTCGTTTGCCAAACTGACTGCCAGTGTTTGAAACGTAATCATTGTGTTTTCATGTGAATCTAAAAGATTTACAAACAAGTATAACTCCTGCTGTAGATGGCGGCTTCGTGTAAAACAGATTGATTATGTCCAAACATGTTGAAATGTTGATAATAAACATTAGAGGACAAAAAAGCATGTCAAATAGATTTTGTTTTTGTTTCCGATTTGTCTTTATATGGTAAGTATTCCAAATATTTGATGAATAAACGATTTTTAAATCGAACGAGAAACATAAGAAACGCGGTTATAGGGAGAATGACTTCAACACTCGACGCTTATATGAATCGAATAACCACAGTTTTGACAGGTGATGGAAGATGCATTATCGGCTTGCTCAAGGTAATCATGAAGTGGACAACTCACTTATGGCTATTCTTAAATCTTCACGTGAAATCTAATTTCCACGAAATGTTCCAAATTTTCGAAAATATGCTCTTGCTCGCCATTATACGCGTAAATATTTGTTGAAATTATTTCAATTTTCGTTTAAGTTTCAAAATACTAGAACATTTTTAATTTTGGTTTCTTTTAAAATATTGAAAAATTTAATTAATCAACATAGTCTGCGATAGACGAATTTGGAGTGCTATTGCGTTATTGTTTGAATTGCCGCCTTGGGTCTCATAAAGAAAAAACTTAGGGGCGATTTTTACGTTTTCTATCTATCATTAAAAAAAAAGAACAATTTTTTATGAATTTTAAGTACTTTGGTTATTAGCAGAGTATGAGCCGATTTTGTTTTGCGGGATCAATTAAATGGCAGCCCGCGCAATTCAAATTTCTAAAATTCGTCCGACCGCTACAATAGTAAAACAATAGTTTTGGTTTTCATTTAAAAAAAAATAAATCGCAACTCTTAAAAATTTTCAATTTAGGGCTTTGATCAGCTTGTTAATTTGGTGCTAGAAGATGCTCACGAAAGAATTTACTCGGAAACTCGAGGAGTCGACACTGTCCCATTGGGATTGTATATAATTCGTGGAGAGAATGTGTAAGTTTTTTAATTTGTTGTTTCGAATCGCAAAAATCCCGCAAAATGCGCCGACAATTTGATTGGCCATTTACCATTTGAATATTTGAATAATGCGGTCATTAAAAATCGATAAATGCTCAATTTTTCTTTTTTTTCATGACACCGGAATATAATCGGCTGTTAAGACGATTTAATGGTGCTCTCGAAGCAAATATATTGCTATTGTGACAATTTTGGGCGCCAACGACGCTACCATAAAAACTACAATGGGCGAAAAACCGGGCAAGTCAAACATAGTGCGAAAACCTGGAAAATTGTCGAATGTTTTGAATGTTTGAGGAAACTTTGAGTGCAAATAAAGATTCATACGTCTTAGCTTTGGGCATAGAAGATCTGCAAAAGTTTCTCTAATTTATTCGAATTGTCTATCATTAATTCCAAAGAAAAATAAATTTATAGGATTTTTTTTCTAAAAAATCACATTTTTTCTTTTCAAAACGTCATCAATTAATTAAATTAAAAAAATAGTAAATAAATGGACAACAGAATTTAAATTGAATTTCATACTTCTCCCTAGAGTTATTCTCCCGTAGCAGATTTTCTTAAAGCGTTTCTCTCGTTTATAAATTGTTGGTTGGTTAACGTTTCTTTAGATAATTGTTTATATTGTACATTAATTTTAGCAGTAAAAATTTAGATCAAGCTTTGGAACAAAATTTTTTATTTCGTTTGTTCTTTTTCATTAATTTATCATCATTCCTTTTATTTCAATTAGTGCCCACATGCATTGTATAGACGCTAGCTGAGCATCATTAGTAGTTTGGTTGAATGAGCGCTCCACCGCACTCCTGCTATCTCTCCCTCTCTCGCGTTTTACGCACTCGACTCGACTCGTTTATAACAGCGATTTGTTCTTGGATCGATCGGTCCAACTGTCGTAAGTGAGTGGCGCGAGCGCTGGTCAACGCCGCTGGCTAGCTTGTTGGTCATTCGACTTTTTGCGACGATTTCCTTTCCGATAGATGTTCATCGTTTGGCTAATCACCCAATTAGCCATATCGATCATTTCCTTGACATTTATGAACGTCCTTGTGGCGTTCATGGTCGCTTCAAACATTTTAAACGTTTCCTTGTTTTCTAGACACAAGACATTGAAAATAACTCTCCTAGCAGTAATTAAAATTTCGAAATGTTGAGAACTAGTTCGGGTTTCAATCAATTTCTATTTAAAGGAGTGAAGTGATAAATTTAATTTGGTGATTTTTACCTATTATTCACAAATCTCTAGTTTTTCTATGTCGCTGTATTTTATGAACCAGCATCTTCTCGTCAACTGAACAACTCCTTGGAAACGAGGCAATGTTTTCAACTTTTGTCAAGACATTTCGATTTTTGCTTATTTTATTAGTCATTAGAACACAAAATTCGAGAAGCGGGCACTTAATTATTGGTGCTCGTCAATCGCATTATTTGTTTGTATCCTAGTCGGCTTGTTGTACCGTTGATTCACATCACTTGGGAGCACAGACCAGTTGAAATTCGCGTTCCACACCACGCCGTAAAAACTATTCAAGCTCATTCATTTCCGCGCGGCCCGCTCGCTGGCCACAATTGTCATATTTCTTGTTTTCAATTTTTTTCGCATTGTTCGCGTTACACCATAACTGACGGAAATCGTTTTGGAAACGACGCATTGACGGGAAAAATGTGTGAAATTCGGCAGCACAACGACGCCATTAATATTTTGAAATGTGCGACGATACCAAAACAGAGTTTTGTGCGATTTCAGAGCTGTCGTCGGAGAGGTCGATGAGGAAATCGACAAGCGCATCGATTTGGAGAATGTGAAGGCTGCCCCATTGGCGCCAATCTGGATCCCGCAATAAGTTGATCGGACCCCATTATTTATTGTTTCTGTAACAGATCTCGTTTCTGTATTTCTTCAATTACATTATTCCATCTCTCTTTATACATTTCTACATTAAATCATACCAAACTTCGTATTTCCTGTCGTTATGAATATATATAATAAATATTCAGAGCGTCTCGCTGTTTGTTTGTTGTTTTTTTTCCATTCGTCACATATCGTAACGATACCGTAATGTCAACTTGTTTTTTTTTACTCAAGTGCTCTCCTCTCTTCCCCTCCCCTTCGTTTCATCCATAAAAGGCAATCTATTTTGGTTTTGCAGGATTGTTCGTAGGCGTTTCCTATTTGGTTGCAATACAGGAATAGTTTACTCGGAAAGAAAATGACAGCGGTTGGAGTGAGTTGTTTGCTGAAAAATTTTTGAAAATTCTCGAATCTCAAAATTTCAGCAAAGTCCTCTTCTAATACATACTAATTATTGATATTTCAGCCATCAATTAACTTGGATGATGAAGGTGTTGAGCACGAGCTTCACGAGGTTGACTTCACCGAGGATGAGGTTTCGCAGGCGGACGACGACAGTTCGACGACGGCGACTACGGCGGCGGTGACGGCAGAATTGAAAAAATTGGCGGTTCGTCCATGTTCCTTCAAAATATTGGATTGTTTTGCTTGCGTTGAAATTGAAAGTGTCCATTAAATACGGGTCGGAACCTACAGGCGCGACACGAGGATGATGAGAATCACATCGAGTGCGTCGATGAATCGGACGATGTCGATGTGCGCGACAAGAAGGCGGACGCGAAATCGACGAAGAAGCTCAAAGAGGACAAGGAGAGAAGCGAGAAAGAGAATAGGCAAAAGCATCGGGTAGCGAGTGGGAATTGGAATCACATGAATGAAAAGTCATGTTTAGGAGATTCACTATGATCTACCAAAAAGTAAAAGTCCGCATCGAGATCACGACAGGCGGCATTCGAAAGAATCAGAGCGGAATGGCAGAGATTCGAAGCGATTTGCCGACGAACACAGGCGAGATTCGTCGAGAAGATCTGTTGAAAAGACGCACAAGAGCGAGGAACGCCATTCCGAATCCAAGAAGTCGCCGGAGAAGCCTCTTGCTGCTGCCCGTATACAAGAAGCTCGACCGAGAGGCGATTGTGTAAGTTTCGTATTCAAACTTATCGTATTGTCGTGAAGGAACGAATTTTTTTAAACCTCCAATGCAATTAAAATATCTCAAATTCGTCTGTGTACGACCACGTTTTTTACGACACTCTTATATCCGTGACTATAGTAAAATGATATGATTGTGTGATAGGCCGGAAGTATTATTCACCAGGCATTTCTACAGTAACAATGCTTTTATGCATTGATTGTAATGCGATTCATCACTTAGAAGAGGGTAACACTACAATAAACGTACGGAATGCGGTTTTTCAGATTTGAAATTTTAATTGCACAATGATGACGTTCAGAAATCAACTATTAGATAGTGTTATTTCTGATGAAAACACACGAACTTTTAAATTAATAGGCGGTTTAATCGAATCCTCTCGAGAAAACTTGTATAGAAATTTGAGCGAGCGATTTACTCATGATTTTCGTACTTTAAATTCTTCCTATATTTGGTTTCGCTCACACAATCGTGAGTGCCCTTAAATCACTGTGCTGATAAGAGAGCAAAAGTTTCGTTCGATAGTGATTGATTGGGTTTTTAAATGTTGATAATCTCCTTAATATGTATGATATTACGATAAGCGTTGTTGGTTTCAGCTTCGACAAACTGCACGCCTGCCCCTCATACGTCGAGAACACAGTCGATCGGTGGAGCGAAGACGTCACGAGCGAAAAATGGAGGAGCGGAAAGTCGAACATCGCAAGCTGGACGAACGAAATCCCGGCAAGGAGCACAGAAAATCCGAGTCGAAGAAACATGAAGATCGCAAGGCTGAACGCAAGAGGTTCGATGATCGAATGGTGGCCGCGAAGTCTGACGACCGAAAAGTGGATCATAAGAGATCGGATGACCGAAAAGGAGAGCAGAAAAGATCAGACGATCGGAAAGTGGAGTTGAAGAAATCGGAGGATCGAAAAGGCGATAATAAAAGAACAGATGACCGGAAAGTGGATCATAAACGATCTGAACATCATAAGGAAGATCATAAGCGGTCTGACGATCGAAAGGCTGAGGAGCGAAAGTCGGAGCATAGAATACATGATGATCGGAAAACGGATGACAAGAAGTCACAGGATCGCCGAAATAATGGTGAGCGTAAGAAGGAAGAAGACCGAAAACGTAAGAGTGGAGTGGACAAGAAGGATGATGAAGAGCCTGAGAAGAAAATCGCCAAAATCGCGGAAGTTGAGCTCACTATTGAAGAAGTTGAATGCTGTAAGTTTTTTTCCCCCAAAAATATCTGAAAAAATCAAATTTTGAAAATTCGATACCGAAAATCGTTTGATAAGATTAAGAAAATATTTATATTCTACTGATGCAAAAAGTTACATCATGAAGTGAAATTAATTTTTTTCCTGCAACCTTCAGTATCCGTTTTTTTTAACAATTGCACTAGTATATGGGTCATTAGACAATTTCGAATGTTTTTTTTTTAATAATAAAACCATAAAGATACAAAAATTTTTCAAGGTTAAATGTTATTGTTAGATTACAGTTTTTCATTTATCGATCTTTACTCTCGTTCTCATTTCGTTTAATGTAAATTTGACCGTTGAAGTTGCAGGTGAAGGGGATGACGAAGTTGATGCGCCGGCTAAAAATGATAACCATTCTGCTGCAGATTCCACATCGTGAGTTATTCTTCAATTTGCGGTTATTTTCTTAACTATTAAATTTCAGTATGAACTCGGAAGATGTTGAAGAACTCGATTATAGCGAAGATGATTTGATTGATCTCGATGATGAATGCGATTTGGAGAAGGTCGAACAGGCTGCAAAATGCTCGCCGGTTGAGCACGAAGAAAGTCATGCCGAAGAGGAAGAGAAAAAAGAAATAAAGAAGGAGGAGAACGAGAGAAATGAAAAGAAGGAAGAGAAAGATGGAAAAGAAAAGAAGGAAGAGAAAGATGGAAAAGAAAAGAAGGACGAGAAGAAGGAGAAGAGAACTGATTCAAAAAATGGAAATGGTATAGCGCGTTGAATGACAACCCCCCAGAAGATTTTTTGAATTAGTTTCGACAAAAACCCGCCACGAGAGAAGCAGTCGTTCGCCATCGTCGCGCAAGGAGCGGAGTTCGCCGTCGCGTCGTGACAAGGATCGTCATCATCGTCGGGAAAATGAGAGATCGGGACGACCATCGCCAGGATCCAAGGACATCCCATCGCTGCTCACGATGCGAATAAGGGCGCCGGAATCGCCGCGGGATCGTTGTAAGTTCTCAGGATCATCGTCCACGTACTCGTCGGCGTCTTCAACTGCTTCGGATTATGGCTTGATCGGTCCGTGCTGCTCGTGTTCAGCTGCGTCAAGAGCGAGTCCGAACGGTTTCGTGTTCCGGCAGTCGCGCCCATTCCCATTGCCACCACCACCGCCACACCAACATATAATGCCCCTAATGGCCCTTGCCCTTAATCCCGAACTTTTAGCCCACCATCATCACCGACGCGACCATCGTGACGACGAGCGCCCCGAACATAGGGATCGCGAGAGGAACCGCGACGCGGAGAGACGACGTGACGCACCGAGAGCCCGGACGCCACCGAAAAGGATTTTGCGAGTGGACGATGAGCGGAGAGATGTCCGATCGCGAGATGCCGGAGGTGATCATCGCAACTTCAACTCATCTTTAACCGCCTCCCGTTGTTCCAGATTTTTTCAAGCGCGATAGGATAAGGGAGAATATTGATTTTAGTAGAAAAAGAGTCGACGATTTCATGAAACGAGTAAGAAATTTCCCAATAATTTCTGAAATTCAATATCCGAATTTTCAGAGAACTTATGAAAGAAGACGCTCACCGATTGGCCGGCGACCGGAACGCGCTGCGACCTACAAAAATGGAATCAGAGAGTGAATGAGGGGGATCCTCTACACAATGTTAATAATAATGAAAGATTTTTTGGTGTAGAATAATTTTGAAACTGTTACGGGAGATTTCAATTCAATAAATGTTTCATTTATTGTACTACTGTGGTTGATTTTCAAGTGTTAACGAACAATGCAATATTTGCTGATGAGATTAGTGCATCGCGTGAGCGCATTCCATTCGTTGGCTGATTCATTTCCATTTATTGATTCGAGTGTTTTCAGTTGCATATGGCTGAAATCAATGAGAGAGCGTCGACGTCATCGCCGCCGGTGCCGTCGACACCAGCGCCGGTTCCACACATTCGACAACTCTCTGAAACGATGAACGACAAGGTCGGACAGTTCTTCCAATCGCAAATTGAAGGTAATTTCATTTTATGGATCCTTTTAACAGTAAAAAAACGAATTTAAAAAATCATGATTTGGATTAATATTTTCAATTTTGAATAATTCGCAAAAATGTTTAAAATGGAGCCTTTACGATATGAGAAAAAAAATCAATTTTAGTAAATATTTTTTCGCGGCAGAATTGCATACAAAAATCGTTCGATAATTTTTCAGTTTGGGTTTAATTTCATCAAATATTCTTTTTTTCAGGCACAATTGAAGAATACAAGTTGCTCGAGAATATGAATAATGTTACTGCTCAACGGTATTTATTAAAACGCCAATTAAAAAGAAATTTTGAAACCAATTTTGCAGGTATGTTGATATGAAAGTGGTCGCTGAGAAGCTTGCCGATAAGATGGAGAATCTCAACAAGAAATGTAGGAATTTTTGTTTTTGTTTCGCCAAACCCATTTTCATAAATCAAATATGTTTTAGACGAGTCACTTCAGCCGTATCTCACACAAATCGACGCAATGGATCAAAGCTCGAAGCGGATGGAAGAAGCGACGAATATATTGGAGAATTATGTTGCATCTCTTGGTAACAATTTAAATATTAAAAGAAAATCAAATCCAAATTTTGTATGTTTAGAAGCGAAATTGGCCTCAATTCAACAATCAACCGCATAATTGCTTGTCTAGTCATTTTCTAATCGATTCTGTGAATTTTGGTTGTGCTGTACTAAAAAATGTATGAAAAATGAAAGTGTTTTTATTTATTGACCATATTCCACCAATTCTTCTGAAATTCTCAATGCTACATTTTGAAAATATTAAAAAAAGACGGTGAATCAATGTGTATAACTTCCTTTCTGCATAGTTTGAACTCAAAAAATTCGACAAAAATCATAGAGTTTACAAAATTAAAAATATAACCTTAATCTACCCCTTCAGGCAATGCTTGTTTGGAGTTAATCGATGCTCCTTTAAAGAAGTCCTTTTAGTTGAGACCATTAATTAGTGGTATGTTTAGAATATAGCGTATCTCAATGAACGAAAACAGATTTAAATTTGGAATTTATGTATGATGCCCATGAATTTTTGTGCCGACGAGAATGACGTCTTCTGAATGCGTTGGTCTTCTCAGTATTCCAAACAGGGAAATTTAGGCCGTTGTTTTTCTGCTCATTTGGTATTGGCGCCACATGGCGGATTGGTGAACTTTTCCTGAAATCTATCAATTTTTCTAAATGATTTTTAAAAACAGAAGGTTACAGCCAGAATCGACTTAAATATTGTGCCACTGAAGAAATAATTAATCGACGAATGCGACAAGATGAGCGGTCATTCAGGCGAAATGAGCAACAATAATTTTAAAACGCTTCTACATATTTAAAACCCTATGTCTTATTAGAATATTTCAAAACCCGAAAAAATGTGTCAAACTATTGAAAAAGATCTATCGATTTGATGAAAACGCAATTTCAAAAATCTGAAATCGAGCGAATCTTCCGACTATTAAATGTAAGTGTTTTAAATTGCTCATTCAGCAAAAATAAACCGAAGATGCAAAAAAATGTGCAAAAGCGGTTTTTATTTCATCTTTTTCGCCGACGTAATTCGAAGCCATTTTTCAACTCGCTTAATTATCATTCCGACGTTCGAAATGTCGAACATTCGCTAGTGGCAATATTTCATCGCGGCGGCGGCCTCATCATCACACCTCCGGCGCTTGAGTCGCACTTTTCGGTTCGCCGCCGTCAAGCTGAGCTAACACTCGATTGCTCCGCCCACTTGGTGCCAGGAGCTCCGCCCATTCAATTGCGGAGCACGACTGGAGCAGCAGCAGCGGCAGGCAGCGGCGGTCAGTCATTGCTCGGCCGCGCCGCGTCCATACCACGCACCCGGCTATTCTATATGCTCGCCGTTCTCGGCGACGCACCATTTTTGATCTACCACCATCGACCGTAACGCAGCCACGTGGGCGGCCGGCTTATGTGGCTCGGCCGAACAGCATGTCTCACGATTATTGTCAGTTTTCTGATTGTCTGCGTCAAGGTGAGCCGCCGAAAACATTGAGCGCGATCCAAAATGGAAATGATTGTGGTCTACAGAATTGCGCGTCGCTCACCTGTCTGACATGCATGTACACCTCATCGACGACGCAGCTCGACAATTTCCGCGTCTCGACGCGGCTATCGCATCCGCAATGTCTGATGGAGCCGATCAAGTGCGATCGCGATCAGGACGTCTGCGTCACAATCACAATGCATATCGGTTCGTCATTCAATTCCGAAATTTTATTTTATTTTAACTATAATAATAATAAGAATAATACGAAATATCTAATAAGGAATACCAGACACGAATCAAACACAAATTGGGTTGGGGAGTTAGTCGAGAGACGGGAGGGAACCAGTATCAACACGAAAACAACAATTGAATTAGAAATAACAATATTTGCATTTTTATAGCGCTCGTGTGCCAGAAAAGAAAAATGAATAATTGGATGGAGGAATGAGCAAAATAAAATTATTGGTGGCCAAATTGGGGTTGATCGAAAAAAAAAGACCGCGACGAATTCCTAAAATTGAAAACTTTAAAAAAATAATCGAAGTTCTCATTTTTTTTGCATGCGCCTAATACTTCAATATCAATCATTTCTTTAATGAGGAGCTCAGAGAACATTCTCTATTTACTTTTGAATGAAGGCTTTCGCCTCTCATTTTTCTTCGACTCGGCTGGAAATATATAGAAGAAGCGATTTATTTGAAAAATCGTTTCAAAATCGAATTCTCTCGCTTTTGCCCCCATTCTATTTCCGTGTGCACTTATAAATTGTCACGTCCCAGACTACTTGTGGAGGTCCCGCCAAAAAATAAGCGAAATGATAGATTTGATTTTTCGGTGGCGCCCACTTGACATTTTATGCATGAAGATAAACACCAGGTTGCATGTGAATGAACCAATAAAATGGGGGGGGGGGGAATAGGGACATTCTTGGGAAAAAAATGAGCAGGAGTGAATTTCTTCTAAAAGCCAAACGTCTCATTTACCCCGAATTCCATCTGCGGACATATTTCGAGCCCGTCGCTATTTTGGTCACTTTGACAAGATGAAGCCGCAAAAAACATTTATTTGAACCCGTTAGCGATGCCGCTTAAATATGGTTAACTCAAGACCTCCTCCTCGTTGCATAGGATTCCTCGCCCTCCTCCTTCTCCTCCTCCTCCCTAACCAAATCCATTACGATGATGTGAGTCGCATAGTAGTAGTAGTAGCAGAAATAGTAGACTAGGTCGCAATTTCACCCCAACACATGCACGAAAAAAAACTCGACCCCAAAATTTCGGATTGTTGTTGGCGGAGGTTTTTTTTTCGACCGAAAAAAAACCCACAACACACACCTGAGTTCTGACACAAAAAAAAACCAGCGTCGTGTCGAGTCGAAAAATAGAGACAACAAAAAAAAAACAAGTGATGAAAAATGCACACAACTCAGCAGCAGGCAAAAATGATTATCTGCAGGTGGCGGCGACTATTGGATGGGCGCCGGATGCGATCGACGAATCAACTTCCAACACATGTCATGCCAAAATGTTCGAACAATGTCGAGAAATGTACAATTAGGTAATTCGTGTGCAAATGAATCGAATAAAAACAAAAAAAAGCAGAGAGAGAGAGTGAGAGAGAGAGAGAGAGAGAGAGATATGAGCAACGGAAGCGAAAATCGAGATCATAAAAATTGCGGTCGGGAAATGAGCACCTCAAACCCGCACCGGGTGCTTACATCAAATTTTTGATGAGGGATGTCGCCTCGAGACCTCAAACAGTATCAAAAATTAAAAAGCCGGGGAAAAAAATGAGCAAAGCTCAAAACCAAATTGCGCGCGTCGCATTCAATTTAATCATCATCGTGCTGGTAGCCACAATTGCCAGAAATTATTTGGGAAGCGAAATTAAATTTTTTGTCCTCTTTCTTCCTCTCCATTCTTTTTCCGATCAATCTCCAATTATATGAAATCATTTAATTATGTTTTCAGGCTACGTTCAAGAGCGCCGCTCAATGCAACGCGTGTGCGTTTGCGCGCGTGATCTATGCAACAATTCTCGCGCCAAAACTGCCAATCTCATCGCCACAATGCTTCTTCTCATCCTCAACTTTCTCTGATCCTCTAATCCGCGTTACCCGCCGATCGCTTAATCGAGTCAATCAACACGTTCCGGTGCCTCATCAACCAAGTAAGTCTATCAAGACCGAAAAAAATCGAACAAACGAAATGCAACACATGCAATTCGGGAATATATAAAACATTTTCAAAAATTGTTTCTCGTCAATGTGTCATTTCGGTCTGACACAACATGTCTCGAGTGATATCTCTCCTACTCATTTCGAGCTTCATCGTTGGGGGAACATCCCAAAAAAAAAACAACAAAAGCGTTATATCAAATCAGCATCGAATCGGCCGCCGACGGCGTTTTCCTAATTGCCCAAACATTTCGTCTCGCTCAAATCGGACCAACTCCAAAATCCAATCAACTAGGTCTCTATTCTCTAACCTGTTGACAGAAACAAGTATTCTTCTATCTCCAACAAATTTCCCACAAAAGAAAAAAACAAAACAAGGCACGCATTTCATTTCGAGTTCTATACAAAAACAATTCAAGTTGGCCGATGACGCAAAAAATCAAAATCGAGCCCATTCCCATCATCCCAAACTCCACAATTCCATATGGGGGTCTCGTCGTGAAAACACTATGAATTTCTGTGCAAAAAAACCCGCGCCGAACTCGGACTGCGATTTCTCTCGTCTCAACGAAAACGAGTATGAAAAAAGAAAGAGTCGTCGTGGGGAAAAAAAAAAAACGCATATTTGTGAACTCGAAATGAATCAAAATCGCCTCGAGGCTCAGCGTGTCGGCTCGAGCCCATGATTCCGCCAATTTATTGCATTTCCATCCGAGACAAAATTAAAATAACGGGGCCACCATCGAAATAAAAACGGAGAGCACAAGTCTTTAGGAATGAGCAAAATGACTATGCGCATTTTAATGAGGCGACGTTCCTTCCTTATATTGTCTTTTTTTTCGTCTTGCAGGATCTCAACTTATTTCTCGGCGGCAATTCGGCAGCAAACGAGTGCTACGACAATCAGCCGACTGACAGATTCAAGTTAGTTTTTGAAATTGCAAAATGATTGGGCTCGCGAGTAAATAAACAAAATTGCTGAAAATTGAAAAAAAAAAAGGCGTCTGTTCAAAAACCCTCTAGGAATCTATTCATCCAATCTATTTCATTTTTGCCCCCTGTTAAATAGAAATATCTATTGACTATTCGAATCGTCATAATATTCTACAATTATTCTTGTCGACATATTAATTACCTAATTAACTAAATTATAATTTTTCAAACCATCTCCAACATCAACCTTTTTAAGTTTATAGCATCACTTGAAGAACCGTATAAATACCATTCTCAATGATGATACTTCTTGATTTTCATTCGATTCATTTGAGCTTCAAGCGCCTTCTGCTCCTCATTCTCAATTCTCCGCTGATGTCCCAACGTGATCATCTTGTTGTTCTCGCGTTCCATCGCTTCGCGCTTCCGCTCAAGCTCCCACCGCTTACGCAGCTCCGGATCCTCCATCGCGATCGTCTTGAGTTGCGGCTAAACAAGAAATATCGTGATTGTTGAAAATCGAACCGATCAGAAACTTTATTCTTTTTGCCTCTCGTCATCAACACAACTTTTTGAACTCTTGGCGGCTCATCATCGCCATCTCGAGTTTCTTTCGAGTGCGCCAATGAGATCACCGATGTCGTCGGATTCGAATCGCCTTCTTCGTCAGCTGCAATATAGGCCAATTTGAGAATGCATTGTTGACGTCAATTCAGTTTTATTTTTAAAAAATTGAATAATTAATCAACAGTAAACCAAAAACGCATCGAAATGTGTATTATGGCGAAAATTGTGATAAGCTCAATACCACTTAAGTAAAGAGAAAAAGGGAATCCAAGTTAGATGATCAGATTCCTCAAAAAATGTCGTCGAAATGATCTCCTCCAAAAAATTGATTACTGTAACATCAGTTACTTAAATGGACCAAAGAACCCGGATCTTTAATGCCCTCTACATTTGCAAATCTCCAATTTCTTCGTATTCAAAAAAAAGTTGCACCCAACACAAAAAAAATGATTGGCGTGCTTTTAACACAATGAACACGTTCGCCAATTTTCAAAATTGAATTTTCTCCGTTCTCCGTTTTCCCCGATTTTTTCTTTCGCACATTTTTGCGTTAAGTAGTGCATTCAGACGGACCCAATTCATTCTTCTCCCGTTTCTCTCAACTCAATGAGCCCCCCCCCACTATAATTAGGGTGCACTTTCTGAATGACGATGTGTTTTTTGAGTGAGCGAGAGTTAGGAGCACTTCAAAGGTGAAATCGGCAGCATTTTAAGCAATTGTCAGTTCATTCATTCAGAATCGAAAGAAAAATAGTTTCGCATGAGTGTGCCGCCTCGGCAATGCATACACAAACCACAACAATGCGAGAGTGAAGGGGTGGGGGGTCCGCAAAAGACGAAGGAAACCGGGACCGCTTATTGAATTTATTTCGAGTTGTCGTTTTCGCTGCGGCTACGGCCTTTTTTTTGTGCAGCGGCAACATTGACGGCATAATTTTTAAACATGTCTATCGACGTATGCAAAATAGTACGAAAAAGGGCGCAAATTTGAATATGCAATGATTTCGATGCGTTTTCGGCAACGTCACAGCAAAATTCGATACAAGGGACCATTCTAGGCAGTTTCGAGTCTTAGTCATATACGGAGTTTCTTCAAAAAAAAAAAAACAAAAGCACACCGCTCATCAAAATCTCATGTTTCGTCCGTCCAGCTGGTCGACCAATCAACTCATTCTATTACAACAAAAACAATAGCGATTGAGTCGCTTTCATGTCATAGACACACACATACAAACGCACAAAACGTCTAATATCTCTTCTCCTCAGTTTTGGGCTCGGTGATTTTGATGGAAATCCGAGAACATGAACATGTCATTTCAACAATCAGATGACTTTTGCCGGCCTGGTTGGTTGCACTTTACGCAACGATCGATTTCAAATTTGGGCTCGTCGTCACGAACGAACGAGAAAGAATGAGCACACATGAATGGTGTCAAATGGCAGCATTTTGGAAAAGCACCTCACCCAAACACCTTCTCACGTTTTCACACATTTATCGACAATTCTTGTGTCGATATCAAATTTCGTACTAGCACGACACACCTTGAGATATTCTCAATTATTGCTTGAAGAAATTGCACGAGAGGGGCAACAAATGGTTTTTCGAATCAAACGTGTTGAAATTTTCAGCGAAACAATAACTCAAAATTCCTACCAAATTTGATAGTTCTCTCGAATCGCGTTTTGATCGAAGCTGGCAACGAAATGTCCACCGCATTGATATTTTGAACGACCTGAACTTTGTCGTTCGAAAACTATTTTTCAATACAACAAAAAATTCTCACCGGTGTTCGATAAGAATCCGACAAAAGTCGATCAAGCTCTCGCTGGAATTCCTCGTCTTCCTCTTTCGACGCTTCTCTTTCCTTTTCAATATGATATCGAAGTTTCTGATCGTCGCCGAAATCACACACCATATCATCCGAATCTTGAGCTTCACTAAAATAATTGTATATATTTTCAGATGTTCGTCACTTCTTCGTATTCAATGCAAAAAAAAAAACGCTCCCGTCGATGCATGGCACTTCATTTCACCACATTTCTGTTTATTGTGATTTTCTGTGATAAAAAAATGAATCTTTCCCCCCACAACTTTTCTAACATCGAAAATTTTGATTCATTTGGAAACTGAATTCTTACGGTTCTTCCTCATCTTCTTCCTCTTCCAAAATTGCATCGAGATCGTCGGATTCCCGTCGAATAGGCTGCCGATCAGATTCGGACTGATCAAGGTTTGCCTAAAACGATAATTGCAAAACGATTTCGACACGACACTACCATGTCCTTATAACGAGCTTCAATATCCTCAACCATTTTAGTGGCATCTGCCAAATTTTGTGGAAGACGACTTCGGGTGCGGAACAATTTGCTGACCTCAATGAACGCCGTTTCAACTTCAAATGGGAATCTGAAAAACATTCATAAAATCAAGAAACCCATGATCAAAAAAATCGACTTGGTTAGCACCGATCCGCATTCTTCAATCGCACCAACTTCCATTAGCTGAAATCGTTTGATTCAAATGATATTAAAACTTTTTCATACCTTGGCTATCTCCGCATCCCATTGCTCCTTCTTCATATAATAATATCGGTAGAAGTAGATCAAAAAGTACTTAATTTGCAATTTCCTCTCCTTCTTCAAATATTCACCGGAAACTTTGAGAAGTGAGCAAACTAGTCGAACACGATGCAAATTGCGCCAATCGGTCGCCTCGTTTTCAGGAAATGTGATGATTTGGTACATCACCTTGGAAACGATGGAATTTAAAAATGCAATAAAAGACTCTCGAACAGTTACCTTAACCAGCAGCTCTTCATCACAAAAGGAGAAATTATACAATTCTCCAAGGTAGATTATCGCCGCTTGCGACCATTGATTGAACACACCAGGTAGTTCAAGAGACAACCGGATCATCTCAAGAATCGCATCAGTCACAGCGACTCCAACCCATTTGAATAGACTCAAATTGCTGAGTCCGGTGACAGCCGATGCCAAATGTTGAAGGTTCTCGACGGGAAGAAGCCAAGGCGACGACAAATATTTCAGAGTGTAGTCTGAAGCGGCGAAATTACAATTTAGTTCGGTTCGCAATCAAACTTCGAATCTCAGGATCCGCCCAATCAAGTTTTCGCAATCCTTTCAGACAATCATCAACATTCAAACTGTTGATGTCGAGAATGATATGACGTATGAACATCTTCATCGGCGTATTTTCTCGGTTGTTCTGCATTCGGGCACGTTCCTGCGCAGAATCCTCCGGCGGTAGGCATGCAAAATAAGCGTTGTCGATGAGCATCTGAAAAAGAAACAAATTTTAAAACACGCGCTCAAACGACAAAAGACAAATCAAATAATTGTCTCGAGCGAAAATCGCTTACAATATATCGATTATCCTTCATTCGGTCTCTTTTCGCTTTGACAACCTCCAAAAGTCGCTTCATTTTGGCGTGACTGTCAGTATGACTGTAAGAATCTCGTTAGCAACAATTTATAAACGTTTCTGAATACCGATAAAGATAGAATCCACCCGATTCCAACATGGTGGCCGTCATGTCAACGCAATGCCCGCGTAGGTCATAAACTAATTGTCTCAAGCAGCTCAAACCTTCAGCACGCGATATAAGCCCAAATTTCATCTGAAGTCGAGTAGAACGTTTAGATATTATATAGATGTGATGTAAACCAATTCAGCGATCATCATGACGCATGACAGCTTGTCTTGAATTCGAGCATTCCCATTGTCCTGCATGTATTCTCTGAAATTTTTCAACAATTCAACGAAATTGGAAAGAAAAGACAGCGTACTTGAACTTGGCGAGAATATTGTTGACAACTTCGATGGTAACGTCAGGCATAACGGCCTCCAATGTGGCAACAAGACGAGCATAGAACGGCAGCAAATCGAGACGAGATTGCGGCGGATTGACCATCAAATTCACAAGCTTCTTCCGATTGCTTTTCGTGTTCAGTGATGAGACGAAGAAGATTGCAGCCTTGTCCGCTGAATACTTGCTCACACAATGATTAAGATCCAGCATAAATGACTGCCAGTTATTCGTGACCTTCTCCTTCTCATCACTAATTGCGAATAAATCGCGATGTTCCTCAAAGGATTGCTCTCCTTCTTTGAAGCTTCGAGCTCTGAAAAGGTACTTTTATTTTAAATAAACGAATAAATGTTGTCAAACCTCGCCGATAAATCAACACTCTGTTGCTCATTCAAATTGTCCATATCAATGTCGTCTATATTCTTCTGCATCGGTCCGCTTTCAATCGTTCGCTTCTCCGATTCCTCATAAAGCGATTTCGGAACAGTCTCGCGAAGATCCAGAATATTCTCATAAAACGCTCTCGTCTCATCGTCTTGCCACAAATGAACTTCGCCTTCAGCGAGTGCCCTGCCCATCTAAATTCAATATAAATCTAAAATTCAAACAAAAAAAAAGCAGAAAACAAAACCTCCACATTAGCAGCTTCATCTTCCTCATCATCGCTTGCTTCCTCGTTGAATTCCTTCAAGGCAACACCAAGCGCACAACTCAATTCACCAACCTAAGAAATCAATAATTAACCTCAATAAATGCAAAAATGAGCATACGAGTTTCCTGCAGTGATCGAATTCGGTCTGAGCTTGATTGAGCGCATTTCTCTCCGATTCGGCAGCATCACCTAAAATCAATGAATTGTACAAATTCCATTAAAGTCCAACCTCTTGTTCTCTCTTGCTTTTTGACCTTCTTCAACGATTTGTTTCTAGCTGTGCATGCCTTCTCCGTCTTATTATACAACGCCTCGTAATATCCCATTAGTAAATTGCGAATCGACGTCTTCTGCTCTTCAGTCAACGCTGTGGAGCTCGGAAGGTCCTCTAAAACCGGTTATTTTTATTCATTAAAACGTATAAATTAAAAAAAAAACACTTTGCTAATAGTGCTACAATACAGATTCCTAAAAAATTCAAAACTAAACTGGTTCAAAGTACTTTTTTTTTCAGAAATTACTGTATTTTTTAATCTGCATGGAATCATAATTTTTCGATAAGAAAAAAAAAATCCGCATACTTTTCTGCACATTCATCGTTTCCTGACCAGATGGCAACGGACAAATTCCAGCAATCTGCCATCCAACATTCCGACAAATACTATTGAGAAGCCCCACATTCACAAATTCGGTCTTATCAGTTTGCACAATATAAGTAAGAACTCCTCCGAGAATCTGGAGTCCGTCCTTCTTCATGAAGAATCCGCACACAACGAGTTCAGCCAAGAGTCTAGAAATTTTGAAAGTAATATTTGAGAAATTTCGATTAATTTGCAATACAGAACATCAACGCGAAGCTTTGCACTGTTCGTAATAGTGTCCGCCTTCTTCAAAGGCAACACTTTTTTGAATTCTCCTAGAATACCACGAATTGCCGATTTAGGAAAAAAAAATGTCGCGACAAACCTATAAGAATTTCGCTGAAATTCGGATATCTCATCTCAATCTGTTGGCATAATACAACGACATTCTCGATATCGGCGATTTTCAATTTCGCTTCAATAATTGCCTATCAATGAGTTCGTATTTGGATTCGAAATCAATTCTCAATTCCATCACCTACCGATGCCATTTCCTCAACAAATTTTGACAAGTTCAATTTCGACATTTCCTGAATAATTCCCGATATCGACGCAGCATTCAGCGTTTTAATTTTTTTCATGAAAGACGTCGTCTTTTTAAGCGCCGAATCAAGAGCTCTCAGCTCTTTTTCATTGTCATCCGGGTTTTTCGTTCGAGCAACTTCAATGTTTTCTCGAGCACACGCCTAAAACGGTTTAATCACAAAGACCAATTAATTATTCATGATCAAATTAACGTCTATGTCAAAATTAAACAATCTATAAATCCACATTTTCTCTTTTCAAATCATACCTGAATGCTGCACCTCCTAACCAATTCATTATACCATTCAAGATCAATTTCGATTTCGTCATCCATCTGAGAAAAAAATTTGGAAAATTTTCAGCTCAGAACGAAATACAAATAATATTCGATTAGGAAAAGCCAATCCAGAAACTGTCAACGCGAACATTTTTTCTTCGATAAAATTTAATATAAATCGTTATAACAGAAAAGGAAAGAAAAAAAAACGTCAACGAAACATTTTTGAAAGAAATTCGAAATAATATTTTTTAAAAAAAAGATAACAACAGAGAAGAGCGAGGTCTCATTTTCAAAAATGAAGATCGTCAGAATTTGATATTTACATGGAATTTGTTGGTACGCCATATAGTCACAGGGCCACACTATATAGATAAACACAATTCAAATAAATTGAACGAAAAACAAAGTGACAGGATAAAATTAAGTAATAAATACTATCGTCATGGTAGAGAACGAGAGTAATTGATGGATGTTCACCATTTCTGCGAGTAGTCGTCGGCTTGACTCCAACCACCCCACCCACCGTTTCCACCAGATGCGTACTGATCGTGGCTCGCATGTGGCTCACGCTGGCGATCTGAAGCTTGAGAATAATTATTGAACGAAATCAAAACGTATTTTTTTTTCAAATTGTTTTTTTTTTAATGATTGATCTCACTTACCATCAGCATTATACGGATTGTATCCGCCCCATTGAGTTCCTTGTCCAAACGGCTCCCAATCACCACGTGTGTCTGAGTATCTTTGCTGGCGCGGGGGAACATCTCGACGATATTCATGACGCCGTGCTCCTTCAATTTCTCATTTTAAGTGTTTTTTAATCATATAGCATTATTTAACTAGAATAATCGTTTCACTTTTGAGTTTTCTTTAATCACAATGTTTTGAAAGAATCACACTTTTTGGGCTTTTTGTGCAGCAAATATTATTTTAAAATTCTACGGTTACCTCTTCCACCTCCATTTCGCATTCCGGGACCCCTTGGTCCGCGTACTACTCTACCACTAGAGAATCCGGTAAGAATAGGATCCAAAGAAGGTGGATCGCCGGCCTTTGGGCCACGCATTTCTTGCCAAACAAGGCGCTTCATGTTTCCAGGAACGTCATGAGGCGAAAACAATTCAACATAACTGAAAAAAATAGATTAATCCACAATATCAATTTCAAAACCCTACCGTTTTCCCATCAAATGTTTATTTCTTCCAAGCGCTTGCGAAGCATGCATTTCGTTCTCAAATTCGGCAATTGCATCGCCGGAGGCGCGATTAGAATCGTTGATGCCCATCTACAATGGATTATTGAGGTAATTAGAACAATTGAAAACGATTAATACCTTCACACCAATAACAGGAAGAGGAGCAAAGAAAGCATCAATGTCATGAGCATCAGCGTCAAATGGTAATCCTCGCATGTAGACCTGAATGAAAGAATTCGATGAAATAGCAAAGACAGAATAATGGCTTGGAATATTTAATTCGAATAAAAAATACCCTATTCATTCCATCTCCATGACTCATAGCAGGAGCTGCAGAAGATCTATAGGGATCGTCTCTCGGCATTCCATAAGTATCTTCACGCCCATAATCTCGCCCATAGTCTCTTCCATATCCTCTCGAATAGTCATCTTCATATCCATGATATCCATACGGTTCGGCCGGATATGGAGCCGCACTCTGCATCAATGGCGGGGGACGACTAGGAGCTCCACCATATCTCGAAGTATGATCAAGACTCAACAACGACGGGATGTTGCTACGATTCGACTTTCCCACTGAAATTTGAAAATTAAAATCAACGCCATTTGATTGCCGGCTTACAGGAAATGTTCTTCTCTTTGTTGAATTCAAGAACCGACGATTTGAAAATCTCAACGTATCTGAAAATAGGAGAGCTGTAGTAATGAACTGAAAATGGTACCTTAACACGAGACACCGTTAAAAACCTAGCCCAAACCAGTACCCACCTCGATCCCAACGTGCGTTTGTTATATCCCATAGCTTTTTTCGCGTCGTCAGCGCTGCGGAACTTGACGAACGCGTCGCCCGATGGTCGCGATCGTGGCCCACCCGTACTTCCGAATACAATTTCCTCCGTTTCTAGCCCTAAGACAGAAAACCCGAATACTTCTATAACCACTGAGAGCACTTTCCCCATCAAGGCGTCACTTATTAAGGGAGTTCAATTCCCCGCCCGAGGTTCAGTGTTTTAATGCGTGTATACCTTCAAGAAATTGATTAATATCTTGCTCAGTAGCGGACCATGGAAGGCCACGCATACGGATAACTTTGTCATCGTCAACATCGTTCAGACGGCTAACCGCAAATGTGTATTCGTTTTCAGTCACTTCGAATACTGTAAAAATCGAATTAAAACGACAAAATAATATTCTGTTAAACCTTCAATGTATCTTCTATTAATCTCTTTTCTATTGTAATCCAACGCCCTCTCCCCTTGTTCTCTAGTCGGAAATTCAACATAAGCTTCTCCGCTTGGTCGACCATCATAACCAGTGGTAAACTTAACGCTGCGAACGTTCAAGCCTTAAAATTTAGAATTTTAAGCAAGAAGGAATTTTAAAACATACCGGTGAAAAATTCATGGATTTCTTGATCTGTTGCTGAAAACGGAAGACCCCGAAGACGAACATAAGACGGCTGAGATTCAGCGATTTGTGCAGCGGGAATAGAAGACACAACATTGCTAGTCTCCGAGGCTACGATAGATTCAGTTTCTGTTTCGCCTTGCTTTGCAACTTGAGCAGAATCTTGTAATTGATCCTGATTGGTTTGTTGGGGTTGATTTTGATTTGCCTCTTGTGGTTTATCTTGAGCCGGTTCGAGTGGCTCATCCTGTAACTCCTTCTTGATTTCTACTTCTGGAACATATTCCGGTTCTACAAATTACTTGTATTATTAACAAACTTTAAGAAATTTTTTACCATGTTTAATTTCCACATTACCATTGTCAGCCATTTTTCACCTGAAATAAGCAGAAATAATTGTCAAATTATTAAATTGAAAATAACAATAGGCGCTCGGAAAACTCATCGGTCGAAACAGTCTTGGCGAAGCACGTAAGTTGTTTTACCGATTTCAAAAAACAAAAAAAAAATTTTCTATTTTTTTCCCACTGTTTCTCCCAAGATTTGACACTGTTTCACCAGATGATATTGCCGAAAAGATTTCTTTTGAATTGAAAATTTTTTAGCGATTGCAGTTATTGCGATGAAAATAAACGTTAATTAATTTTAAAGCGAATTCATATAGACATTATTAAATATACAAAAATTAAGAAAAAACAGTTCGCAAATGAATAAGAAGCAAAAAATTAATCATAAACAAAATGGCTTTTTTTGAAATTTCGGCAGCACTCGAATTGCGTCAATGCATACTGCTAGCGCAAAACGTGTGCTGCGCAATAATCCACCTTCCAGAAATGTTCTTCATCAATGGAACTACGCGAATAAAAAAAATTAAAAAATGAATGGTGAAAATTTTGAAATCAACATAAATAATATTGTTTCACTCATACGTGTTTTGTTTTAAATATCTAAATGGTTTGAAGAAATCATACACCTCAAAATTATTCAATACTTGAGCAATTGGGGCGTTGTTGTCAAACAGTGATTTTTTGAGTAGTTGTCAAACAGATTATTGAACATAAAGCACGAATAAGAAGAAATGAGCAAACATATTCGTTACATTCTTCGCCATTCGCAAATATCATTTTGCACATTTTTCTGTCAAAGATCGTTGACTCATCGTTCGAAACCACCTGCTTTTGATTTGTCTATTTTGAATGGCATTTTTGAAAAATCCATGTTTCGTTTTCCTCTCGAAACGTCGATTTCATTGTTCAGAATCTTTAGCAGGCCCTATATTTGTGCTCTGTAAGTACCATGAAAGAGAATCTCTTGCCACACCCTGTACTACATATTTAATACAAATACAGTTACGCGCTGTTTTTCTAAAACGAAATAAATAAATCCTGTTCAACAGAATACTGGTTGTTCAATTGATGTCCTAATTGCTCTCTCGTTTTAAATTTAGATTTATTGAATTCTAAATTATTAAGTTTAAACCTATGGTTAAATATTAGGTTTGAAACCTATACAGTTCGCCTTGCATCACTTCGAATGACAACTTTTATTGAATTGAGGTTTATCCAAATTTTCATATAAATTGAGCAATTCTTCCTATTAGTATAATATTTTTATGGGAAAAACCAAAGGGAAGGCGTAATGACGAATAATTTAATGGTAACGTCTAATATTTATGTTTCGTTGAATCTGCTCGCTCTTCGTTGTTCAAGTCTTTTAAATGTGTATTTTATTCTAATAAAATTGGCATATTTTATATAAAAAGTTTTTTAAAAATTTTTGAGTCATTTAATTCGCTTTGATAGCTCATTGAAAATGAAAAATGTCAAAAATTGGATTTCAAGAATTAAAAAAAAGGTTTGAATGTGTCTTCCGGAAACCCTTGACAATTTCAATGATCTCTTGTTGGAATTGACTTCGACATCATCATTTCTAGGCAGGCATTTATTGAAAACTCAATTAAAGTAATGATCTCAAACAAAACTAGGCTCTTTGCACTTTCGCTTGACAAACAATATCAAGAAAACATTGTCGGAACATACTCACACACACAGATTCGGCGGCGACAACAAAAAAGAGATGACTACAACTGAATACAATACAATGCGTGGGGGGATGACGACAAGCTGTCGACGAGACGCGCGGTGACTCGAGCTCGCTCATTCAGTCTGGCCACATCCAAAAATCGCGATCGACGAATGGACAACGAGAAAGCTATCAGGTTGGTGGCATTCACTTTATTTGTACGGGGCTTTGAACACAAATTACAACAGATTCGAGCTCGAATGCAGACGGACTGGAAATTTTCATGATACGGTTGCTGATGTTCAATTCAGCACAATGCCGAGACACATGGAAAGAGAAGCGTGCACTTTGGCGGCAATGTCGATCAAGGTTCTATCGACTATTTTTACCTTATGTTATTGTTTTTGGAGAAATCATTTTGTAAAAAATGAGATGCGGACATCTCGCAACTTCTGCATAAGTCCAAAACAATATTTTTAAGAGGCAAAATTCCTCAAAAACCCACTTATTATCTGCCGGATTGCAATTTTCAACTCTTATCTTTGCACTCTCAGATCATAAGACCATTGGACACTCAAAAACTCAAAAGCTCATATTTCTGTTGCAGCTCTATCATCTGGAGCACGACATCGCCCGTCATCTCAAAGTGTCGTTCGACAAAGATTATGGGCCCGATTGGCATTGTGTTTGCGGAAAACATTTCGGATCATTTGTGACCTTTGAACCTGAATGGTATTATGCGAATGCATGCAAAAATTATGCAGTTTTTCCAAAATATTTGTTTGACGATGTCCGAGTTTAACTCGCCAGCACGAGTGCAAAAAGTAGGAACCAATTTTCGATGCAATTTGATGAGAAGCATCGAATCGGTGGCTTCTATCATTTTTGAAGATGAAATGAAAAAATTGCACGTGTCTCTGAATTTCACTCAGTCATTTTTGGAGCAGTTGATTGGCAATTTGCTCTCGCAAGTTGAAATTGTTGAAATTCCCTAATTAGCATCCTCATGGTTTTTTTTTTTTATTTTCATCGCATTGCTGCGGACATATTTGGGGCTTGATTGAATAACGAACATTTCAGTTTCATCTACTTCCGAATCGGCACCACGGCATTCATGTTGTTCAAAACAACCACCCGACGCCTTCCAATAATCGAGCAACATTTGGAGAACATCATCGTAACACCTCGGACCATTCTAGCCGGAAATACGAGCAAAAATGTCGAATGATTGATAAGAGTTCGCTTAGTCGAAACTCTCATCGACGGGTCCAATTTTATTTATTCCGATAAGGAGATTCTGTCTGTAAATGCGTGACTTTTCCATTCCACCATTTTAAAACAATTAAGTGCTGACGATTTTTCACATAAAACTGCCATCATCCGTGTAATCGGAAGGAATTTTCGGCCGCTTTTAACAGTTCCTCGCTTCAATCCAAAGTGGAGACTCCAGAGAGGATGAGAAATAAAAAGCGGTCTTTTTTTTCGTGTTCAAATCAAACTCGCATTGTTTTGTCGGTTTTTCGGCATAAATTTTAGCCGATTTGTTATGATTTCATACTTGTTTTGTATTTTTTTGTCTGCCTACTCTCTCATGATCATATAAATCAATGTTCGTATTTGCGTCGATGACCAGACCGATTTAATTTATTGCAAAAAATGATATAAAAGCGAGCAGAGAGCAAAATTGTCTGGCTAGACTGTAACTAAAAACTCAGATGAATCGAATGAAATATTTTTGAGATTTATTGAGAAACTAGCCTTTCTCTATAATATTTTAGATTTGTTTTATTATAGGATTTTAGATTTTTTGAAAATAATTTCGAATTTGCTCAATAAAATTTAAAAAAAATTTTTAAGTTTTAGAAAATATCAATAAACTTTAGAATTTCTCACAATGTTTTAGATTTTATTATTGAGTATTTGATTCTCAAAATATTTTATTTGATTTGCCTGAGAACATTTGTTCAATTTTTTCTCACACTACAGCGCGTTTCACATTCATAAAGCCACCCCTATTTTTGGGCATAACTTTGTCAATTTTGAAAATTTTTAAATTCTGATTTCAACATTGAATTCCGGGCTAAAAAACACATATGTGTGTCAATTTTCATAATGATATCTGAAAAATTGATATCGAAAATACTGAAAATTGGTCACTTGCAACCGTTTTGTAAAGCCACTCCGGTCTGAAAGGTCTGAACTTGTGGAGACCTGAAGGTGAATTAGCAGTGTACCTTTAAATAGAGTACTTTAAATAGTGTTCAACACAACAAACAAAGTGTCTCTCAAAATCAGGGGCAGCTTTATAAATGTGAAGTATTTCTATTTTTTTTTTCTTCGTGATATTTCTTGAACTATTCAGATGTGAAAAAATGAAAAAAAAAAAACACTTTTTCCACAATGAACATTTTTCTGAATGGCTTTTCCACTGTTTTCATATCATATCCAAAATTTTTTTTTGATCCACAGATTTATTTTTTTAATAAAAATATTAAAAAACGATAAAAATAGTTTGTTTTTTCGATTATGTAACTTCGAAAAAATGTATAAAAATGGCATTATTCCATTGTTAATATTTCTTGAATTTTCTATCACTGAAAATCAGCCAAGAGGTATTTGGTGCTGATTTTTTGAAATTGTTTAAAGTACTATACTTCTAATTTTGATGTTTTTCATTTTCTAATATTTCTACTCGATTTTCAAAGGTATGCCACCGAATCGCTCATCAAGATCACCGTCTTACGACTCATGCCCGTCAGCTTCCTCGCCGGAACGTCGGGGAGCATTATTCATGGTTCGTGATAATTGTTAAAGTAATTCTCGATCATCGAATTATTCTGAAATGGTTCGCATTCAGATACTACTAAATGCATTCGTCATCGGCGTTGTTGCCCTTACATGGTGTCTTTCGACCCAATTCAGCAAGACGGCTCTCAATTTCGACACGAAACACTTCAATGCACCATATTTCATGATGTGGTTCAATACGAATCTCATGATGACATGTTTTCCGGTTTTTTTGATCTATGAGAAATCGAGAAGTTCAAAGAGTTTGGCTAAAATATTCGAGTAAATTGCATTTTTTTTTCTTAATTTATCGGAAATTTGAATATTTAGGGAATGTCAGCGACCGTACGGGCTCAATCAAAAATTGACACCAATCACATTGATCAAATATGTCTTGCCATTTCTAATTTTCTGGGTTTGTTTTATTTTGGCGAAATTAGAGAAAAAAGAAAGTCGAATACATTTTCAGGTTGGCGCTAATTACCCATACGTTCGCGCCCTCCTTCTAATTGCCCCCAGCATCGCAACCTCCATCAGCGCCTGTAACGCGGCATTCGTCTACGTCCTCGCTATCTTCATGCTCAATGATCGACTTCATCTCATGAAGGTGACACTAAACTCATGAATATTCAACTAATTCGCCTCGCAGATATTTTCGGTGGTTCTCGCCATCGCTGGAGTTGTTGTGATCTCATTGGACAACGAGCTCAAAATCGAATGGCTCGGCGTCTTTCTGGCATTCGTTTCCGCATTCATGGCGGCCGTCTACAAAGTTTCATTCAAACGGATCATCGGCAATGCATCGCTTGGAGAGGTTTCGCTATTCATGACATGCCTCGGAGCGATCAACTTCGTTTTCAATTGGATTCCACCGTTGATTCTGGTTCTCACCGGCGTCGAGACTCTACAATTCGCATACGCTCCATGGCTCCCAATGATCGGTGCAGCCTTGCTTTCCATGGGTTCGATCGAATCGCGTACATCACTATTTGCATAGAAAACCTTTTGCAGCCTTCAATTTCACCATCAACTTCGGAATCGCACTTTTAAATCCACTAGTAATCTCTGTTGGAATGCTGTGCGGAATCCCACTAAATACGGGTAATTCCCGAAATTGAGCTGAAATGTTTCATTTCAACATTTCAGTCATCGATATTCTATTTCGTGGTCTTGAAGCGACGCCGCTGTTCATGATCGGCACAGGTCTTGTGATTGTCTCATTCCTATTTATCATCATTCCATACGACAAAATTCGATTTTTCGATTTCGCGTCTCGACGCGAATGCGAGAAATCGGCGCTTTAATATTTATCACGAGACATCGATATCTGATTAATAATAATACGTGTAAATGATCAGTTCTTGTTGTGAAATTTGAAAAAAAATATATAAAAGAAATATTTTGCTTTGATTGTTTATTGATTGATTTTGTCAACGCCATCATTTATATCTGTTGGCCGATTGGACGGATGAAGCTGCGATACTTCGGCTTAAGGTCACCCCTGTTCGCAGCGGTCTGAAATTTGCGAATTTTGGCTTAATAGAAAATATACGGTCGGACTAGAATTAGTATTAAAATTGAGACCAAATCAAATGCAATGGTCTCGAAACGATCGAATCTTACTGTAGGTATACAGGTATGGACAATAACTTAAAAGGCAATATAATATACCGTCGAGATAACGACGAAGACGATGGCCAACTTGAGAATATTGAAGAATCTCATGATTGTTGAGATTCTCAATTTTTCCGCTGATATTTATACAACATTTATTCAAATAATTACATAATTTAATTAGAGAAATTAATTTTTCAATTCACAAAATGTTAAATTTAAAAAATACTTTAGAAAAAAAATTCAAACGTCATTTTGGAATTTCTTATAAAAAATTTCGTCAAAATTTGTTTTCTCGAATTTTCCAAAATGATTTCAAGCAAAATTTGAAATTGTGCGCAAAATTCCCAATTAACCTAAAAAAAAAGTTGTAAATTATTTTTTTGATTGACTTCGATAAATTGAGTCCAAAAGAATAACAGCAACAAATAGTTCTTAGAATAACAGACCCAATATGTTGCTTTACTTTCAGAAGAGTCTAAATTTACAATAGCTCCTTCTTTTGGAATTATTTTATTTGGAAGTGTGTCTCTCATAAAGATACCTATTAAATTCTTAATTATTAATTTAATTACCAAAGCAAAAAGGTTTAAAAATTCAAGTGAAAAATTAACTTCTCCATCTAGCCCCAAAAAGTGACTTTTTTTTTTCAAATTACTGATTTTGATTGACTTTTTGATGAATAACTGTTAAAATAGCCAACAAGTGTAATGGGGCGTCATTTTGGCTTCAGCGTCAATTTTTTGAATACTCTGGTAACTCAAAATAAATCGGATCCGACAAAATTCGACTCCGGAATCAATCCAATCCGATTGGTAATTCTACGGATCAGCGTGGCAATTTATCGGATAAGATTTGTATTTGTTCGGATTCGATTAGAATCCCAGTTCCGATCCGCTTTGAGTTATCAGAGTACTCATGTTCAACTGCCATTACTTCGCATCGCTTCCCTTCGAAGCAATTAAGCGAAGGAAGAATAGAAAACTAGCAGTTAAATCGACCAAACTATGTTTGATTGCAAAAAAAATTATCGATTTTTGGAGAGACTATCTTTGTCGTTCTTATCAATTGCTATTCGCTTTCTTTCAACAGCCTCGTTCGCTTCGTGATGAGTCTGTAAGTGGATGTCTCACCTCGTTCCCACGAACCAATTTTCAGTAAATTTAAACAGCATGGCGCAAAATGGGTGCCCAAGGTTAAATTCATCACCTATTCCAACGGATGCATTTTCTCGAGGTATCTGAACCCCGAGGAACTACTCAAGTTCGCAGAAGAGGAAGGAGCCAACGATGAGATCATTAAAGAAGCGAAAATTTGGAAGCATCGTCTCTCGCTATTCATTCCGATCGTTTTTGGATTATGGCACGAGTTCACCATAATCAAATCAACTAATTGGTATTGGTCATTCGAGAAGAATTTTGAATGTCTCGTCGTTCAAAGATCGTCGAATCATAATGATGTTCTAACCCAATTTGACGGCAACAAGAGACTAGGAGAAGCCTGCAATGAAGGCCGTTGGGACCATGATATCGATTTTGGGGAGAATATTTGCAACATCATCGAATGGATCCTCAATGAGAATGAGCTCAACAATGACTATCACATGTTCCGAAGCAATTGTCATTTCTTCGCCTCGCGCGTATATGAAGCAGTCACCAGAACAATGCGCAAAAGACACCACTATGATAAACTTCCAGCATTAAAACCCAATTAATAAATTCTGTTATTATTTTTTGAATGGTACAGGAAGAGTATAAATTTTCGATTTTTGTAATAACTTTCCGAAAATAATCCAATCAATTTTTGTTCGCCAATTTGCCGAATTTTTCTAAAAAAAACCTGATGTTAACATTCAAAATCTGAAAAAAATGGTAGTTTGAAAATTCGTGAGAAAGTCCACAAACACCGAAATTAATTGCTCTTGGCGCAAAACTAAGTGTAGATTTACGAGGCTATGCATAAGATAAGGTTAAAGGCGCACACCGCGCAGCCAGGCTTTTTCTTTTTGAAAATTTCGGCTTTTAGCCAATTTTCCGTAGTGGCGCGACGTTGACAATAATAATGTTTGGAAACACATTATACATTTTATATAAAAATTTAAAATTGATTGACCAACTTTTGAAAGTATATTATTGTATATTCGAGAAAGTCGTGTGAATCTTAACGAAAATCATGATTTCTTAAAAAAGCTTTCATTATAAAATCAATTGGTTCTTTTTACTCCTGAATAATTTCAGTAACACCATTTTTAATAATAGTTTATTTGACTGCAATTCACCTAAGGACATTAGTCTTGTGATGAGAGCGAAAAGAAGACCCGTGTGACACTGAGACAATTCCGTATTTGAGACAAGATAGAAAGAAACTAGGAAGTCTAAGCATTTTCAAATCTTTAATGGACTGATTCATGCGAAAAATATTAAAATAAAAAGTCAAGTTTTTATTTAATTCAAATTCACTATGTACGCACGCCCAAAATTATAAAAAATTGACGCGATATATCGTAATTTTCCGCTATTTATTTTCAAAGGCGCACGCAAAAAGTTGCGCGGGTCACGACGCGAATTCGGTGTTGCAATTTTTAATGGCTATTTTTCTTTCGAATTTCAGAAGCGCCATCGAGCGAAGTTTGCATCAAATCAACACAAAGTTCTCTATGATGTATTTAAACGAAGAAAAATTGAAAAAATTCCCTCTAAGCTTTAAAAAATTCCTTTTGATTTGCTTTGAGCATGTCGAACTGTCAGAAAATGTCCGTTTGATCTGACATGAGAGGGCCTTGTTTTTGAAAATGATCAATTAATTCTGAATACGATAAAGACACTCTTATAATTAGGTGCATAATTATCTAGATGGCAATGGTCCTTATTATTTTCTAGACTTTCAGTTGATGTTGTATTTCTAATAATAGAACATTTTATTATTATTAAAATATCAATAAAGCGTTTAGGGAAGCGGTAGAATCCGTGGCAACGCATTCTCGAGAATAGTCCCGATGACGGCAAATGGAGCCGAACCGGGAATCGAGAAGAACAGATCCCTCGCGAACACCTGGCAGTTTCTCGCGAAAACATTGTAGTCATGACTGAGTTGGCCCGAATCCAGAATCCATTCCAAGACGTCGAACAACGAATACGATTCCCTGATTTTATTTTTCACGCGGTAATCGGTGACGCCGATTGCCTTGATTCTTCTGAACGACATCATCGAGTTTCTTCGATCTTTGCACCAGAATGCATTCAGTATTCTTCTCGAATGTCCAGTACCAATGGGTTGACTCGAGCATGACAAATTCGTGTCGATTTCGACCGATCGGCGTTGGAAGAATTAGGCCTTCACGGAAGATCCGCAAATTCAAAACAAATTCGTTGGTGAGATTCTGACGATAGTTTCGCAGACTTTCCTCTTCGAGAAATGCCGTAAATGGAATCCCGTCGTCGTAGGTGACCAGCTTCACACCTGGACGCCATTTTTCGCCAAATAGGCCCCTAAAAATTAAATGTCTATACCGTAAATTTTTTTGAAAGTGCTAAGAACACCTACAAAAGCTTACTGGAAGAACTCAATTGAAACTACATATGCTATGAATTAAGGGATACAAGTTATTTTTAATAATTGCTTTTCTGTTTAGCATATAACTACTTACGAATTGCCGCTGCTTCTAAAGCTACCGCTACTCATATTATTGCCCATCGCGAAAATGTTAAACGTTTTGATCTTTCGTTGGCTTTTATACTGATTTTCCGCAAGTGTTCCGATCACTTTGCTCGCAGTTGTTTAATTCGATTGATTGAGTAACAACGCAAAAAACGTTGGCGAGTTGAACAAACAGAGGTCGGACAAATGCGAAATATCAGTTTATATCAACGCGCGTTTGTAGTTTGAGTATTGTTGAGAGCAGTACGTAATTTCTTTGCGAACATTTTCTACAATACTCGACTGATTTATTTGGGCTATTTCACCGAAAGTGTGATGAGAGAACCAATTGTGCGGGGAAAAACTTTTTTTTGAGACAACTTCTTGTCGGGTCGAAAAACTTCACAAAAAATATTGTTTTGGATCTATTCAAAAATGTATTTTAAAAATGAAAAAAAAAAATTACCGCGAAAAAACGGAAAACAATTTCCACCGATTGGTCCGGAATTTTGAAACTATACTTTCAGATTGATCATACGCGGTTCGGCAATTGCATGATTTCTTTTACATTCGTCATTCTTGTACATCACTTTTTCTGATTTTTTGATTTCTCTCGGAATTCTTTTCGATTGTCCAACAGCATTTTGTGGTTGTGATCATATCGAACACAATAACTGCGCCATCGTTAAATCCTCCACATTGTTGGCGCACTCGGAGAATTCATCACTAAAGTCGTCATTCGTTTTGTTCGATTTCATTTAAAATCTTCAACAATCTGTAAATTGGACATCATTTCCGGTTAAAAATATTGTTTGAATTTACGGGCGAGACCCAAGACGGCAATTCAAAAAAATCCCACCCAATTTCGTTCATCGACGACAATTAGTTTTTTTTTTCGATGTAAAAAACACATGATATTTTTTTGGAGTTTGAATAACGATACGTGAATACATTTAATTCAAATTCATTTCTTCTTGTTACACATTCTGTGTTATGTGGATACTTTTGAATAATATATTTTGTCAAGCATTATCAAGGAAAGAATTCTCAGGTAAATGAGAAATAATCGGATTCAAAGGAAAAACAGTGAAATATAAATTAACCTGATTCGATTGGAAAAGAATTGAAATTCGATATTAAAATTTTATTGCGATTCAAAAATCTTCGCAATTGTTTGATTCTTTTTTCCCAATTTTTTTTTTGAGATCGAATTCGATTAAAATTTTGAAAAATTTCGAAACAGATAAATTTATACTCGATTTTTATAACCCAATTTAACCAAAAATAACAAAAACCGTTATATTTTAGAATGTTGAATAAAATCGAAAATAAAAATGACGAAAATATCGTAAAATAGTGCGTATGCTGCAAACACCGTGACGCACATTTACACTGTCCTCATTTGAATGTTTGCCACGATGGCAAATTTTTGTTGTTTTTTTTTCGATTTTTCGCAGTTTTTCGTGTTTTTTTTTAATAAAAATGAATTTCAGATGTCACAGAGCAAAAAAATTGATAAACTCTGCCAAATAGACCAGCAAGGCCGATTGAAACGTAAATACGTGCGGTGAGTTTTTGAAAAAAAGAAAATTTGATTTTTTCTTGTAATTTTCCACCGCTAAATTTTTGTAATTTTCCACCGCTAAATTTCATAATTTCCAAAACAGTCTGTTATTGGAATATTAGATATGCGTATGAGAATTGAGGAGAAACCGAATGGAGTGAGGGAATTGCAAACTGCGCCAATGACGATAGTCGAGAATATTGCTGCACCTTAGTTTTGCTCTCACCTAAATTTCAAGGAAACTTGAAGCTGTAGTGTTTGACTGCGGTAGGTTAGCGGAGCATATCCGTGCCGTACTAAGGTGTGTATGAGAGATTTGCGCAAGTTCACACACAGTAAGGGGTAATGAGCAATAAATACGGTCCGAGTTCTTTTTGTGGAATCGGTGAAGGTCAAGTAAATCCTAATCAGCTCGAGAAAAATGGACAACTATGTGATTAAAAAAATGAAAGAAAAGTGGTGACAACTAGGCAAAACTGCTTCCACAACGCGTCTACGAGACAGGGACATCTTCAAGAAGTCGACAACCATTAACCAGAACTCGAAGCCGTCGTCACATTTTCATCTCAACTGTATTATCCGACGACATTTCCATCAACATTGCCAATACTTCAACATTCCTTCAAATGACTGGACGTTCTTCAACGATATCCAGAGGCAAATGGGACAATACGAACGACGTCTATGGCACTCAGTGGTCAAGTCAACAATACCCGTCAAGCTCGATTCTATCAATCCCGACCACTTCAGATCATGCTTAGCAGATCTTCGGGATAAACGAGCACTCAAGGAGCTGCGTTGTCACCAAAAAATGAAAAAAAAAAAAAAAAAAAAAAAAAAAAAAAAAAAAAAAAAACAAAAAAAAACGATAAAAAAACGAAAAAAAAATGAAAAAAAATGAAAAAGATCCCACCTCGAGCTGTGTCTGGTTTTTCTTGATTCTAAGCTGAGCCTACATCAGTTCGAAGTCCGTTTTTTGAGTTCTTATCGTTTGCCGGTGTGTTCGAATTTTCGCCAATCTCTCACTGCCTTCGAATCTCGCGGGTCTGTTCGGCTTGTCTACCGTAATCTAACACTGCCAGTCTGATTGTCGAATTGGAATTTTTATGTTTGCTAGACTTAGGTGTATCAAGGTTCTCAATTTGAAGCTGCGGTGCAGGGAGCGAAAACCTAACGAAAGAAGGAGTCGATTTAATTCTCCCACGCGAATCTGATATTTCAGTGACATTTGTTCTTTTTCGAAATTACTTTTTTTTTAAATTTTACTTCGAAAAATTCGACAATTTGTTAGTTTCATTTATTTAATGCTAAACTTTTTACATAATCAACGTCAAGTTCCTGTAAACTGGCAACAATAAAGCTTCCAAGTGTTCAAAGGTTTGTGTAATTCTGTCGGTTGTTTTAATTTATAATTTAGATTCTGACTTGTCAATCATGTAGCTTTTGTTGAAGGAATGAAAAAAAAAACAATATTGCTTGGCTGGTTTGCATTTTTTTTCCTTATGTTTTTCTACAAGTTTTATCAATTTTTTTAGATATTAACACAAAAATGGAAGTGGAGAACAACAGCTACCAAATATTCCAAATGAGTGAAGATGACCGATAAATAGGTATTTTATGTATTTTACCAACAAAATTGTTGTGAGAATGACTCCGTAGATTTGAGACTTGCTAGTATTGTCAACGTCGAGCGATTCCGGATAATTGGTTAAATGACAAAAAATTAACGAAAGTCGCGGTTTTCGCCGTTAAACTATTTTCATACTTAGTTGGGGGGGGGGGTAATTAAAGTCACTTTATGGCACATAAAGAGAGAATAAAATATACAATAAACACACCAAAAATAAATATCAAGTGGGTCACATATCAGGTGCACGACAATCCATACAAATGACTTAAGGAATAGCGATGTTGAGAGTGCACTTTGGTCTAAAACTCAAACTGCCTTTTGGCGGGGTTTACTGGGAGGGATTGTGTCGTCGCGCGCGCGCGGCCAGGCAAATTTTATCACCACGGTGTGCAATAACACGTTTAGGATTTTACAACCCTTAACAATATTGTTTTTTTTTAGCATTTAGCCAATTTTCCGAAATCGCGCGACGCCCTCACTACCATCAGTTTTGAAACGAGTATTTACCAGAAATATTATTGATAACTGTCTTACCGATCTCACTGAAAAAGTTGTCTAATTGTCGGAAATTTCTTTAAGTGTTGCTTTTTACACAAACAAACTAAGTCTTTCAGTTTCTCTCCTTCTACTTACATGTTTTCAAACAGTCGTCACTTAAATAGAGGCAAAAATGGCGTTAACAGGTAATTATTAAAACTTAAATAATAAAATACTGAAGGATTTTGTGCTATTATTCTTTTATTTTTCTTGAAAATTATAAGAAGAAACATAATTGACGTGATCAGACAAATTTGAATTTTTTTAAAGAAAAGCATTATTTAAAATTTTCAAAGAAAAACATTAAAATATTGAAAACATGTTTAAAATGCAAAATTAAAAAGATTCTATAAAATTTTTTTCATTTACCGATTGGAAATTCTACAGATAAGATTGAATTATATTGATTTTTTGGGTATTTTTGGATTCGATTGGTAATTTTTTAATCCGAATGGTTATTATTTGAATTCGTGTTGCTTTAATTTTTCGGTTCGATAAATTATCAATCGCATTGGGTTGATTCCGGAGCCGAATTTAGTCGGATCCGATTGGTTTTGAGTTACCAGAGTAGTGAACTCTATCGAGGACGAACAAAAAATGAAGAGTAACGCATATTTTCAATGCAGAAATGTAAAAAAATGTTTAAATGTTTGGTTATTTAAAACGCTTCTGAATCCACAGTTTCCGTAAATTCTTTACGCTTGCCAGACAACAAAAAAAGTTATTTCAGATATACGAAGTCATCGACAACGCCTGTGATGAGGTCTTCCTGTTGCTTTATTCGCCATTTATCACTCATCTTTTATTTGGGTGTTCTTTTTTCTATTTGCTCAGTATAATCGAGCATTGTTATTCAATTTTCTCTGCGATGGGCCAAGCTTTCTGTAAGCCCCGACGCAGATCTGCTGGCTGAACATGGTGGTAGTTCTGTCAGCCCGTTTGAATGTTATTTGTGTCATCTGCGATGGGCCAAGCTTTCTGTAAGCCCCGACGCAGATCTGCTGGCTGAACATGGTGGTAGTTCTGTCAGCCCGTGTGAATGTTATTTGGTGACGAATGGGCAATGGTGGAGGCAGCTTATCTATGTAAGCCCCGACGCAGATCTGCTGGCTGAACATGGTGGTAGTTCTGTCAGCCCGTGTGAATGTTATTTGTGTCATCTGCGATGGGCCAAGCTTTCTGTAAGCCCCGACGCAGATCTGCTGGCTGAACATGGTGGTAGTTCTGTCAGCCCGTGTGAATGTTATTTGTGTCATCTGCGATGGGCCAAGCTTTCTGTAAGCCCCGACGCAGATCTGCTGGCTGAACATGGTGGTAGTTCTGTCAGCCCGTGTGAATGTTATTTGTGTCATCTGCGATGGGCCAAGCTTTCTGTAAGCCCCGACGCAGATCTGCTAACTGAACATGGTGGTAGTTCTGTCAGCCCGTGTGAATGTTATTTGTGTCATCTGCGATGGGCCAAGCTTTCTGTAAGCCCCGACGCAGATCTGCTGGCTGAACATGGTGGTAGTTCTGTCAGCCCGTGTGAATGTTATTTGTGTCATATGCGATGGGCCAAGCTTTCTGTAAGCCCCGACGCAGATCTGCTGGCTGAACATGGTGGTAGTTCTGTCAGCCCGTGTGAATGTTATTTGTGTCATCTGCGATGGGCCAAGCTTTCTGTAAGCCCCGACGCAGATCTGCTGGCTGAACATGGTGGTAGTTCTGTCAGCCCGTGTGAATGTTATTTGTGTCATCTGCGATGGGCCAAGCTTTCTGTAAGCCCCGACGCAGATCTGCTGGCTGAACATGGTGGTAGTTCTGTCAGCCCGTGTGAATGTTATTTGTGTCATCTGCGATGGGCCAAGCTTTCTGTAAGCCCCGACGCAGATCTGCTGGCTGAACATGGTGGTAGTTCTGTCAGCCCGTGTGAATGTTATTTGTGTCATCTGCGATGGGCCAAGCTTTCTGTAAGCCCCGACGCAGATCTGCTGGCTAAATGGTGGTAGTTCTGTCAGCCCGTGTGAATGTTATTTGTGTCATCTGCGATGGGCCAAGCTTTCTGTAAGCCCCGACGCAGATCTGCTGGCTGAACATGGTGGTAGTTCTGTCAGCCCGTGTGAATGTTATTTGTGTCATCTGCGATGGGCCAAGCTTTCTGTAAGCCCCGACGCAGATCTGCTGGCTGAACATGGTGGTAGTTCTGTCAGCCCGTGTGAATGTTATTTGTGTCATCTGCGATGGGCCAAGCTTTCTGTAAGCCCCGACGCAGATCTGCTGGCTGAACATGGTGGTAGTTCTGTCAGCCCGTGTGAATGTTATTTGTGTCATCTGCGATGGGCCAAGCTTTCTGTAAGCCCCGACGCAGATCTGCTGGCTGAACATGGTGGTAGTTCTGTCAGCCCGTGTGAATGTTATTTGTGTCATCTGCGATGGGCCAAGCTTTCTGTAAGCCCCGACGCAGATCTGCTGGCTGAACATGGTGGTAGTTCTGTCAGCCCGTGTGAATGTTATTTGTGTCATCTGCGATGGGCCAAGCTTTCTGTAAGCCCCGACGCAGATCTGCTGGCTGAACATGGTGGTAGTTCTGTCAGCCCGTTTGAATGTTATTTGTGTCATCTGCGATGGGCCAAGCTTTCTGTAAGCCCCGACGCAGATCTGCTGGCTGAACATGGTGGTAGTTCTGTCAGCCCGTGTGAATGTTATTTGTGTCATCTGCGATGGGCCAAGCTTTCTGTAAGCCCCGACGCAGATCTGCTGGCTGAACATGGTGGTAGTTCTGTCAGCCCGTGTGAATGTTATTTGTGTCATCTGCGATGGGCCAAGCTTTCTGTAAGCCCCGACGCAGATCTGCTGGCTGACTAACATGGTGGTAGTTCTGTCAGCCCGTGTGAATGTTATTTGTGTCATCTGCGATGGGCCAAGCTTTCTGTAAGCCCCGACGCAGATCTGCTGGCTGAACATGGTGGTAGTTCTGTCAGCCCGTGTGAATGTTATTTGTGTCATATGCGATGGGCCAAGCTTTCTGTAAGCCCCGACGCAGATCTGCTGTGCTGAACATGGTGGTAGTTCTGTCAGCCCGTGTGAATGTTATTTGTGTCATCTGCGATGGGCCAAGCTTTCTGTAAGCCCCGACGCAGATCTGCTGGCTGAACATGGTGGTAGTTCTGTCAGCCCGTGTGAATGTTATTTGTGTCATCTGCGATGTGCCAAGCTTTCTGTAAGCCCCGACGCAGATCTGCTGGCTGAACATGGTGGTAGTTCTGTCAGCCCGTGTGAATGTTATTTGTGTCATCTGCGATGGGCCAAGCTTTCTGTAAGCCCCGACGCAGATCTGCTGGCTGAACATGGTGGTAGTTCTGTCAGCCCGTGTGAATGTTATTTGTGTCATCTGCGATGGGCCAAGCTTTCTGTAAGCCCCGACGCAGATCTGCTGGCTGAACATGGTGGTAGTTCTGTCAGCCCGTTTGAATGTTATTTGTGTCATCTGCGATGGGCCAAGCTTTCTGTAAGCCCCGACGCAGATCTGCTGGCTGAACATGGTGGTAGTTCTGTCAGCCCGTGTGAATGTTATTTGTGTCATCTGCGATGGGCCAAGCTTTCTGTAAGCCCCGACGCAGATCTGCTGGCTGAACATGGTGGTAGTTCTGTCAGCCCGTGTGAATGTTATTTGTGTCATCTGCGATGGGCCAAGCTTTCTGTAAGCCCCGACGCAGATCTGCTGGCTGAACATGGTGGTAGTTCTGTCAGCCCGTGTGAATGTTATTTGTGTCATCTGCGATGGGCCAAGCTTTCTGTAAGCCCCGACGCAGATCTGCTGGCTGAACATGGTGGTAGTTCTGTCAGCCCGTTTGAATGTTATTTGTGTCATCTGCGATGGGCCAAGCTTTCTGTAAGCCCCGACGCAGATCTGCTGGCTGAACATGGTGGTAGTTCTGTCAGCCCGTTTGAATGTTATTTGTGTCATCTGCGATGGGCCAAGCTTTCTGTAAGCCCCGACGCAGATCTGCTGGCTGAACATGGTGGTAGTTCTGTCAGCCCGTTTGAATGTTATTTGTGTCATCTGCGATGGGCCAAGCTTTCTGTAAGCCCCGACGCAGATCTGCTGGCTGAACATGGTGGTAGTTCTGTCAGCCCGTGTGAATGTTATTTGTGTCATCTGCGATGGGCCAAGCTTTCTGTAAGCCCCCCGATCGTGCAGATCTGCTGGCTGAACATGGTGGTAGTTCTGTCAGCCCGTGTGAATGTTATTTGTGTCATCTGCGATGGGCCAAGCTTTCTGTAAGCCCCGACGCAGATCTGCTGGCTGAACATGGTGGTAGTTCTGTCAGCCCGTTTGAATGTTATTTGTGTCATCTGCGATGGGCCAAGCTTTCTGTAAGCCCCGACGCAGATCTGCTGGCTGAACATGGTGGTAGTTCTGTCAGCCCGTGTGAATGTTATTTGTGTCATCTGCGATGGGCCAAGCTTTCTGTAAGCCCCGACGCAGATCTGCTGGCTGAACATGGTGGTAGTTCTGTCAGCCCGTGTGAATGTTATTTGTGTCATCTGCGATGGGCCAAGCTTTCTGTAAGCCCCGACGCAGATCTGCTGGCTGAACATGGTGGTAGTTCTGTCAGCCCGTTTGAATGTTATTTGTGTCATCTGCGATGGGCCAAGCTTTCTGTAAGCCCCGACGCAGATCTGCTGACTGAACATGGTGGTAGTTCTGTCAGCCCGTGTGAATGTTATTTGTGTCATCTGCGATGGGCCAAGCTTTCTGTAAGCCCCGACGCAGATCTGCTGGCTGAACATGGTGGTAGTTCTGTCAGCCCGTTTGAATGTTATTTGTGTCATCTGCGATGGGCCAAGCTTTCTAAAAGCCCCGACGCAGATCTGCTGACTGAACATGGTGGTAGTTCTGTCAGCCCGTGTGAATGTTATTTGTGTCATCTGCGATGGGCCAAGCTTTCTGTAAGCCCCGACGCAGATCTGCTGGCTGAACATGGTGGTAGTTCTGTCAGCCCGTGTGAATGTTATTTGTGTCATCTGCGATGGGCCAAGCTTTCTGTAAGCCCCGACGCAGATCTGCTGGCTGAACATGGTGGTAGTTCTGTCAGCCCGTTTGAATGTTATTTGTGTCATCTGCGATGGGCCAAGCTTTCTGTAAGCCCCGACGCAGATCTGCTGGCTGAACATGGTGGTAGTTCTGTCAGCCCGTTTGAATGTTATTTGTGTCATCTGCGATGGGCCAAGCTTTCTGTAAGCCCCGACGCAGATCTGCTGGCTGAACATGGTGGTAGTTCTGTCAGCCCGTTTGAATGTTATTTGTGTCATCTGCGATGGGCCAAGCTTTCTGTAAGCCCCGACGCAGATCTGCTGGCTGAACATGGTGGTAGTTCCGTAAGCTCGTAGTCTATTAGCAGACTGATTTCGAAGTGGTCATTACTGCGTTCCCTATTTTTTTCAAGGCTGGCAAGTGCCATTTCTGGTGCGTAACTGCTGCGCGTGAGTGAAAAATTTTGCTTAAGTGTAAGTGCATAACGTAAAGAACTTATTCATAAAATGTAAAAAATTACATTCAATATGATTTTTTTTGCAACCTGTGTCGTACATATTCGAATTTTTAAAAAATTTTTATTGTATGCATAGGTTCATAGGAATTATACATTATTCCAGTGCTTATATAGCGTAACGCTGCGTCTGTACGATTAGACGCAACGTGGGCCCATGTGATTGTATCTCTTTAACATTCGATTTCCAGCGGGAATCCTTCCGTTAAACAACAGTAGATTTTTTCCGTCTATCGCCGATATTAGAACGGTTAGCTATCCGGGATAGCTAACTAACTCCTAAAATTAATTCGAGAAACCTCGACAACATTTCTTCGAAAGTTGTTGTTTTCGCCCGAAAATTGTTGATCGTAATTATCTCACGGCAATTTGAATGTCTGCATTCGAAACAATAATATTTACAAAATTCGCGGATGTTTATTATAATATTGTTTATATTTATCGGAAACTGTGGTACTGTAGCTATAGTTATTGGTAAGGCTGTCTATCATGAATACAAAGGACGAATAAGTGTCGGCACAAATATAAACCAACGTTTGAATTGAATTTTAAGTGTAGACGATATACATACAAACAGAGTTGCAGGTTAGCTGTATTGTTAACAAAACACATAGTAATGGAAATTATATTTTTCTCAGAAGAGCTTTTTTTGCATTAAACGAAAATTGTGTAAAATGAAGAAGTGCTAGAGGGGGGAGTAGAAGCATTTGAATTTAAGTAATGCCGTATAAGCAGTCTCAAAGGGGTTTCTTAATGGGGGTTCTTTAATTATCATATTGTTGTGGAAACGGTTGATAGACATAGTTGGAATCGAAATATCCATCAACATATTCGGGATGAAATTCAACCGGAGGATAAGGCGACTGGTAGAATGTGTCATTTGGAAAGGGAATTGGTCCGTATGAACCATCTGGGTAATACGCACATCTCACACCATTATGAGTGAATTCTTGATGGTGGTAAAAATAATGTTCATTCGGAATTCCGGGCGGATTTCCATGGGAAATCGGATGAATTGGTGTTGAGTGCTGACAGTTCATCCAATAATTGGCGTCTGTGGGATTCCAAGAATCCGTCATCGTGGCCACATTTTTCACTTCAACCTAGATCGAATAAATACTGAGATTGAAGATAATTCAATTTGCTAGCTACCTTTTGTCCATAATCAAATTCATCTTGCAACTGTATGCCAAATTGGTCTGATGGTCCGAATCGGTCACCTTCTGCCGAGACATCGATATTGATTCCATCGTTCTGCAATTATTAGTTTTGTCGACTTGATAAAAAATAAATCGATTACCTGTTCTGAACAAGCATTCCCCTCCATTTCCGAATTAATTTGATCTAAGCTTGTATTGGATTCGATTTTGTCTTTTTTTTCATCTGATTCCTCGACGACAAGATCAAACGAAAATGATTGCAATGATGAAGCATCTGGTGAACCGTGAGCATTGCCGATGGGTTGCATCGTCGATCTTACCTAGTTTTGAGTTATCCCTCTTTCTCGGTATCATTTATTTGTTCATCTGATGAAGCCACGCCCCTTTTGAGTCAGTAGACACTCATATTTTCAAAACATGTTGTTGCTTTGTTGTTCTGAAGCCAAGCTGAAAACAAACAACAAGCTTGATAATTAAACTTGAGGCTTACTCGAAGAATAAGGCCTTGGCCGATCCAACTTTCGGTTTTTTGGATTAGTTTTGACAAAATCCATCGTTACGAGAGCGTGCTCATTTCACCTCCTAACGTCTTCGTAATTCGAACATACATCTAACGGATTAACTCATTCTACCTCACGTTGAATAATTTTCTGTAAATTTGCACCAAATGTAAACTAGAATGTCTTCTGAGTGTGCTCACACAATTCCAGTCGCTAGCGGGTGAATTACAGACGAGTTATGACCATCGGAATATTCGAGGTAATTTTCCATGGCGTTTTTACTGCCTGACGCTACAGTTTGCCTTATAAAATATCTCATAGAATAGTGACAAAGAAATCGACCCATTTTATATGTACAAACGTATAAAAAATCATAGTTTTCTCATACGTCATGATAATTGACAAATTCAGAACATAACATCATTACATATGTAGATCTTTGAATCGAAAAAGTAACACGCTGAAACTCAAACATCAAACTACGGACAGGCATATTTGAACAGCTGCATATTCAACACTGTCAAACAATACATAAAAAATGCAGCAAAAAAGTGGTCTAAAAAGTTGCGATACTCATTTTACAAACAAATGTCAAAAGAGGCGAGAATGAAGCAGAAGCGGTCGGATCTGCAAGGAATCCGAGGGATCGCCATCATCTCGGTGTTGGGATTCCATTTCTATCCCTCAATATTCCCCAATGGATACCTCGGAGTCGATCAGTGAGTTTCAATGGTCCCTTCATCGCCCCAATCCATTCCCCTTCAGATTCTTTGTATTATCCGGCTTCCTGATGTGTATGCTTCTGAAGAGATCCGAATCCGATCCAATCTTCACATTGATCCTCAATTTCTACACAAAACGATTCCGACGCATTCTTCCCCTCTATTATCTCATTATACTTCTTGCCCTTATATCTCTCTATTCAATATTTCCCCAAACCGCCGTGGAGAGCAATTTGAATTCGGCCTCAAATGCAATTCTTTTCATTTCAAATCGTCCAAAATCCGCCGAAGAAGACTATTTTCAACTGGTCTTATCTGAAATTTATCTAGTATCCGATGGTGTGTTTTCAGCTCGATGCTGGAAGTGATCTATTCACCCACACATGGTCATTATCAGTGGAAATTCAATTCTACTTCATTGTTCCAATAATATTCATTTTGGGAACATATTTATCGAGCCATTTAATATATTACGCAATTATCGGTAATTAGTGCCAATTATTGAATTAATGTCAATTTTCAGATAATTTCAGGTTCGATTAGTTTCGTCTATTACACGATATCCGATGATTCGGTCTCGTTCAATAGTGTGTTCGCAAGAATCTGGCAATTCCTCATCGGAATGTGCGTCTATTTGTACACAGAATGGAGCAACGAGAAAAAAAGAATGACAGAGGAAAGAGATGAGCTGATTTCATGCGAAAATGACGAACAACTGCTTAGTCGTCCGGAATGCCAATCAATTATCATATATCAGTGTATTGTTATACTCATCACAGTCTACATATTAACATATCCAGTCGCGATCACACCAGAATTTTCAAAGTACATATGTATAATCGGAGTCCAGCGATTTCTGTACGCGGGTAGATTTACGGGGTGCGTCTTTCAATATGGTCTCGCCACGTGGGAACGCTTACTTTGCTGTTTTCATATAAACACTTAATTTTTTCTTGATGATTTTGGCATTTCCTTGAATTTCTAACTTTGTCGAAAGGAATCATAAAATGCGAAACAAACAGTTTGTCTGCGCGAGACCATGAGAAAGACGCATGCGCGTTAATCTACCCGCGTACAGCAGTCGCCGGAATATACATAACCGCGCGATGGCGTGATCTACTCAAGAGTTGATTGTCGATTTACGACATCATGTTGAGTGGTGCGTTATCCTCATCGCCTCGAGACCATTTCTGAAAATTTGTCAATTTGTTGCAATCGTGCGATTTTGGCAATATTTTTGAGCTAATGGCCCTTTTATATTTATCTTTTTAAAGGCCAATTGTCACAATTTTCACTGGTATGTTAATGTGCGTATCCGAAGGGAATGCAGTGCTTTCGAATCGATTCTTGACCTATATTGGAGATTTTTCATATTCGTTGTATCTCATTCATTGGCCAATTTTCACTTTTTGGAAACTTCAACTCGAAAATTATCATTTTGGTATCAAAATTTCGTTTTTTTTTTATTGAATTGATCCAATAAATTTCAGCATTAATCGGATGCCTTTTATTATCGATTCTGCTTGCCATCGGAACGTTCGAGATTTTTGAAAAGTATTCCTTCCAAATTTCCAAGATCCCAAATTCCAGAATATTCCAGATGGTATCTGAATCTGAGTTTGACAACAATCTTCGCATTGGTCGTTTTACTATTAATTTCAAATGTTTTCCTTATCAATTTCGATGAAGCAGTTCAAGTATTCAACCATGCCAAACAAAATAAGACGCAATTCGAGGAGATTCCGGATAAAGTCACATTTGGCACGAAAAAAATATCGATGGAAATTTGAAAAAAAAAACTGGACAATTTTCAGATATCGCTGAGAAATTGAACGAGTTACGGACAGCGAATGACAAAACGAATTTGATTGTACCGAATTGTAATTATAGGAAAGGCAAACCACTCGGATGGTGTGATTATTGGGTAAAATAGGGGCTCGGCAAAAGAAAACCTCCCAAATTTTGTGCTACTGTTAAAACACCATATTTAAAAGCAAAAAAAAAAAACAGGGCTCTCCGACCCTGTCCTGAGCCCTGTAGGTGATGCGCCGGCCGGGACCCCGATAGATCCCGTGTTTGAATTGCCGCCACCGCAAATAGTCGATTGTGGCGCACCCCCGGGAAATGTCCGCAGATATTTACATCCAAGTTTCTTTTGCTAGGAGTCAAAAATCGGGACCAGTAATCCTCAAAACTTGCGGTTTGTCCGAAAACTTTTTTACCCGATCAGTACGACACTCCAATCACACATCGCCCTCAATTTAGCGCGTCTTGTTTTGAATAATTGAATTTTTTTTCCTGTTTTGACCAACATGGTCCCAAATCATGATGTGTCCGAATGTTGGCACATATCTAAAATTAATTTTTCAAATTTTGTTTTGCCTAGTCATAGCCGATTTCAATGGTTACAGGGTCTCAATGAAACCGCAAAATACAAGTTTTTCTTGTTTGGGAATACAGGGTGTCATTTAAGTTCCCGCACAAAAGTTTGACGCCATGAAGAGCTTGGCTGTCGCACTTTTCGTGCACCAATACAATTTATTTTTGTTAAATAAGGTATATTTTACTTACTTTCCAAGTTTCACCTCATTCGGATGTGTTTCCGAGAAATGGCGAAGGCTAACATCCATTGCGCTTCCATTATCGAACTTCATAAGCAAAATGTGAGATCGAGAGACATCATTCAACGGGTCGGTGTGCCTCGTAGAACGGTTTGCGACACCATCAAACGTTTCAAGGAGCTAAATACGACCAGTCACCGTCCCAGACAAGGAAGACTCGTCTCAGTAACCACTCCTCAGAAGATCAACGCCGTCAAATCGAGGATCAGGCGAAACCCCCACAGGAGCATGAGAAAGATGGCGTTAGACATGGGAATGAGCATCTTCGCTATGGAACAAATTGTCAAAACGAAGCTTGGACTGACCCCATATCGTGTCCAAAAAGCGGCAATTCTATCGGCCGTCAGCAAGCAGAGACGCTTCGAAAAAGCAAAACGACTTCTTGCTCGCACGCGGTCTGGACAACACCTCGTCACTGTCTTCTCCGACGAGAAGCTGTTCACTGTGGAGACGGCATTCAACTCACAAAACCATTGAGTACTTGCCCAGACATCCCAGCAAGCTTCTGAGAAAAGAAGAACATATCATCCAGCCTCACATCCTGCCAGCATGATGGTTTTCGTTGCCATCTGCTCAACCGGGAAGTGCCCCCTGGTTTTCGCGGATCAGGGGGTGAAAGTGAACAAAGAAGTCTACGTTCGGGACATTTTGGAGAAGCATGTGATGCCCTGGACCCAAACGCATTTCGGTGGGCAGAAATGGGTCTTTCAACATGACGGAGCAGCCGCCCACACTGCCAAAACTACTCAGGAGTGGTGCCAGACCCATTTTCCCGACTTCATCAAGTCATCCGAATGGCCTGATTGCTCCCCAGACCTGAACCCGCTTGACTTTCCCGTGATGGGGTCTTGCAGGAGAAGGTCAACGCAAAACCCCATTCAAGTGTAGAGGCTCTGAAGAAGACATTACTGGCGGAATGGGACAATCTTTCCATCGAATACCTGCGTACCACAGTCGCATCCTACCCGAAGCGTTTCCGTGAAGTCATAGCTGCGAAAGGAGGCCGAATCAAAAAGAGTTAATAGATAAATATTTGTTATACTATAGATAAAAAATATTTTGAGTCTCGTTTGATTTGGACTTTTAGTTTCAGAAATATACGTCTTCAAAGTTGTGCGGGAACTTAAATGACACCCTGTAGTTGGACGGCGAATCATGGAAAGCTGATGTATGACGAGTGCGGACAAAAAGCTTACGCCATGGTCCAAGGGTCCGCTTTCAGTGAGTTTAGAGGGTTCCTAGAATTTTGAATCGAATGATTTGAAGGTTGTGAGGCGATCTATCCATCATTTAATGCGTCTCGCTGTATTGATGAAATCAAGGCTTTCAAGGAGAATATTGTTAAGGAAAAACCGGATTTCGGCTTCATGTTTTCCAGGTATCACGGGTTTCCAAGGATGATTGAAGCTCGAATATTTATAGATTCATGTCGATTGGCGATCCTCTCGATGGAAATGATACCGATATAATTAACGATGAAATATACAAAATAATGAAAGCGAATCTCGATTTTTATGTGAAAAATATAAGGAAGACTCTTTATATTTTGGATGCAATACCCCGAGTTAAACGATTGAGCACGAGAATAATTGCATCGAAATTAAGAGATGGAGGTTCTCCAGAAGAAATCGATGTTTTCTGTTCATATTTGACCATTTAATTATTTCAGTTTTTCAGAAAATCATTGTCGATCAATATGGCTGGAAATTGGCTCGAAAACGATACGAGCAATTATTCAAAGATTGCGGGCCAAAATGCGTCCGAATCGACTATTTGCCAATATTTTGGAATAATTCGACGCAAAATGTTCGCTATTTCGACGAAAACGGATTGGAATATCAAAATGGCGTCAATCATTTGTCGCCGCGCGGCTTGGAAAAAATTAGGCATATTTATACGGAAATTTGCAATAAATTATAAATCACGTTACGCCCATTTTTGGTCGACAAGGAACGAATCGGTTTTTTTTTCGAATTTCGGTGAAATCTGGAAATGGTTACTGTAGATGTTTAAAGGGACATATAGAAAAACTTTGAAATATCGAACTCAATTTCATTCAGTCATTGAAAAGTCTATTCTTCTATAAAACATTTTTAGAAAAATTCGGCTTATTAAAATCAATCTTGACTATTTAAAAAACTGTTAAAAAATATTATTAAATTAAATTTTAGCCTAATCTTAATTTCAAAAAAAATCTGCTCTTTGAGAATTAATAAATATAATTTATATTGTCGACGTCCCGCGAGTGCGAAGAGACAAAAAATTTACAAAAAAGCTCGTAAATCGACATTTTTCGTTTTGCGCCAAGACTTTGATATTGCTTTTTTTGGAATGTAAGACAATTCTGAATTGAGATTTCGAAAATGCGAAAATTATTTTAGACAACAGGTGCAATAACTGACAAGAAATGTATTTTGTCCGATTATATGTAATACCTCTGTGTATTTATTTACTGTACTTAGTTTCATAGTCGATTCGTTTCTCAGCGTAGCACGCGGGTCGCAAATCTCAACTGATCTCGATTTCTGGATCTGCTTGTCCAGAGATTTGTTGTGTTGGCATTCTTCCTTATTTCGTCTGAAAATCTTATTGGCGGGCGTTCAGCTGGTCTTTTCCAATCACGCGGGTACCATTCCATTGTCTCTGTTGTCCAGTTGTCAGATCTTCTTACAATATAGTCAGCCCAGAGCAGCGGGGATTTGTCCCTGACATACTTCGAATGAAGCCCTGGTTCTCGTTGTTGTGCTAATTTCAAGACGACCAATCTTCATTCCAGAACAGCGCGTGACACTCTGAGTACTTCTGGCTTTTTCTTCGTTAGGATTCAGGCTTCTGCTCCATATCAAAGGGCGGGATGACCCGTTTGATTGAAGAGGTTTTGCTCGAATCTGCGGACATTCAAGATAGTCTACTACTTGCTCGATGGACTTGTATGCTACCCAACGTGCTCTTCTTCTTCGATGTATTTCTGGGAGTAACTCTTTCCTCGGATTGAGCTACATATCTTCCTGTATTCACCAACGATCGTGGAGTTCCCAATTTTTTTCGTCTTGGGAGCGAAGAAGTTGTACGCATTGACAAATAAAAAACGGATTTCCGTAAAATTTTGCGTTATTTTTTTCCCAGAATGATGATTTTAGGAGGAATCAGGGTTCACCATTGATACACTAATGCAATTACGCTTTACGAAAAAAAAATATGTTTCGCGCTTAAAATTGCTAAAGAAAAAATGAATGAAAACTGTTTAAAATGACCGAAAATTACAAAACATTCCGGAAATGTTCCGATTTTTCTTTCAGGGGGTGAGCAGAAGCGATTTTCCGGAATTCAATCTTTGAATTCATGCGTCCAAAAGCGTTCTACCACAATTCTCAACTTATGTTCGGAAACAATATTTTTTGTTCTGGAAAGCCCCTGATAAATTTTTTCCCCAAATTTTTACACTTATTTCCGCGATTCGGAAACTGCAAAGGCACTCCAAACGATTGTTTGAACACCTTTTGTCATATGCACTCTATACTTTTTTGTTGCAATTTATTCGACTAATGAACATCAAATGGCAAAAGAGGCGAGAATGAAGCAGAAGCGGTCGGATCTGCAAGGAATCCGAGGGATCGCCATCATCTCGGTGTTGGGATTCCATTTCTATCCCTCAATATTCCCCAATGGATACCTCGGAGTTGATCAGTGAGTTTCAATGGTCCCTTCATCGCCCCAATCCATTCCCCTTCAGATTCTTTGTATTATCCGGCTTCCTGATGTGTATGCTTCTGAAGAGGTCCGAATCCGATCCAATCTTCACACTGATCCTCAATTTCTACACAAAACGATTCCGACGCATTCTTCCCCTATATTATCTCATTATTTTATTTATTCTCATACTACTTTATATGATATTTCCGGAAACCGCCGTCGAGAATAATTTGAATTCGGCCTCAAATGCAATTCTTTTCATTTCAAATCGCCCAAAATCCGACGAAGAAGACTATTTTCAACAAGTACCCTAGAAAATCAGCAAATTATTGATAATTTGGTGTCATTTAGTTAGGAATTGGTGGCGATTTGTTCACCCACACATGGTCATTATCAGTGGAAATTCAATTCTACTTCATTGTTCCAATAATATTCATTTTGGGAACATATTTATCGAGCCATTTAATATATTACGCAATTATCGGTAATTAGTGGCAATTATTGAATTAATGCCTATTTTCAGATAATTTCAGGTTCGATTAGTTTCGTCTATTACACGATATCCGATGATTCGGTCTCGTTCAATAGTGTGTTCGCAAGAATCTGGCAATTCCTCATCGGAATGTGCGTCTATTTGTACACAGACAGAAAACCGCTCGCAATCCCCACCGAAGATGAATCCGAAGAATTAATATTGAAAGAAGACGAGGAAGAGATTTCCCCAAAAAGAGCAAAGTCCCAAAATTCGGCATTTTACCAATATATTCTACTACTAACTATGACATATCTAACAACATATCCTATTTTAATACCTGCTGATTTCACAAGGTTCCCAAAAAATCGAAGGATTAGATAGGAACCTGGTTTCAGACTTATTGTCACTGTATGTACAGGGCTTCTCATGTGCGTATCCGAAGGGAATGCAGTGCTTTCGAATCGATTCTTGACCTATATTGGAGATTTTTCATATTCGTTGTATCTCATTCATTGGCCAATTTTCACTTTTTGGAAACTTCAACTCGACAATGATCAATCTGGTTGGCTGAAATCATCTGCAATCTGTGTTTTGATTGTCTTCTTAAATTATTAATATTCAGCTTTGCTCTTCTGTCTTCTAATATCAATTTTATTCGCAATTGCCTCATTTGAATTCTTTGAAAAGTATTCCAAACTTCCAAATCTCAAAAATTCCAGAATATTCCAGATGGTATCTGAAATTGACGTCAACTACGATATTCGCAATGGTTATTATTTTGCTCTTCGCGAATGTGCTCCTGATTCACAAGAACAGCATAGCGGAACATTCAATTCAAAAAGGGACCATCGAGAGAAACAAGACGCAATTCGAGGATATTCCGGATAATATCACACTCGGTAATTGATGATTGATTGTTTTCAAGCGAAAATTGAATATTTGAACAGACGAAGCTGCAAAAATCAATTATATGTGGACAGCGAATGACAATCGAAATTTGATTGTTCCAAATTGCAATTATAGAACAGGAAAACCGCTCGGATGGTGCGATTATTGGGTAATTTATTAAATTCGTTCATATTTCTTTCAAATTTCATTAAAGGGACTCAATAAAACCGCAAAATACAAGTTTTTCTTGTTTGGGAATAGTTGGACGGCGAATCATGGAATGTTGATGTATGACGAGTGCGGGCAAAAAGCTTACGCCATGGTCCAAGGGTCCGCATATGGTATTCATTGTTTTTCTCCAAAACCATTCAATCATTAATATTGTAGGATGTGAAGCTTTATACCCAACTTACAACTCATCGCGATGCCAAAGAGATTTGGATGGTTTCAAAGAGAATATCGAGAAGGAGAAGCCTGATTATGCTTTCATTTTCACAAGGTGTTGGTCCAAATTTCGAGCGACTCTTCTCATTCTTTTTCTTCAGATTTATGTCAATTGGTGATCCGATGATTGAAAATTCCACTAAAATCGACTTCTCGAAAGATGTGATTTATAAAAAGATGAAGGAGAACATGAAGTTCTATCTGAAGCATATTAAGAAGAATCTGTTCATTCTCGACGCAATTCCGAAAATCAATCGAGGCAACATTCGATATATTTCGAAAAAAATGGAAGAAGGCGCCGAGCCGAAAGAGATCGATGTATGCTTCTTCGAAAAATGTGGAAAAAATTATTTTTCCCCTATACGAACTTTAATCATAAGCGTTTAAATACAGTACCGCAGAAAAAGATATACGAAATAATTATTTTTATTAATGACTCTTGAAGGAGTGGCTCAATCGATATGAAATATTTAGTACTTATTTTAAATCGATTTATCTGTTTAAAGACAAGTTCATATTATGGAAATTTATTTGTGTCAAGTATTGTCGACTTCAAACGACTGAAAGGAGGCGGGGCCTTCAACGAAATCAGTCTATATTTAAATTTTTCGTTGAATGAATATTAAATTTTTTTTTCGCAGCGATGGATAAATCGTTGCTTTAAGGAAAGGTAAAAATATGCTCAAGATTTTAACAATTGTTTTCCTGCTGAAAACTCCAACCACACCCAAGTTTTAAACGTACAAATGATAGCATGTAGTCCTGTAAGATGTCCTTGTACGAATTGTTGTCCATAATACCTTCGATTCTATGCAGAGGACCATCACAGGTTGAAGAAAAACATCCCCATACCAGTACATTTCCACATCTATGCTTTGCTGTGGGTACTTGATACTTCGGATGAAATCTTTTTTCTATTGAACGTCGTATATGTGTGATACCATTAGTTCCAACCATCAAATACTTTGATTCGTCACTCCAAATCACCTTGGGCCTCTGTTGTATCCTCCAGCTGAGATGATCCTTTGCCCATTGCAATCATTGCCTTATTTTTCTCCGAGATCATCGGCTTTTTCACTGGCCCACTACCAAATTGTCTAGCATTTCGGTGATCGCAAATCTATATCGATTATATCGTTAGAATTATCAAAAAAAGTTACCTCAACTTTGATGTCGGTATTTGCCAGCCTCGGATTTTTTTTGCCCATCCTAATAATGACACGATCGATTGCTGGAGATGTTTTGGGTGGTCTTCCTGTTGATTTTAATCGGTTTTGATGATTCACTGACGCCGAGATGGTCGAAATACTCGTGTAGAACTGTTTAGCCAGTTCGACCTCTGTTAATCGCAATGCCATCAGCTTCCGACAAGTTTTTAGACCCTTTTGGTCGACCTATGCTTAAAAATAATGAATATGATCACAAATTATAGAAAACTGAAAAAAAAAATTTTAATTGAAAAAATTAAAATTTATCGATTTTTTCGATTTTTGCAGATTTCAAAAAAAAAATCCGCAAACACGGATTTTTGCGAACTACAGTAATCCAATTTACAATTTGCTTATAAATTTTGTTTTTCGCTTCCACTAAAAATTTGACATTGATTGGACCACTCTTTCAAAATTATTTAAAAAAATTAGCTTGGCACATTTTGTGCAACCATATTGCTAGAAATTCATTCGGCTCTTTTGACGGACCATTGAAACAAATGAGCGCTGAAGTGGTCAATTTTAAGCCAAAATGTTCGTGTCAATTGTTTTTTTTTTGAATATCCCAAAGGGCTTAGTCTAAAAAATGTAAAAATTAAAAACCAAAGAATACACTGAAACCCTATACTTTCTAATGACCATGTATGGATGAAATGACCCTGTGTAGTGTGATTTATGTGTGTGGGTGTAAAAATTTGCTTGAAAATGTCTCGAAGCATAACTTAGAGATGAGCGAGAAAGAAAACTCTTAAAATTTCTGAATTTCATGAAATGAGAAAGGCGTTTGAATTGCCGCCAAAACATCAGTGTTTGCGGAATAGAAATCTTGAATTTTGTCTTGAAAATAAATTTTAATTTTCTTAATTTCTAAAAATTTGAGGTTCAAAAGATTAGAAAATTGGAATAAAAAATGTGTGTAAACGACGCACGTTTGAAATTTTTTTCAATTTGTTTTTTCAGCAACAAAGCCGAAATCTTTATTAAAACCCTTTAATCTAGTTTCAGACTGCTATTGAACCAATAATTAATGCCATATAAGCAGTTTCAATGACACATCGAGTTTGGGTGGTATCTTCAACCTGTTTCTGCTCATTTTTAAATGAAAAAAAAATCACAGAATCGGTTTTTTGGAAAATTTATGAAATAAGTTCAATAAAAAATTTAGGGCATAATTTTTCGTTGCTGAAAGTTTTAAAGTCCCTCCCCACGAGTGTCTACACTAATTGCTCATTTGTTTCAATATTACTCATTTTCTGCTTTTTAGAAGATGTTGGTCGTCGAGAAAGGCTACGAATTGGCTCGAAAACGCTATGCGCAATTATTCAAAGATTGCGGCAAAAAGTGCGTTCAAATCGATTATCTGCCCGAGTTTTGGGACGCCGACACCGACGGCGTTCGATATTTCGACGAGGACAACGGGCTCGTCTATCAAACGGGCGTCAATCATCTGTCGCCGCACGGTCTCGAAAAAGTGCGCCACATTTACACGGAGATCTGCAATCAGCTTTAGTGTGTTTCGTTCGATGTTGATAAACAATGTTATACATGTGCCTCATGCTCGCCGAGCTTAATTTCATTTCGCACCTGTCACGAACGGCGCCGCCGCTCGCATAGCGCAAAAATGTGGAAGCGAGAGAAATAGAGGCTAATATGCGATTTATGCCCACTAATTATATGTTGCCTCGAGTTGCTTCTGATTTCAGCCGCGTGGGCTCCAGTTTCTCATCCGTCGCAGCCTCTTCCTAATTAATTTCAATTTCAATCGGATCACGGATTTTTAATTGTGATTTTTCGTCGGCCGTCTTTGCTTCACAATTTATTCTTTTTTTTCTTTTCATTCTAGTGACCAATTTCAACCATGTTTTTTGAGCCTTTTGCATCTTAGGCGGCCCCTTTGAATTTCCAGCTTTCGAAATTTAAATATGCTAAAAAAACGCAAGTATTATAATATCTTCGTTGCATAATCGGCATCAACTTGATGATATTGCATTCCGAAGACGAATGAGGAGGACAAGGCGTCGAATTTAATTAAAATCGGAGTGGCTCCAGATTTTTCTCCCAAAAAAATGGAAAGCGCGTATTACGTTTTATTTTTTCGGCCTATGCGTTTGAATTGAAGGCCTGCGTTTTCATCAAGCAACCCGCCAATTAGCCAAGTTTGAGCTCGAATTAATTAGATGAGCCAGCGAGCTCCTAGGAATGTGTTCTCGGTGTTTAATGAGCCCTTCTAGAAATCTCGATATAATTTCGATAAATTTATTCTAGTTGAATTAAGCTTGTCGGTTCTATTAAAAGCATTGTTTTCTCAAAAAGGAAAGAGCATTTCGAATTTTCCGCAGAGAATTCAAATTTCACACACTTTTTTTTTGGAAAATAAATTTAAAATCTTAATTTCCGGGTGAGTAATACTCAAAAATTGTACTTGTTGTTCGTCATTCTCAATTTTTTTCGTGAAAAAAAAGACAACAAAAAATTGAATTTGTTTTGTCGGCTCCATGACAACCATCATCATTGAAGCTCATCGAAATTAATCAGTTCACCGTGAATCGAATCATTCCTCTTCAATTCTTTCCCACCATTTCTCTTTTCGAAATTCATTTTCAGACATTCGCCAATCGATTTTCACATAATGGAAGATCACGCGCAGGTTTCAAACGATGTCCGACAAAAATCACTTCCATCATTAATTATTTTGCAGATGATTTTCGAGATCTACTCTCTCCGATTTCCATCGACAAGCGACTTGATAGCGAGTGGTCTCATTGCGAAAGCGAAGCTTCTCCTCAGCCAGAAATATGTGAAATTCGATTCGCATTTTCTGTATGTTGCTTTTCACCACAAATCTTGTAAATGTGTCCAATAATAGCACTATGTATTAGATTTGGCGAATTGGTGACTCATATTGGGATTCAATAAGGAGACCAACTATATGCGCCTTTAAATGCAGTCTCGTTGGTGATCATTGATCATCAACCTGGTTGAGCTTAACTTCGTCTTTTTTCTAAAAAATGATGACTATAGGTTGTTCAAAAATAGAAATTTGAAAGCAAAATAAGAAGTGCGTCACCGTTTCTTTTTTAATTGGCATGAATCACTAATTGAGATCAAATTATATGGTTGAGGGGGGATGACTTATTATAAAAAGTTGTAGCTATCTGAAGGTTAAAAAGAATCTTGAGATTATTTTTGAAAAAAATGGAAAGTGCAAAAATTGTGCATTCAGACGCACGCGAAAATGCACACAATTTTAAATTGCAGCCATTGGCACGCGCCATGCGCCATCCACGTCTTCCAAATAATGTCGGCGAATGCGAGCCAAATTTCGGCATTGGTACAACTAATTTCCAAGCGATTTAAATTACCTAATCAACGAATTCCAGTTTGAATTGAATTGCATTCATCACATTTTTCAAGCGGCTCTTCACAAGAGCATCGCCGTCTCGCGAAAAGCGTTGACGACCATCGGCAATCTGCTCAAATCGCAAGCGTTCGTCGAGGCGATCACCGAATTGGAGGTGTTTCGCGTCACCTACGAAGCGCTTCAAAATTGCAGCCTTCTGAAGCATCCCGTCGAAATCGCGCGTGTCATCGAAGGATTGGCGCGAATCGTAGGCGATCGTTGTGATCGATGATTTCGATTAATCTCGAGATTCGCAGAGTAGCCAATTAATGCCGCTGCATGTTCAATACCTTCTCAATATCATCGACTACTACTTCCGGAACATTCAAAGCGTTTGCGATTCCGCTTATCCGACATTGATCAATGCGATGGACATTATTTTCCGCGAGCGAACCGATTATCATTCCGTCTATTATAAGCATTTGGTTTGCTGGAATTCTCTTTGAAAAATTTCAGACCCAGTTCAGATCAATTTTGTATCAAAAATTCAAAAAAAATTATTTTAAAAACCCGAATTTCAATTTTTAAACATAAAAAAACGATTTATTTCAATTTCTACTGCAAACCTTCGCCGACCGCGACGCACACGCAACGCGCGCGAATTTGAATATTCAGCTTTAAAACAACAAGTCTGAAAAATCCGATTTGTTGAATTCAGTACGCCAACAAATATTCTGGCCTCTTCAAAGTCTTGCCATCGAACGACGCCAAGGTGATGCTTGCCATCTTCATCGCCAATTTGGTGGACGACTTCACCCTCTATCATCATTTCTTCAAAACGATTGATGTAAGCAACGTCAAATCAAACATTCTGAAAATGGATTGCAGTTTCATTTTTGCGTTCTGAGCTGCTTCAACAGCGAAGATGTTGGTGCGTGCTTAATCGCCATCCGATTCTGCCTTCACTACATCGCCTCATCATCGGTCTTCGCTTGTCACGTGTTTGAGAGCGGAGTGCTTGACAGCATTGTCGACGCCATGGAGAATCGTGATAGCTTTCTCTTATAAACGGTACGTCTTCTATAATAGAATATCCTAGAAATAGGAATCAATAATTCAGAAAATCAGCGATGTCGTTGAGCGATTCATCAAGACCATCCAGAAGGAGTATCATGAAACGTACACAAAGATGAATCTCGAAATTCCCGACGAACACATGAAGCACCTGAAGGCGTTGATAAAACGGGTAAGTGAATCATCAGTAATGATTCAAACGAGACTTTTCTGTTCAGGTCGAGCCGTACATACCGGAAAGAGCGATGAAGCTTGGAGTATCGAAGAGCTGCAAAGTGAAGAAGGGCGGGAAGCCGACGAAGAAGGACTCTCGTCCATCGGGATCTTCACGTTTTGTGCAATATCGATAATCAGAATTCTAATTGTGATATTGAAGAATGTATTCAAACCCATTTTATTGATTTCGCCAATGAGTAGCTTCTGAAAAAATTGTTTCGATAGTCATTGCTTCTTTCGGATTATCATATTTCGAGTGATATTTAGAAATAGTGTGATCAACCAAAACATATTCCACCCTTCATTTTTGAAAAAAATTGAATTTTTTTGTATGCGTTTTTTTTAAATAATAATAAAACGTTGGATATTAATTCAACAGTACTTTTTACTTATGAATGGAGTGTTTAACATTATGGTTAATTTACGGGCATGCGCCTTTAAAGCTCTGATATTTTCAAGAGGTTATCTGCGGACATTTCCCAACTTGTTTGAAAAACACATAATTTTTTCAGAACTTGAACTCATTTAAAATGTTGACCTACAGAAATGAGCATCTTTTAATCCTTCATTTATTTTTTTTTAATTGACGAGCGATAGCGGAAAATTGAATGACAAAATTCCGAAAAAAAATTCGCATCAGTCTGATATTGAATAAAACGATGATTTTTCAATTGACCTTCTTATATTCCAAAAAAACCAGAGTGCACAACACAATAATTGAAGTAATGGTAAAACGCGGAATGTAAATATCATTTTGCTTGTTTGGTCAGCTTTGAATATGATGCGCCAAAAGGTTAGTTTATTCTTTGTGTATTCATTCGACGTATTGTCGGCGTCAAACAACTGAAGAGAGGCGGGACTTTCAAATTCGCGAAATCAGTGCCGATATAAATTTATCGTTGACTGAATATTAAATGCGCTTACGCTAAAGTCTTGGGTACTTCTCGTTGCCTCGAGACGCATTGGCACATAGCCAATTTTTTATTCAATTTCGTCAAGTCGTTTGACTCCGACAATATGACACCAAAACAGAAGCGGTCGGATCTGCAAGGAATCCGAGGGATCGCCATCATTTCGGTGTTGGGATTCCATTTCTATCCCTCAATATTCCCCAATGGATACCTCGGAGTCGATCAGTGAGTTTCAATGGTCCCTTCATCGCCCCAACCCATTTCCCATTCAGATTCTTCGTATTATCCGGCTTCCTGATGTGTATGCTTCTGAAGAGGTCCGAATCCGATCCAATCTTCACACTGATCCTCAATTTCTACACAAAACGATTCCGACGCATTCTTCCCCTATATTATCTTATTATTTTATTATGTCTAATAGCACTTTATATGATATTTCCGGCAACATTTATTGAAAATAATCTCAAATCCGCTAGAAATGCGCTCTTATTTGTTTCGAATCGGCCAAAAACCGCCAATGAGGATTACTTCGAAATGGTTTCCTTTTATTTCGATTCAAATTATGTATTGAAAATATGTGAATGGGCATTTAGATGGGAATTGGCAGTGATTTGTTCACCCACACATGGTCCTTATCGGTCGAAATTCAATTCTATTGCATTATTCCAATCATTTTCGTTCTCGGAAGATCAATATTCAATAATTATCAACTCCAAATCGGATACTATGCTATACTAGGTAAACCAAACTATAAGAATCCAAGTGTTCGCTTAAAAATTTCAGCAATTTCAAGCATTTTTTTTCATTTACTCTCAACTGAGAATGTGTCATTCAATAGTGTATTTGCAAGAATATGGCAATTCAATATAGGTATTTCTTCAATTAAATCATTTTCAAATTTTCTCGGGTCCACATTTTTAAAGGAATAATTGTCTATCTCGTTTCACCAATATCAAATAATGATGGGGAATATAAAACATTGCCTGAAGAGGAATCACTTCTGGAAGAAGGAAAAGAAATCGAAGAGGATGAAGAAGAAGAAGAAGAGCCCCCGAATCGATTGATAACTGGATTTCAATGGATATTTCTAATATCTACAATTTCTATTCAATTTTCCCCATTCTTTTTGCCATATTCCAGGTGGAAATTACATTTAATTCAATTTTTTAAGTCGAATTTATTTCAGAATAATTGTCACCATTTTGATTGGCCTTCTCATCTACTTCTCATCAAATAATCTCTTGCTAATCAACAAATTTCTCGTTTACGTTGGCGATATTTCGTACACCCTTTATTTGGTGCACTGGCCGATTTATACCTATTGGAAGAGCACCAATAATTCGACAAATGGTTTGGATTCTGACGCATCGGCAAAATTCTTAAATTTCAGCGATTCCCTTATTCATTGCCGCTTCATTAATTCTTTCAATTCTTATTCATGAGACATTCGAAAAGTGAGAAATTCTCACAATTCTCCCATTTTTCGATTTCAATATTCAGATTTTATTTGGGTATTTCCACAATATCCGTATTCGTGATTGTAATTCTATTGTTAATTGCCAACCTAATTATGCTTAATTATCATTCCATCAACGATTATCGACGCGAGAAATTGCAAATTGATTATATTGCCGACAATCTAACTCTAGGTTTGCGGGAAGATGCCTCGCAAATTGATGACCTTCATATTCAGCCGACGTCGACGAGCTAAATCACGAATGGACGAGAAATGATAATCAGAATCTGTTCTCTCCGACGTGCCAATATCATGATATTATTAAACCGCTTGGATGGTGCACTCATCAGGTTCATATTCTGTCTTGGTGCAAATGGGGGGGGGGGCTGCTCCCAATTATGAACGGCGATTGGGACCCCCACCACCCTTGACATAGAGATTCTCTTCTAAACAATCAATTCGAATTCCAGAATTTGTCAGAAACGGGCCCGTTCAAAATAATGCTGTTCGGAAACAGTTGGACAGCAAATCATGCGAAGCTAATGTATGACGAGTGCTCATATAAGGCATATAGGATGATCCAAGCATCTACTTATGGTACCTTATTATTATTGGCTGGAAACAGGCTTGTCAAAATCGGGGCCGATCCGCCTGGCTTTTTTAAATTTCAGAAAGAAGTCGGTAAATCAGGCGGTGAACATAAAATGTGCCTTTTTTGAAAATGAAATTTGCATTTTGTAAACAAATGCATTTTATTCGAAATAACTGAAACAAATTATTGCGGAGGTTTGTCGATTTTGCTGTGGATTTTTTGTGGCAATTCGACTTTCTTAATTCTCATTTGAGCATGTGAACGCATTTTTACTGTAAAAGTAAAATAAAAGCTTAAGAGGGTGAGCGTAAATAAGTAGAAATAAAACGAGGGCGCTTACGACACTCCACTGTTTACACCGCGGCGCGAAAATTCAAAAAAAAAAACATTTTTTTGACAAACCTGGCTAGAATTTCGAATTAAGGATGCGAGCCATTATATCCCAGCGATAACTTGCAACGATGCAAGGACAATATAACCGAAATTTTGGATCATATGGAAAAGGAGCGGCCGGATTATGGATTCTTGTTTACCAGGTTGGCAGAAACCGAATTTCGAAAAATCTTGTGATTTCAGATATTTTTCCCTTGGAGTTCCGCTTTCTCCAAATGCCAAAAGCTTAGAGGATGATGAAGTTTATCAATTCGCGAATCGAACACTTCACAAGATGATTGAGCTGATCAAAATTCGCCTTTATATTCTTGACGCAATTCCGCGAATCCGATCGCCGGTGATGTTGAGACTCGCTGATTTTATTGAAAAAAATATTCCGTTCTCTGAAGTCGATGTAATGATGATGCCTCGAACCATTGAATACTAATCGATAGTGTTTAGAAGATGTTGGTCGACATGACAAACTTCGAAATGGCGCGCACACGCTACGCCCGACTGTTCAGCGATTGCGGCACCAAGTGTCGTCGAATCGACTATGTGCCCGAATTTTTCAACAATTCCACACACTTCTACCGGTTTTTCGATGATCGCGGCCTTTCCTATTTCACCGGCGCCAATCATATGACGCCGCACGGACTCGAGAAGGTCCGACACATTTACACCGAGATTTGCTCTCAATTATGAATTCAAACAAAAAATGAAATGAATGCGAAACGTTTTTATTGTGATAATGAAACGCGAGGTGCTCATGCTCAAGCCTCGACGGCGACCGAACGATTCGGGCATGGGCAGTATGAGGCGTCGGATCCTGGGACTCCGTCCTCTCCTGGCGCGCCTGGCTCGCCATCGGCGCCCGGGATTCCGTCTTGTCCTGGAGCTCCTCCGGCTCCCGGAATTCCGTCGGGTCCCTGCTTGCCGTTCTTTCCTGGTGCTCCCGCTGGTCCTGGTGGTCCGCGGCGTCCGCCGTTTCCTGGATGTCCTGGCGCTCCTGGCAAGTAGGTGGTGCCCTTGGCTCCCGGTGGTCCGCGTGGTCCACCGCGTCCCGGCTTTCCTGGATGTCCTGGCGCTCCCGGTGGTCCCACCGGTCCATTTGGTCCTGGCTTGCCGTTGGCCCCGTCTGGTCCCGGCTCTCCCGGAAGTCCTGGCTCTCCCTGTGGTCCCGGCTCTCCTGGTGGACCTGGTGGTCCGGCGAGGCACGGAATGCAACCGGTCGGCGCGATGTCCTTGAAGATCTGCGCGTATCCCGGCTTGCCGTCCTCGCCATCGGCTCCCGGAGCTCCCGGATTTCCTGGGACACCGTTTGGTCCGCGTGGTCCCGGCGGTCCGGCTGGGCAGCCTTGCGACTTCTCACCGCAATTGCACTGCTCGTTGCTACGCTTGTTTCTGCCCAAAAGCATCTCGACGGCGGCACGAGATGTCTCCGGCGCGCCGTTCTTCTTCAGAAGCTCAGCCCAAGCATCGTCAGCGACGGTCTGCAACACGATGATTAAGCACTATTCTGGATGGACCCGATCGGATCTCACTCTAGTGTTCTTCGACTCCTCCATCACATCACGATAGAGTCCGTTGATGTCGGAAACAATGAAGCACATTGTTGCCAGCGAACCGATCGTGAGAATCGTCGCCGACGCACACGCTATCGTACCGAACGCGCCCATTCGCTCGCTGAAAATTGAATAGGACATTAATTGGGCTGACAAGACGAGGAACTGAATTCCATTCGACGCACTCGACTGCCTTTTATACTAGTGTCAACCATCTGCTCGCTTTTTTTGGACAACGCATGAAGTTTGTGTAAAAATGCGGTTCCTGAAAAAAACTTTGCCAAAGTGAAACCGTTTTCGCGAAATAGTATGTCGATAATGGTAGACGCAGACATTGATAAGATTGTGGAAGACGAACACGGAAATTGGTGTTTGTGGGGGGAAAAATAGGCGACGAAAAAGAAGAGGAAAAGAAAAAGTTACTTGACTTTACAAACTGTTTTTAGTGGAATATCGAAACGAATTCCACTGTGACTAAATGTCGAAAATTTTCCGAATTGCAATTTTTTTTAATCATCATAGAAGTATTGAGAATTCTAAACAATTGATATTTTTAAAGAATCTCGAGAAGCTCGATGTGCCGTTGAAACTGCTTATAAGAAATTAATTAACTATGGCTTGGCTTTTCTGTGATGTTCGCTTCACGGAGTTTTCACACATTTTTTATTACATTTTTTTGTGAGCCTTTAAAACTCATATGCTAAAAAATTGGGAGCAAAGACTAAAATTAGGAATACATTTAGGGCTACAAAAAAATTAGCGCACTTCCGCAAACACCATTGTTTTGGCGGAAATTCAAAAAATCTGAACCCGGTTGCCGAAACAGCCGCCTCCGAAATTGGTAAGTATGTCTAACTGATTCACGGCTGGGCGCAAAACACGCGCGGCCTAGAAAAATGTCCAAACACCTCTGGTTCGGCCGCGGCCACACTTGATGAATAAAAACTAAATGAACAAACCAAATATCAAACACCGGAAATTCGTGGAATTGAAGAAAATCGTGACTAACAAGAATAATTGTAAGAAAAATCCGGTATTCAATCTCGATTAAATATCCAATCTGACCTCTAAAATCATTCAGTTCAATAAGAACCCTCCAATTCAAGAGCAAATCTCAACATTCACCAAGGCGTTCGCCGTCGCAAATCCTAAAGATTACCAATTCCTTAAATGGAAACTCGAATAAGTGAAGAGAACAAACTTATTCAACAAAAAATAAATCGTAATTGATCATAATTGTTATAATTTAGAAAAAAAATAAATAAATCGATTAAAACAAATGAAATTTGACAGGAAGTCGTTCACATCACACACACACCGTATATGTCACGCCTCGGTTGGCGATAATATGGAAATAAGGTTATAAAAATTAGAATAAAAACATTATTTGAAGAGATTTTAATGGTATTCAGCATGTCGGTTCGAATCATCTCTTTCTTTGTTCTCACGCGGCACTTTTATCCACTGGCCTTGAAGGCTTTCACGCCAAATCGAAATCTGAAAAATGAATAAATTAAAAAATTTTTTTTAATTGTCGTCGTCCTTTGACGGCTCAAAATTGAGAGCACACCGTGCACGCCTTTAACCTAAAGCCAAGCTTGTCCCGAAAATTTACAAATCTCATTTTGCGCTAACAAGGATTGTGATTTTACCTAGGGGTTTGGTATTTTTTCTAATTTTTCACAAAAATACGTGTTAGCGAAATTCCCTATCATGTTTGCTATACCGTTTTGTGCAGAGATTTCAAAAGTCTAAATATGTTGAGTCCAAAGCTTTAGATTTGCCTCTTTATTTTTCTATTGATTTATAAAACCATTCGCATAGTATGTGCCAATGCGGCTCGAGGCAGCGAGAAATACGCAAGACTGCGTACATTGCACTATTGTGTAAGCGCATTTAATATTCAGTCAACGATAAATTTAAATCTACACTAATTTCGCAAATTTGAAAGCCCCGCCTCCCTTCAATCGTTTGACGTCGACAATTTTATTATTTGTCAGTTATTCAAAATGTTATTATAATTTAACTCTTACCGTATTATCGTCTCCAGAAACTGACAAGAATGTTCCACATGGTGACCAAGAGACATGATAAAGTTCTCCGTTGGATTTCTCGAGCAATTTTGACTGCCATTCATCGGTGTCAAGATTTTTCGATCGGTATAAAACTAAGTTTCCGTCCTGAATATAAAATGTTCACCATTTATAAATCAATTTTTGTGTACCGTTCCACAGCTGACAATCGAGTGAAGCCCGTTGTTTGCGACTGGGCACCAAGCAACGTCCCTCACAAAATCAGTGTGGCCATGAAGTGTTTTCTCACAATTCCATTCTTTCGATTTCTCGTCGCTGAAAAACAATTATTCATTATTATTTTCGCCGAAAATCGCGACTTACAACACCCAGATTTTCACACATTTGTCATTTCCAGATGAGACTAATCTCTTCTTATTATCAGGTGTCGCCGGCGCCCAGGAAACCGCATTAACGCCTTGCTCGTGAGTTTTCATGATCTTTGATGGACACCAATTCGATGTTGCCGCATCGAAGCGCAGAATTCCGATGTCGCCGTCAGCGGAAGCGGAAGCGAGAATAAGACCGAATTGTTGTGGAGCAAATGCGACGCATGTCGTTGAAGCCTAGAGAGAAAAAAAACATTAAATCATCAACTTATTAGTAAAAAATGAGTCATACTTCGTGAGCTTCCCATTCATAAGACTTTTGCCATCTTCCACTAACTTCCTGCCAGATAATAACTTTTCTGAAAATTTTCAAAAACTCACGGAGTTATTTTTGATAGCTTACTTATCATAAGAAGCAGATGCTAGAAGACCTCCAAACTTTGGATGAGCCCATGAAACCTTCCAAACCGGTCCAGAATGTCCCGTTAGGTCGGCAATTGGGAATGATTGACCATTTGGACGAACCTCGAAAATCTTGACAACACGATCTGATCCGCATGTGGCCAATCTGCTTCCATACATATTTAATTGGGCATCATGCTAAAATAATCATAAAATTTTTTACATAAAAGTCCATAAGTTTCTTACAATAGCATCACGATGAGTTGTATCAATTCGTTGGCGTATTGTCGTCATTTTTAATGATGTCTGAAAATATATTAAATTGCATTCGATCTTTCAAGAAAATAAGATCACTACTCATAGATTAAGATTTGTAAAAGTAAAACAAATTCATTAGACATATTATTTCATATTTCACTAAAGCACTATTGATAAGGGCGTGATATTTCTATTCTTTTTTGTTTTATGTCAACTTTTTTATTTTTTCAATTTTTACTAATGGCAAATTGTGGAAAAATCGGCCAAAATCACAAAATTGGCAAAAAATGAAATAAATTGCAAGTTGGCGTAGAATGAATTGCGCCAAGCGCTCAAAAAACGCGTCAGTGTCCTTTTATAAGGTGACCCAAATCGGTGACCTTCGCCATCATAAAAACGTTCGAGCACGAAAGAAAAACATGGAAAAGGGAAATGCGGAAACGCACTTTGAGAATGTTCTCGAAGAGCTTGCACTCTTTTGGACTTGTCTTAAAATAATGTGGGTTTATTGCTAAATCATTCCAAATATGGTTCAAATCACATTCAAGATAAATCCTATATTCAAATAATAGGGGGATTTTCAAAAAATCTCGTTTTCATAAAGGAATGATGATGAAATTTAATAGCGAGACATCAAAGTGCATTTTTTTAATGTGCCAGAATTTTCAACCCGGAAGAAATTTTCTCAGCGTAAGTCTCTGCTCATTTCTTGTTTACTCGTTCAAAATCATCGTCATCATTCCCTTCTCACAATTGATTTCGGCCATAAAATCAGAAAGTGGCTTACTTTTTCTGCCGCAATGAACAGTGATCATCTCCAAAACAAGGCGCCGCTAAAATTTCCTTCATACTCTCAATGTTTATCTGATAAATTTTTATCAAATCAAAAATTTCGCGTCTAGCTGTGTTGTGTTGTTCAATCATCGATATCACGCCTGTTCACCTCATTTCGTCAAACATTATCATTTCAACAATTCTCAGATCAATAATTTAGCTTTGTTTTAATTACAGGAGCGATGGAAGATATTGAAGTGACCCGGTTTCGTGAGTATCTTCGTGTCAACACCGAGCAGCCGAAACCAGATTATGGTAAGACATTGACAAATATTTTTTATCTTTTTCAAATTTCAGTCGCCTGCCGCGATTTTCTTTTCAAATATGCCGACGAATTGGGAATTCAAAGAAGAGCTATTGAGGTATCCTTGCTTCTCCTGATTTCTGTAATACTAGCTCTCTTCCAGACCGCTCCAGGAGTATTCTTTGTGATTATGACGATACCTGGGGGCAATCCAGAGCTGCCCGCAATTATGCTCTACTCGCATACAGATGTCGTGCCAACTTTCAGAGTAGTTATCAAATCTTCAAGATTTTGTCCATAAATTTCCATTTAAAGGAGCATTGGAAATACGATCCTTATGAGGCTTACAAGGACGAAGAAGGCAATATCTATGGGAGAGGAGCTCAGGATATGAAATGTGTTGGTATTCAGTATATGGAAGCATTCCGAAGACATTTCGCAAAAGGAACCAAACAATGGCCGAGAACCATTCATATCGTTTGGGGACCTGGTATGTTTTGTTTAATTTGAGAAAGAAAAACTGAAATTCATAAATTTCAGATGAGGAGATTGGGCATCAGAATGGAATGAGGGGTTTCAGTTTGACTGAGGAATTCAAAAATCTCAACATTGAGTTCGCGTTGGATGAGGGAATCGCCAGCGACGATGATCACTATAGGATATATTATGCGGAACGAATTCCGTGTTGTAAGACAATCGAAAATGTGCTAATGAGAATTAATATGATGATGTGCAGGGGTGAAAGTGACACTTCCGGGACAGCCGGGTCACGGCTCGAAATTCATTGAGAATACTGCATTCGAGAAATTGGTGAGCAAATGGCATTAATCTTCAATGAATTAAAGAATTTTTTAAGCAAAACTTGATGAATGCGGTGGCAAAGTTCAGAAATGAGCAAAAGAGTCTGCTCGAGAGCAATCCATCAATGACACTTGGAGATGTGACAACCACCAATATGACCATTATTAATGGCGGTGTTCAAGTCAACGTTGTGCCGGAGAAGTTTGAAGCTTGTAAGTTTCCGAGACGTTTTTATACAATTGGCAAATTGCCAATTCACTTTTTATTTATCAAACATCCTAAAATATCGGATGTTGTCGCTTTTCAGAGAAATTCAAATATGTTAAATTTATTGGTGGGAAACGATAGCAAAATTTTCCGCTAACAATAAAGATCATTTCTGCAAAAATTCGAATTGCTGGTCCCAAATACCTGTTTTATTTGACAAGTGTCCTCCAACACGAGACCAAAACGTCCAAATACCTGTCTGACCTAGGAAGGTTCAAAATTTCTTGTTCTCCATCTAGTCGAGGACAAATTTTAATCAAATCAACCGAATGAGGATATCGTATCATATGACCACCAATTTTTGGTCGCTGAAACCAAATATGCCAATTCGGATCAATCTCATTTCAAACAAAAAATGATTTTCAGTTATCGATATTCGTATGACACCACGACAGGATTTGGACGAGATCAAGCAGCGTATTGAGAGTTGGAAAGAGGAAGCTGGCGAAGGGACCATCATCGAGTTTCTCCAGGTTGTTTAGTTATCCGTTTTGCATCTAACCAATCCGGCCCGGTCTGGTCCGTTCCGATCCACACCAAAATTGACAATTGTCCCGTTTCTTGCCTATGTTCCTTTTGGGGCCTTCCAATCATTATTAATTTTGTGCTTCTGCTGTTGCTGCTTTCAAGTAGCCAATGTCAAATAACACAAAACAAACGATTAGTTAGTTGGATGTCATATTCACCTACGTGTTCTTTTCAGTCCTCTGTTCCGGCCGACCAATCGACCGTCGAGTTTTCAACAGTAAGTTTCATTGTGCACAATTCAATCAATATTTTAACCATTTCTTTCTTTTTTTTTTGTGAAATGTCACTTATCCAATCTAAAACTGCTTTTTTGCCTTTTCTTTTCATTTAAAAGATTCGTGTGTTTTAATAATTGAAGATTTTAGTATTCAAATCTTAAATCTATAACCCCGCACACGATGGAGGATCCGTTCTGGGCAGCCATTGAGACTGGATTGAATGAGCAGTAAGAAGCAGCTCATCTCTCTTGCTCGAATTTTTATCATTTTTTCATTTTCAGAGGCTGCAAGTTCAAAAAGGAGATTTTCACTGGAGCCACTGATTCGCGATTTGTGAGATCGGTTAGTTTGATTGAAAATCGCCGGCCAGATAAACAAACTCGTAAAAGTTGAATGCAATTGTTTTTGAGAGATTTACTGGGGCTTTGATGCCGAGAAAAAAAAACAACGATTTTTATCTTCTAAAAGTGAATTATGGCCACCATTGAATTTTTGAAGGAAAAACGAAATCACTAATTAGCACTTTTTATTTACATCTGCAACAATTTCCTTTTGGTCTTTGTTATTGTGGAAGTCGCGATACTGTAGAATTGGATCTCCCAACTGCACGTTGGAAAATGGATGAAATGAGAATCTGTGGCATTTTTTTTTCGCTTTTGATTCATGTTTTTTCAAATTTTCATTTTTGAGTCCAATTTTCAAAAGTGTACGAAGTTTTTTAAAAATTAAAGAAGAAAACATATAAAAAAATGGATCAAAAGCGAAAAAAAATTATGTGCCACAGATCACCTGCTCGTTCATTTTCCAAGTATCAGTGTCGTTTTACGTGTCCGTGTGGAGTACACAGACTCATCTCTTCGCTGAGAGGCCATTCTTGACTTTTGGTATTACTTCGAAAATTTTCTCTTTGAACGTAGTTGATCAAACGTTGAAATGTTTCAGCAAGGTATTCGCGCGATTGGCTTCTCGCCAATGATCAACACCCCATCGCTTCTCCATGATCACAACGAATTCTTGAACGAGAAGACGTTCCTTCGAGGTAATCATTCAATCGATTCCAAGTCGAATCCCAACCCAATTGTGTTTAGGCATTGAGATCTACGAGACCCTCATCAATAATCTCGCAAGTGTGGCGGCAATTTAAACATCTCTTCTTGTTTGGTTCCTTGTTTAGTGTAAATTTTCATTCACAAGACAAAGGCGAGACCGAATAGATATGTATCTAGCGTGAACAATACAATGTGCCGTTCCGTTTACTACTAATTGTATGATCTTCTGTAGAATATGATATGCATTTCATTCTACGAAAACTATTGTGATTTCTTTTTAGTTTTTCATTTTGAATATTGGCTTCTTCTTTTTCTTCTTCAGTGCCACCCAATAAATTAGCGAATTCCATATGGTTTTGTTTTGTGTGTGTTTTCGGAGCGGAACCCGTCCCACCGCTTTTGTCTCAAACGAACACTCATCATCATCGACGACGATGAAGAAAAGAAAACCGCGACTTCATCATCATTTTATATTATTATTTTTTTGGTGTATTGTCTGTTGGCGTCGAAAATGATGAGATCGTTAAAAATTCAACTAGCTTCTCCCCTTTTTTATTACTATCATATGCTCTTTAATGGTCCATATACTAGCAGTAGATGATGTTGCTCTCCGGCGATTTGCAAAACTTTTTTTCTCGGTTTGCATAGCTGCACTTGTTGATTTTTCAACAATTTCTCTATTGCACTTTGAACACGCGCCTTTAAATGTGGTCATGCAACGATGGTTGCAAATTAATTCCCCTTGTCAGTCATGTTTCTCTGCGTCTCTTTCTATTCTGAGATAATTACCTAATTAGGCCAACTGGTGTTGGTATTAATGCGATTTTGAAAATTCGCAAAGCAACCTTTAAAAAAATTGATTTGAGGGATTCAAAGGGACATCAAGTTAACTAGGTTCTCAGAAAAAAATTCTTAGAAGTCCCGCAAATGCGCGAAATTTTGAATTGCGCGGTGGAAAATTACGGTATTCGGTTTTTGGCGCGAGATTTGAATTTTATTAAAGAAGAAGAAGAACGATTTCGAGAAAACCAAACGACATTTGCGGACTTTGAAATAATTCAGAGTAGATCAAAAATGCAAGCCCGCAGAGTTCATGCCGCGTGATTGCACAAAATGCTGGTTTTTATTTTTTGGCGATTCCTAAATAATCGAATTAAGCATATTACTTGTATGTCAGGTAGATATTTGACCTAATCAATTGGGTCTCGTATTTGTTTTGGCTTCGTATCAAACACATTAAGAAATTATTTACAGTATACATCAAAGGCGCATGCAAAACATTTTCGGGTTGAGATTTTAAAAAGAATTATTACCTTACTAAGTGCAATGCAGAAAATATTTCAAAAGAAAAAAGACCTCAAAAAGTTAAAACAAAATTTTCCTCTCCTAATTGAATTTCGACAATATAGTTTTGAAAAAATCTGTTCTTTGGAGTTATTCCGTTCTAACTAATGCGCCTTTAAACTCCAATAATCAATTCTTGATTTGTTGAAGCGAGGAGCCAAAAGCGGGGAAGTGAATTACGGTCGTCGATGCCGGGGGGGGGGGGGGGAAGTTGACGTGCAAACGGCTGACAACGGCGCGCATGAGTTCACACCTGATCTGTTGACATTCTGCCGATTCCTAACACTTGTCTTGTCAGCACATCAAAGATCATCGACGGTTAACCGGGCGTTCGAAAAAACGGCGCGGCGGCTGCGGCGGCGACGCGCGGGCGCGCGCGGCTCTGCTCTGCACAATCAGGGCTCATTTAAAACAAATAGGCGAGAACTGCATGTTGATTCAGGTCTTTTTTTTCCAATTTGCCACAAATCATCGAATTTCGGCGTGTTTGTTCCGGCCGGTCCGTGTGAACCGATTTCCACACAAATTGCCGCGCCATCGTTTTGTTTCAACCGTGCGTTTGACCTACCACCTAGTGATTTTTCAATTGAATTCTCTTGGGAGGTTCTCTCTCTCGATCTCAATCGATGAAGACTCTCGAAGCGATAAGATTTTGAAAATAATAATTATCAAGGCCATTATATCCAACCAATCTCATCTTTTTGTGGTTTGACATTTTTTTGTTTCCAAACCAATTCATCACCTTGCAAATCTTCTCGGCAAACGCGTTCTTCTATTGCTGAGCTATCTGAAAACCCGCAATAGCTTCAACTAGGAAGAGCTCAAATCATTCAAACGAAATGGTCTCCTCTGAACCTACCGTAATCAATCTCCTCTCTTCATGTCGAATCTTGTTGCGATCGGTATTACAAAACACATTGAATACCATAAACAATATATTTTTACACCTCGTCTCGCCTACTTTAAACTCGACGACATTCATTCATACCGGTCTATTCGAAGGTTTAATGAATATTGTTCAATTTTTGAGAGGAAGTAGATCAAAAGACCATCGTAGAAGAGCAAACATGCTCTATGGGTCTCGACGAGATTATGCCCATTGGATGCTAGCAAGTTCGCTGTTTTTCATTTTTTTTTTGCAAGAGAAAAAACAATTCCAACATCGGAATTCGAAGAATGCCCTTCTGCTCAGTGCTAGCGTACGGAATCAAATCCAACCTACCGTAATCCGAAATCCGGTTTGCATCAGCCCAAATTTGGGTGGCGGCCAATCGAGAAGAATTTGTTCATATAAATACAATGCTTGATAATGTATCATTTTTTGTTCGGCCGCACCCAAATCGCAATCGCATTGTTCGAAAGGTAAATCTCGCGCTTAATTGGAACATACATGGGGATGGGCGGAGTCTCAAATTTACCATTTGCGCATAATATCAATCAGAAGAGGGGGGCCGTCGCTTCCTGGTGCTTGGGCCATGACCTTGGCAAAAATCTGGTTTTGAAAAACGTTTTTTGTCAACGCAATCCCGCCTTATCATCGACTTTTCATTGTTTAGACTTACAACGTAGTCGAATCGGCCGCAAAAAATTACGGTATTCGAATAATATGTATAAAAGCCGACGCGATCTCGCCCACATATAGATTACACCGTTCATTCATGTTCCGTTATCAATCAATTTTGCCCAATCGGTGGCAAATAATTCAAGCTTCACACCAACTGTTTCATTCGCCCCGCCCTCCATAAAAGTGACCTGTCCATTGTGTTTCAAACTCGAAACTCGCAACCAGTTCTTTTCGCCAAATAACAACCACCCATCGCCATTTAAAGCATTCTGATTTCAGTGGTTGTCTCATTTCGAAAAAAATAAATACAAACAAGCACCCCTTATACAAAAAAAAATGATGATGATGATCAAATCGGTTTTGCTGATGGCCTTAATTGGCGCGACACTTGCCGGTCCGTCATTGAGAAGCAAAAGGGATGATGGATCGTCGTCAGGTTTGCCCAGCTTTCTTCACCCATTTTTTTTTGCCCCAACGGGAGTCGTTGAGTTTTAGATGGAAGCGATGGATTCCCGGTGGTGGAGAGCGATGCTAAATTCGAAGGCTCTGGGGATGTCGAGGCCTCTGGAGCTGAAGCAGGTTTTGATTGTTCTTTTTTTATTCGAGAAAAAAATATCATGGGGAGATTTTTTTTAGAAAACACCCAAGAGCCAAAATTCGAAGAAGAGGAGGAATTGAAGGAGGAGCATCATGATCACAGCGAGCACACGATGACTGAGGAGGAGACCGTTAAGGAGGAGCCAGCTCAGCCAGAGACGCCAGTGATTGTCGTCGAGCATCCTCAAGAAGTCAAGGAGGAATCGACAACTGAGCCGGCTCCAATGACGACGACGACTCACGCCAACTCCGGCGCCACCAGCCTCACCACCGCCGCGTTCGCCGTCTTCTCGCTCGTCTGCCTTGTTCTCTAATCGTATTTCAACTCAATAATATGTATATTGGGTGTAATGGGTGTGGTATGTGTCTGAACGGGTTTTTTTCGGCTTCCCATTTTGCGTTTTCGAATTTCCTCCAAATTTTTTCCATTGTTTAGACATACCATAGTTATTATACCTGCGCAAACGAGATGACTATCGAAATATAATGTGTATACTGTTTGAATAAATGTGCGACCCTCAAATTATAATCTTTAGGGAAAATGCGCAAGTCATTTGAATTGCAGCGGTCGAAACAAAAAAAAATTTGTGCAAAAAATATGAAACAAATAAACTTGAAAATGGTCGATTCGTGGTTAGAATTCGACGGGAGTTCTCAAAAAATTTTTTATCCTGTCAGTACGACACTCCAATTACACATCGCCCTCAATTTAAATTTGTTTCCCTTGTTTGTTCCAACATTTTCCTCGAAATATCCCGATCGAATTGCTGAGTATTTTAAACTAAACTATTTATGTAGACATTTAAAGGCGCCTTTAATTGATCAGTTTTTTAAATATTAGATTACTGCAAGAATCATTTAAATTTTGTATTGTTGATGTCAAACAACTGAAGGGAGGCGGGACCTTCAAATTCGCGGAATAAGTGTGGATATAAATTTAATATTAAATGCGCGTACGGTATAATGTAGTGTACGCAGTCTCACGTACTTTTCGCTGTCTCGAGACGCATTGGCATATAGCCAATAATTTTTAAAATTTCGTCTAGTCGTTTGACTCTGTCAATACATGCGCCTTTAATCACAATAGAAAAAATAGCGAACGTCGCTTCAAAAATCTGGCCGCGGCCGAGGATTTTCACATTTTTTTTTCGTCCATCTGCACAGCAATTTCAAGAGTTCTTTTAACCGGTTACTTGAGTTTCTTTTTGCGACATCTGTATAATACCATTCCAATACGTTTGCCTACATCCCAATTCATTCAAATCTTCCCATTTTTTCCATGGGTTTTCTTTATTTTTTCACCAATGCTTATTAAAATATTGTCGAGGTTACGCGAATTTGGAAAATCGGCAAAATGCCAAAAATTTACATGAAGGTCTTCCAAGTGCACAGTGTGCGCCTTTAAACTATTTTTTTACTTAAATCTACGCATATTATTTCTGCGGCAAACCGCTGAAATAGATTTTCTTAGAATTTTTGCAATGTCGACGAATTATATACATAAGACCAATGAAATTTCCATTTTCTCCCTCTTAATATGCTAGGAATCACATTCCAGCGGTTTCAGAGAATATAAATAGAGTTTGTTTAAACAATGCATTGATAAATGTTTATTTGTAACTCAATAACTATAAAAATAAACAACAAAATCGAGTATTCATTTGCGAAATGTTTGTCTCCTCTCGTGCCATTTTCATTGTTCTCATTTTTATTTTAGCATTATTAACTGATGCCGAGTTGAACATTGAAAAAAGTAAGCGGATATTAATATTAAAAGTTAATTTTGATAATTTTTTAAAATTCAGATCATCCTTCAAAAGTTTTGAAGTTATTGGAAAACAATTGCAAAGAATTCGAGCATGCCTGCATAATGGTGAGTTGATTTTCGAATGATTTCTTGTTTATTGCCAATCTTATCTTTATTAAGTTTCTTTTAAGAAAGTGGTTGAATTCAGATCTCATTTTCCAAGAATTAATTATTTTAATTTGCCAATCGAATTAATCCTTGTTGTAGAGTTGCGAGGACACTGCTCAATTCCTATTGAACATCGGACTACTGCTCGTTGAATACGAAGAGAATCTTGATCATCAATTGATAAAGAAGGTGAGAAAGAAAAATGAGATGCTCACATTAAATCTAATGTGCATCTACTATTTTTAAGATTGAGAAGTTGGCAATCAATTTGCAAGGAAGGAAAAGTGTCGAAGACGTGATCGAATATCAAAAGTTGTATGGAAAGGATTTCGAAATAGTCATGGAGAGAGTAATTTTCAATTTTTAAGAACAATCGAAATTTTTCTTCAATTTTCAGGCGTCCGAAATTCTAGCAAAGGTTCCTTATAGTGAGAGAAAAATGTGGGAAGAGCTCATTCTCCAGCCACCGCCACTTTTCTAAGTTTTAATGTTTAATTTATATTTTTATTACTTTTTTTGAATCATAAAGCGAGTTTATTGAACACAAACTGATACACATACACACACACACACCGGCTGGCAGCTCGTTGGAGGCACGCACCTGTCTGATGAATTCAACCGAACAGGTGTGATAATGCGGGAGACGGCGGAAAGGGGGGGGGGGGAATGGGGTTCTCCCGAGGGATGTTGGTTGATACAATCAATCCGAGCCCAGGTATCAAAGCTGATATGTTGTGCACCGACGGACAACGAACCAGGCCCCGAAAAAGCATTTTCGAGACTATCGATGATCTACTATCGCCGGATTTGCCGCAGACGTCGAAAGGTGGTGTCGTCGACGAGATTCAACCCAAATTGAAGGTATTCACGATGATATTCGCCACGAATTCACATATTTCCAGTGTAATTATTGCCAAAAAACCTATTTGACGTATTTCGGCCTTCGTCGACATATCCAATTCCACGACGAAGGAAAATTGCAGCAGAATTGTCCGCATTGCGACAAAGTTTACAAGTAATTTCAGACCGTTTTAACGAATTTTATGCCCGATTTCAAGCACCAAAAAGTCCGAAAGGTTGCGTACTTTGCATTTCGCACATTAAAATATTTGTAGCCTGTTTCCCAAAAAAAAAACGGCTGTTCAAATGCTTGTTCAAAAAAAAATTCAATGCTGTTCGCAAGCGTTCCATTTAATTTTTCAAAATTTTTTATTCAAAAGTGAACCACAGCGCGTCTGATCCACAAGATCTTGCAACGAAAAATTCTGGATGTCGTTTTTTTTTTGAGAAACGTACTAAATATCTATTATCGGCGTGGCGCGAAGGCGGAAAAAAGCTAAACTCCAAAAAATCAAAAAGAGGTCTCGTTGCGCCCCAAGACGATTCTTTTGGCATTTAGCCTAGCCGAAAAAAAAAACAAAATTTACAATTTTGCCAATCTTCACTGATTTCGCTAAATTGAACCCCCAAATCCTGTTGATTTTTGTCATTGAACGAATAATCGAGAATAATTTTTCTACTTTAAATCGATTTATATACTTGTGCTTGTCAAACATAAAATCTGATAATGAGCTTCTCATATTATGCATTTAATACAATCGCTGCGTAAATTTACGATGATTTTGATTTGTATGATGTCGATACCCTAGTCCCCATAACTTAAATCGAATTTCAAATTTCCATTTCGAAAAAATGCGATGATCCACTTTCATAAAAATAAAAATTAAACACTACTAAGTAAATATATATTAAGTACCCGCGAAAATAATTCTAGAATCTATGATAACATTTAAGAAGGTCTATGTTTATCAAAAAAAAGATTATTTTTATATCAAAAAATATATGAGAATATTTTACGATCCACTCAAAAAGCATCATTTCTTAAAACCCATTTTGATAAACTATTTTTTATACATCCCAAGTAGACGATGCGAGCCATATTCCGCTAGAAAATTCAAAACTCGCATTTAAGAATTTTTTTCAAACCAGACTTAAATCGATATTTCCGTTCACTATATGGTAACTATTTAAAAAAAACTGCTTTCGAAATCAAATAGTCATTCTCGTCGAGACTAAATAGTTATCATAAACATTCAGGGAATTGAATGAGAACAGAAAAAAAATAACCAAAATATAAAAAAAATGGAATTGCTATTTATTGTATTCAAATTCATTTGGATTCTACTGTATTTAATTAATTATAAAAACAGACCCCTAGTGTTTCCTGTGTACTTTTTTGTGAATTTTCGTTAAATGGATTTTGTCGACAAAATTCAAGGGATCTGAATAATTGTGATTGATTTCCATGCTTTTTTTTAAATGAGTTAATTTTTGTTTAATAAAAAAAACCACAAAAGCTCGTGACGCGCATTTACACAGCGGCGGCCATTTGTCATCAGAAGCGTTGACCCGCGAAACGCGCTGATATGATCTCAATTAGATTACACTGATTCACGCTGCCGCCGGATGCTACCAGGTGCCACGCCAAACACCTATTTGATGGATAACCATACACCTGTTTGCGAAATGTCAAAACTTTGACGCGGCTTTTGTTGGCTGGTGCGGAAACGAGCCCAGAAGACCGACACCCAAATCAGAGATGCAATTTTTAGTTGCAGATCGCCGGGAGCTTTGAAGATGCACTTGAAAACGCACTCGCTACCGTGTGTGTGCGAGGATTGCGGAAAGTCGTTCTCGCGACCCTGGCTGCTCAAAGGACACCTCCGAACGCATACCGGTATCGTTTCTCGAAATTGAGGCAACAAAAAACATTTTCGAAATTGGAGTTTTTTGTCATCAGCCAATCGAATTTTCTATTATTCCAGCGTTTTCTTTTTGCAGGCGAAAAGCCGTTCACTTGCGATTCGTGTGGTCGCGGATTCGCCGATCGAAGCAATCTTCGAGCCCATTTACAGACGCATTCAACCGAAAAAAAGCACAGGTTCGGCCCCGACAAGTCGAAATTCAATGACCGGTTCAATTATTTCAGATGTAAGCATTGCAATCAGTCGTTTGCCCGAATGCAAGTACGAGTGCGGCACGAAGAAAGTTGTCCAAAACGAAAAGAAGACATTGGGTCCGAAGCGGAAGAAGCTGATAGACCACTTCTCTCAAATCAATAAACGAAATTTTTAGAATTTATTATGTTTATTTGCTAACCCGAATTTTGAAAGGGGGCGAGTTTTGAGAAGATTCACAATTTTTCAATTTTTGACAAAAAAATTGCCAATATGTTTTATGTATGTTGGTAGATTTACGAACCAGCTCTTTAATAACCAAATAGTCCGTTTGAGACCACAGCGCCCGTTAGTCTACACACATTTATCAGTTGCCGGACTACTCCGATTATACTTGGAACACACATTTATGAGAAAATTGCATTTATGGGTAATGAATTGTTTTGAAAAGAAATCGGGTCCTAAGACGACATTGATGAGATTGAGATATGAGAAAACAAGACAACCAAAGGCTTATCCTAGCAGATAAAGCAACTCGTAGAAGCATTATCGGAAATGTGTGAACCGGAAGAATTATGCTCTCTAAATGGAGCACGTTGTCAGTGGCTGTGGATTCAACATAGAACGATTTAAAATGTATTAAACATAAGAATAAGGGGTTCCAAATATCAAAGATAAAGGTTTATTTCTTATAAGGGCATCTATGCGGACGTCCGCCATTCATCCGTGTGCGGCCGGGAAAAAGCCCAGTCCGCGGCCATACTTTTATTTTTTTAACTGAAATTTGTGAATGTTTGTGTTTAATTTTTAATCTTAGATTTAATCATGAAAATAGAAAATTTCGAGCAAACAAATTTGGAATGCTTCCACTAAGCTTTCATATTAAGTTTTTTTCATATTAATGTGATATCCAAAAATGTATGACTTCTGGCCCACACCAAATTGGCTATAGATTTTGTAGTCAAGACCAATTGAAGCCATGTGTGTCCGAACGTTAACAATATCAATTCTTTAGCGGGCATTTTCTATGTTGTAGTTATTTGTATCGAATTGTGTGCTATAAGACGAAAATTGGAATGACAAACTGGAAACTCATTGAAAAAAAAATGGGCGTGTGTCATGTTAAATATCCGAATAAATATTCTTGACTGAAACGATTCGATGAGAAAATGATCATCATTCTGGCAATTCTCTTCGTTTTCATTCTCGTTTTTCTAGGGTAATTATTCAAAAATATAAATATAAATATTCAAACAATTCATTGATCTACACAGATATTTCAAATGGAAGCATACTTATTGGAAGCGAAGAGGTATTAATGGTCCCCCAACATCATGGTTCTTGGGGAATTACTACGAAGTCAGCGATATGTATAACATGCGTTATCAGGTGCTCAATGATTGGTCAAAGGTTTGATAAAGTCGCTTCAATGAGATTTTCATTTTTGTTTAGAAATACGGAAAAACTTTTGGATATTATGAAGGTGTGAGGAATGTGCTTGTAACCAGCGATTTGAGCATGCTCAATGAATTGTTTATCAAAAAATTTTCAGATTTTCATGCAAGAAAGGTGTCGTTTCAGAAGATTATATAAGAAAAGTTTTATTTTTAAACTTTCAGGTGACCAATGTGATTCATGCCGATTTGGAAAATCCGAAAGAGGAGCCTCTCGTCAATATATTTCTTTCGCGCGGAAGCCGGTGGAAGCGAATGCGAGCACTCGGATCTCCCGCGTTTTCTGTTAAAGCATTGAAGCAGGTAGGCAATAATTAAAAATAGTTGAACCATTCTAAACCATTTTTCAGGTGCATGGTATCATTGAAGACAGCATTCTGAATATGATCGACCTAATGTCAAAATATGCCGATGAGAGATCGTTCAACATTCACAAATTCTATCAGGAATTGACTTTTGACGTCATCTCAAGGGTCGCAATGGGTCAGACGCATAGCGAATTATTCAACAATCCCAGAACCATGTTAACCAAGAAGGTGAGAGTCTCATTCAGAGGTCATCGCGATTTTCAGATATTCGAATTACAACATTGAGCGCTTCCATGGTATTTGATAAGGATGTTCCCGGCGTTTACATATCAAATCAAAATGATTTTCCATAATCATGCGAACGTGAGAGGCGGCGAATTCGGGGAATTGTTGGAGTTTTGTGTTCAATCGGTTCTCAAGCGAATCGAGAAACGCGTGAGTTGTTCTGCACGTCTAATTCCCCCTAAAAAAATATGATGGTCCACAAATACCCCAGGGCTCTCGTTTTGTTTTGTGATGGCAATGTTTAGCTAATACTGATTATAGAGGGAAAATGAGAAAAATGGAATCGAGAACGTGCCAGAGGACTTCATTGACATATTCTTGGATCATCACGTCGATGAGTTAAATGATGCCGCATTCGGAACCTCAGTGGTATTCTCGATGAAATTCGAAGAACTGTTTTTATAGACAGTCTTCAGTTTGAGAAGAAGGCGACAACCGAAGAAGTGATCAGCAACTGCTTCGTATTCCTATTGGCCGGCTTCGATACAACCGCCAACACGTTGGCCTACGCGTCGCACGCAATCGTGAAGCATCCCGACGTTGGCAAGAAAATTCAGCAGGAAGTTGACAGCGTCTGCAGTGATGGGGTATTCTTGAATTCAATGAACTCAACTGATTTCCTTCTAGAATATCTCTTATGATGATTTGAACAAGATGAGCTATTTGGAGGCAGTGGTTAAGGAAACGTTGAGATTATACCCGATTGCTTATTTGTTAGTTATAAGGCAATATTTTAAGCTTGAAAATTATGCTATAACATTTCAGCGCTTGTTCGAGAGAAGCTGTGAATGACACGAGCCTTGGAAATATCAAAATTGACAAGGGCACTTTCGTCGAGGCGGATGTGTTGGCGATTCACACAAATCCGGAGATTTGGGGCAATAATGCCGACCAATTTTATCCGGAACGGTAATTGTGGTTCCTTATCGTCTGACACCATATGGTTTCATTTTTCAGATTTTTGGAGAAGACTGAAACTCCGAGACATGTGATGTCATGGATTCCATTCGGCGCCGGTCCGCGACAGTGTTTGGGAATGAGACTCGGAATAATTGAGGCGAAACTTGTGTTGGCGCATGTTTTGAGAAAATTCGACATTGTGAAAGCGCCGGATACCGAGGTTCGTCGATAATTGAATTTATTCGAGATTGATAGTCATTTTGAATGTTTAGGAGGAATTGAAATTGCATGGCTGCTCAACAATATCACCAGAAAAAGTGACTGTGCAATTAAAATCGCGTTAAAAATTTTTGATTTCAATGAAGCACATTTTCAAATAAATATTGAATTTTCTTCACAGTGTCTTCCTGATGGGACCCTTTGCGAAGAAAATTGGAAAAACTCAAAAATCGAGTTTTTTGCGCAATACGATTTTTCGAGATTTCTTTTGATTTTTATTGTCGGCGTTTTCTAGAAAAAATTAAAGTGGTCTCGTTGTGCGGTATGCGCCTTTAATTTATTTTTTCACATAAGCTAGAAAATCTACACGTTTAGTTTTGCGTCAGGAGCTTTTTTATTGTTTTTGGCATTTAGCCAATTTTTCGCAGACTCGAAAATACCGGTTTTATTTTCTTGACGCACATTTGCAGATTTCGAAATTTTCGTTCTATCGGGCAGAGTTGGGCGGAAATCCACATTTTAAAATAATTCAGTCCGCAAAGCTCTTCTAGGCTGTTAGAAAAAAAACTGCCAGCCGGGTTTCGCCAAAAATTTAATATAAAGGACCGATGAGCGGAATATTCGAACAATTTCTCATTTTCATTCTAGGTCCCTATTAGTGAAATCACCAAATGAGATAAAAATTTCAGTCGAATGAATTCTAGTCGAGTTTTTTTTCTACATATACTTAGTTGAATATTTAGCATTTTTTTTATATCATTCGTGAACACCGCATGAATTTTGGCATAGCAATTTTTAGTTATTGAACACTATACAAAAGATGATATGAGAAATGGGAACCGTGCTGCCGACAATAGGCAGGATTGCATTCAATAGAAAAATGTTCATTTTTTGCTAGGCTGTCCGTTCACTAGACAAATTCTCGGATTTTTCCCACGACGAAAACGGTCGACCTCTCCATATGAACGTGTCTAATTCTCTCCATCTCACGTATTCTATCGCCATGAAAAATGTCTGCCAATATAATCCCTCTATTTCTTACCATTTTTGCTTTTTTTTTCCTTATTATTTTTATAATTTATACTATATGCACTTTTCCATTTGTCCAGTTGAGTTGGGAATTATTGTGAAGATTTTGACGCTCTAAAAATTATTTTGAAAATGAAGAATACAAAAACAAGATAATAGAAACGCGTACAAAAAGCAAAACACGAATAAATAATTTTATTAATGACAAAAATGATTTATTTTTAATCTCTGCTGTTTTTACCAAAAAATATCGTTTAATAGTGCTTATTCTGCTAAATACATTATTAAACTCAGTTTCTGCAAAATGTAAAAATTTAAATTAAAAAATTTCGAAAGAAAATTGAAAAATTGAACGAAAAATAAAAAAAAATGAATATACGAAATAAAAAAAAGTCCCCGTAAATCGCTGTGAGGATTACGGTAACTGTCTCTTAGCATTGCGTACAAAACACAAGATCCCACGACACCTAGATACATTTGTCATTTTTCAACAATATGTATATTTAAATACGAATAGCTTCATTCGAGAAATTCAAGATTTTCAAAAATAAAAGAAATTCTTAATAGAATTGTGAGCGAATTGCAAATTGTCTGAAAAAAACGTTGCAGATTTTTCCAATAATTTCAACAAAAAAATTCTTTGGCTCCGTTTGATTTTCTCGATATCGCGTTGATCTTGAAGCTCATCTTTTCATTTTTTTTTCTCCGTCCATTAAACTCAGCTCGTTCCACTCTTCGTCAGGTGGCAACTCCTTGCATCATGTTGTCTAGTAGCTTCTGGTATATCTTCCAACATCTCATCTCCGTTCAAACACTTCATTCAGATGTTTTTAAACTCTATTAACCCTAATTCCTATGTTCAGTTCGAAAGAGTGAAAACCATCGAAAAAATTATCTAGACACAAAATTATTAGATATAGCTAAAAAAAAATAATTCCGGGGCACTCGTTGTTCTCTGATACCGTAATCTAAGATGCATATTCTGCATTTGTGCGTCGGGTGTTGGAATGAATCCTATCAAAATTCAAAATCCTCAGTCGAACTTTCTTCTTATTTTTCTTTTTTTTGTTAATCGCTAATTCCTTCCTTTTTACGGAATCACACCATAATTTTCAAAAAATGCTGTCATAAATTTTGAACAAATCGTTCATTCTAATTCATGTAGCCAGTGGCTTCATTCATTTTTCTCCACTAAAAATTGTCACATTGAATTCTGATTTTCCCGAGAAAAAAAAACGAAAAAATCACGTATCTACATGACCTTTGAGTTCTCTTGAAGAAAACGCGTTGTTAAAATGATCATATAGATTTTTTGTTTTTTTTTACCGTTAAAATTTCAAAATTTTCACATTTTTCTATGTCTTCCATTTTTAAATGCTTTCACAAATTTTTGCATGTGCATGGGGAAAAAAGAATGTCAAGAAATTAGGTGGAAAAAATCGAAAAATAATGTATGTCTCAAATGGCCGAATAAAAGTATCTCGAGGCAAAAGATAACGATTCTTATTTCGGGTTTTGTTTCGCGGTATAATTTAAATTCTACTTTTTTGTTAAATGTTTTATAATAGTTTCCAATATCCCCAACTTATTCAATTATTTTCAAAATAAGATCTTGACGCGAAATGAGTACTGTAGTTCTTTGTTAATGACATATAGGTCAAATCGAAATGAACAACTTTGATATCAAACAACGCCGCTCTACATAAATGTTTCGAATTAATTTAATAAATTATTGCTGTTAATTTTTTTAGAAAACTTGGATGACTTGCAAAGTTCTATGATATTCAACTTATCATCTTCATTATCATTTTCAAATCCGCTGACCGTATCGGATTCAACGCCAATAACAATTGAAAACCTAGAAAACGAGGTGGTCTCAAACCTGATCAAAACGACATTGAGACCGTTTATATTGCCGCCTGTGAATTTAATGAATGGGGTCAATTTAACAGGTAAAATAATGATTTGAATTATTTTTTTTTTGAAATCGAATGTTAGGTTTATCGGCGTCAATGTTTCAATTTTCGCCAGTCATTGACCATTTCATACAAACGCTGATCAAAGATGGAACATTTGCTGATCTTGCAATCGATCCGAAGCCGCCTACGATTGATGTCGACTCGATCGAATTATTGGTTAGTTTTCGCCCAATACTCTGCTACATTTTTTTTGTTTTAGCCTGATGACGATTCTGTGAAAAAAGATGCTCGAATTGATGAAAAAATGCTCAATTCTCAAAGTACGCCGCAGTCGACTGGAATATCGCCAAATTCGGCATTAGATTCGGGCACGACGCCGGAAAACGTGATGTCGAATCATAAGGCAGTCTCGAAGAAAATATCCATTCGCGTACCGCTTCGTTCTCCGATTCTGGTAGGAATATCTATTGCTTAAGTGTTACCGCTTTTGGCCCATTCGATTAGATTTTTGCAATTTTCGACTTCAGCAAGGTCGGCATTACTTTGAATGATGATAAAACAAATTACTGAAGAGTGCTGGGCGACCCGTAGTTTTGCAAGTACATCAATGACGCTGAAATTGATATTTTCAGCAGCTCAACACCATTGGAGCAAATGCGTTAGCTGGAATTAGTCATATATTCCCGTATGTTTATCATACTTTTCAAATTGGTATAAATGACTTCAGATATTGCAATTTATTTGAGCAGCCAAATGCGGAACCTGTGAAAGAATATTCGTTTCATCAAGTATTGCACATTGGAAATAATATTTTGGACGACACCGACTATGATTTTCAATCGACGTCGCGAGATATGACGTCAGTAGAATCATCGAATGAAACGAAGGACGCGGTATCTATTATATGGAATTTTGAAACAATTATTTTGAAATTTAGGTAAAATCGAACCGATCACTCCACGAGAAAGCTTATAAATGCCCGAAAATCGATTGCGATCGGAGATTTTCGCGAAGCGATGAGCTCAGTAGACACATTCGAGTTCATACGGGGCAAAAACCTTTTCATGTGAGCTCTAATGGACCTATGAATGAATGAAAAATGTTAAAAAAAAATACATAATTGTCATTAACTATTTTTAAACAGTTTCTTTTATTTCATGAATAGGTCTATAAATAATTTGATTATGAGCAATAAGGAAGTGATTTCAGTGCTGGATTTGCATGCGTTCATTTTCGCGTTCGGACCATCTTACGACACACGTCCGAACGCATACTGGGGAGAAGCCGTTCTCGTGCGAAGTTTGTGGCCGAAAATTTGCTCGTAGTGACGAGCGACGAAGGCATACGAAAATACACAACGAAGAGGTTGATTTATGAGTATTTCTTTTGCAAAAAGTGCGCTCAAGTTGAACGAGTGTGTTCTGCAAAATGTGTGCTATGATTTAAACTTTGAAAACAGTAGAATAGTGTCGATTGTTTGAAGTATCTTCTTGAAAATTGAAATTTATAATTCTCAAAAAACAACTGAAAGCAACTGGAGTTTAAAAGCGAATGTGATTTCTGAGGTGTGCAAGTTTGCGTCAGTGTGTATACAGGCAAACATGATACAATAATTATCTTAACAATTTTCGCAAACAATTATATTTTTCCATTATTAAAATGTGCATATAGAAAATTGTTGCAGGGAGCTGGAAAGAGGAAAACGCGAAGACCCGCTTCTTTCGATATGTGATTCACACGTTTCGATGGTTATATAGTTGTGCTCCTTCGTGATGCTCGAGATCGGATCGATGCGGCCACGAAAAAAAATAGTCCATCCAAAAATGATATCAATTTGTGAAAGATCAATTTTTCATTGCCAAAAATAAATGATTTGAAAATTTAGGGATTTTAGACACATTTTGAACAGTTAAAAAAACAGCCTGGAAAACTTCGGCAGATGGTTTTAATTAAAATTGTACTTTCGCTTCTTCATTTAGTATTTTTTTAAATTCATAATTAGAAAATATACAGCATTTCGGAAATTAATGAGTTACAGTAATGAGGGTTCTCACTTTTTATGTTGCTAGGGAAAAATTAAATTTCCAAAAGACCAATTTTCGCATTTCAAATTGGGAATTTCAGACGCATTCGCGCAAATCAGAAATTATTCGACTAAAACTACTACGCTAGCTCATAGCGGCATCAAAGTGTTCCTACAACGAAAATATGTGAAATATTTGAAATGAAATTATTTTCCCTCGCACAATTTCGACTCATTATAGAAAACGCGATCGTCTTTTTTGAATTTTCGCGCCACGGCTTACTAGGCGTAAACAACGGAGCGTCGTAAATGCCTTCGTTTTATTTCATTTTATTTTTTTATGCCATCGTCAGAATCAAGTCTCGAACGGCAATTTTCGTTGATCAACCGTAATTTATATCCCAAACCGTAGTAGAATTGACTTTGAGTTGTTTTTTTTACAAGCCTGGTCTTGTGGATTACATTTAAAAAAAAAACCAATCTCTTTATTTCTGCGAAGCGAGCAAATTGTTTGATACCCGTTAATTACATGTAAAAAATTGTGAACATCATTTGAAATCTTCAATTACAATGGAAATCGTCGAGGCTGATCGGATGTTCGTCGGCTGTCATTCATTTCAGCCGTCGTCGGCTCAACGTGGGATGGAGTGTCGAAACAGCAATTCTCGTCCAATTTTCGGTATTCATTCTCATAATATTCCAGGCAACTGTAATTCAATTAGAAGGAGTTGAATTGAGGCTTCTTTCAATTCTTACGCATAAATGATAATCGCCTGCCAAACATGGATGAATGAGAGAACAATGCAAGCCGAGACCGTACCGCAAATGACAAATAACGAGAGCGATTTGGACGGAATATGGTCCATGTCCAACGTATGACCTAATTAGTGATAATTAGAAGAACGCTAATTACGACTTAATTGGCTACCTATAATTTGCCGCATTGTATCAAAGCCGTAGATGGAGAATATTGTGATAATAGTGGCCATAAGCATACAAACTAATTGTTGGACAACCTGACTCAATTATGTTACTCGATTTGTTGAATTCCATCTGCGGACAAATTCCAAATGTCCGCAGCTGCTTGCCGACTTACCGTGATGATGAGGAACGGATAAAGGAATTTATGGCGTTTTGAAATGAACGCGTAAACGCCCAAACCGACAACGCAAATTGGCACAATCAGCCTGGAATTATTATATCATATTGTTAATATCATATAATTGAATGCGCAAACCATGTGCATGTCGATCGCATTCCAAATGTTAGCGAAACTCCCGAAACGGCGATATACCAAATAAGGCACAATTGGGTGCCAGTCTGAAATTCAATTCATTTTTGATTTTGAAATAAAAACTGAAACCGATAAATCGCTTACCACCACGTGGCAAATTCCGCAAAAGCATCGGAAGCGTTTCTCGGAGATTTCGCTGCCGTCGGGCATCTGAAACAACGACGACAACATTCGAAAAAAAAACATAATAAGTTGGCATATGGAAAATAAGAAGGCTCGGGTTTCTTCGACTTCCGCTCGCACATGTTTGATGGGTCAGGTATCGTTTTATGCATACCCAAATATGGGAACCGAGAAGCAAAAACAACAATACAGAGTGCAACACTTGGTTGTTCTCGATTTTGACGAATTGGGGGGGACGAACATCAATTCGAATCATTTTTCAAAAAACAAAAAAAACGAGCGTTTTGAGAAATCGAAATTGAATCTGAGTACTCGATTTTGAGGTCTTTCAATCAAAAAAAAGTAGAGGCGAGAGAAAAGTGCGAAAAAAAGTTTCCGAGGCGAGAATGTCGAGAATGAGGAAGAAGAGCAACGACGGAAATGGATGTGTTGAGCGGTCTTTATTTAACACCAAAATGTTCGTATTCTTCGTGAAAGATTTGGGTTGTACGATTTTCGAAATAGATTCAAATTGCCGCCAAACATCTCGTCGGTGTTTCTCGACGCGATTCGATTGGCAAATTTGAATTTGGCGTCTCAAATTTGAATTTTATTCAAATCCTCCCCTGTCAATGATTTTAATCGCTATCATTTCGAAACTCTGAAAATTTCATTTTCGATCTGAAATTTTTTTTTTGCAGAGACTTTGCAACACTTTTGGGGCCCCCGGTGAAACAATGAAACGAATCTCGAAATTCCCTGGAGAATCACGCGGGTTGCACTTAATTCAATTCGGCATTTTTCTAAATTTGGCCATAAAAATTTCGAATATGCGCGTTTCGACACGAATTTGGGGGGGGGGATTCGTTGAAGCTGAGTGATTCAAATTTGCCTGCCATTTTCTTGCGTTTTTATCTGACATGACATCCATTGAAATCTACCGTATGCTTTAAAGGCGCACGCTGAAAAAAGGTGGTAGCTCAAAATAGATAAACCCATTTGAAAACGTTCACCAACGATTTCTAATTAAAATAGAATGGCTGCTGCGGACAAAATAATGAATTGTAAGAAATGAAATATTTGAAGCCTACAGAGATTACTGTAGAAATCAAAAAAAGCTGTTTTCGCATCGAGATCAATTATTGGATATTTATTATAAATATACCTATAACATTATTATTAAAGGAGAATATCTGCACGTTTGAAATAATCTAGAACACGAGCTGAACACGTCGAGACCATTTTTTAAAGGCGCACACCCCAAACAAGAAGTCGAACGACTTGACGTCGGCAAGGTCTCATTTCTGGTTGAAAGATTCTATATATATATATATATGACAAAAAAAATCGAAAAATGGAGGAAAAACGTTGAAGGGAAAACTGAGAAGCCTAGACAAGACACACCGGAAATTGCGGTCTGGCAACGCGAAAAAGTGCGTCATAATACGTTCAAAAACCGGAGGTAAAGAAATGAAGTTATTTTAATGAAACAAAAAAAACGAGTGGTGTTGTTCTTCGAATTTAATCAAGAGGGGGGGGGGGTTCGAATTTGCGGACGAAAACCTTATTAGCGAGTGAGTCGCTCTTTTTTTGGGGTTCGAATGTTTTTGTGAACAATTTGAAAGAGAGACTGAAAAGTAGCATCTCCATTATCACCGGGGGCTTGAGCACCTTAAAAGGAGTGCGAATGTCGACTTAATTGGGAATATCCCACTATCTGGTAATTCAAAACCAAAATTCAGCTACCCGATCTGATTGGTAATTCTATGGATAACATTGTAAAATTGTCGGATCCGATTGATCCTGTTCGAATTGAAAAATTAAAAGACATCGGATTCGTCAAATTACCAGCTGTTTTCTTTGATCCAAGATTCTAAAAAAAAAGCTTCTTTCACGACCGTTTGATTTCGCGGGATTTGAATTCTTTTTTTTAAATTATTCTTAATTTTATTTGTTTTTCATACTTATCTCTGATGTGTAATTAATCAATCACAAGCTAATGACACAAAAAACGAATTAAACCACATGAGAAATTTCATTTAAAAATGATATTGTTGATGATAGAAAAAATCCGGCGTGGGCGCAAAATTTGAATGAAACTATCTTCTGTAATTTTCGATTTTTCTATAATTATTAACATCACGTAAAAAAATGGCTATTTTTCCGTCAAAAAACCAGATTGTATTTTTCCAAAAATAAAAAAAATAATCTTGATTCAGACAACAATTTAAAATTAAGCAAAGACATTAAAAATGTTCGAAAAAATTCAATTTTCAAAAACCACGGGGCCGCGGCCGCGGCCGCCTATTTCGCGGCCACTCAGCATTTTTTTCTACAAGCCAGTCTGTTCCCTCTTCCGATTAGATGATAAAGCTCAACGAGCCAGCGAATAACAGGAAACGGCGAAAAAAACAAAGAAAAATAAATTGATGGACGCCGGAAATTGGAAAAAAATTGCCTCAATTTTTAATTGAACAAAGGGCATCAACAAATGAAATGAATTGAGCAAATTTAAGACATTGTCTTGAATGTTTTAGAAAGTTTTTTCCAGACAATAAGCATTGAATGTTTCTTTTGGCCTCCTCTAAGTTCTATTATTATTATTGAAAAACGCGCGAGCTTCTTGAAAAGGACCACACATCACGGAAAAAATGGGTGGTCCCATGGAAAACGATGTACATAATTCTGTTTGATTTCGTTATTAGATGGGTCTTAGGCTTCATCGATGCGAGACCAATTCAAGAAATCATTTGGTGGTCCTGGTTACTGTAATGCCTAGAAATACACTATTAAATAGTGAAAAATGTCGAATGACGTCATATTTTCAAAATTATTGGAAGAAATGCCACGTGGCATTTCATGAAATGAAATGCACATGGAATATTGGTGGAAAAAATGAAATTGAAAATTCACATGACTTTATTGTGAAACCATTTAGTTCAAATAAATTCGCCCCCATTTTTTAAAAATTAATTGTTAGGAAAAAAAGCAGTGAATCGTAATTGTGACATCATAATTGCTAATTGATTAATTCGAGTTATCGGAGAATCTCGAAAAATAAATAAGAATGACGATGCCCTGCCCGGCCCGCCCATTCGATTCCAAGCGAATTAAGCGTTAAATTGTTGTTGTTGTTTTTTTTCTTCCTCGCCAATCTTCTTATTTTTTCCTGCTTCTTCTTCTTCTTCAATTTTCCCATCTTCCGAAATAAAGTTGAGTTTGGAAGGTTGAAAACTAATAAAGCAGACAATTCGGGGGCGCAAAAAATGAATCATCGAAAAATGAAAAAAAAAAACCAACAACAAATAGCTCGCTTTTATTAGTTTTTTTTTTCAATGGGCGATTTTTTTTTGTTAGAGATGGAGAGGGGGGGGGGTCCAAAAAAAAGAATTTATAGAAACAATTAGAGAAAGCCAAAAATAAATAAACTCGGTTCGGGCCACGAAATCCTCGTGGGAATTTCGGTTTGACGGACCAGGCCCGACCCGAATTTGATGCTTTCTCAACTCGCTGACGCACATTTTTTATTATCAATTTTCGTGCGTCCCCTTTTAAGGTATCAAATATTAATAGCAGCGAGTTGGGAAAGGGGGCAAGGGGTTTATTGATGGGAACTGAAGTGACCTCTTGATCGACGAGCCGTATAGATGACCATATTTGAAAGTGGTTTAAAGGAGCATCGACTCCTTTCCCAAAAAATAATTCTCTTTGTGGAACTTCTCTATACACAATTAAATGAGAAAATTAAAATTGAATTTAAATGAAAAAAATTGAATTCTTTTAAAATTCGCAATGTTGAGAAGCTCAAAAGTTCAGCAAATTTGGAGTTTATCAATATATTTTTGAATTCAATCGATCGCCAATTTTGATTTTTTTTAACCATTTACGAAAGAGGCGAACGGCGATTTGAAAACAATTTTCAAACATTTTTTCGAAAATTTCAATTAAAATTGAGCTTGTTTGAAGCGATTTAAAGTCGATTGATGAAAGCGGGTAGATTTACGAGCATGTGCCTTTCAATATGGTCTCGTCACGTGTGAAGGCTTATTTTGAAATTTCCACGTAAACTTTTTAATATTTATTGATGAGTATATGATTTCTTTGAATTCTTAATATTATCGCTGAAATTAAAAAAATTCAGAATGTCCTCGAAAATGCAAAAGTCCGTGTGAGACCATAGCGAAGGCACTTGCTCATAAATCTACCCGCTCTATACAACGTTCTAAACATTATTTATCAGCCGTAGAATCAAAGTTTTTTGCCCCAAACGAAATTGATCAGCTTTAAAATTTCAAGTTTATTTTCAGAATATTCCCATTAAAGGTGCATAGACACCTCTATATATCATTTTCTTTGCTGAAAATTCCAAAAAAAAAACTACACATTGTTGGGCTCATTTCTAAGGAGAAGAATACAAACATTTTTAATATATTATTTATAGTCGATTTTTTTCAATAAAAGAGAACAAGAAAGTCTTCTCATACATTAAAAAATAAATTTTTTTAATTTTTTAGACAAAAACTACTAATTATGCTACAGTAATTTGGGATACTGTAGCTCTTATAAAAGAATAATCGAAACTGATTTAAAATTGTAAAAATAACCTTGAGATATTTTTTTTTGAATTTTTAACTTGGGTTTTGAAAATCCAAATAATGTATAGTTTATTTAAAAAAAAAAAAGAGAGACGTTTGAAATAAATTAATTGATGCTTAAAACGAGAAAAAAAAAGGCGAAAACTGACCACGACAACAAGTCGAATACCCGACGTCGTCGGCTGCGCATATGTCCGAAACGGCATGCCAATTTTTTGTCGCCGCTGAAAATGATTGTTTTGGAATTGACTGCAATCCACGTGGCACATCTGAAGGCGAAGATCGAAATGAAGCGGAAACGAATTGCCGAGACGGCGAAATGTGTCGAGAGTCTGATTTATTGCGCGAGCCGAGAGCCCCCCGAGATTTTCATTGGAAACCGACACAATTTTTGGACATTTCTTTTTTTTTTTGAGAGAAAAAAAAAACATCGATTGTTGGTTTTTTTAATGGAAATTTTGCAAAACAAAAAAAGGCATAATAAAATGAATAATAATGGTATTTTTTTTAAAGAAAAAACCAAACAACAATTGTTTGAATGCAAGCCAAAAATTTCAGAAAAATTTCGATTTTTAGGTAGGTTGAATTGAATGGGGGTCTCGTCACGATAAAGATTGTTAAAATATACAAAAATGACCATATTCTTCTTTTCAGCTTCATCTTTAAATTATTTCTAGTCGAATTTCGCATAAAAGTCGGCGAATATGATTTAACAAATTAGAAGCGGGAATTCAAATTCGAAAAAAAATTCAAAATTTATTTTTTTTTTTGAATTTTCGAAAATGACGTGAGCTCCAGAGAATCTTTTTTTTTTGGAAATTTTCGGCTTGCAATTAATCAAAAACATTTTGGTTGTATTTTAGAAAAAAAACTATCTGCGGACATGTGTCGGGGTTTGATCAATAAGACAAAACCTGGTGACAGGGAGAGGGGGTTGGAGACCATGAATAAAGGATATCCGGGTGCTTCGGGAAAGAAAAAGAATGGGACCATTCGTCAAAGTAGAAGCTGGAAACCGCCCAAAAGCGGAGTAGTTCCATCAAAATTTATTGGCTCTTCTTCAGCTTCTTACACGTCGTCCTCTTCGATTTTTAATTGGATTTTTTTTGCTGGAGCTCTATGTTCTTTTTTTTCTTTCGAAAATAAATCGTTGTGTAGAAGGCTACGAGAAAAAAAATACAACGAGAAGCAGCAAAATGGTCATAAATTTGAATGGGGGACACACACACAAAAAAAAAACATGCGAAATTTGTTATGCGCGTTGTTTTTCGATTTATCATCGACATCCTCTCGGGAATCCGGTAGAGGAAGACGAGAGGAATTAGGACCATTGGAAATACGAAGAGCGATAAATCGAAATAAAATATTCAATTTGAGAATGGTGGTTGAGCGATTCCAAAGATGTTGGCCTCCGACGCGCGGGTAGATTTACGTGCATGCGCCTTCGCTATGGTCTCGCACGGATTTTCAATTTCAGTTATATTAAGACTTCAGATAAATCATATACTCATCAATAAATATTAGACAGTTCAAAAAAAATTTTGGAAATTTCAAAATAAGCGTTCAGACCATTTTTTTTTTGAGTCCATTTCGAAAGGAGCATACACGTCAGGGCTGTCGGAATTCGGCAAATTGCCGAAAATCAAAATTTCGGCTATTAAATTTTTTTCAACGATAATTCGAAATATAAATACCGAATTTTCACGATATCCCAAATTATTCAATGGGCATTCCTTTTTCTTTCGCCGATTTTTTTTTGACATCAAATTGCCGAAAATCAAAATTTCGAAAATTTCGGCAATTCCATTGCCGCACAGCACACGTAAATTTGCTCGCGTGGACGCCGACTATATTTCAATTTCAAAAAGAAAAAACGAAGTTCCGGTGTAGAAATTACAGTGAGTTACAGTGATTTTGAGACTCGCGCGATTTTCGTTCTCTTGATCTCTTTTGATATACTTGACACAATGCCAAATTAAGTATATATATTGTCGGAGTCAAACGACTTGACTAAATTAAAAAAAATATTGTCTATGTTCCCTTGTGAAGTCAAGACGTACGCGAGACTGCGTACAATGCATTATAGTGTACGCGCATTTATAACCATAGGTCAATGGAAAAACGGGCAGCAAATCTGAAATTTTGGATAAAGAATTTCTGGATTTTTTTTTAATAATTGAAAAAAACAACGCCATTCAATAGGGATCAATTTTCCGACAAAAATAGAAAAAATCCAAGAAACAAAAATGCTATTAAAAACGTGTCAAAAATGTTAAAGGGGGGTCGGCCTTCATAAACTTGACTATTTTGATGGCCTGCATAAATGTCCGCAGCAGTGTTTCGACTAGGGTCGGCCGCGTGTCGATAGCGTTGGTTTAATTACCCAAGTTTGAGGTACGCCTTGAATTTCCGACCCATTTCAACCAAGTGGTGTCGATATGAAATTTTGGAACCGTCTCCCCTAGTGGGGGACAATTAAAATTGGGTAGTTCTTCTCTGCACGTCCTGTTTCGAATTTTTCTTTGGAATTCTACAAAATTTTGCAGAAATTTTAAACTTATCATCATTTTGCAAAGAGTTTCGATCATTTTTTTTTCATTGTCTTCCAATAATATTGATTTATGTTGGCAAATGGGATTTCATTAAATTTTTAATTTAAAAAATTGTTAGAAACTGCTATGAATCAGAATTTCAAGCTTCCAAAACCAGAAGTGGCGGAAAAATGTCAAAAATCGCAACGATCTCTGGTGTGATCTCTTCTTCTTCTTCTTCTTCTTCTTCTTCGTCAACCCATTTTTTTACGAGCAACTCATCATAGAACATAAAGAAACCGAAAAATAAAACGCTCTGGGGACATTCAACTCAAATATGGTCGGCGGCGTCCGGAGACTGACTGACGGGTAGATTTACAGGGAATGCGTCTTTCTCTTGGTCTCGCAACGACCAACTGGTTATTTTGCATTTCAATAATTGGTTCGATAATTGCTAATTTGAATGAAGTTGAAAATTTCAAATGTCATTTAAACAATTATTTATAAAAAGACCATGTTAAAAATTAAAAATAAGCATTCACGCGTGGCGAGACCTTTTCAAGGCGCATTCGCGTAAATCTACCCGTTTACAACAGTCGTCACATTTTCGGAAAAATCGCAAAACTTGAACCCAACTATTTTTTAATTTTTTTTGACGAACTGATCACTTTTTTTGATGGGCAACGCCTTATTTAATGCCGCCGAGTTCGATAACGATTATTTATCAATTTGTGCAAATCAATTATTTATTCACGAAATTTACGAGCACACGCCTTTAAAATAGGTCTCGCCACAATTGCGTGTTTAAAGGCGCACGCTGTTTTTTTTGTCATATGTTTTTTAAAAGAAATATTCAATTTGAGCTGATATCGCTTAAAAATATACGCAATTTTAAAACTGTTTTAAAAAATCAATTTTCAAAAAATGTTATAAATCTTTTAAAAAGTCACGTATGCCATTTTTTTAATTAAAATTATATGAATTTTGTTGATGCCTTTTGTATGATGAATCCAGTGATAAGATGCACATTGCATTGCGAAAAATTCGCTGTTGGTTCTGTGTCGGAAATTTCTGGACATAAAAACGTTTAATGCGCCTTTAAGTAGCACAATCGCCATGTCGGCCGAGTTTGATTCGCAGGTTATTCGCAATACGGTACCCACTGCTTAATTTCGATTTTGAATTACCGCCTCGAAGAGGTGCGATGGTCCACAATTATACTCAAGGTGCTTTCCTTTTTTTGCGATGGTAATATTTGGAAAAATGCGAAAATGTTGAACTTTGAATGCACTATTTTAATACATTAAAAATTTCAAAAAAGCAAAAATATAATAGGAAAAAATTGCTTCCTTTTTTTGTGCATTACCCTATAAATTTCAATGTTTTATTTTGAATTCTATGAATTTTTGAAGTCTTCCACAAATTTTCAAAAAACCAGGGATGGATTCGTCGTCGGTGTACTCCACACGGAGCACCACTGCGGCAATAAACAATTAAATCAAAAATCGTCCTTCTATGCGAGACCCAAATTTCAAAAAGAATAGTTTTCTATAAAAATTGTTCGTCGAGGAAATAATTGAGAAAGCAAACGACAAAAAAAAATTCGCGGATTAGTAGTTATCAATCATTTCGATTGGTGTTTGTCGATGTCGAAAAATTTCCTCCCACCCCCCAAATCGAGGAGCAAATACCTCACTAATCCTCGAAAAATCACCCAGCATATTGGGTTCAATGAGGAGAATCATTGCTGATTATAAGGGCGGTTCTGTGAGATGCTGATAGCATGTCACAATATACCGTATATTCGATAAGGGGCTTTTCGTTCCGTTTCATTCGTCGTTTTTTTTCGCGTTTTCAATTTTCAGTGATTAGAAGGTTTCAGAATGAAACTGCAGTTCTTCTTTTTTCTTCTGCTTGGGCTCGCAACACTGCGAACCGCCGACGGTCAGGCATGCAACTACGGCGACACCGAGTTCGCGCAAAAGTTGGTTTCGAATTGATGGTACCTGGCAACATCCATTCAATTCAGCTGCTATCACTATATTCCGAATTTGATGACCTACAACGATGCGGTCAAGACGTGCAAGCAAATTGGACAGGCGATCGTACATATCAAGAATTCGTCGGAAGCTTATTTCTTGACTTGTAAGCCGGCATTTTCAAGAAATACTGACATCCATAGAATAGTGTGATATTTGTGCCACGGTGTTTGCACACAATTCACCCGTGCTACCGTAGGTTCAATTTTTTTTTATCAAATCTAAAGCAAACAGATTTTGAATAAAAAGTCCGCAAACACCGACTTGTTTTTTTTTTTTTGAAATAGGCCAAACATTTCAGCTACTGCCATGCAAAAATTTGGGGCCACCTACTCAGCGTATTGGCTCGGATTGCGGCGAACATCGGGAAACGGCGCCTTCCGATGGGAGGACAGATCTCCGGTGTCTTATACAAATTGGGCGACTGGTAATTAGCCAACAATTAAATACGATTCACTCGCCGACCTTCAGGATATCCATTCGAATCCTATCCGAACGTCGCTGTCCAAATCTCCAACACGAAATGGACATCGGTGTTCGACTATCAGAAGTTCCCAGTGGTTTGCCAGTACACGGGACATTACGCGCCAGCGACAACTCAACCACCGACAAGTAGGAAGCATTATCAAAAAATGAGTGTGTAGTGATAATTATTGAAATTGAAGCAAAGAGAACTGTGAATGCCTATTGCAATGGAGCACAACTCATATTGGATAACAGGTTTTGAGCAACGCGAGTTTGGAGCACAAATGCGAATTCAGATGCTACTTCTTCTTCAACACATTCATTTCGAATTATGAGGCAAAATTGGCGTGCGAACGAAGGGGATTGACACTGGCGGTGATCACTTCGAAATCAACAGCCAACTTCGTCTCGTGTACTCTTTTTTTCGCGAATCTCGCCGCCCGCCAACATTGCCTTATTTAGCCACCGCTGTGCAGAAGTTCGGCAACACCTACGACGGATTCTGGATCGGCCTTCATCGCAAGGGAAGCTCGACGACGTTCCATTGGGAGGATGGAACGCCGGTCGTCTTCACCAACTTCGCCGACGGATATCCATACGAGAATGAGGAGGACGTCATCCAGCAGCTCTCGAACGCCCAATGGATGACGTCGCTCAGCGACAGAGCTCATCCATACGTTTGCAGTGCATCGTTGTATTGAATAATAATTTAAATACAAAATACGGCAATATTTATATGTATTGAGAAATTGTGTTTAAAGATCGACGCTGCACATGACGCCCTCATTGGCTGCAGTCCGCGTGAACGATACCCAAAATCCATTCGGGGACATCTGAATATCATTTCATAATCATTTCAGAAAATTGAAAAAATAAAATCTGTTCAGCTATTTCACCTGCACCAACGAGTCTCCAACTTTTGGGAAATCCTCTCCAAAATTGACAAAGTCCTTCGCCGACTGATCAATCCATTCCCAGTTTCCGTTCATGTTCCTCATTCCGATGGTCGTGTAGCGCATGTCACCATATTGCTTGTAGATCAGAGCTGAAATTTGTTGTTGAAATTCTCATCGACATCACTTCTCAAACATCGGAAGAAATCATTGAGGCCTTCCGAATGAATTGTCGCCAATGTTGCGCCATACTTCTCGCATCTTTGCGATTCTCTAGCCAATGGTGGAGCGTCATCCTACATTCAAAAATTCAGTTTCAACCATTTTTTTTTCAATCATTATTACCGGAAGTGGTGGATATTTTGAGTCCTTGCCATAATCGATCTGAAATCAAATCAAATTGGAATAATTGTTGGGTTCGTGTTCAAAAAACCCGGCTTATCAATACAGCCGTTATCAAACTCACAATCAAATAGCATTTCGATGTTTCGGGATACAATGTAAACCCTTCAGGGCACGTCGTTCTCCTCGTCGTCGTCGTCGTTGGTTTGCGAGTTGTCGTCGTCAACAACTTCTGAGTCGTCGCTCTTTTCGTTGTGCTTGTCGTCGTAGTTGGTCGAACTGTCGTCGTTGGCTTCACAAACGGCGGGTATGAGCACACAAACTCAATCGACTTCGAGCTGTCAAGCGTCACCCATCGACTAGTTGCAATTCGTTCAGCAACGTTGTCGTGCTTATTCGGATATCCTGATCGTTGACTAGAATGACTTGAATGTCCCCCCATGCTTACCTCGTTCAAAGTTCAAATAAGACACGGTAGAGTTGTCATCCCAATAGAACAGACTGTAATCGTGATCGCGATACAATCCAATCAGAACTCTCCATTCGATTTTCCGAACTCCGAGGCGGCCGTTGCTAGAATATGCGCAATTAAGGCAATTATAAGAGAGTCACTTCAAACCAGCGACAAAATTCGAATCGATCGCACTGTCTACGGTAGCCAGAAAGAATCCCTCATCGTGACAGTACTGTCGGGCTGCTTTGTAATGGTGCTTTTTGGAGACGAACGAGTAGCATCTGATTCCAAACTCAATTTCATTCGATTTTTTATTTGTCGACGTCATCTATCGCCTTTTCTCATAATGATGAAACGCAAGGGAAACCAAGAAATGATATCATCGGCCAGAAGCCTTGTTTAAAGGCACATGCCCAAAAACATACTAAATACGTGGAAATTTATGATGACACTTGATTTTGGGAAAAAAAACCAAAAAAAACTGGATGTTTTAAATTTTGAAAACATATGACATAGGCTTATGAAAAAAAGAGCCTAACGGAATCGGACGCTCCAAAACCTAGTTTGTCTGACGCGCTGCGGTCCGCGTGCGGTTATGTCTGTTTCTAGATTATTGTACCGAGAATGTTCCGGAAAATCGAGAACACTTATATAGTAATAGAACTCACCAAATTAAACAAAAAGAACTTGACCGCACGCGAACCGCAACGCGTCAAACGGCATTGCAATCATTGTCGAAAACAAGGACCATCGAATGTTTTGGGCGCGAAAATTATTTCGATTAAATTATTGCGAATTCGTGTATGGTTGAACTGCAAATCAAACTCACGGACCTTTATAAACTACAATGAAGTGGGGGCTAATTTGGCGATGGTAATACATAGAAGGCGTTTTCAAAAATACAATTCGAATCAACTCACCGATTGCCGATCAATTTATCTCTGGTGTATTTGCATTGTTGAGCATTGATGGTGTGAATAAAAAATAAAGCGAGAATAGCTTTCCAGAACATTTTCAAAAAGTGTGCCTTTTTTGATAAGAACTTCACAGACAATAAAATTGAGAATCATTAGAGCACATTTATGAAATCAATCGAAATTGGTTTTTGATTTTATTCTCGTCATTTTCAAATTAATCAGTCGACAATTAAATATGGCATTGATGTATGTATTTTTTGTGGTTTTTTATTGTTCTAGGTTTCCTTCGACACCTCCCTCCATTTTTGGTGTTATTTCGGAAACCAAAAAAAAAAGTTATCAAAAATCAACCTCCCAAAACCCAATAAAGTTAGTCACGGCGCCGCGGAGCGAATCCCCCAGAAAACGTCGAGAAAAGAATATGTAGTCCAAAATGGTTCAATACGAGAATTGAGAATAGAGGCTTTCGGGGGGTAATTCAAAAAATGCTTTGTGCAATTTTAAATTTTGTTAATTTCAGATAGTCATACGCAACGAGCCTACCATTTTTATGTCAACTCCAGATATCCCTTATTTGAGATCGTGGAATATTCTGAATGATGCCTTCAAAATAAGGATAGCAATGGAAGACTTTCCGGGTCAAAAGAGCAATGGGAGGACATTTGAACGTTATTTTACCGGTCTCAAAACATCTCTAAAAATGTTTTAGACATGTTGTGCTGTTAAATTGAAGGGAGGTGGGCAGGCCTTTGCAATTATATTATAATTTTTGGTTTGAAATTGTGGCTAGATGAGCACCTTTTGTGATTGGAACGCACCATTCGCGACAATTTCGATTCAACATTTTTTAAGTAACTCATTTCGACCTTGTGGTCATTTCTGAAAATGACACATTTTCGAATATAGTGGCGGCGCAAAATCAATAAGAATGAGCTTTGAAATGGCTCAAAACTGGGAATATTAAAAATATGCGCTGGAACCGCAAAATACCTATTAGTTATTTCGAATATCTATTATTCATCGTCTGGGGAATCGAAGACGAAGCTGAATCAAACAGAAGAAGCGATAGAGAACGTTTATTTGAAATCAGTCACGACAAATGAGACGACAATTACTGATTTTTCCAGCTGAAAAATAAAATACAATTACGTAGGCATGTGAATCTTTCACCTAGTTTCAGATGCTGGAGTAACCGAAGATTCTAAAAACAAAAAACGATTAAATGAGGTTAAAAGGTTATTGGTGTGAAAAATTTGCCTTTTTGGTTTCAAACGACTGACCGTAATTCAAAAAAAAATTGACTATGTGCCACGGTGTATCGAGGCAAAGAAACGTGTGCGTGTCTGCGTACTGTGCATTTTAACGTACGCGCTTTAATATTTTGCGAGCGAATAAATTCTCAGCGATTCGATCGTTACGAACAGACAACTTTTTTTGGTTTGGGAGAACCCGCGGACCATTTTGCTACAAACATTCAATTAGTCGATACAAAAGTGTCTCACTGTTAAGCCCGACACGCTAAATTGAGGGCGACGCGTTATTGGAGTGTCGTACTGGTAGGGGTAAAAAAGCCGCGGAACCTTTTCGAATCGCTGAGTGCGTAGATCTACAATCATTTTCAAAACTGCAATTTTCCCGCCACCAATCAGACTTTTGAAACCGGCAATAAATAATTACGGAGGGTTGGACTGAAAATTTTTAGCGAGCCGCTCCCCGTCCCGCTCGACCCGCTTTAAATTGCTCGACAATAACTTGCTAAATGATCACGCATTTTTTCCTTCCATTTTCTCCCACAGCAAGATCCTCATAATACTTAAATATATGTACTTTTTTTTTACGCGAAAAGTGGTCTGCTCCATAAATTTGGAGTGTCGCTACGAGGCCGGGACGGGTTTTGCTGAGCCTTATTTTTTGAGCAATCTAATCATAGTGCAATTAATTAGATATGTTTACCTGCTGTCGTGGCAGTATATATAATCGTTGTCACAAATTCTGTAAAATAAATTAAAACAAGCAAAAATTTTTGAGCAATCTGCATTTAATCAGACTTGTCGCTTCAAAACCGAGCCCGATCATTTAAATGCGCGCCCATTGTCGACTGTAAATCGTCCGCGTTGCGTATGCGTCGCGGTTTGTGTTTTTTTTTCGTAATATATAAACTTCTTCCGGTTTGAGCCGGTCCAAAACACATTACCCAGAGGTTGAAACGACAAGCCGGCTATTAACTATATATTATATGTATACCTGTTGTCGCTTCTCTCGTTTTTGTAATCGTTGTCGCAAAATCTAAAAAAATGAATTAAAACAAATCGATGAATTCCAATTGCCTTCTGATGTTGTAGATTCCTCGAATCTTGCAGTTGTCGGTTCGTCTATATGTAAAACAAAGTGAGCACAACCGTTTTATCGAATACCTGTGACCGGCGAATCGGCGCTATAACTGCACACAAATTGCAGAGTTTTGTCCTCGGCCAATGTGATCCATTTCGCATTTCTCATGCTCTCCGCGACGAAGTTGTTCCCGTTCGGATAGCCTTCAAACAATTTCGTTCCTCAATTTCGGCATTAATCACCTGGCTGGAAGTTGGTGAAAGTCAACGGGCTGAAATTGTTCCAGCGGAATGGCGATGACGAATCATAGCGGCTCAATCCGATCCAGAATTCCGATTCGCTGTCTGAGAAGTACGATGGCGCAAACGCTGAAGGCGCAAAATCAATTATTGGCAATCGATTGGTTTCGCGACGAACACGCCAAAAAATTATTCTGGATCGCATTCTGAAGGATCGCCAATGATCCACCATTGATGGAATTCTTGCAATATTCACTGGCATCGAAGAAATTCTTCTTAGCATTGATGAATTGGAAGCATCTGAATTGCAATGAATCACCTCTTCATCACCGTCGCCTTCCTACGTGTTCCCAATGAGTTTGTCCTTCGGAAGGCAGTCCGATGCGACAAATGATGCTCCAATAAGGGCAACGAGTACAACTTTAAGCATTTCACTAAAAATCATTGGGGTATACTGAGTTCAATTTTTTTTTGATAAAAGAATGCACGGCATTCTTCCGCTTCCTTCCCATTTTATGGTTTTTTAATGGGCGGAGAATTGGTGATAGCTGCAAATTTCCATACACAGTTTGATCAGGAGGTTTCCAATCATTTGTGATTTACTTGAGAGCTTTAATCGATTTTTGAAGCATCCGAAGAAAAGTGCTATTCAGTGGACGGGAACACATTTTTTCAAACTCGGGAAATTTATTGTTATTTGAAATTTTATAAAAATTTTTGTCATTTGTTTGACACGAGCACATCGCGCCTTGAAATTGGTGCTGTTTTCTTTTCCCCACATGCGTCTTTAACCAACTACCGTAATCCTTATTTGAAAAATATAATAGTTTGGTGTAAACTCGTCGGTTCAATAATTTGATTCGCTTTTGTCGTATTCTTTTCGTAAATCGAAAAGGGCGTGATTAAAAACGAGTATTTAAATATTCAAAATTATGTAATAATACTAAAATATTAAATTTAATTTATTTTCTCATTACGTAAAAGAAAATGTAAAAAATCACATTAGATGTCCTGTTGTGATCGGTTGTCCTGATCGTTGAAGGATTGCGTCTGGTGGCGTGATCCGCAAGAACACCTAGTTGAATAAGTAGAGTTTATCTGAACTCTGAAAAGGTGGGAAGAAAGAATGAACAACACAAATTGCGCGCCCTTATGTACTGGGTTGACGTGTTTTTTGAGAACTCGTAGAATTTCTAGTAAGTGAGACAGTGTTTACAAAAAAATTAAACAAGCCGATTAGTTTTTAATTCCTTTCTGATTCGCCAAGTCTGATAGTATCGACGATAATTTGAAGCAGACCCTTTTCGTGGGAGCGTAGTGGTGCTGTCCCATGGATAGCTGGAAGTAGTGGTCCTGTCCCATGGATCATAAGTAGTACTAAGGTCCGGAGGATAGCTGGAAGTGGTCCTGTCCCATGGATCATAAGTAGTACTAAGGTCCGGAGGATAGCTGGAAGTGGTCCTGTCCCATGGATCATAAGTAGTACTAAGGTCCGGAGGATAGCTGGAAGTGGTCCTGTCCCATGGATCATAAGTAGTAGAAATGTTTAAATAAAATTTAGTCAATTTTCAAAATCTCGTCACATTAGTCACCTGGTGTGTACCCATTCGGATAGCTGCAAAGAAAGCAGCGGCGGTTGTCGCTCGATATGGTGATCCATGTGCCATCCTGCATGCTCTCAGCGACAAATCCATTTCCATTCGGATATCCTGAAAATCAAGACATTTCTTTTGTGAACAACAATATTTAATTGGATTGCCTCGTCGGAAATTGGTGAATATCATTTTACTGCCATCGCTCCATATGAACGGACCACCATTAGCCGGTTGGCTCAATCCAATCCAGAATTCGGTCACCTCATCGGGGAAGTATGAAGAAGCAAAAGCTTAAAATATATGTGAGATTTTTGCAATCGTTATTTTTTTTTTCAAAATTTCGATTTTTTATATTTGTGTCATACATGCTAGAAAATTGTCCTGGACCATCGAGCGAAGCACCGCCAGATTCATTCCGGATCTTCTACAGTAATCCGAAGCATCGTTGTATGTCATTTTGGAGGCAACAAATTTGAAGCAGCTGAAAATATTCCTTGATAATATTTATTTTCCATTTTTTTTTACCTGCCACCGATCAGCTTATCCCTCATCTGACATTCGGCGGATACCAACGCGAGCCCGACAAGGGCGAAAATGAGAAGCCGAAACATCTGAAAGATGAAAAATGATCAAGGTTTGTAAAATGAAAACTGAACTGATTGTGATAAGGAAATTAATGATAAAGTCCAGGTGATATCATTATTTGAAAAAAATTATTGAGATTAGATTTGAAGCTGAGAATAAATTCCATTATTGACACCCTCCATAAATTTGGAAAATTTTGAAATCGTGAGCAAGTCGAATTGGTCAAGGACACAATGCACACTTGATTGAAAATACTTGGAACGCTTGTTCAAATGATATTGTTGAAGTAGGAATTCACTGCAAGAGAGCTTATAAATCCGGTGTGATTACTATATGTTGAATATCAATTAGTCGATCTCATTATTCATGATTCAGACTATGTTTGTTACCCGCGCAGCTACTTTTTTTGTGACTTCTTGGATTAAAGTCCCAAGTTTCTCAATAGCAATTCCTGGTAGCACTAACTCAATTTGAATGTGCATAATTTGATATTTAGTTAGGCTAGTGCATTTTTTATCAAGTATTGGTCGAAAACAACTATAAGTATGAATTTATTCATGATTTTATTGGTCTTTCAAAAATTTGAATTTTCTTTTGAGACCAAAGTTTTAAAAAAATACGGGTTGGTTTGGCATAATTGCGCCGAGCCGTGGTTGGTTTTGGTTTAAACATCGGGGGTTCCACGGGGGTTCTCAAAACTGTTTTACCCTATCAGTACGACACTCCAATTACGCATCGCCCTCAATTTAGCGTGTCGGACTAGCAGCATTTGTTTCGACTAATTTGTTTCCCCTGTTTGTCCCAAAATGGTCCGCGGGTTATCCCAAACCAAAAAGTGTCCCCCTGTTGGTCCCGATCGAATCGGTGAGTCTCTTTAGAGCTTAATTTCTCCATTTTTTTCTGCCAATCATTTATAAAGTAATTTTTCACGTTTCTTAACATTGACTGTTTCTGCCAAAAAAAATCAACTAGAAGAATTAGTCGTGCGAAAGCGTCGAGAATTTTACGCATTATAATTCTTTAACCAATTATTTCATTTTTTTTTGGAAATTTCGCGATTGACTTGCATTCCTTCACAATTTGCATTGAAGCTTCATCATATTCGAATATCAAAAAATTAAAAAATTGAACATTGGACACAGAAAACCTGAAATCAGTTGTTTTCAAGGTGTTTGTTTGAATTCTATTTTTTCCATCGATTCTTTTTTTCAAAAAAAAATTGTAAGATTTAAGCTGAAAATTCGAACCCCATCAATTTCGAGAATTTTCATGAGATCTACGATTTAAAAATTCCGAGAAGTCTTGTGTTGAAATTTCTCGTCAAAACTATCACATCGACTTATTTGGCAAACTGCCTAGCCCGGAAGCACATAAAAAATGAATGAAACCAATTTGCGCGCTGATTATTACATTAAATTTTACACACGTTTTCATTCGCGAAAAATATTGAGTGAGATATCATATAATATATAGCGTTTTTTCTTTTGGTTACCCACATTCAACAACTTACTTGCAGGTTTATGATAGCGGAATGTGGCAGGCGTTGGTTGCCGCAGCACTCGTTCTGTGTGTAAGTTCTTAAAATTGTGGAATCGAATTTATTCAAGATTTTATACAATTTTTTCTTATTTGTTGAGCAATTAAATCAAATCGTTTAGCAAATACTTAAAATTGTTGCATTTATTTACCATAAATGATGAGCTATTTAACTTGATTGATAAGATTCTTTCATGAATTGGAATAAATTGACGTAGTTGATTCGGTTGGAAATTTTCTAAATAATCTGTAGGCAAAAAAAAATAGATCTTATAGAATATCATGCAATTTTAAGAGCAGAAATGCTGCTGCTGGAATGCATTTTCTTCGAGACATCAACATTTCAGGCGAGTTCTCTGGGAATTTTCGCGAATGTCAAACTATGGACATCATTGTGGTCCCGTTCGAGCTATGGACGATACGTTCGATATCACACATTCTGCAAAGGATTCACAAACTCCATCGTTTTATCGGTGTTTATAATCGCTGAGGTCCCAAATATGCTATTGTCAGTTTGAATATATTGTCAGCACATTGTCAGGGCGAATTCAACAATTTCAGAGAGTCCAATTTTTATCCGGAATTAGTGTTCAGAATATGCGGATCTGTCGCGGGTCTCGCATCGCTTCCCAATCGATTTTTCCAATTTTTTCTTTCATTCGGCACCTGCTACATTGCGTTTTCGCCGATGAAACCGATTCCAAAGTATATTTTCTATGTAAAACCATGCCGAATTCTACAAGCATCCAATTGTTCCCTTCAGATATCCACCGTTATTCCAATAATGTTCGGAGTCACGTTGTTCTCAGTTCGGATATCGTCAGCAGAATGCGGCTATCGATTCGATGCTATCAAGTTCGCCTGGTAAAATTATTTTTCGATTCAATACTCTTCAATAAAACAAAACTCTAGAAATTAGTATTGCCATCGCAAAAAAACCCGATCACTTTGAGTATATTTGTGCACCATTCTTGTTTTCTTGTGGCGGCAATTCAAATTTGTATTAGGGGGATTCGGGTTACCGTACTTCGCAAAACCTGCGGATCAAAGTCACCGTAAAACTACACCGGGTTCTCGGTTTTTTTTTGTAATATTTTCCATTGGACTAAGAGCCCAAGAATACAAGCAATTATGGCTTCAAAATTTCAAATATCGAATATAATAAATTCAAATATTTCAAATATAGGTCTTGGCGCGATATGCTGAGCTGTGCGCCTTTAACGTTTATATTTTTACAATTATTTCTTTTAAAACGGCTGTTTATCAAAGAAAGAAGCATAAAATCTCATCATTTCACCAATTGCTCAGTTTTCAATCAATCGCCGATGTTCGGTGACTAATTTAGGTGTCGATTTACGCTCATGCGCCTTTCGCTAACAAGGCCTCGCACTGACGAATTGTTTTCTAGATCTCACTCAAACAATTACTAATTTTAAAAACCTAAAAACGCCAGACAATTAATAAAAAACTCATAATGAAAATAAAATTGCTTGTGAAAATAAGAAAAAATGGGCGCTGCCTCGTGACGAGATCATAGCCGCTCGTAAATCTAAAATTCTTGAAACAATTATAAATATTGACAGCCGCATTCTTTTTTCCAAGAAACAGACACTTTTTTAATTTTTGCGAACCACATCTTGCTAATTCACTTCCTTATTAAATAGATTTGCAGGTTCTATGATCCAGGAGTGTGCGCTCAAACCGTTCAAAAGACTCAATCAAAGCTCATCCAGTTTCAAATAATTACCAGCTACTGTTTCAATTTTATTACATTTCTCAAAATCTGCTTTGATGTGGTATTTTGGAATACATTCGCTCTCATCGCTACTAATTCATCTCAATTTCAGAGGCGAAAAAGCTTTCTAGAAGATTCTCAGCTTCGAAGTCGATTGACAAAAACCAAATGGAGATTGGCGCAGGTACTCCGGCCTACTCATTGATCAAATAAAATTTAAGATTTAAATTGAATTCCAGTGTGTTGCTCAAGATCTATTCCACATTATCGACGTCACATTCTACGTCAACGAATCCGAAGGCTATGGTGTTCTCGTCAATTTCATTTTCAACACGTTTGTTTGGAATATGGCGCACGTGCTCGACGGGTATCGCAAATCCTCTCAGATAATCCTGATATTCAATTTCAGCTTCATAATGCTATTCATGCTTCAACGGGTTCGCTTCAACTTTCAGACAACTGTCTCAGTTGTCGTCAGCAGCTATAATAATAATAATAATAATAATAATAATTACAAGAAGGCTCCGACGCCGATGTTGCGAAATGTCACGCGTATCTAGTTTTCATGTGAAAATCTCTATGTGCATAATTCACTTTTATTAAATCTTTGTGCATTCAACGATTTGCTTTTCATCCTTTTCGTTTCTTCTCGGAACTCCCATGAGTTGTTGAAGAAAGTATCCTTCAAGTCTCGCGAACGGCATTTCGAACATCAAGGACCAAAAAAGTGCGAAAAGGGTTGTCATGAATACAATTGGCACCAAATTGGAGAAGTACTGAAAAAAGTTAAGAGTTGTTAAATGAAATCTTTCGCAATGGGTAACTCACCGTCTGAAATGCTCCACTAAAATGCAGCGGCGCCTTCTGCATATTCAAAAATGTGCCAATTATCATTATATGGCATAGATATCCACAAAATGCCAACTTTCCAAGAGGATTCCAAAAGTTCAGCGACATAAACTTCCCAATAAGGCCTATAAGAATTATCTAATGCAACAAATCATGAAAAATCATAAACTATCGAAAATTTAGTAATTCATCTGCGGACATTTTAAGTTGAAAAAAATTTGCGAAAATGGATACCTGATTGTCCACGATTGATAGCGAAAACGAGCCACGATAGACCAACGGACCATAATAATCTGCTAAACGCGTAGTAGGTTGCTCTTTGAAATGTGGTCCATTCATCACCTGTATTATTTTTATTTCGATTCCTCAAAAAACAATTCTATAGTCAACTAACCCCTATTGAACCAATGCAGACTAAATATGGATGAAGTGCAAATAATCGTTGAGATACACCAGAAAAGTGTCGAGACGAACTGAAAATTCCAGCATTTTTTGGAGGATCTGTAGAATTCTAAAAACTGATTACAAGATTCATGCGAATTTTCACATTGCGCGTCTTCCACATCACATATCCCATGCCGATGCCAATCAAGAATGGCGGAATTCGAACATACGAGGCGGCATAGACGAAATCTTGAAGCTGATGAATGAGCTCTATGTTTCCAGTCATGTAAACGCGAAGAAGCGTTGGTGGTAGATCATAACGGAAGAACAAATAATAAGTGATAGCCGTCGAAAGAACGAGACCGATTAATATCGCTAAGAAGCCAAACGTTGTTCCGAAAAGAAATGGAATAAGGAACAATGGGGAGAGGAGGTACATTTGAGTATCGGTCGCCATATACCAGGTGACAGATAGGCACTAAAACAATATTTCTAGGAGAAACCCCCATATCAAACCTTACAGTTCTTCTCGGTTCGATCAGATTGTTCACGTAGAGAATGTTCTTCCACCACAGTGTTCGGCAATTCTTCATGTCTTGGACCTTTGAAAGGCCGTTCGGCCCAAAATCGCTCTAGACCGCCCATTTTTACACGAGTATAATTGTTTGAACGTTTTTACCAATAAGCCATAGGTGGCATAGAAGAAAATGAACGAGATATAGGCCGGTGTGAGACGAAGAAATCGGTGAACGTAGAATATCAACCAGGTGTTGGGATTCATCGCTTTTCGCAATGTCAGTTTGGGAAGAAATGAATAAGCGAGCATTAGGCCTGAAGATTTTGAAGCGATATTGATTCGAACATGAAAACAAAGGGAAGCGACCTGATAGGAAGAAGAATGTGTCGACGGAGAAGAATGCGTTGATCCAAACCTCATACTCGATCGATGAGAAAATATCAACGACTGCCAACGGGTTGTCAGCAAATCCGAAATATCCCCATAAATGACCGGAAACAACCCAAGTGAATGATAGAAATCTGAAAGAAAAAAGAGTTTTTAAAAAATTGTTTGCATGCTCGGATTTTGACGAAACGCGCAAGTTTCACGGTTTTGGAGAAATCAAAAAATTCGGTTTTGTCATTTTTTGCTCCTTTTTTCTCTCTCCCGTTTCACAGCTGTTCCAAATTTTTATTTTATCCCACCGTATACATTCAACTCCTTTTAGAACGTTCGGATTTCTCGACGTCCGCAGCAAATTTTGGCCATTTGTGAGAAACGAGAACGCCAGCCAATATCGCAATTCTGAAATCAAAATATTCGTTTTTTTTACTGTTTCGTTCATTTATCACTTTTTGGGTGCGCTTCGCCAAATCTTTTTTGGATATATTGATCGAAGAGGGTCGCGGAAACGCACAAAGACAGCACAATTGTCAGAACAATTGTCATGCACCAAAACGGCAAATCAAAATTGAAAGATGTTGGTCTGAAAACGCAAAGTATAGGAGATCGGCGACGAATGATTGAGGCATCGTTCACAATGGGAACTCACTGGTTATTTGAAATTCTAGAGTTCATTCCATTTGATTTTAATACCAATAGAGTTAGAAATGAAAGAAAATGGCAAGCTCCACAAGAAAAAAAAAACGGAATGTTCACGTGGAAATTTAGAAATTGACGTTTTTACGTGGTGAGACCAAAGCGAAAGACGCATGCCCATAATTCTCATGTCTTATTATCAGTCTTACCTGCAAGTAACTTCACACACCGACTTGAACCCTTTCATAGCCAACTTATGTGGAATATTGTTCAAAATCGCTAAGAGATCCTAAATTCATTCAATTTGTAGAGGCCTGAACTACGAAATTCTGTACATTTTCCGAACACGACCTAGGCATGCACACATTTGTCTTTATATCTGCCGGTTTTCCTTCGCCACATGTTGATCCGACAGATTTCTAAAACGAACCATATTATGGATTTTTGACAAATAATGAAATACTGTTGGAGTTTTCGACTTCAATACTGACCCTAGTGGAACATTGAGATGAGCCCAACAGAATTGCGTTCTGAAAAAAAAAATAGCAAATTGAAAATATTCCTTTAAAAAATTTACTTGTAATCTGGATCTTTTGGATTACCAACATCCATGCATTCATCATAATCTCCCATCCAAATCTGAAATTTATCTTTGCAATTGAGAATTCATAACAATGTTACAAACCTTGTTCATCCCTAAAATATCACCAGGGAGTTTTCCAAATGAGTCCAACTCTGAAAATATTTGTTTTCGCTTTTTAATTATTCCATCTTATTACGATAAAGGCTGTAAATGTTGTCATTGAACGCCGGATCTGTCAGAAATTTGCATTCTTGCGGATTTTTCATTTTTGAGCATTCTACCAATTTTTTGCCCATAAACGAAAGACCTGAAATATAGAAATCAAGTTTTTAAAAGTCAGGAAAAGTACTTTTTGTGAATTCCTTCACTTCTTTTTCGCACTTTTCGCTCACATTTTGAATTTTCCCAACATCCGTCTCATTTAGATATCCGTGTAAGAATTCCTAAATCATATTCAAAACTAGTATTTTAAGAAATTTGTTAAAATACCAAATTAAAACAATCTATGGAATATGAAAATATTATTAATAGATGCAGAACTGTGGTTAAAACCGGTGAAAACATTTGAAACAATCGAATAATGTAAGATTTTTTGATAAGGTATTTTTGTGTTTTTCTTTTATTTACTTAATACGAGCAAAAATAAAGTTGATAAGGAACAAAAAATATAAGGAAAAACACAAATTGCTGGATTCATAATTCTTTGTTTTCGGTGTGACGTCAGAGATAAATATATCGTCAAGAGCTTACAAAATTCGGATAGTTTTTTAACAATTAATTATTAAAGCGTTTAGCGTCCTCGAAAAAATGAGAATATTGAGAAAAAAATTTTATTCATAGAAAAAAATGTCAGAAAAAATTTCAACTTCCGCCATTGCAGAAAACATTAGAATTGACGCAAAATTGCACTGATAATTTAAATTTTAAAATTTAAATTTTATAGAATTCTTGAAATTTTCAATTTCACATTTCTTTTTAACGGTCTTCGATCAACTTTCTTCAAGGTTGTCTGTTCGTTTCGAAATGCCGACAAAGAATGGCAGCTTACAACTTTGTAGACCACCTGATAACATCGGGTAACGATCAACTTCAGCGATAACAAGAGGTGCGAACAAGCGGCTATTCCTTAATTCATTGAATGTAAATAGTATGCCACATTCAACCCTTCGAAAATATTTAATTTGATTTACGAATTCCATTTTCGAAATTAAAGGGTTAAATGGGCTTCATTGTGTACATTGGAGTCTCATAAAGGCCATTTTCTCATTTTTTCTTTCAATCATTGTCCTTATTGTCGTCCTCTATTCAAAGATCATTGTTCGAATTCAAGTATTTTACAGGTACAATGGTTGTGGATTCAACACTTCAAATTATTGGATATGCTGCGTTATTTCTTTCATGCATTGCTTTTGGAACGATGTTCGTACCATTGAAGCGACGAAATTGCAAAGATGGTACCAAAAATTGCGAAAAAAAATTAATTATTAATCTTTTTCGGTAGGTTTCTTTGTTCAATGGATTGAATGCGGAGTAGTTTTTATAGTCGGTTGCATTTTCTACGCGGCACGCGGATTTCCAACATTCGAGCCAGTTGCCTGCATCGGTGGATTCCTATACGCCACAGGTAAGCACGTCAAGCTTCTCATGCAAAGCGAAAAATTACAGGAAATGTGTTTAGTGTGCCGATTGTTGAAGGAATTGGAATGGGCATCGGCTTCTTGATCTGGACGAGTCTTCAAGTATTTCATTATTCGTTCTTTCCAATTTACGGAGATTCGTTTTCTTCAGATTATCGTGGGTTGGGGAGTCGCCCGTTTCGGAATATTTTCCCTAATTGCTCCACAAGATGTCAAAATCGACATAATGAATTACATTGGAATGGTGCTCACTATTGTCAGTGGAATAATCCTAATCTTCGTGAAGCATGTTGATGACGATGAAGGCAATTCTGGATCGTATGACGTCACGAAAACCGAAGAAAATAGCGAAAGGGATACATCTACTGATGACTATAAGCAAATAATCAAGAAATTACCGTAAGTTTCAAACTGCATTCTTCATTTTTATCATTTTTTTAAATAAAAAAAAAACAATAATTATTAGTAAAATCAGTTTATTCCAGATACTATATTATGGCGATTATTCTCGCATGCCTCCACGGTCTCATGATGTCCCCAATCGATTATCTCAAACAGCACAATCCAAGCAATGACACATTCAAAGTATTCGACTACATCTTCCCATTCTACTCAAGCGTCTTCCTCTTCTCAACAATCTATTTCTTCGCGTACTGTGTCATTCTTCGGAGGAAAGCCTACATTGAGCTCAACCTCGTTATCCCATCCATCGGGTACGGCCTCCTCTGGACTGCCGGAATGACACTTTGGTTTGTGTCAAGCGACAAACTATCGCAAGTTGTTGCTTATCCGTGTACGGCAAGACTTCCACCATTGATCAGCGGCGCATTAGACGTGTTCGTTTTCAAGAGTATTAGAGTATGTCGAGTTTCATTTTTATTCTATGTTTAAATGGAAACAATACAGGGTCGACGCTCTTATATGCTTCTCGCCTGCTCAGTGTTCATCGGAATCCTCGCCGTGGTTCTGATCGCGCTTTCAAACGAATTGTAGACGTCAAAACTCCGCCATATTTCATTTATTGATCTCAATAATTTTTTTTGGAATACGCTTTAAATTTGATCCTCCTTTAATTGTTTCGCAAATTCCGCTTTTTCGATTCTCGCCTTCTCGCGCTGCTTCCTCGCTTTTTCCTCTTTCTTTTGTTGTAATCTCTGAAAATCATCGCCAAATTTTGAACAATTGCGCTTCAACAGTTTTCAAACCTTCAATTGTTCTTCATAGCAATTGTCACCATTGTAATGACGATCGAGAACGAATTTCATTCTCTCGAACGCAATGTCGATGTTCTTCGGAAGGAGGCGTGATTCATGCACCTGTATATTCATGGTAGATTGCTCATTAAACTAATAAATATACTTTTATAGTGATTCCTGTTGGCAGATGAGTTAATTGAACCGCATTCTGCGCCGTGTTCACCTTCTGACCGCCAGGGCCCCAACCAGAAATGTACTTCTGAATTTTACAGCTTCAAATGATTTACATTGGCTTTTTACCTTGGAAACCTTTCAATTATTCAAAAACTCATTCCGAAGGCCCAAAAAATTGGTTAAAACGGGACAGTTTGGTCACAAGACATCAAGTTCAAAATATTAATATAGAGATAGGGGACTAATATTGCGCGAATTTCACGGCCGCATGAAAACAAAATTAAAAAATTCAGAAATAACAACCTGCTCGCAATCTTCTTTCCGGACTTCTGGAAATACGTAGCCTTTCAATTTTTGTTTTGGTGTCGCATATTGGCGTATGCCTTGAATCACCCTCCTCACCAACATTACTGTAACATCAATTGTTGTCGATGTGTGGCACAAAAGGCGCAAATACCATAGAAGGTAGCTGAACCGTCATAATCAACCCAAAACGATGTACAAATTAAATTATTTATGAAGCTCATCAATTAAATACACAACAATGTTTCCCTATAAGTGTAAATATATGCAAGCAATATTATGAAAAACATTCTAAGACAACCCGCAATCTGAAAAAGTCGATGAAAACTGATACAGGAAGTAAGAGAGGGGGAGGGGGCAATATCAGAATATATTACATAAAAAATTAATAAGTTAAATTGATGATAAATAAATAAATAATCATCTCAACTAGACGTCTGTTGTAATCTCAAAAAACATTTTCGACAAACACGAACCGGCCGCGAAATGTTCATTCGGGTGATATGTGATTCAAACCGGCTGCATCTGAAATTGCGGAACCTCTAAATTCGAACCAAAACTTTAACAAGCCTACGTTGAGCAAAATATTTGCCCACAATTTCGACAGTGATGCTTCCTATCAGCAAGTGTGAATTTGTGCTCACAATCATCGCATCTAAAAATCAGGCTGCTCAATTTCTCGATGGCTCAATGCTGCAAACCTTTGCCTAGTCACGTCCTGCACCCAATTATCAGTTCTTCCTCCGCCTTCGCTGCTCTGCCAACACCAAACCCTTCCAATCCCATCTCCAATATACAAACATTTGTGATCTTTGCTCGGCGCGATTGCTGTTATCGGCGCCGGATGAATATTATCGGGCCGGTTGAACGCGGTGTGCATTGTCAGCGCCGTTCGCTGCACCAAAACTCGCACAAACTTCTCCGGCTCATTCACCGAGCCATTCGATTTCACCAACGACGGGCTCGGCGGCTCCGATTGTTGCGAGGTGATCGACATTGAGTCTAACGACGACAATTTGTCTGTCGACGAGTTCGACGTCGTGTTCGTCTTGAGCCGCTTCCTCTGCTTTTCTAATTTCGCCGCGAGTGCGGCTGATCGATCAGTATCCAAGCTGAAGCATATTAAAATTCCCAAGGAATTCTAAAGAATGAAAGAATAACCTATTCGATTCCAAATGCGGCTGCTCATTAACACTTCCATCGTTCTTAACAACAAGGCATGAATAGATCTTAACGATTCCATCAGAAGTTCCGCACATGATCACATTGTCATTGTCCCATTCATTAAGCTGAAAATAACAAATTCAGAGATTCACAATTTTTTTTGACAAACTCGCTACCGTTGAGAACGCCAATGAAATAATCATCTGTTGTGGATCAATGGAAGGCGCGATATCGCATGTGTTCAACACGGCCAGTAGGCTTCCATTCAATGTCCAAATATGAAGAATTGTGGCACACGCGGTCGCAATATCTCCTAAAGCGACAAAAATAATATTTTTTGGACTATTAATACAAATCTAATCAAATTTCAAAATCTATCATTACCTGTTGAATCGTTTACTGCCACTGCAACCACTGGTTGCGGATGTTTCGGCAATTGGCGAATGAGGAACATCTCCGACAAATGCCAAACGATGACAGTCAAATCGCGCGATGCTGAAACAAGAACCGCATGCGATTGGCACGAGACAAGACATGTGATGGCATCCGAATGTCCGTTCAACACCGAGAGCTTCTTCATCGACAACGGTTTATTGATAACTTTCCAAACTCTAAAAATTTCGAATTGAGGCATTTCGCAATCGGAACATCTCCCTCTTACGTGATGCAACCCGATGTATTTCCACAGAACAATGTCGAATCATCGCCAGCAGCCACACAAGTCATCTCATCGGATTCGCACATCTCATGAATGCATTGCGATTTGTCGGAATCGATCTGTCCGATTCGCATGCTCCGATCGGGCAGTCCCCACATGATGTAGCGATTTGATCCCAAAAGCACCTTGTTCTGCTCAAGAGCAATCAGACCGACTTTATCGTTGTGATGAATACTTCCAACCGTCGATCGAAGTTCTAAAACAAAAAAAATGACGATTTGGCTTCAATTATTCGATTGATACCTTTAAACGGCGATTGTGGAGGTGTCATTGTATGAATCATATGGTAGAACAACCGCTGCGTCGTCACTCCCGGCGTATTGCTATATCCTTCGAGAATATTCACCTTCTTCTGAGGATGCGGCTTTTTGAACAATTGCGTTGGAATTTGTCCGAAATTATTCACAAATCCAATCGTCGCATTTCTCGTTAGCGGATCATCGATCCTCTCAAAGTCTACACTTCCTTCATAGAAGAGGTGATGGAACAAATTATTGGCCTAGAAATACAATTGGAAATCCTCAAAATTGTCGACAGCTCACCTTGACAGCTTCGTCTCCATTTTGCTTGTAACCAAATATCAAATCGATCCATTCGTGAAGATGTGACGACACATAATCGCTCTCGAGTGCTTGTCGGTGCAATCTGGAAAAAATGGGGGGAATTCGAAGAAAAAAAAAACAATGATACCTGACAAATTCTCGAGGATCATTATGAGCCCAAGTTGGTAGGATAACATCATCAACTTGAATCCCATTCTGCTTTACGCCAAGATCAAAATTGTTGCTATTCTAAAAACCGAGAATGACGATATTTTTGAGAGCAGTCGAAAACAAAACAACCTTGAACATTTCGGGAAGCGTAAAGAATTCGGGAATCAATTCCTTCACATCAGCCATGTTGTTCTTACTGGCACTCGTCCACGCGTCGCCAATGCTATGAAACATTCGATCAGCAAGATCAAAGTGACCTCCCTGAAATCAATAATCGCACAATTCCAAATTCTGGAAAAAACCATCAATTACCTGAAGTGACAAGAATTGTTGAGTAAATGGCTCCAATCGCACCAAATACGAGACAACAATCATCGCGCTCGAATAGTGCGTTCCATACATATACGGCGGTGTTTCGCCAGAAGGATCGTCCCATTCGCGGAATCGTTTTAAGAACTGCTCCAATCGTTCGGCACTCTGAGCGCCCATCGGTTTGCCAAAATCGCGGAACGTTTTCACGTTGGTGAAATCCAAACAATTCGACGAATAATCGGCGAGAACCCAGGGGAACACGGGATATTGCGACAAATCATTGTAGCATCGTCCAGCCAGCGTGTTCAAGTGCATCAGATATTGGAAATTGGTGATGTTTCCATTCAGCCAACGCTGAGTTACCGATTGTTGGCCGATGAGCGACGAGAGAAGGGAAGCTCCTGAGAATTACAAGTTTGATGTGAGAAAAAAAAAACAGAATTATGCCAACCTCTGTTACATTGTTCAATCGAGACATTCGCCTTCTGCCCTCCAAGGGAGTCGATTCCACCACTTGACAAATTCGTCGCCATTGAGATCAACCTATAAACTGCTTATTTGGATGCATGTTAATTGAATGAACTACTGGTCATAGACGCGATCTCGAATCTTCTTCGGGAATGCTAACAAATAATTCCTGCCATCCGAACTGAATACTTCGAGGGCGATCGGCTGCAAGAGGTATCTAAACAGATTTAAAATATTTTTCAAATCATCAATATGCATTTAATACCGTCGTTTATGGATCTCTCTGATCATATGATAGCTAAACTTGCTACAAAGTCTCGACGATTTCGGAGCCTGCGTAGCGCCGGTGGCCTGATATGGAACAATCGGATCATGCATGCTGAGAAAACACAATCATTAAAATCCGAAAAATTTTACTGAGAAATTACTCTGGACTCAGAAAATCGAGATCGCGAATTTCTTTCGTTTTGAGAAGGGTGAATCCATCGACCACATAGAAATGATCACGCCCAAACAGAAGAAGACCTTCGGCGGTCTCAAGACCCTGTATTCTCGCACATCGGTACATCGAATGCAATTGTTCTCCTTGTTCCAATAATCGAAGAAGCGTCTGATTGTCGGGTCCCGGTTTGCGCTCCTCCTTCTCACTTCTCGCCGATTCGGGAGGCGCCGTCTCCGGCTTCTCGCTAATCGAATTCGAATTATTCGATTTGTCAGATACCGTCGATTCTTGAGACGTCGAATTCTCATCAACCTTTTGTGAATCGTCGCACTCCTCTTCATTGAGTTCAAGCGATTTCGGGACATCTGTGGTGGATGCAGTAGCCGATAATCGACGAATGAGCGAAGAATTGATTTCTGAAACTTCACGTTTGGCATTTTTTTTTTCATATCGACGAATTATTCAAAAATCTTACGCGACAAATCGGTGAACGAGTATCCAAAAGTCTTATTTTCTTCGGAAGGCGTCATAACCGACACGGATTGATCCAAAATTCTCGTGTCCAACGTGCGTTTTCGATGTTTCAAGCAGGCTTCATAATACGCTTTCGAGTCATGTGATATCGCCACTTTTGCTCTTTGAGCCTTCGCCGTTGTCGCGTCCAAATGCGGCCGATATGGGTAAATGTGATAGAAATTGCGATTCGGAATCAATTTTCGGCGCATTCGCGACGGACCTTCGGTGAGATCAAGTTTGAATTTCTCCAGTTTTGACGCCATTTCAGGTCCCCAAATTCCGCGCTCTCGGGTCAGCTCTGCTTCCCAATGGTGCCAATCATGAAGGCACCATTTTCGGACATGCTCATGCCATTCGTTGTATCTGAGAAGAATCAAGCAACAATGATAAAATTGGAAAAATTCGATTAATACCTTGTAGACTGCGCACGGATGAGCTCTTTGATCAAGCTGATGTGAACACGAAGCCACATAAAGATCACCTAAAGGCCATCATAAGTTTGCACATCACGTAATAATATGGAGTACCTGCTTATCAGCAGAAGATATCTTCCAAGGCGACATTGTTCCGATTCCACTCGTCGTGCTCATCGACCTCTTTGTGGCGAATCTGCTGATTCCAGAAGCAACTCGATTGAATTTCTAAATTTTTCATTCCTCAAAATTCGATATGAGTCGAGTTCCACAACGCACCGAGCTGATCTGCTGCTGAATATCCTTGGCCGTCGAATTATTCTGCTGAGTGTTGGATCTCAATTGTGAATCTACAAACTGCTGCCAGTAGACGCCAGCAGTATGCGCGAGAAGAGCACGAGCGGCATTGATCTCGCTAACAATCTGTCTCTTGAACGTCTCCTCGATCAACGCCTGCTTCGCGCATATCACATCATCCCATACTCTCGTTGCACACATCGCAACTTGAGCACTGGCTCGATCAAGGTCCGACGAAGTCTCCTGAACAAACCAAATTCAACTGATTGCTTGAATCGATTCCCACCTGATATAAGACATCTGGAGTCACCGAGAGCATGAAAATGAGATGTGTCAATGCTGCGAAGAACCAAGACTCGTTAGACACAAGGAACAAGTATCGTTTCGAGACCAATGATGACAAAGCGTCAAGAACACTTAGCTGGACGGCTACGGTATCAATTGGACGGCTGAGAATGAACAATGTCATTTTCATGACGCAAGCTGTGATTGGTTCCGGATTTGCCGCCTTGTTAGCCTTCTTGCACGCCAATGCTTGCAGGTGGTACAGTGTTGAGAGCATTCGCATCGGCTCACCGCCGATGAGTCCATTCCAAAATCCATCCACCGCTCGATTGCACAATAGAGAGATGTTAGCGATTACTTGGATTTGTGGCTGAGCTTGAACATTCGGTGGGAGAGCCGACGAGCTCAAAAGATCGGTGCCAACGACGTGCTCGAGAACCGAATGGATAATTGACGTTAGGCACGCGATCTGCGTTTTTCGCGTCAAACCAGATTCGCAGATCACGTCAAGAATCACATCCACAATAGATTCCGTCTTGGAAGGATTGACCTGAAGGTTGTCCGAAATGATTTTCTTCAGCAAATCGGTCACAATTTTCACATTTGGTTGTGCCAAAACTGAAAAAATGCTCAGATTGAACACAATAAAACTCGTAACATACAAGCTTGGAAGTATTCGGCGTCCGGCGTTCCGGCGTCCACACTCCTTCTAGTAGATGATTCGGATCTGATTCCCATCGCGTTGGTATCCTCAATCAGACAAGAGAAAAGAGCCAAAACGAACTCTTCAGAGTGCGCGACATTGAAAAACGCGGTCGAATTTTGATACATGAACGTGATCATTTGAATGACAGTCGACGAATTGTTTACATGCCATCCTTGCTGCTGATTTCCATTGTTGCAATAGATCGCTGCTCGGACCATCGAGAGAAGAGGAATCACCGCGTCGAAGCAGAAGTTGGCCGAATTGATCGCATCGAACACAGAACTGAAAAAAATCGAAAACTGACATAAAATCTGTGACCGCAAAAATGTATTACCTATTCGACGATAATCCAAACACATGAGTCCATACAAGCTCCATATTGAACTGATCGCAGAATCTGAGATTGCTCACAGGTTGTCCAACAAGAATCGACAGCATTGCATAATATGGATACGGTTTGTCGGCATGCGCTGCCATCAGATGCTCGAGCGCCGCGAAACCACCGCAATGTTGAAGCTCCGGATTGATGTCAATTTTGGATCCAACCGAACCGCCGTGCGCAGACACTGAAAAGCCGAGAACGACAGCGGCACGATTCCGGACAACAGAATCCGCTTCGGAAAGCCAACCACCGTTCGACGAGCCTTCTTTGAACTTGGTTAGAAGGAGAGGTTGATTAAGGATGAGAAGCAGAATTCTCAAACTCAAATAGAGTGTGCCTGGGTGAATTCCTGGAGACATCAAAGCAAACAACCAGTCATATCCCAAAGATCGCACGATTTGCTCACACATTCTGTAAGAAACTGTCATTTCCGAACAAGATCATTGTGATTCTCACTGTTGTTGAAGATGTGGGCTCGAGTTTGACAAGAAATTGGCAATAATGTTCAAAAACCGATTCCGAATATAGACAAGATTAATCGTCCGATCCAACGCCTTCTCTTTATCCGTCTCCAAAAAGAGTTTCTGAATTTCCGAGATGTGGAACGGAATCTGATTCTCCTCATAGCATTCGGATTCCCTAAACCCAAAAATTGTTTAGAGAATTGATTGGTCAACCTACGATGTTGGAAGTGTTGCTCCGATGATTTGTCCCAACTTCAGAATACTTCTTGCATCAGACGGTGGTTGAAGGATAGCAGACACCAAATTGAACACCACATCATCGGTGTGCCGCACCACCGGAATATCATCATGCATCGTGAGGAGAAGTCTCGAAAGAAGCGACGATCTTCGAACAATTTGCAAATTATTCAATTGATGGTCCGTGATAAGCTCATAAAAATGCTCAAACAGCATTCGATGAAGCTCAATCGGCGCATTTCGCCAAACTTTCAAATCGCACAAAAGGTCTTCAAACGATGGTGGATACGGTATTGTGGCATGCTCCTGTTGAGTGTCGGCAGTTCCGGTAACATTGAACACCATGTGCATAATGTGCGAATTGAGCATTTTGGCTTTATCCTCGAGGAGGACGGCGAGAATCTGATAGGATCTATTGTTATTCCACGTCGCCAAAAGTTTCGGATTCGATCGAATCGCAGACACCAGCGCCTTCAACGAAGCGTAGAGCCCTTCCGAGTCAACAGCCATCGCAATAAGACCATACAAGCACGCAAATCCTCCAATCGAGTCAAGAAGTGCCGGCACCGGTCGCGGTGTGAACGTGCGCATTCCCAAATAGCCGACAATCACACCGCCAAACGTTCGTCCGGGTCCCGGCGCGTGCGAGATCGTGTTGAATAGCACACGAAGTGGTGTGCTATGATCATTCGGCGAGATGCCGAGATGATGCGACAAAATCTCGGCATCCATTTTGCCGTACATGGTCCGAATTTTTGCCATTGTCATTTCAAGAGTGGCGGCAGCGGATAACGAGAACACAATCTGAAAAAATAAGACCATTGAGGAAAAGATTTGGGCATTCGTACCTTTTCCTCATGAACTAACGCTGTTCGCTCGGGCGATGCTGTTTGATAATTACCAATATAATGCGGCTGAAGTTGAACAATCGTTTTGATCGTTTCAGCACTGAGCGGCTCTTCGGCAAGAAATATCGAGGCAAGACGGAATCTGAAACACAATTTTCTGAAAGTCGATATTATTGACAATAGAATACCGTAATCGGCTCGGCCTTCGCAGCGCTGGCAGAGTTCCAACGGTTGCATTAACTGAATGAGTCTGCGCCAATTGAGTCGCTCCTCCACCAGCATTCTGCGCCACATACATCAATTTCTGCGTAGAAACCAGGCGACCATTAATGAACACCGAGACTTGTGAGGCTTTGAGGACCGATCGATTGAACACCAATGCGATATGGAACCATTCGCCAGTTCGGACCACGTCAGCCAATGTAACGCGAATTAGCTGGAATTCGGAAATGTGTTAGGCCAAACATATCAAAGAAAAAAATCGAAATTACTTTATCCGATTGGAAATTGGCGCACTTCTCCAAATCGGCGCCGGGCTGCTCGCTTTCTTCGGTGGATATGAGCAAACTTCGATCGATCGCGCTGAATTGCATTTGGAAGCATGCCAGATGAGTCGGCGCCTTTTTCGGGTCGCCAGATGCAATGGCGCGTGTGACAGTGAGCAGACGAATCGGATGAGCATCGAGCTTCTTATCAGAAAGAGTGTCCAAGTAAAGCCATGTGCAATAAGAGAAGCCATTCAGCGGCGGAAATATTCGCTCTATAATGTTAAGACTTCGGTGTATTTAAGAAAAAGGAAATGTTTCATTTTTTTTTGTGGAAGACCACAATTATTGAGTTTTTATGGAACATTTCGCTATGAAAAAAAAAAATGGAAAATACGGTTTTTCACACCAAACTCGTTCTCTAAAATATGTCACGGGATGAAAATTTACAGAAATTCTTATATAAAAAGCAAACAATAATTTTTTATATGAAATTACGAATCTTGGAAAAAATAAATAAAAATGAATCTACCTGTCTTCGTCGAGGAGAACATCGGCGCCAATGATGGCATACACAACGCGGCAAATCCTTCAACCGACATGTCGAATTCAACGAAGCTCGGAGCAGTTCCGATATATTGATCTCTAGGAGTCATCATCGAAACAAGCGCTTTAACTCTAAATGACGAATTTCAAACATTTGATTGGTAAATAAATTAAACCTCTGAAGAGGCACTGGTCCACCTTCAGTTGGAGAACCTGACTCGGCAGTTGTGTCATCCAAGTTCCTGCAGCATAATGGACTGTCTAGCCGCAGAAATGATCTAAAATTGGGAATGTTTATAAATAATAGAACCTCTAGACAAACCTTAATTGATTCGGTGTCAATGATTGATACGAAAGTCTCTCAAGCAAATAATAAAACGGCTGAAGTAGAAGATGGTTTTCCATAAGGAAAAGCTTTCCAGCCACATCCAATAAACATTTTGGCATATCGATTTGGCACATTATCTGTTGATTTCGCTCCGATTTGAGAATCGATTTGAGAAGAAGAGCAACATAATACTGAGCGGCCACTGTCCATTTCATGTGCTCACACGAAATCGATGGTAGAAGCGAGAGCATTGAGATAATCGCTCCCGGATGGACGAGCATCGACGACGTCCAGGACACAATCGATTCTTCAAGAGATTCCGAATCGTTCCATTTTATGTCCGACGACATTTTCTCATAATTGTCGAGCGCCATATTGAATATTAGCCGAATAATATAGCATCCGAAATAAATTTTGAACGGCATATTAGCAGGAACATTACTGAAAAAAAGATATTGTGAAAAAATTGATTTAAAAAATTGGAATACCCCGTTTCAATGTTATCATCAAGACGAAAAACCTCATGACACGCGGCGATTTCCTTCGGAATATCCGTATTCTGTAGTTTCCATTCGTCCTCGTCAATTGAGATCACCAAATTCTCATTGAAAATTGAAGTGAGACGCAATAGCGATGTAATGCTGTCCCACGTGATTTCTGTCGCAAAGTATTTCGCATTCGAGGGCTCGAATCTCATCGACAACGTGAAAACTTTGAAGATGATGTGCACAAATTCGAGAAGTTGACAATACTCGTCAGGTATTTTGCCTTCGGTTTCCGATGGAACATCGGCGAATTTCTTCTCGAGACCCAATAAAAGGGCCGAAAGACTCAAAAAACCGCCGGCTTTTCGGAATTGAATTCGAACTTTGTGACTTTCGCGCACAACGCCAAGAAGTGCTTTGAGAAGGCTGAACATCACATCAAGATTTTCCACAGGAATTCGCTCATTGAGAATCTGAAAATTCAATTTGATTTAATGATAATGAAGAGGTATAATACTTACATTGACGACATTGACAATGTATTGATCGGTCGGTGCAATAATCAATAACTGTTTGAGGAGCTGGAGCAGCGAGCTCCTCCATTCTTGCTCAACCTCGCAGATCATCTCAACAAGTTGACGAGCTCCAAAGCATTCCGTAAACAATTCTGGAAAAGATTTTTCTTTTTCAATACGCTCGCGTGTATAAAATACTCACTTCCATTCTCAATATTATTTTTTATGATGATTGTGAGAAGGTCGGTTGTCAAAAGCGAAACTTTAATCTGCTCCTGTGCTAGTGGCGAGGCTGAAATTGATGAAATTCTAAATAAAATCGAAGAAAAATCTCATCACTTTTTCGTTTTTCAAACATTTTTACAATTACGTAGCAAAGGGCATCAAGTAATCCAACTTCTCGAAATGCGTCCTCAAAAGTGAAATTTGAAAATTATTGTCAACAAAAATGGCAAACCTTAATTATCGGATCCACTGTGATCAACTTGAAGCACATCTGAACGACGACAGTGCACATGGACATGTTTCCCGATGATATTTCAGTTTTCAATAATACGCAAAGACTGGAATACAAATCGAATAGATAAAAAAAATGCTTTTAAGATTACCTGATAAGCTCTCGACATGGAATATGATTCAGTTGAAACACTGCAAATTCTACCAGTTCCAGCAATTTCACCTAAATCATTTTAAATTTAAAATTAAGAAAAAATATTATTCAAGGAGAATTCTACCCGCACGGATTGTTGTTTCCTTTCAAGCTGATCAATAAATATCGATAATGGGTATTCGCGGTCTAAAATGAAGTAGTTGGCCGAATCGCAAGTATAAATTGAATGGAGTATGTCAATTACTGTGCAGCTCACCATCTCATTCGAGCTCTGGGCAATATATTTGATTTGATTTAAAAAAAAAAAAGACAATTGATACGAATACCTCTAAAAACATGTGATATAGAAGTGAAAACGCATTGAGATTCCGCACGCTGAGACCATTACCCGCTGGAGTTGGAAGATGAAAATTTGGGAGCTGGACGAGCCCGGAGGTATACTGAAGTTCATTTTCAACGTTTGTATGAAATTATCAAAAACCTGAGGAGAAAGTTGATATTTGCCTGAATTGACTAATGATATCGCCATGAGCAGAATATTACGAACAAGCTCTTCATCATTCTCATTTCTGAAACTTAACAATCAGAAATCCCCCCATCGACAAAAAATGTTGTTCTAGTCAAACCGTAAAAGGAAATCCTTAACAACCATATAACCATCACATTCATAAAAGTCGTTGAGTAGTTGGTCCGAAATATACGCGGAATTCTGCAGAACGCAATTTTTCATTTTTCGCCTATTATCTTCTCATTTCACCTTCAACAAACAAGAAATACAAATAATGGCTTCCGCAATTTTGTTCGAATCCAAAACACCCGGCGCCGAAATGTTCTTGACCGCAATTCGAATGCATTTCTTCGTGATGATGTATTTTAAAACAGCCGATGTCAATGACTAAAAGAGAAAGAGTTGATTTCTTTTCAACAGACCCATGGATGAAAAGCTAACCTTGTCGGAAATCACTTCAAGCAACCTTGTCGACATTTTTCTCCACTCATTGTTCGCATCACAAACTTGCGAAGTTGTGCCAACGAATAGAAGGAGAAGGTCATCCTTTCGGACGAGTTCTTCGCTGACACACCTGAAAACAATTCAAATGTCATTTCTATAAGGTTCTCCCCCCCCCCTTGAATGCATAAAAATCTCAACAAATGCCTATTTGTGTGTCTACGATTGAATTAGATTATTCAGGATTTTCGTAGTAGCGGTCGTTTGTTGAGTGCTGCGTTGTTAGTAGGACACGAAACATAGATGGAATTACTAGGCCCCCGTTTTCCAGTGAAAATGCGATTATAGTTATAATATATAACATTATCAGAAAAAAACTTACGTAAATTTGCACAAACATTCGAGCAGACTTGACAAAACCCTATGAAGCTCTTTATCAGCTTGCATAGTCGGTTCATCGCCTTCGGGAAGGTCGAAAAATAAATAAACGGTTTTGATTAATGTGCTTGGAAGTGAGACTTTACAGGCCGCATCGATCATAACCTCATCCTCTCTATAAAAAAAATAATTAAAATATTCCATGAAAATTGCGAAAAATTGAACATACGCGCTCATGAGAAATCGAATCGCTTCAAGAATCATCCAACCTTTTGATTCTGTTCCAGGTCGAAGATATTGTGCAATACTTGAAGCTGCTTCTGTTGTTCCATGACTAGCGGCTCTAAAATGCGAAATTATTTAACATTTTTCAATTAATTCAATAATTACCTCTGTCTAACTTCCTTTACCAAAACGCTACATAGAAAAGTGGCAAAATGAACAATCTCTTTGAAATCAGCGGATAGTTGTGAGGGTGAATACATGGACATGACCTGAAAAATAGTTTTTAGAATTGAAATTGAATTTTTTTTACTTAATCAGGAATACACCTTTCGATCAATATAAAAAACAGTTTCTATTTTGTTTTCTCTAACCTTACTAAAAAGCGGCAAGAGACGTGATGGATCATTACTGCGCTGACCGGAAACTGGAATTTTCAGATATTCGGAGAAGGTCTTGCGCAGATGCAGCAGCGACAGTGTGCGGTCATCGCGATCCATTGTTCGTCGAGTTCAATGTTCATAAATCCGCATACATTTGGACAAGAGATCGATACGTAAATGCCGTTTCCTGCAACGATTCATGGACGACGTTTGATTGACGCGCGAGGAAATGAGAAAGGCTCCGTTGGTTCGTTATTCGACAATAATGAGAAAGAGATGCCCCATTTTTTTTTAGTCAAAAAAATTGCCAATTGAGGTCGAACGCAAAAGAGCAGTTCAAATGTCTTCGACGACCATCAATAAATGTGAATGCATAGTTGTGCAAACAAGAGCTAACATAATTGTTCTAATTTGAAAAAATGCGACCTGTGAGCTATTACGATAGTTATTTGAACACCCTAAACTTTTATTTCATCAATAAAATTGTGGGCGAACATTTCCGAACAGCTATAAAACAGGGGAATAATTCATTTTTGCAATAAAAAAAATTTGAAAATCTGCATTGCGGACATGAAAACACCAAAATTGACGACAACAAATTTATTTTTTTTTAATTGCTTTTTCGCAAATTTGAATGGAAACTGCGAGCGATCTCAAATAGATAACTATCGCACTTTGCAATTCACATTCGGCGGTGTAAATCAGCAAGGAGTACTCAAAACTCGAATTCTGTAGCCCACAAAAAACACCACAGCGCGACTAAAACAAAAATGACCAGAAAAAAAAGTAACCGGGGCACGTCCGACGAAGAGGAACATGCAAAAAAAAATACAAGCAACACATACTCGCTGAGGGAAAGCCTCCCAAATATGTTCGCAGAGAAAACCCGACGAGCGGCGTATAGTGCGCGAGATGAAGAGACCTCGACACTTTCTGTGTTTTTGAGCGGAGAAAAACACACCGCAACAGGACGACGAAAGACGCAGCGAGGCGGCGAGACGACAGACGCACATACAAAATTGCCAATGGCGGCGGCGGAGGCGGCGGGCTCTCGGACCCAAATGAGCTCGACGGCGGCTCGCAAAAATTTGATGCACAAGCGGGTCGCCGCCTGCGCATCCGCAATGAAAAATGGCTTCTACTAGTCATAAGCATTCCATAATTGGCAAGAATTGATTGAAATTCATTCGTTTCTAACAAACAAAAAATGCAATATAATATAATTATCACAGAAGTTAAGGGCGGAGAAGAACAACTCATATATATATAAATGGATAAACCTAAGTGAAAAATGATACAAATTTCCAAACAAAAAAAACGAAACCTCTAATTTCTCGTCCCTATTCTATTCACATAAACTGAAGGCACAAGGGTAGGCAATTTATGACAATTTAGTCGAACAATTCCATTAATGGACTCCACGCGAGACATCCGCAATACGGTCGGTCTCCTGAAATTCAACAAATTTGGTATGAAATTTAATAATAGAAAATATTTTAATAATTGTGGGGATTGAAGAATGAATCTGAATGCTCATCAATATTTTCACAAAATCTGAGATTTCCAACATATGATTGTGTCAATATTTAAAAAAAGTGAAAACGTTTAAATAAATCTTCTTTTTCAGGTTTCAAAATATTTTTTGCATATTTGTCAAAGAAGTTTTTCTTAACGAAAAAAACTCAATATTTTAAGAGGTTTAGAAGAATTTTAAATATTTTCAAGCATTTTTGGGACCAACATTTGATTCAAAGACATGTGCCTTTAATTTCATTATTTTGTCAAAACCCCTAAAAATTGGTAATTTTTGTGATTCAAATAATGATTGTTTTCCATTCGTGTTCGTTTTTCTTCCCATTTCAGTCATTTCTTGAACATTTCTTACAGTGTGTGCGATTTTGAAACCCAAACAAAATTGCAAAACCGATTAATTCATGTGTGAAAAAAGAAAATCCATTTTGCCGCACAAATGCCTACCTCGGTGACCAATTGCGCCGTTTCGAGATACTCTTTCAAATAGAACGCATGGAAATGATGGCCAGTTCCCATATAGAATTTCGACTGAAACTCGACCCAATGCAGACGAAGCGCATGCAAAAACGCCGATAATCCCTCCATCATTATGAGAATTGATAGCGACAGAATTGCGAATATCGCAAACGTCTAAAACCATAAATCATTGAAGTCACTTTTAACTACTGCATACCACCGCAGTGATTATTGGCTTCACATAGATCGGCATACCATCGGAAATATTCAGGCCCTGAATCAACACCATGTGCCACATAACTTCCGAAAGCTCTAAAAATTGGAAAATCTTCAAAATTCCATCCAAAATTTAAGCAGCCTACGTGCATGAGCAAGTGAAAGAGCCCATAGTCGAAGATAGGAAGCCGTATGGGAGACGCATCCCAGAACAAACTCGATAGTGTGAATCGCCTGGTGCACAAATATATCGGAAAGCGAGTGGTGGACCTGTTCGTCGATGTCGAACTCATCAGGAATCAGAAGTTCCGCATCTTCCTGTTGCTACAAAAAATTATTTAATATCACGCGTTTATTAAATTAAAAATTATTGTCGGTGTCGCACGACTGCGTTAAATGAGCTAAATGCCAAAAAAAGGAGACGTCTCGGTGCACATTCTATGCACCTTTAACCTATCCTTATAATTAGGCCCGTAAATCTACACTTTTCGTTTTGCGCCAAGCCCATGGTCCTTGTTTTTTTGGCATTTAGTCAATTTTCTGCAGTCGCGCGACGTCGGCAATACCATTTCAAGAATATTCGCCGAACTTCCAGCGCCATTACTCTTCTGAAGTTCACCAGTTGCGCCAGCCGATGGTGCAACTGCCGACGCCAACGCGTTCGGCTTTTTAACATGGCGCTTTGCGGTGACGAAATGGACCCACAATGGTTTGCCAACAAGCATTATCGGCACACAAAGAATCGAAACAACGAGAAGCACAATTTCAATAAATTGCTAAAAAAACTTTTTCATAAAAATTGACTTCATAAATTAATTTCCTCACCTGATTCGGATACCAAAATCCCAAATGACAGTTTTTGTGCACATGCCCGTCATTGTCTATATATCCTTCTGGTCTTGATTTCTGCATAAACATATTGATCAATCCAATGAGCAATGAAGGAGCACAATTGGCGCCTTAAACCAAAGAGATATGTCAAATATGTTGAATGACCATCATACCGGGATATTCGTAACCAAGTACATTTCCAGGCGTCACCGAAAAATATACCCATTTGACTACAATCTGAATACAGAGGTAGATGAATATGCATGTGAGGAAGATGAGTTGAGGGATGAAATTGGTGAGAACATCGATATACGAATTGAAATGCCTTAAATTGAAATCTCGAGCTTTTCAAATTTATGAAATTACTTACAAATGATTGAGGAATGATAGGAACACTCCAAATGTCATTTGCGCGATTCCGATGATGATTGAAGCTTTCATTTTCATCGAGTTCAAAAAAACAAGACGATTTTCAGCAATATTCCAAATTGGATCAACTCCAAAGTAATACGGGCCATGCTGAAAAATATCGATGAAACATTTTAAAAGAATATCGGCTACCTCAGCGTCAAATGCCTGTTCGGGATTCAATTCAATGAGAATCTCCCGCTTCTTCCGAAATGCTTCATTTATCCATCCATTAATCGAAGACGAACTAAAAAAAATTATAAAATATGCCGTTTTTGTTTCATATATTTTGCAAAATATGTAGTGTCCTCACTTGTAGGGATTTTTCCATGCGCTTCCAAACACATTCGCCGATTTTGCAAACGCGTCATTATACATGAAACCAGTGTAGATTGAAAACAATCCCATTAACATCATAATATATCGGCCGCCAAAGAATGTGTTGAAAATCTGAAGTCTCGCTATCAGACGAAGGAATAAGAACATTTTGGAAATCATACCTCATCCCGGATTTTCTTCTTTATAATCATCCTCTCATTAAAAATGAAAAATAATGAAGCGAGCAAGAGAATTAGGCCGTGAGCAGCGTCACCAAACATGATGGCGAACAAAAATGGAAAGGTGATGATTGTATAAGGTGCTGAAAATAAAATTTGTAGCCGTTTTGTTGAAAAAATAAAATTTTAATCAAAACCTGGATTAACTTCTCTATATTGACTGACACCATATGAATCGACAATATTTTGGAAAACTTTTGTGAATTTATTGGTTTTGTGATACGTGGGTGGTTGAACATTGGCGTGAACGTTGTTGAGAATCGGCTCAACTTCTGTGCCACTCTTCTTCTGCAAAGAAACGCTTCCAATCGATAATTTGCATGAAAAAAACTTACAAATCCGGCAATAAGAGCTAGTTTCACATTGGCTTCTTCCGCTGCTGGTATCCAGCACTCGCCTGCTAAGAATCCGTTAGTATCTACCTGCAACGAACAAATTGGCAACTTAATTAGTTAAATGAAAGAACTCACTGTAAACATGTTCATAACATGATAAACTGATTTCTGAATCTGGATATTTTTAAGCATTCCAGGAAGCTCAAACGACAATTCTTTGAGAATTTGGTATCTATGCGTTTGGGTTGTGTTGATGACAATGGTCAAATCATTAATGCGACCCTCAATTTCCGTCATTTTCATCTTGCGGTCTTTCGATGTCTTTGGACATGGATATTGGGTCGCATTGAATCTGAAAATGTTTCTGCTTAAATTCGAAAGTAATAAAAAAAAGATTACCCATCACAAACTTTGTCGACAATTTGCCCCAAACTTTCTCCTTTGAAAAATACAATGAAAACACATTTTTGAATGGGTTCAAGCTGAAATTTTCAATATTTCGCATTTTAAAAAAATCAAAATGAGAACTTACTGTTACAGGGTCACTAATAGTGAAATACGAATCTGACGTTTTGACAAAGGCTGTTCTTCGACAAGCTCTCCAAAGAACCCTTTCAAATGAGGCAGTTTTATCCCATGGAAGAACTCCTGCGACAAACCTAAAAATATACATTTTGAATTTAAATTTCAGGAAAATTTCGAACCAAGCATTATCATCCTGATTAAGAAGCGGAGTTAGTGGAATATCGTTGCTACTCGGTAGACCACCATGTGAAAATGATTTTGAGAACATTTCCTTTAAAAAAGTCATTTTCATAATAAATTTAATAAATGTGTTGATAAATTTTAAAAAATTACCAGCTCTTCAGCTGTCGCCGATTTTTCAAGTTTCGCTCTAGTATCCTCATCTTTGTGCTAAAATTTTCAAAAAAAAAAACTTAAATTTTGCAAATTTTGGAACATACAACTTGGAAAAACTCATCAACAGCTGCCATACAATCATAATATTCTTTAGAAGAATTTAAATTTCTGCGCAACTGAATGTCGTTCTCATTGAGACTCACAAATTCTTTTTCAAGTTGATCGAGGCGGAGCTAAAAATACAAATAGAAAATAATAAACTATATAAAATAGATATTGAACAAAACCTCTAATTGCATAATTTCTGACATCGATGGAGCTGATAAATCGGAAAAATCTATGGACTGTGGGTCGAGTTCCGGATCGCATGTTATAACCTGCTTTTCTAGAAATCCTAAAACGACAAAGTTTTCTCTAATGCATTAAAAAAACGTTTCAAACCGTACTTGCTTAAAAAACCACCACCCAAAAGAAAAAAGTAAAAAAAAAAAACATTATTAATGTTTCACAGTACAAATGCACTACAAGACCATTAAGAAAATAGTAATGCGCCTTTAAAATACGATAGGCATTATTTTCAAATTTTTGAATACTTAATGATTTCATTCTGAATGTGTTCCTATTTCTCTTCAAAATACTTCATTTAAATTTAGTAAAACAAAATTCTTACTTAATTTTCTTTCCATTTCTTCGCACCGTCGCATCTGATTCACAAATGTCCTAGTATACATGCTCTGTTTTGAATTGAGCTGAAAAATAAGTTTAATATTAGATTATTCGGGATTTTTAAGATTTTGTTTACATCAACAAATTGCACATTTCCGTGTTTTCCTAACTCTGCCACACAATCATACGCAGCTTCTTTGACCAGAATCATCTGGTAGAGCTTCATCGGCTCGGAACGATGAAGGGATCCCATTTCGTATAGTCCGCAGCAGCAAGTTTCTGCTCTATTCGAAGCCTAAATTATTTCTAATATAGGGGACAACAAAAACCGAATAACAGTAGGATATGATGTTCCAATTTTTTAAAAATTCGAAACGGAATTTTCTTTTTTTCAAATTGGCCTCCCACATACAAAGAATCGAAATCAACACGGGGTAAAAGAAAACGATTCAGCATACCTTTGCGCGTTCGTTTCGAACGTTTCGAAAGCGAGAACCACCGTTCGGTTTCTGCTGTTGATTCCTGAAAAGCAAAAACCAATCTATACTTAGTGTTTATTCAGACGAGAAAAGCGGCTGTACAGGGTGTCATTTAAGTTCCCGCACAAAAGTTTGACGCCATGAAGAGCTTGGCTGTCGCACTTTTCGTGCACCAATACAATTTATTTTTGTTAAATAAGGTATATTTTACTTACTTTCCAAGTTTCACCTCTTTCGGATGTGTTTCCGAGAAATGGCGAAGGCTAACATCCATCGCGCTTCCATTATCGAAGTTCATAAGCAAAATGTGAGCTCGAGAGACATCATTCAACGGGTCGGTGTGCCTCGTAGAACGGTTTGCGACACCATCAAGCGTTTCAAGGAGCTAAATACGACCAGTGACCGTCCCAGACAAGGAAGACTCGTCTCAGTAACCACTCCTCAGAAGATAAACGCCGTCAAATCGAGGATCAGGCGAAACCCCCACAGGAGCATGAGAAAGATGGCGTCAGACGTGGGAATGAGCATCTTCGCTATGGAACAAATCGTCAAAACGAAGCTTGGACTGACCCCATATCGTGTCCAAAAAGCGGCAATTCTATCGGCCGTCAGCAAGCAGAGACGCTTCGAAAAAGCAAAACGACTTCTTGCTCGCACGCGGTCTGGAGAACACCTCGTCACTGTCTTCTCCGACGAGAAGCTGTTCAGTGTGGAGGCGGCATTCAACTCACAAAACCATTGAGTACTTGGCCAAACATCCCAGCAAGCTTCTGAGAAAAGAAGAACATATCATCCAGCCTCACATCCTGCCAGCATGATGGTTTTCGTTGCCATCTGCTCAACCGGGAAGTGCCCCCTGGTTTTCGCGGATCAGGGGGTGAAAGTGAACAAAGAAGTCTACGTTCGGGACATTTTGGAGAAGCATGTGATGCCCTGGACCCAAACGCATTTCGGTGGGCAGAAATGGGTCTTTCAACATGACGGAGCAGCCGCCCACACTGCCAAAACTACTCAGGAGTGGTGCCAGACCCATTTTCCCGACTTCATCAAGTCATCCGAATGGCCTGATTGCTCCCCAGACCTGAACCCGCTTGACTTTCCCGTGATGGGGTCTTGCAGGAGAAGGTCAACGCAAAACCCCATTCAAGTGTAGAGGCTCTGAAGAAGACATTACTGGCGGAATGGGACAATCTTTCCATCGAATACCTGCGTACCACAGTCGCATCCTACCCGAAGCGTTTCCGTGAAGTCATAGCTGCGAAAGGAGGCCGAATCAAAAAGAGTTAATAGATAAATATTTGTTATACTATAGATAAAAAATATTTTGAGTCTCGTTTGATTTGGACTTTTAGTTTCAGAAATATACGTCTTCAAAGTTGTGCGGGAACTTAAATGACACCCTGTATGTCGACATACAATCAAACTTCGAAGATTAAATATGTGTTCAAATCATCAAAAATCCAAATTTCGATATCAAATTAAATGTTTTAATGCTATGCATAAAGATTTTGTGTAGAATCCATAATCAAATGTTCAAATTCAATTTTGTTATAGGAAAAAAAAATTGAAAGAGCCACGATACAGTCGTCAATTTATAAATTCTAATTTTTGAAAAAAAAAAATAGAAAATTTCCCGTAATTCAACTCACCCCACTTTTCTTCTTCCAGTAACCGCTGCACTGAAAATTTCCGACAAATTGATGTGCTCTCGATCGTCGCGCGCAAACTCGATCTGAAGCGGCTCGTCTTCAAATCCGTCTTCCGGCGAATTGGTCGGTCGAAAGTTGCGAACACCGTCTTCAATAAAACCTATAAAATAGGAAAAACGAGTTTCTTTTCTAAAGAAAAAAATTAAACACAAAAGTTAAAAGAAAACCTATAAAGCGACGAGACAATTGTGTTACTTTTGGAATGATATCAAGTTGAATTCGGCGATTGTTAGTGAAAAGCGCCTGGAAATAAAAAAAAGCGTTGCAAATTAAAGAAGAAAAATAAGTTAGTGTCTGAAATTGAGAAATTGAATTTTATTAGAATATCGCTTGGAAATATTAATCGATTTTCACCCATAAATCATGAATTCAAACGCGTCGTGCGATTATTAAATTCATTTATTGGTACTTGTAAACAATACCTTTTATGGCATCATGATTAACACTTATTAGTATCAATCTGAACAGTTTCGTTGGTCTCAAGAAGATGTTCAATTTCAAATCGAGGAACGCTGCGTTATTAACAAGGAACATCTGGTTCCGCGCAGATTGGGTCACTTTTTACAACCATGATGGTCGAGCTCATGCAACAGCCAAGGCAATCATCGTTTTAAAAACGAATTGTTGATCTTTTTTATCAATTTCGTCGGAGAACTTTGTTCTAATGTACAAATTTTGGACAAAAATAGGAGATGGTGTCTGTCGTTGACATTCCCTAAAATCGGTGACAGCGTCGAAGCAATTCATGAATATGACGAAGAGCGAAACGGTGTACTACAACACAATTAATCAATCATCAATAAAAGGTTCAAAAAAGGATATGGGAATTGATCAAAGAGATAAGCTGACAAATCGGCGCGCAATTCAAGTCGACCACCAGAAAGAGTGTACGCTGAATGTGTAGGGCAGGAAATGCGCATGATGGCGGAAATCGGACGGTCGTGTCCGTTGATAGTAACAAACACTAGGAAACGATACCCATCGGAGGCGATTCCAACTATCGAAGGCTACTTGACGCTAATTCAGTGTTTCATTTAGCAATTTGTTCTTGCAAAATCGCATTCTATTCAATTTTTTTGATATCAGATTCTCCTTTGCAATATTTTTTTTTCAAAATTTTGAATAGAAAACTCACATAATTGTTCATGAATCGATATCCTTGACTATTGCTTCTAAAATTAAAAAAAAATATTCAATATCTATTTAAAGAATGATTTTCAGAAACTAACGTCATGTCGTTTATATTTTCGGTCATCTCAAAAAATTCCGGAATTGGCTCAAAATTCGGCTCACGCGAGAAGCATTGCAAAGCGCTCAAAATTCAGCAAATCTCAGGCCGACTGACACATTCTTGAACTACCTGCTGGCTCCCATTCGATATGCAACTCTTGGAGTTGAAGCGAGAATCGGGCGAATCGTGAAATTGCGTCGAACCTTTTTTCTAAACTCAATTCAAATCGTTTCACCGTCTTGGAGGATGGGAATCATTACGAAAATGATTTGCGGAGGCTTTCTCGAAATGGCTGCGTCGGTGTCCCATAGTGAAAATCGAATTCCTCACTGATCGGAGCCTCCTCATCCAGCTCCTCCTCCTCCTCCTCCTCTTGCTCATGTTCAAGGTAAACTGCATTCGAAAACGAGAGAGGAGAATCGCCAATCGATAAGGAATTCGACATCAACTCCTGCAAAATGTGTTCCAACAAAATCAATATGAAAAATGCGAGAAAAAAAAAAGAAAATTCAAAAATAAATTGATTTCTTTAGAGTTTCTCATCGATTCATGAAAGGTAGATCAAAATTTAATTCCCAAGTGAGATTTGAACAAGTCTATTTTTAATTTTCCATTATTTTTCCAGAATTTCTATCAGTTCACCGTCTCCCTAAACATCGAGTCAAAATTCCAAAGAAAACGATGAAACCTGCAAAGTCAGTCGGAATCATCATTCATTATCGTTAAATCATCTCATCAGTCATTTTCGTTTCGCAAACATTTTTGTCGCCGCCAGTTTTTGACCTCTTCGCCCCCAATTTTTTATTTCATAAATTCCAACGAGGACACAATTTCAGCAAACTGCATATACACATTTTAAAAGACATGGTTTTCAGAAGAAAAAAACCTTCATTGTTTGTACTGCAAATGTCCGCAGATTGATATTGTGAAATTGTCACATTTTTTGGCAAGCGTTTTTCGATGAATCAAAATAGATTTTCAATTGGGTTTGTTTTGAATGATCGTAAATCAATGATAACGAACTAAAAAGTAAACACGTTGCGTGAACTTCATGATTCTCATCGTCGCAATAATCGAATCGCTATTTCATCAATCGAGACAATTCAATCGAGTGTTTTTCCGAGGCAAGCAAAGCTTGTGTTTTCTTCAGTCTTTGCTGTATGTCCATCAAATGATTTTGAGTATTCGTTTATTTATTTCTAGTAGTCGAAACGAAAATTAGTATTCCTGATTCAACACAATGGCGGAAGATGATCAAATGGCAAATGTGAAATTTTCAACGGGAAAAAAGTTTGGCGAATGGGTGATCAAGAAACGTCTCGATGAAGGCGGCTTCGGACAAGTCTATCTAGTCGAGAACGCGAAAAAAGAGAAGGCCGCACTCAAGGCCGAATCGAACGAGGTCGAAGGCGGCTCGGCGATCAAACTCGAGACGATGATTCTGAAGGCGTTGAACAAAAATGGACCACAACCACATATTCCAGTGGTGTATCATGCGGCGAAACGCCAAAAATATTGTGAGTCTCGCGACGAAGCACCGAGCAACGCGCTTTTTTGAACTGCAGGTTATATGGTAATGACGTTGTTAGGCGAGAATTTGAAACATTTGAAAACTGATCAACCAAAAGAGAAATTCACACGCGGAACATGGAGTCGACTCGGAATTCAGTGCCTTTATAGGTAACTTGAGTGGCTCACAAAATTTTTGATTCGGTTGCGCCTTTAATAGTGGGCTCTTTGAAATTCAGAAAAAAAATGAGGGAAAATATTTAATTTGAGCAAGCAATCAATTTGAAATTATTATCAACTCATCGAGACGAGACCATTTTAAAGAACGTCTTCTCGTAAATCTACCCCAACCGAATAGCCTGTAGCTAATCAATAAATTTCAGTTTGAAATACCTTCATGATTGCGGATTTATTCATCGAGACATTAAAGTATTGATTTTTGTTGTTCTCGAAAATTTCAACACAATTCAGCCTCAAAATTTTGTGATGGGCCATCCCGAAGACGGCGCCCGCGCCCGAATGGTGCACATTCTCGACTTCGGATTGGCTCGCCCGTTCGCCAGCTATGTAATCATTCGCACAAACGCGGAGATCCATTCGAATTTTGAATTTTGAAGAACGAGAAAACGAATAAATGGGTTGCGCGAAAAGCGCGCGGCACCGCCGAATTTCGCGGCACCCTTCGCTACACCTCGCCGAATGTGCACAATCGAAAAGAGCAAGGCCGCGTCGACGACGTCTGGTCGCTGCTGTTCGTGCTCATCGAGCTGAACGGCGGCCTGCCGTGGCAACTGGAGAAGGATCGCGAGAAGGTCGAGCTCATGAAGATGAACATGGAAGATCGAGTAGTGATGCAAAATATGCCGAGTAAAAATTTCAAAAACAAAAAAAATTTCCAGTTTTTGCGAGACACTTAAAATTACAGTATGCATGGGCAACATTCTTCCGCACCTCAAATCTTTGGATTACTACCAGCGGCCAGACTATCAGTACTTCCTTCATATTCCGTCAATCTGCCGGAATCGATCTCGAATTTTAGTCTCTTCTTCAAATCGCTTTGGCAAGTGATGACGAATGAGAAGGTTCAGACGAATTCACCGTACGATTGGGAGACCGTCGAGCAGGAGGAGCTGGCGGTTCATCGAAACACCCCCAAAAAAATAATCAATGTAATTCGCGAAATTGTTTAGAAAAAATTCAAGCCTGCTGATTGGGAGAAGCCCGACGGCGACTTCTTCAAAACCGATCCCACCGGAATCTGTGGACCTCCAAAAGACGACGAAAAGAAGACGGTCGAAATTCATATCGAGCATGAGAATGACATGAAACTCAAGAGCAGTCACGAGAAATCACAAGCAAAGCCAATTTCAAACAATAAATGAGCAATTTGACAAACGAGAAAAAAAAACAAGTAAATGATTTAATTATTTATTAAAGAAATTATCTATTTACAAAATGATTAGTGCCGTTAAAGTGAGATTTTGCGATTTAAAACTGAATTTTTGTGTGAGACCAATGTACAAACAACGTTCGATCGTCAGAGGCAGTAGAAATATTAACAAACGACTAGCAATTTTGGGAAAGCGGGGCGCGATTGCTCGCGAGTGCGCGCGGAGGGATCTGCGGATGTGAGAAACGCGGTTGAACAGCAACACGGAATGCCGGATGTAGGTCGAGACTTTGACGTAGAACAGAGAGTAGAACGAGGTCGCCATTATAAACGGCTGAAAATCATCGCAAAATAAAGTAGAATTGTCAAATAAGAAAAAAAATAACTTACGATAATTGCAATCAGTGAGGTAAGACAACGTCCGAATATCAACATCACACGAAATCACAAGAAGCGGCTGATCGGTCTCGATACATCTTGCTGAAATTACAGAAACACTATGTATGTCTGAATGAGCTTCTTAATATTCTTACCAATATATTGTGCTGGTGGCTTCTTTTCCAGAATCTTTCCACCACCAAGTACTATCAAGCGACAAATCGTTTGCCGATCCGGCTGAACCGATTGAGTCACATAGAATTCAATATCCTAAATTGGGAATATTCAAAGAAATTCTGTAAGTCAATCGCCCACCTCAAACAGGGGTCGATTCCTCGCGCGAAGAATGCTTCGCTTGCAAGAGTACCCCAAATGTCGCTCGTTCTCCTCATCACGAAGGAAGTAATCAAGAGTATCTAAAATCCTCGATATCTCTAAAATCCAGATAGGAATATGCTATTACCCATAAATGCTCCATTCTTATAGCCATCAATTATCCATTCCGGAGAGATGATATTCTTTCCCAACGAGATTCCCTCAAGAAGTTTCAAACTTCGTCGCCCATTGATGAGTACCAAGTGGGTGCAATCGCGAACTTCTGTGCACACTTTCCCGCCGAGATACAACACTTTCTAAAAAAAACTCACGCATAAAATTGAAATATTTTAAAAAATCAGAAATACCTTTGTAAAAACATCCAAGTTCTCCTGCGTGAATCCCGATCCAAAGCAAACAACCACTTTAAGCGGCGCCTTCATTTCGGGAAATTGCGGCTTCGTGTCGTTTTTCGTGAAACTCTCCATATATTCCTCATACTTTTTGCGATACTGCTCATTGCGAATCTGCGCAGCAGCGAGCTCCTCATCAGTCGGCGGCGGAGCTTGTGAAATGAATCGATTATTCGGGAATTGCATTTCATCGTTCGTCAATCGCACGCGATTGTCGGTTGCTCGCATCATGTGCTCATCTGCTGTTATTACCGCATGTTTCCAGGCATCTATAATTCATCAAAAATCTATGCCTCAGAGATTCGATTGAACATGCTCTTACTTAAAAGGTTCTTAATATCCGGTGAGATCATTTCAAGCATATTTGGCGGCTGATTGATCTCCGAACAAGGTTGTCCAAATTGATATCTCTGACTATCGGGTGGCGGTCGTTCGCTAGGATTCGCACTTCCGCACACATAAGCATCAGCAAGCCATTGGTAAGTGACAACTTGCACACCCCATTCTCGAGCCTTCTCTACTTTCATGTTAGCTCCACTAAAAAAAACACTTTTCCCATAAAAAAAAATCAAAATCCACTTGCTTTTTCGCAATTAGCAAATCGTTGTGTCTCGAAAAGAACGGCGAAATCTTGGCTCCCATCGCTTCAGCCATAAAATGCAATGCCGGTCTCTCACTTTCATCGAATCCAGCCAATGCAAAGAGTTTACCGGCATACGGCCGGAAGCCATCAGTAAATGGTCCTGGTAAATGACACAATTTCCAGGGGACCTCGATTTTCTGCTTCATTAGCACATCCATGAGCCATTGAAGAGTCACCAATCGTTTACGGTGTTCAAGAAAAGGCTGAAATTCCGATTTTCCTATATGTTGAAAATTTTAATTGTTACCGCTCTCGCATAAGGCATTCGATAAGATTCAATAATGACGTGAGTAACTATTGGATGCTTCTCATTATACGTTTTCGGACTAAAATCAACTTCTCCTCCATGATACTGAAAAAAAAAACACAAATTTGCGGTAATTTTTGTCCGAAAAAAAACGTACTTTTATTGCAAAAATGATATTATGCAGATCCAATTTGTCCATTATCAATTTTTCAACTTCAAAAATATGGAAAACACATCCAATCAAGAACAAATCCGGCGTAACTGCTAACGGCAAATTTTAATGATTTTTGATTTGACTCTAATTCTCACTTGGGAATATACTCGGATCATGTGTTCTATACTGGTATGGCGCCGGTATTGGCGGACCATGCATCGGCATTGGCGGTCGACCTCGCACTACTTGAACCGACATTTCGCCAATCACTCGCGGCAACACCTGATTGACAGTCTGTGGCGGCGGTTGATTGGGCGACATTAGGTTCGGAGACCGAAGATCCGGATGTTGAGGAGGAACGACCGATTGCGGAGCGCCGTAGTGTGGAGAAGCCGCTGCTTGCTGCTGCTGTTGTTGTTGTTGGGCGGAAAATCGTCCTTAATAAACTTATATTGTCATCAAATAACAATTTTAATGGAAAAGGCTGATAATAAAAGCAGTCGTTCAAACAGCCGACAAATCAAAATCCACGTGGCACACAATTTCAAATTTTCGCGATTTAACACAAAAAAAGAATATAGATTGCCAGTTTTCCAATCGACCGCTTAATTCAAATTTTAGGCATCGTCCTTTTTTTATTTGTGGGAAAACGACAATTTTACCCAAATCGTAAACTCCGAAACATAATGCGATTAATAGCAACATACCATGCGGTGTAGTTGGTGTTGGTTGTGCTCCCTGCGGTGAGATATACTGCCTCATCGGTTGTCCAGCCTAAAACAAAATTGAGTTTAGACACCGTCGTCAAATTCGAGTTGAATCCCCTAGATGATGACGCCGACGAAGACGACAGTTCCATCGACAATTTTCAAACTGCAATTTTTGTCAACAGACAGAAGGTGGTGAAGCGTCTCATATTTGTGTGGCAGGACGAAGGCTTGCAAAACGGATAGACGACGAGGCTATATAAAATCCTCGTCGTTCAGGGGCAATAAAAAAACAATGTTTGTGACACCGGGAGGGAGAAGAGGGCGAACGCGAAGGATACTACGAATGGTTTCAATTAATATCGCTCTCCGAAACTGATATATACATTTTTGAACGCTTCCAAATGTTCTCGGCGGAAGAGCACATTAAACAAGGTACATGAGGGTTTAAGCAACATGTGGAGAAGAGACAAAGAAAACTGGAGCCGAATCTACCTGATTTCTGCTCGCTATTATTGCAAAGTCCCTTGAAAATAATGGGAACTGCAAATACTGGAAAAATGAGTATATCGTTTTTTTTAATTCGTTGAATTGAACTATATTAATTTTTTTTTCAATAAATTTTTTTAAATTCTTCGAGATTTTTTTCAGTAGTCATATATCAACGCATAAATTCTCAAGGAAATAATATTTTCGGTTGGTTTGAACTTTGCGTGGTTTTCACCGCAATTAGCGCCGTCTAGCCACCCAATTATGATTACTCGCAACCACATTTGTCGTGTTTTTCTAGGCAAACGCGACTGATTAATCACTTCGCAATAATTAAAATATTATATCAAATTTGATCACAAAGAAAAAAAGCAGAGAAACAAAAACGAGAGGGCGTTGAATAGCAAACAATCGAGAAAATTGTGTGATCGTCGAATACACACAATTTTATGTATATTTCAAGAGCCAATAACTGCGTCGCGATCGTCAATTTTTTTCTGTTTTTAACGTCACATTTAACAAAAATCAATCTTACCGGCGGTGGTCTTCCATACATTTGATGAACCGGTGAGGTAAAAGGACCCTGCGGGTACTGCTGTCCAGTTGGCGTCATATGTCCTGGAGGATATGGATAAGGTCCAGGCTGCGCTACCGTACCCGGTGGGTATTGTGGCCGTTGAATTTGCTGTGGCTGAGATTGTTGTTGTTGTTGTTGCTGTGGAGGCGGCGGCTGCTGCTGTTGTTGCGTATTTCCACCAACCGGCGTTGTTCTTTGCGCCGGCTGAGGTCCACCTTGCTGCTGTGGTCCTACCGCATATCCAGGCGGCATAGACCCTGAAGTAAGTCCTCCAGGTGTCATCGGCTGTGCATAGCCAGTCGGATAGGGCACTGGAACCCGCTGCTGCTGTACTTGATGCATTTGTGGGCGTTGTTGAGGCATCGCAGCTTGTCTAGCGGCCTGAGCGGCAGCATACATCTAAAAAATGAATGTTTACATAGAATTATTCATGGCCGTTCGCTATTCTCATTCAAATAATACTCTGTTGAAGATACTCGCAACACGATCGGTTTTCGCAACTCCGTTTCTTTTTCTTGCCAAAAAATACGAAAACAATTTTTTCGTAGAACATAAAACTAAATAACCACTTCATTTTTTCAATTTCAAATTACCTGCTGCTGTTGATGTTGCTGCTGCTGTTGCTGCTGCCACTGATTCTGATATTGCTGCTGGTAGTGCGGATGTTGTGGATGAGGGACCATTCCCATTTGTTGCTGCATATGAGGCGGCATCTGCCGATACAAGTTTGGTGATGCCTGCTGCATTTGATGCGGTGGGTATTGCATCTGATTCTGCATCATCTGCTGCTGCTGCTGTTGTTGTTGTTGCTGCTGTTGCTGCTGCATGTGCTGTTGTTGCTGGAAGTCAAAATGCGGATTCGGCTGCTGCCCACTTCCAGGTGTTCCACCAGCGGATCCCGGTGGAACGCCAGGATTTGATGGCGTCATCGGCTGTGCCGGACTTCCATGCACAAATTGATTTGGAATATGTTGACCCATTTGCGGTTGTTGCATTCCAGGTTGCATTCCTGCCTGCTGCATACTCTGTTGGGGCATCCCTTGGTTCGGCATTCCTTGATTGGGCATTCCTTGATTAGGCATCCCTTGATTCGGCATTCCTTGATTAGGCATCACTTGATTCGGCATTCCTTGATTAGGAATCCCTTGATTCGGCATTCCTTGGTTTGGAATCCCTTGCTTAGGCATCCCCTGATTGGGCATCCCTTGCGGCGGCATTCCCTGATTTGGTATACCTTGCTGCGGCATTCCCTGATTTGGTATTCCTTGCTGCGGCATCCCTTGATTAGGCTGCATTTGATGCTGTTGCATCGGCGATTGATTGGGCATCGACATCGAAACCGACGGATTCTGAGGCTGCGGTTGCTGTTGATGCTGTGGAGTAGCGTTGCCGCTTCGCTGTCCACTTGTATTTGTGCCACCTGTAAACCATTAAATTAACTTGAAACACTTTGACAGATATAGAAATATAATCAAAAAAATGTTCAATGCGAAATTGTGAAAAAAATAAATTTGCCGTTTTTGTAGATCAATAAATATAATGTTTAAAATCGAAATGTTCACAGCTAATAAACCCATTAGATAAGAACAACTGGCAATAATTTCTAACGTCGAACATTGAACATCTATTGTTCTTTATCTTTGACCTTGACAATTTTCTGCGTACGCGGCAATCGTTAAAATTTCGAATTGATATCATTAATATTCTTTGAGATCATTTACTACATTTTTACCTCATGATAATCTAACATACACATTTATCGGCATTACTTGAATGCACTGAACATAAGCAATAGGTACTAACAGGCTACAATTTGACGACTGATTGATTTTAGTTTAAGCAAATATTTTTAAAACGCGAAACCCACCTGTTGCTGGGGCTCCGTATCCCATTGCTGGACTCATTGAAGGAGTTCGCTGCCAGGGCTGCTGCCTGGGTTCAGGTATTACAAAGCCATCCGGTGGTTGTTGCTGTGGTTGCTGCGGTGGTGGTTGTTGCTGAGGCTGTTGTGGTTGCTGTGACTGGGATGTTACTGGAAGAGTTTGTTGCGGTTGTTGTTGTGCTTGTTGCTGCGTCTGAGACTGTTGTTGAGGTTCTTGCTGCTGTGGAGGTTGCTGTGAAGGCTGCTGTTGAGGTTGAGACTGAGGTGGCACTGATGGGGGTTGCGAGGTCGGTAGCTGATCCGCTAGCGGGTTTTGTATTCTAGCAGGATCCAAAAGTCCTAGCGGCGGCGATTCCGGCCGGTGTTGCTGCAAATGCACAATCGAAAAGTTTAATTCAAAAAAAAAAATAAAAATTCTTACAATTTCCTCTTCCTTTGCGGGTGTTTCAGCAGCCGGCGTGCCGCTCATTTTGGTCTGAAATCTAAATTTCAAGAAAATTAATGAAATAAATCGATATGAAGAACAAATAAATATTCATAATGGTTAAAAACCATACAAACGCGAATTCAAACGTTTAAATTGGTGAAAATGATTCATTCAACAAGCACAACATCAAAAAGATTCAATAATTATAAGATTCAAAGGGATATTTTAGGTTAACCGGAATTTAACAGTTTAGGAATGATTCGAAAGCCAACAATTTAAAATTTCTTGTCCAATATTGGGATCAAGTCCTTCAACGCATTCCATTGTGGTTTTGTGAGTGATATTCCTTTCTTGCTTGGCATCATTTTACCAGTATTCTAAAGAAAACACTCAATAATTCAATTTAAATTATTTTTCCAACTTTATCCATGTAATATTCGCGAATGTTGAGATATTGTTTTCCTTTAAAATTGCTGACCGAAGCGTAGCGCAGATTTCCAAACTCAAACATCTAAAAAAATCGCAATATTTAATTAAATTTTAAAGTGTTTACGTCATTTCCCGCATCATCCTTAATTTTTCCTATTTCTGGCTTGTCCTTATCGTCATTCTTCGTTTTTTTCGCTTCATTTTTTTCTGGTTTCTCTTCTACATCTTCAGAAGCACCGCGTTTCTTTAAAATAATATCTAATTTAAATGATTTGTTTCAAAACACCCAACCTTTCCCTTCTTCTTTTCTTCCACTTTCTTCTTTGGCTGCTCATCGTCGGATGAATAATCTGAGGACGACATAATGAATATCTGAAAAATACATATTTTTAAAGTGATAATTTGAATAAAAATATAGAAGACGCTTAAAGTGCGACGTCGTTCTTGATGTTCGCGCGCGTCAATGCAAGTGACCAACGTCCCATGTTTGAATATAACACGGCCACGGTCATGAAGAGCTTAGAGTATACTCTCCTCTCCGCTATATACTGGTATATAGCGGAACATCAGTGAATATTCAAGCATTTCAATAAAAAGAAAACGATAAAATAAAAGTTAATATAGCATGAATCTATTAGAAAGATTTTTTGTTTGTTTCCAAAAGATAATAAAAAAGGATAAATAAATTAATCTTATTTTTAAATAACACATTTATTATTATTTTTAAAATAAATTATAATAGAAAAAATAATTAAGATAGAAAAATGCACCCACCAACTAATGAAAAGCACATTTTACTCAGAAAATTGGACCTAAAATTTAAAAAAATAAACAAAAGGCGTCAATTATGTTGCAATTACGTAATTCACTTATAAGATGAATTGCGACTGAAACATTTTATTTTGCATAATTTGCACTTTTTTATTCAGTGGCACGATTTTCTTTTTTTCTGAAAATCGCATTTGTTTTCTACTCAATTCATCCCCCCGTCACATCGAAATTCCATTTAAAACCGTCTTTTTTCGATTGGTCAAAGTTTTCAATTTTCAAAATGTCGAAAAAGCACGACTTCCGAACAAAACAATTTCTTTGGGGAAAAAATAATGTTATAAACGCTGAGTTCCTCTTCCTTTTCCTGAATTGCTTCATACCTTGCGTTCTTTCGTCCGCCTTCTTTTCCAACAAAAAAAGATGCGGAGAGTGCATTCACTCGTTCTTTTTTTCACAATTTGTCATATTCTGAAGGCATCGTTCAGCATGAAAAAGGGCTTTTCGGCTCGCCTCTTGTGTCATTTCATTTATTTCCACGCATTTGTCAAAAATCGTCGTTCAAAATTGTTGGTCCTCTATAAATTTCGTAGTTTTTCTTCACCGAAGAAAAAAACCCCAGATATCACACGTTTCTCCAACAAAATCACCGATAACAATGCACTTATCAGGAAATTTCACCCGGATATCTAACCAAACCGATTGACACATTATCAATTCAATTTTAATTTGCACGAACTATAAACAAAACACATAAAAGTTGATAAATTGCAGAAAAAATTTGATCGCGAGTTTCCTGAATCATTAAAGTAAATAAAGTTTTTCGAATTCTTAATTCTGAAACTAAATGCTTACTGCAAAAATATCTAAAATTCAGTAAATTGCTAGAGAATTAAATCTATTTTTAGAATATTACTCAAAGTAATTCAATTTTTCCGAAAAATAATCATGTTTAAAATCCGTCGAATCGATTTATACGGGTCTCCGTGTTTAAAAGTGTGTCGATCAAGATTACTCGAGTAATGTGGGTTTTCGAAACGCAATAATTTGACCTTCAATGCAGTGAACAGTCGCCGGTGTCGATTTTTTGGCCAGCATCTGTCGTCTCCTATCCCATTGCTCTTTCTATTCCGTCAAACCATCAACCGTGCCCTATTTTTCAATAACTCGTCAGCTTTTTCATTCCGCTCAACATGACTAGAATTTGTTCTCAATTATCAGTTTATCTTCGAAAAAAAACGAATGAAATGTTTTTTTTAATCGGGCCACATAGAACAACTTAGAAAAAAGAAAACGTGGTCGAGGTGTACATATATAAAAGGTGTTCTGTCCATCACTTTCAAAAATGTACTTGATATTTCATAACTAGATGTTTTCGGTAGTTTCTTCTCGGTAAATGACGTCGATTTCCTCAGGCAAATCAAATAAAATATTTTGAGAATCAAATATTCAATAATAAACTCTAAAATATTTTGAGAAAATCTAAAGTTTATTGATATTTTCTAAAAATTTTTGAGAATCGCTTAACTTAAAAATACTTTTTAAAATCTTATATGATTTTCTAAATTTTATTGAGCAAATTCGAAATTATCTCAATAAATTCTAAAATCTTATAATAATTTCTAAAGTTGATTGAGAAAAATCTGAAATATTGTAGAGACACGTTAGTTACTCAATAAATCTCAAAATATTTTATTCGATTTACCTGAGTCTTTGTAAAGAACTGACAATTTTTATCGAATTCCTCTAAAAAAAAAATTGGCGGAGGTTTTTTTAATAAATTGTCGGGAAACGATGGTTTTTTTTTCAAAAACTATGTATAAGAAATTGTGAAAGTTTGCACAATTTCCCATAGTGTTTCCTTCAATTTCTCAACCGTAGTTTTTATTTCAAATTCCAATTCAATATTGTTTAATCCCGTCTAGCCGATTTTCAATCTTGGATTTGCATGTGACTTGAACGGACAAAAAAAAATGAAGAAAGTGTTCAGCAAATCGAATTTAGAACTCGTCAATTTTTCACTTTTCTCGTTTCTAGTGAACCAGTTCTATTTATAAAACCCCCAATTTTTGAAGAGACGATTTTCGAAAATATTTAGATTTATCTATGGTTTAGATTCAAGCCGGAAACTCGTGTTCAACTTCTCTAGGCGAGAATTTTTATTTAAGTTTTGAAAAAAAAAAGTTGTGATTTGCTGGAAAGTGTTTCGAAACGGGGGTCTTGCTAGCACCCGCCCCTGTCAAAATCGAATGTTCACCAAAAATCTATGACATGACAATTCAACTTCTAATCGTTCCGTTTTTTTGCAGTGAAATAGCACGTCGTGATTCGATGACAATCAATCATTAATACCGCCCCCCCCCCTCTACCACAAAATTCTTCTTCTCTTTTGCCTATATTAAGAAGTGTGTATGAAAGGATAGAATTGAACGTGCACATCGGGTGACATACACATACATACACTCAAATACGTACACACTCTCGTACGCTCATTCGCCACCGAGCATGCATTCGCAACATTCGATCAAATTGATTAGACGGTTTTTTCCGTGATGCCTCCGGGTTGCCACGCCACATATCGGTGTTGTTTGTCTCCGCCCCTCCAGGATTTGCGAGTTGGTTTTTTCTCGATCGCTCTAGCGAAAAAAATTTCGTCTAATCCAATTTTCATTTGAAACACTCGTTTTGGGGAGCATTTTATCTAATTATATGCGCATATTCTAGCAATTTGAGCGAGACAAGCCAGTGAGCTTCTCTACCATTTCTCTAGATGTTCAATGAGCTCTCATTTCTCTTTTTTTCTATCAATTTTTAAACCTTTAAGAGTTGTTGAGTGGCTTAATCTTCTCTATTTATCAAAAATGGCCAATTTTGTTGGCCATGTTTTGTTTATACAACCCAAAATTCCAGTGTTTGCTATGAACAAGCTGTTTCAGAGATTCGAATACTTCCAGTTCAGAATTTCGATTTGTCATGAAAATTGCTGATGTATTTCAACAAATTTTTTCAAAACAGTGCTTCTGACTCATCACGAAGCCAAAATATTACCGCTTTGACATTATTTCTATTCGAAACATTGATCGATCATTTTAGAAAATGATTTATTTCCTAATAGGCTAGCAAGGCTATATTCTGAAACCAACTTGAAATCTATGCTATTCAGGGTTTCTGTATTGAATTTCTTATTTGTTTTTCAGGTTTTAAACCACTCGTAAATATGGTGTTGCGGGATTTGGAGAAAGATGAGCCCTTTTATTTGAAAATCGACGGAAAATGGGTATACGTCGACGAGGAAGTGCTGAAAGCGCATCCAGGAGGAAGTGCAATCACGACTTATAAGAATATGGATGTGAGTTTGCTTAAAATTGTGATTTTGAATATTTGCTCTTCAATTTTTTGGAAATATTCGAAAAAAATGCCAGTTCATTAGAAAATCCCTTTTTCAATAAAATTGCCGTCTGTATTTCACAAACAATTGATTGCGAAAATTGGCGTTTTGTGTTCTTTGGATCATAGTACAATGAACGTGCTATCAGCGCTTCGAATTCACATGCAATACGAAAAAATGAAGGGGGATTGTAGGCGACTACCGTATTCCACACATTCCATACCGGCTCGAAGACAGCTTACAAGTGGCTGAACGAGCTCAAGACCAAATGTCCCACACAGGAGCCTTGTATAGTTATACCGAAGGTTGGCATCCATCGATTGCGGTGATTTTATTGAACATGAATGAGATTCAGGATGATTCCATGTTGGGATATGATGATGTGAATATGGGAAAGTTTGATCTATCACAAGAGAAATCCGAGGAGATCAAGAAGAGTTTTGAAAAGCTACGAATTCGCGTTCGCGAGCTTGGACTGATGAATGGAAGCCCGGTCTTCTATCTGAGGAAAGTGATCGAGGCGATACTGACAATCGGCTTGGCAATGTACCTACAATACCATGGTTTTTATTTGGTGGCAGCGATTCTCATGGGTGTTGCCTGGCAGCAGCTGGGATGGCTGGTGCACGAGTTTGCGCACCATCAACTATTCAAGAATCGCTACTATAACGATTTGGCAAGGTTTGAGCAAATTGTTCACGCCTGCTCATTCAAACGATTTGGGATTTTCAGCTATTTTGTGGGAAACTTCCTTCAAGGGTTCTCGTCGGGCGGATGGAAAGAGCAGCACAATGTGCATCATGCGGCGACGAATGTTGTCGGCAAAGATGGCGATTTGGACTTGATGCCCTATTATGCGACGGTCGCGAGAGATTTGAAGGTATGGAGTTTCGAACCTTGCTTCGATATTATCACTTAATGAGCTATTAAAACGTCTATAAAAGTACAGTATAATATTAGCATTTTCTTTTCCTGGTTTTATTGTCATATGATTTCTTATGATGATCAGAACTTTTGCTGATCGAAGCGGAAAATTAATCCTTTGCAAAAAACTGTGGATGGGAAAACAAAAGAAACGGACCCGATAAGAGGATTTGGGAATCTATCGCGAAGATGATATCAATTAAAAACGAAGGATCTTTGTCGGGTTGGGGGAAGGGGGAGCTTTAAAAACGTGTTAGAAGTCGTAATCTGCCAAAAGTTTCTTTTGTAAAAATTAAACGCTTTAATTAATTTCAGCTTGCTGATAGTTGGCTGCTTTCCGTTATCCAATACCAGCACATCTATTGGACCTTCTTATTACCCCTTCTTCGTCTCTCATGGCTCGTCCAGTCGATTTTGTTCGTCCGAGCGATGCCTACGCATTTCTACAAGTACTATCGGGACACCGCCAAATATGAAACGGTGTGTACTCGGATAATGGGCTCAATACATGAAAGAATATCGCTTTTTAGGTAGGATTGGCTCTTCATTGGACCTACGTCGCTGTGCAGCTCTACTTCTTGCCGGACACACCGACGAGGTATTTCCGAATGGAACGCAATTCGATTTTGATGCCTATTTTCCAGAATCATGTTCTTCTTGGTGTCTCAAATGGTCGGTGGATTCTTGCTTGCCCACGTCGTCACGTTCAATCATTATTCTGTGGAGAAATATACGCGTAAGTCACGTGACTAATTTTTTTTCTTGAAAATTCTGATTGCAGTGAGCTCCAACATCATGTCGAACTACGCTTGCCTCCAATTGATGACAACTAGGAACATGCGGCCAGGATTGTTCATCGATTGGCTCTGGGGCGGTCTCAACTATCAGGTGGGTACCGTATCCGAGTTCGTGACAATTTCGACGAAACGTTTTAACGGCGAAATTGATAAGAAACAATGTTTGATTGTGTGATGGTTGTTTCAAAAAAATCGGACCATTTTGATAAGTTTTCAGATCGAACATCACCTATTCCCGACGATGCCGCGACACAACCTCAACACGGTGATGCCGCTCGTCAAGGAATTCGCGCGGCAAAACGGACTGCCATATATGGTTGATGACTATTTCACCGGATATAAATTGGGACTGGCGCAATTTTATAATATTGCGCAAATTGCCACAAAATTGACTCACAAAATCATGTAGAATGTGCTATTAAACCAACAAACAGCGTTGTGTAGTATTTTTTTTGTTGCATGCATCATTTTTTAAAACTCAAAACTGGTAGTATAATGGTCCCGCCCCCTCCCCCATCCCTTCCAACAAAATGGTCCCAACCCGGTTTTATTGTTGTCGGAGTGCGTATTTTTTCTTCAATTTGCTGAAGATTTGATTCTGTCGAATAAATTCTACTTACATATGAAATTGTCAGGAGACTTTGCATATTGTTCAACAACTTTTTTTTCGTTCCAGAATTAGAAAAATCGAAGCGAACGATGAGTTGATCTGATTCAAAATGTGTTATATGGAATAACTTGAGCGCTGGGAGCCCCGAACCGCATGAATTGTTTTGCCCGCAGCTGCAATAGCTAGAAACATTCAAAATTGTTTTTTTTCGATCTACCAAAATATTTTACTCGAATTTTCCTTCAATTGACACCAATACGTGCTAATTATCACACTTTCGTGATCTTTATTAGGCAATGAGAAACTGGGAAAAAGTTCACTACAAAGAGTATCTGAACCATGTTGATTCGAATGATTGATGACAAATCAAAATGGAATAGGAAGCGGAGATCAAACGGAAGTCATAATTCGTGAGAATCGAAAATGAAAAAGAATAAGGCTATTGTTGGTGAACCATCAAAAAATTGTTTGAATTGCCGCCAACACTAATTGGCTTTTTGTGGTTTATACCGGAAAATGTCTTCTAAAAAAATAAAGCATCCTGAGCGTCGGGGTCCTCCATTTTTACTTGAGCTTCTTTTCAAATGGACTATTCGATCTAATAACCCGGAAAAATGTCGACAGATGATTTAAGATATCACAATCTTCATCTTTGATTGTCTCAATATTAAATTTTAATGACAACTTGGTGTACTTTCACCTTGTGGCTGTTTACGAGCTTCTTGTTTCAATGCACTCGAATGCCCCACCAATCATCATCAGGTTACCATTTATGGGCAAAGAATAATATGGGAAGACGCTAAAAAAAAGGTGTCGAGATGGGTGTTAGACGAGAGAGTAGGCGAATCGCGGGAGTGCACAGTGAACGTGGAACAGATAGGCAAGTCCCGCTGTCGATTTCATTTTGAATCAACGGCCGCGCCACGACCATGACCGTCGACGAAAAATGCTCCAAACCGAGCGGAATGCGGATGAAGGTAATTCTTTTGCATATTCTCCTCCCATCTCATATGATTCCTATTGATGCTGCTATACTCAACTGTTCAAATTTATTATTAACTCGACTATTACTAATTTCCAATCACATACGTTTTTTAACAAAAAAAACTTTCTTCTTCGAACAGCTATACTATGTAACGATTTCATTTAATATGTATTAAATCATTAGCAAAAAAAACATTTTATTTAATTTTTTTAATCGATTTTTTCAAATTTGAATAATGCATGAAAATCAATTTTTTAAATTTCTATGATTTTTTCAAATAAGTTCAACAAAAATTATTTCGAGATTCATGCTTCTGCTGCTTCTTTAAAATGAATCATCTGCGGACATTTGACGCTGTTGAAAATCAGGAAGTCATTGTCCGAAGCTTCCAATAATCAAGACCATCGATCCATGGCAATCGTCCGAAGGTCGATTCCGTGATAATCGTGCGATTCTGCAATTTCACCCCCACTTCATTCTTCTATCAATTCCATTCATATCAGCGATTAATTACGACGAGACGCAGTTCCGTGAGAGTCGCACACAAAAAATAAATCACCCCATATTGTTCCATCGAAAAACTCAAAGTCTTGACGCTCTCCCTCCCTCTCTCTCTCTCTCTCTCTCTCTCTCTTTGTGTCTTCCGTACACAAAACCGTTTGTGTCGGCGTCTCTTCGAGTCTCACACTGTTTCGCGTTGATACCACCGCAATGCTGAGTAGAGAACATCCCAATGATTCCGTGCACTTTGTCCAATTCGATTGCTGATAAAAATAAATTGAGAAAGCAAAAAAAGATTGGTGTGCAGTTTTTGACGGACTACGTGAGCTGATAAGCTCGAGAAGATGCTGCGCTCAATTTTGGGCGGTTGAATGACGAAAGCGAAAGTGTGATCCTGTGAAGTGATTTGCTGATAACGAAATCGGGAATTTATCAAGGGGGGACTCTAAACATTGAAAAAATGATAGTTTCAACAAATTCAAGGATTGTATTAAAATCAATAGCCTCTGAAATTTTCAGGTTGAAGGCAAATGGCTGCACCTCAGTGAGGATTTGATCCTCAAGCATCCTGGAGGACCAGTTATCAAACAATACTGGTACGCTTTTCACTTATGAGACCCGATCAAATTTCAAAAATTTCCAGTAACTCGGATGCGACTCACATCTTCCACGCGTTCCATGAAGGATCGAGCAAGGCTTACAAACAGCTCGAGCTTCTCAAGAAGTTCGCTTGGGACGCCTCCGAGGATCTCGAAGCCGAGCTCAAAAAACGAACCGACAAGCCCGATGTGAATGTGTCGAGCTATGACATCAGCGTTGAGCAGGAGATGAAGATGGTCGAGTCATTCGAGAAGCTTCGACAGACGCTTCACAACAAGGGACTCATGGAAGCCAATGAGACGTACTTCACGTTGAAAGCGATCTCCACACTCAGCATCATGTTGTTCGCGTTCTACTTGCAATACGCTGGATGGTACATCACATCGGCGTGTGTTTTGGCGCTTGCGTGGCAGCAATTCGGATGGCTGACGCACGAGTTCTGCCATCAGCAGCCGACTAAGAATCGAACACTCAATGACAGCATCTCGCTCTTCTTCGGTAACTTCCTTCAAGGATTCTCGAGAGATTGGTGGAAGGATAAGGTAGGAACTAGGCACTTACTTCAGAATTTCCTGCTGCCGACATTTTTATTGCTGAAATCAATAACACAATTTAGCACAACACTCATCACGCCGCCACCAACATCATTGATCATGACGGTGACATCGATTTGTCTCCACTGTTCGCCTTCATCCCCGGGGACCTTCTCAAGTACAAAGAGCCCATCGAGAAGATGATACTGAAGGTGGTCCCCTACCAGCACCTCTACTTCACCGCCACCCTTCCACTCCTGCGATTCAGTTGGACATCGCAATCGATCAGCTGGGTGTTCGCCGAGAGCAATTCCGACTATCACGTGTACCGTCGAAACGCGCTTCTCGAGCAGATCACCATTGTCGGTCATTGGGCGTGGGTGCTCTATCAACTCTATTTGCTGCCGTCGGTGCCGTTGGCGCTCGCTTACTTCGCCATTTCGCAATTCGGCGCCGGCTTCTTGATCGGACACGTCGTCACGTTCAATCACAATTCCGTCGACAAATATCCGGCGGATTCGAGAATTCTCAACAATTTCGCCGCACTTCAAATTTTGACGACGCGAAACATGACGCCGTCGCCATTCATTGATTGGCTCTGGGGTGGACTCAATTATCAGGTAGCGTCGCAACTGAAAATCGAAAAGCGCCTTTAAACGGGCAGTCAAAAGTAATAGGAAAAATGCGCCATTAAAAACTGAAATGCGACAATGATAAATGATCCGCGTGGTTGCACCGAATGCATTTTATTCGACGACTATTCGCAAAAAATTCGACGACTATTCGCAAAAACAATTTTCAATTAATTCATTGTTTTTTAATTAATTCAAATTAAATTTAGTCGTTTAAATTAGCATAAACGTAATAATTGATTAAAGGCGCATAATGCTGAAAATTCTCAAAGTTTTGCCTATTTCCTTGCAGAAGCATACCATGCAATTTTATACATATAAATAACAGCATGGCATATATACATTTTTATATCATATAAGGATACCTGCTGTTTTTGTTTATCATCGAGTTCAGATCGAGCATCACTTGTTCCCAACAATGCCTCGATGCAATCTCAACGAATGCATGAAGTACGTGAAGGAATTCTGCAAAGAGAACAACCTTCCCTATCTCGTCAACGACTATTTCGAAGGCTATGCGCTCAATTTGCAACAGCTCAAAAATATGGCCGATGTCGCCGCAAAAGCTGCTTAATTATATGGGATAGTTGAAAACGAACGGAAACGGGCATCGTGTGAATCGAAACGACATCAAATGTGTATGTGTGTGGGGGGTGATTGTTGTTGTTTTTCCTTTTACAAAATATTTTCTTTATAATGCATTTCGTTGTGTGTGTGTGTGTGTTTCAATAAATTAGACTCTTGTCGGTGTGAGAAGCTTCTTGTCATTCTGACTGATTTGATTCAACACGTCGATCGGCACGGTGACTTCTGTGACGGCGTGGCGAGCCGTCAACGACGGTGTTCGAGGTCGCGGCGATGGGCTTCGGACACGCGGCGATGGGCTGTTCGGCATCGGCGATGGTGTTCGAAGACCGCGTCGATTGGCGAATCTAGAAGTTTTGAGATTCGAGCCAAGACCCCATCCTCGCGCATTACCTTCTATAGGAATTTGGTCGCAGTCTCGAGATTAGCGGTCGAATTGATCGCGTTCTTTTGAGCAGCGATTCGCCGGACAAAAATCGCGAAACAAATAGATTTAAGCCACTCTGAGATGCTGAAAAAAAAAACAAAAACAACAACAAGGATTATTTGCGGGGATTAGCTTGCTTCCCTTCCCTTTTTTGCACAAACCTTGCACACGCTCGATTTGAGCGTGAATACTCAGAATTGAAACGAGTATGACCACCATGGAGATGATCGCCAAGAAATTCAAACCAATGAACAATCTCGAGTTTGACGATGACGTCAAGGTGAGAAGCAGCGGCGAAAGTACGTAACCCGAACAATGTCCGGACATTAGCAACATTGTATTGCTGGCTGAAATGATAAATAAGTTGTTCCGAAAGTGTGTTAGATATGCAAGTACATTTAAGAGAGAGTCCTTGATTGATGTAGGACACAAGAGCTGGAAGAGCCAGCGAAAGGAAGAAGCCAAGAATGACGGATCCAAACGGTAGGAGGTCCTCTGCGGATGTCATGCAGCATCCGACGCCACAACCAAACTGCAATTTGATTTTTTTTGTTAAATTTCAAACATTTCATTTTTTTGGAATACGATAGAGCATCCGAGTAGAAAATATGGAGCCATATAATCCGAGCAGAACACCGCCATCAAACGACCCCACATGAAGGAAATCTGAGAACGCGGGTTCGCAATGAAATGAAGGGTTCGAGGTTACCGCGAAAAACTGAAAATGTAGAATGGTGCCGTTCGGCTGTGCCAATATCAAGAATGGGAATAATGCATGGATAATGTTGACAATGCAAGCCACCACCGAGCAAAGGAGCACAAGCTTCAGAGCATTTACATCGCTCTGTTGAGTTAGGCCTGAATTAGTAACGAATCATCCGAGTCTCCCTTTATTTATTACTCTGACAATTTTCGGGTGTCGCTTCTGCCGGCGTCCTTCTAATCGATATCCAATTTCGAAGAAGTGGCGTGAAGTCTAGACGAATAATTGTGACGATAATCGGAATCTGAAGCATTGATTGTCGTGCATGAATGAATTTGCTATGTTGAGTGCCTGTAATGCTGCAATCGCATAATACATGTAGTGCTGATGAATGCTGGGGTTTAGGTAGAATTTCTCAAGGCTCGGGATTCTCGGGCCGCCGTGCAGAATCGGACTGATCATCAACTGACAATCGTCCTGATGGGAGCTGGAAGCGTCTTGATAGAGAATGACGGCGTTCACGGTGCCGATTGATCCAACGAGATGAAACAGCTGAAATATTATCAATTTCTTGCTGTGGACATTTATTCGGACAACTAGTAGAATAGAATTCGGTTTACAGAAAAATGTCCGCAGATAAAAAAAATTAATTGACTTTATTATTTTTTTAAATATTTGATACAATCATTTCCTGCAAAAAATCCGGAAACTAGATTATTCACACACAAAATATTTTTATTATAAAAAATAATATTAAATGCTCTGAGCTCAATTTACCTGAACTAATAGATAGCTGGTTTGTCGGAATATTACTGTAAAGGATACTGTAACTGCGGATAGACATGCTCCCAAAGAAGCTCCCATTATGACGAACACACTTGTGCACAGCACCATCCCAACAGTATGGGGAAGAAGGCAGAAGCACAATGAGATTAGAAGGATGCATGTCGACAGCACGTATTTTATGGGGAATCTGAATATGTGTTCACAGCTGCGGACACTGATCCGGGTTTCACCTTCTGGTTATATTTGAGTGAATCAGAGCTCCAATGAAGATGGAGGCGTTGAATGAAAAATATATGGTGAATAGTTTTGATGGTCCGATGGAGGAAAAGCACGCGATTCGTGAGAAGCTTAAACCAATGATATTAATCTGGAAACATGTGATGAATGTGTGATTTAGCGAAAATTTGATTACCGAAAACCAGACAAACGCATAAATCCATAAATGGACAAAGAAAAGGCCGGGCAATTTGGCGACGAAATTTTTCGCCTCGAGAATCCGATTGAACAACGGCTTCTGCCAACAACAATCTCTCTCTCTCTCATCGATATTTGCCTATAATTCGCACTTACCATTGTTTTGTCGAAAATCGCCATCTTTCGAGATTCACCTGAAAACTGAGGGTGTGTTGGCATGGGAACGTATGTCGAATGAGCTCAAAAACAAAAAACAAGTTGAACACAATTTTTCGGATGAATTGATAGAATAGATGGGACGGATTAGAAGGAATAATTCGAACATTATTCCAAAATCCAATGAGCAATTTGATTTTAGGTTTGTTTAAAATATTAGCCAAGAAATTACTGTAAGATGTGGTTCGCAACGCTGGAATTTACGCAAAATGGTCTCGAGCCGAACTATTTGCTTTTTTAATATTTATATTCATCAAGTTTATCAAAACTACTGTTTCAGTAGACATTAAAAAGGGATTTGGACGGGACTCAATTCTTTCTTTTAAAGGAGCAGCGCATAGCTGAAGATGACTCGTTCAAAATTATGGCCAATCAATTTCAAAAGCGCATTGAAGTCCTAGAATAATCGCTCAAAATTTCAACGGGTTTTCTCAATTTTTGCGTGTATTTAGTCAAATGCTTTGGTGATCCGTTGCTAATCGTGCGCTGAAATTCAATTTATTTAATTCAATTGAAGCCTTATTCACATGACAATCGCTTGATTGAATCATTAATTCAAATTTGAAGAAGACGACGCTAAATGGTTATCGAACAGCACGTATTATCTATTATGATTCAGAATAGTTTGAGGATCCAAAAATCGGATCCCAATGGATGGGAAATTAGCTGGTTAAGGGACGGAAATGTTTTTTTTTTTTTTCAATGGAAAATTATAGCGATTATGAAGCCAGAAATTTGATAGCATGAGACCCCAAATGAAACACTGAAATTCTTATGTGTCATCTGAAGATTGATGACAACAAGAAGAAAAGAACTGGTCCGATAATTTTCAAAATTTTTCAAAATGTCACGATGTCGCCCGCAAAATTAAATGTGCTCTTGTCACACAAAAACAAAATCCGTAGTGGTCCTTAGACCAATCGGCTTCACAAATACCCAAAACACGATTGGATGGGAACATTTTACAATGAAATAGTACGAAATAGGCTCGGCACTTCTCTGCTATCTCAAAACCAATCGGATCCGATCCGGCTGGAAACAATTCCGTTGATAAGATGGATAAATTTTCGTTTCCGATTGGCGTTTTGGATATTAAAAAAAATGAACAAACGACGAATTCCCATAAATCCAAACACGTACAACTCTCTAAGGATTTATACTAGGTATTCGGATTGTCGAAGTCGCGCTCAACTGTAGAGTTTGGTAATATGAGAGCCGATTTACGTGTGGGGATTTTTACGCAGAAGTGTGGATTACATACAGGGTGTCATTTAAGTTCCCGCACAACTTTGAAGACGTATATTTCTGAAACTAAAAGTCCAAATCAAACGAGACTCGAAATATTTTTTATCTATAGTACAACAAATAATTATCTATTAACTCTTTTCGATTCGGCCTCTTTTCGCAGCTATGACTTCGCGGAGACGCTTCGGGTAGGATGTGACTGTGGTACGCAGGTATTCGATGGAAAGATTGTCCCATTCCGCCAGTAATGTCTTCTTCAGAGCCTCTACACTTGAGTGGGGTTTTGCGTTGACCTTCTCCTGCAAGACCCCATCACGGAGAAGTCAAGCGGGTTCAGGTCTGGGGAGCAAGCAGGCTATTCGGATGACTTGATGAAGTCGGGAAAATGGGTCTGGCACCACTCCTGAGTAGTTTTGGCAGTAGGGGGGGGTGCTCCGTCCTGTTGAAAGACCCATATCTTCCCACCGAAATGCGTTTGGGCCCAGGGCATCATATGCTTCCCCAAAATGTCCCGAACGTAGACTTCTTTGTTCACTTTCACCACCTGATCCACGAAAACCAGGGGCACTTCCCGGTTGAGCAGATGGCACCGAAAACAATCACACTAGCAGGATGTGAGGCTGGATAAATTGTTATTCCTTTCTCTGAAGCTTGCTGGGATGTCTGGGCAAGTACTCAATGGTTTTGTGAGTTGAATGCCGCCTCCACAGTGAACAGCTTCTCGTCGGAGAAGACAGTGGCGAGGTGTTCTCCAGACCGCGTGCGAGCAAAAAGTTGTTTTGCTTTTTCGAAGCGTCTCTGCTTGTTGACGGCCGATAGAATTGCCACTTTTTGGACACGATATGGGGTCAGTACAAGCTTTGTTTTGACGATTTGTTCCATAGCGAAGATGCTCATTCCCATGTCTGACGCCATCTTTCTTATGCTCCTGTGCGGTTTTCGCCTGATCCTCGTTTTGACGGCGTTGATCTTCTGAGGAGTGGTTACTGAGACGAGTCTTCCTTGTCTGGGAAGGTCACTGGTCGTATTTAGCTCCTTGAAACGTTTGTTGGTGTCTTAAACCGTTCTACGAGGCACACCGAGGCGTTGAATGATCTCTGTCGGGCGCTCATTTCGCTTATGAAGTTCGATAATGGAAGCGCGATGAATGTTAGCCTTCGCCATTTCTCGGAAACACATCCGAATGAAGTGAAACTTGAAAAGTAAGTAAAATACACCTTATTTAACAAAAATAAATTGTATTGGTGCACGAAAAGTGCGACAGCCAAGCTTTTCATGGCGTCTAACTTTTGTGCGGGAACTTAAATGACACCCTGTACATGCAACTCTTCGTCTCGGGATCTTCCCTGGAACTTAGTCAAATTGTCGCCGTAGCGCGATTTCGACATTAAAAAATATTTGATATACTAATATGGATTTTCAGAGACGCGAAGCTAAAGTTTCAAACATCTTATCCTCCTCCCTGCAATGTAACTGATTATAAATCAAATGGATATGAACAAAAGGAAAGTACAATTTGAAGCTTCAAACAATTCATATATGTAATAATTTTGACACCTTAACTTCGATGTTTCCTTTCTGAAATCGCCCGCTCTCCCTAGTTTATTTGAAATAATTCTTTTCTATTTCCTGAAAATATCGCTGGTCTACAACCATGTTTTCAATAAATCCTTTATTTCATTTACAATAATTAATAAAATGCACAAAAAAAGCGGATAAATCAAAGGTGCGGCAAGCGCAGGGGGACACGGGCTACCAACACTAATCCAATAATCCGAATTGAGATTAGCCGAGACGAGACAAAGAAAAACAAGAACTGACGTTGCAAATTTTTTGAGAAGAGTACAGAAACCCGTGAAAGACAGAAACAAATAAGAAGAAAACGACGAGGAGAAGGAATTTTCCATAAATGGTCGACAGGCATGTGATTGTTGTCGCGGTGTAATCCCGAATTAGGTCGTTGCTCTAATTGGAAACACGAATCATTTGCAAGTGTGCACTGCGACCTCTTCGGTGCATGTTTTGCACTTCACCTCACAACACCAAACGAATTTGCATTCGCATTGCATTTCACGGACCTGGAACAAAACAAGTTGTCGACCTACAAAGAAGGTTTGCGAAATTTGCGAGACACAATTCAAAATGAATATCTGTTCAACTAGAGTAAATAATTCATTATTCTACTTTAAAACAGTAAAATAGCTTAATTATCAATTTAAAAAAATACCTCAAGTCTTGTATTGTAGCCTCTACCGCAGCAAAGTAGATCACAACTTTCCGAATTGTAAGAATTATGGCGACATTCTCTGCCAGAAGTTCCAAGGATGCCTCAACAATTCCCATATTCTTAAAATCTGAAATCTTCTTTCATACCTGCAGTGATGTTTTGCTCGCAATACGACGGCGATCGATGAACGTAGGCCATTTCATTTCCACGCAACGGGATCTTCCTCTCGCTTCGCTCCTTCCTCCGAAGCCGTTTGTGCGCTTTTCGTGTCACCTACAATTGATTGATAATATTAATTCAACGGGCTCGCGAGCGGTCACTAATGTGCAATTATGTGCCCCCAACAACACCAATGATAGAATTCAAGTAGGTTGAACACATCACCACATTACATGCTCGAGCTCGACCTGAACAGCGAAGTGATCGTAGCGCTTTTTGAGCAGATCGGCGACTTGCGAGAATTTCGGCATCTGCAGCCAGCACGTTTTGAATTCGCATGAACCCGACACGCCATGGCAACGGCACTGGCGTCGAATATTCTGAGCAATAGCCTAAAGAGGATTTTTTTTTTAGTTTTTTTTTTTTGAAAAAGAAATGAATTAATGAGATACCTCTCTGCCAACAAAACTATTATGCTTGCGAACAAGATGCCCAACATTTTTTGTTTCGTCGAATTGCTTTTGCTCCCATTCATCAATAAATCTGAATAATATTAATTAAAATTATAAAACATAAATAATAAAACCAACCTTCTTGCGTATCGAATTCCATAAGGCACATTATCCGAGCATCCACCCCATGAGAATTGATCTCGGCTCATCGACGCATCCTAAATATCCACAATTACCCATATTCAAATTGCGTCATCATATTACTGTTTCAGCAGTATACCGCTGCATTCCCGGTTTGCTATCGCATCCGCAGTCCGTCAAATTTCCAGTATTGCACCCTTTTGTGATCGAATGAACAATTGTTGCCGACATAATGGCTGTTAGAAAAGCGGCTTCTTTGTTGGCTGTAAAACTATTTTCAACAGATTCGATAATCGCTACAATTGGCTTACACGAGCGAAATGTCTTTCCGAGAATGTCTTGGAATTTTCCGTGCTTCGTTTCGGTGACTTCATCGCGCGATGAGCAATTCCATCTAGAAAAAAATGAGGGTTAATTGAACATATCGAAAAGGATATTAATTCATGCTTTATAGGCGCACACAACAATTTTTAAGCGATATCTCAACACGATAAGTGAAATTCAGGTTTAAAACTCACCTTTCATATTTAAATTTATCTTCACATTCTCGAATAGCCTCTCGTATTCCTTTTGCGATGAATGGTATAGAAAATGGGTTCTAAAAATAATTTAATTTAATTTAACAATAATTGTTTCGTACTTCGGCGCAAATCGCTTGCTGCGCTGGATTCAAGCCATCGAGCCGCCGGCAAATTTCTTTAAAATACTCCTTTTCAGCATGATGAAAATGAGGTCTCGGTTGATAGTCATGACTGCCAACGAATGCCAAGGTGCTAAATGGAAAATGTTGAAATTCTGAAATGATTGCTGAACTTACAGCCAATTGTACGGCACATCGGGCCTCTGAGGCGCCGACGGCGTCAGTTGTGCGTTATGGATGACGTTGCAGAGTAACAGACAAATTAGAAGAACGAAATTTTTCATGCTGAAACGCGAGTTTTGAACACGATGGAAAAAAACAAATTTGGTGGGAAATTTGATGGCGATTGGAAAATAGGAAATCAATATTGAATGGAAAAATGTCGGAGAGGACGCGAATACAAACAGAAAAGAAGGCATGCAAATGTGCCGTCTTCTTGTATTCGTGTACACATTCATTCGTTTATGGCCCATCTAACCCGTCGAATTTCATTCATCACCGAAGAAATGTCGAAGGACGAATGAATAGGAGGAGGCTGGGGGGGGTTTCATCAGCGTCTCGTCGATCGTTGTCGTGAAGATCCCGATTTTGGCGGGATCGATTTTCAACGACACAATCAAACGATGAGGAATGCGGCAATTTGTCGAATGAGGTCCCACCAGTCCTCCTGGTCCGACACATGTCACAATTTTACGACTGTGTCGTGTGCTACCGTTTTATCGCCAGCCACTTAAATCTGACTGACTGGCTGGCTGGCGCGCGTTTTTACGAGCCTGATGAGCAGTTGCATTCATTCATCCATTTGAACAAACACATCTGGAAATCATTGTACAACTGGAGAATCGAGAACTCGGGCAAAGTCCACTATATTAACAACATTCATGCCGAACAACATATGTGGCTGAATATTCCAGACGAGCCCATTTCAAAATAGTTAGCTCGACGGCAATGAGTCATTGTGTGGGGAGAATTTAAACCATTTGTTGTTGAAATTGCTTGAAATCAATAATTTCTTTAAAAAAAAGCCAATTCTGGAAATACTTTTTTCAATTTTTAGATGTTCTCGTTTTTCAAAATGAAGCATGAAAATGGCGAATTTTTCTTATTCGCTGGTCTTCAAAAAATTGGGATCGCATCCCGGATGATGTCCGCAGATGATTACAAATAAATTTATTTTTTTAAAGATTCAAAAAGATTCACCGGGCCCCCATTTGAACAATACTAGGTGAAAATGAGCTATTGGGAAAATGTTTTCAAGCAGCAGTATTGTTCATTAAAATCCAATTAGTCATAACAATAAATGACAGAATCCCCATCTTTAATCAGCAAATCAATGTTTATTAATGTTAATAAGCGATCGTGCCATTTTTCTGAGTATAATCGCGCTCAGGCATTTTCGTTTCAAGTTCATACAAGGTGTCATCTTCCTCATTTCTATGAGCCATCATGTAAGCTCGTCTGAAATCAAATCTGATTGCAGAAGGTTTTGAGCAATGAGTAAAAACCTTTCATTTCTCTGTTGTACGGCCTTTTTGATGCATTCCAAATCATTCTTAGTGAGCTGTGTGCGATATGGACCCTCTGAAGAAAAATGTTCAATTGCGACTACATCTAGTTCGAAATGTGCTCCTACTAATGTCAGAAGCTCTCTCGCGAAATGGACTCTCCTTCTTCTTCTTCGGAACAACGCCTGGTTGTGGTTGCATCGGAGCGGCCTCAACCTTCTTTTCTTTCTTCTTTTCCGGCGATTTTTGTTTTTCCGTCGGCGCTTGAAGTCCAAAATAGGTCGAAGCGACATAGGTTTGCGTTGGCGGAGCTTGCCGCGACAATTGCTCAACCGGCGGATCCGGTGGAATCGTTGTGGATTGAACTACAACGGGTACTGGTTTCTCTGAAACATTTTCCCAATGCATTTGAAACGTTCGAAAATGGGAAAACCTTCAATTTTCGCGGGTTCAGGCGCCAAATTTGTCGACGCCACTGGAGCAGCGATATTCTCAACTACTTTTGGCTTGACTTCAGGTTGCAAAACTTGACGTGAGTAATTTGAATGAGTTTGAACTTCTGCTTCATTTGACACTTCTGTACTTCGGCTGACAAAATGGGAAAATTATTAAAATGGTCTTATCACGAAAAAAATCATACGACTGATCAAAATGTTTGACAACTTTCGGATCAGCCATCGAGCGATCCATCGGTTTCTCATCTTTTGAAGATTTCGATTTCGAGTTACGACTATGTGTACATCCCATGACACTGGTCGCTTATTTGGTTATTCTGCAAAAATGTTTTTTTGAATAAAATAAATTTAAAAAAAAACCAAGCAACATCACTCACTTGATAACAGACGAGAAGTAAAATGAAGAAACAGAAATTTGAAGAGGAATAAGCGGGTTTCGAGTTTTTGAAATGATCACGTTCATCGAATTATTTTTATCAACTCAATCATCTGGATTATAATTTTCCGAGCATTTTGTTCTAAATTATCATTTATGCAAAAAATCAAATTATGCCTAAACCAGGATTGTGCGGCAAATTGAAATTTCGGCAATACCGCAAAATTCCACGGCCGCACAGCCCGGGTCCAGACTTTATAATGTAAATAACTTTAATGTAAAGCAAATTTCATACTAGTCCAACTCTTATCCGAATTTCCCAAAATTTACAATCTGATCGAAACGATACCAGTAGGATATTTTTTAAAATCTGAAGAATGTCGCGTCGGATCGATCGCCTTTGTTTATTTAAAAACATAGGGAAAAATTGATCGGAAGCTTCTGTTCCAGAGTTTAGAAAAGCAAATTGAATTATTTTCATTAAAGTTAAGGCTTAAAATTCTGTCCGAAGCATTACGAAAAAAACAACCCAGCGTTTTGAATAAAAAAATAAATTCCAAAATTGCGTTCAAATTGAATTTATGAATTCAGTTGCAAGAGGAAAACCTAGAAATACCTCAACAGGTTGCACGGGGGAGGATATGTTGCCTTAAAAGGATCAATATTGTCATGATAAATGAGCAATTGGGAATCATTTGGATATATTTTTCATAAGTTTCAAGGTAGAACGGATGAGTCAAAAGGCGAAAACAATCAAAAAAATGTACCCAAAAAGAACAACCAACAAGGAGTAAAGCATTGACAGTCAAAACCAACAAAAAATTGAAAAAGTAAATCCCTAAAAAAATAAATTAGAGAAGCTTAAAATGTGGTGGAAAGAAAATCAGTTTCCTTCGCTTCCTCGCGTTCAATCAGCGGTTGACGAATGTTGGTAATCCATGACGGTTCGCTACCAATTCGGGAAATGATTCGTTCAAAAAGAGCACTGTTCTCACTGAAACATGGCTATATAAACGAATAAGCGGGAAACAAATTACCATTGCTCTTGCTGCACCGAACTCTTTTTATTCATATTAATCTCACCGGCGAGTAAAGCTGCCTCAGTTCTCGCCGTCCCAATTTCAGCCTTCGATACACGCCGCTCGCCATATGGGTTATAGTCCACAATAGTTTCAATGCTCCTCTTTTTCTTATATCTAAATTTCAAAAAACAATTTCCAGTTTTTTTTCAATACAAATTTTAAAGACTACCGTTCCCAATATCCAAGAAGGAATATCTCAACAAAGAACTTCTCAAACACGAACGAAGCGATTGTGTTGCCGACGACGACGAACAAAATGAATAGTTGGAAGTTGCGCGACGGCAATTCGACGCATCCTAGCCAGTAGCGCAGAAACTCATTTCCTCCGCAGACAATGAAAATCGAGAAGGTGATTGTAACAATTGTCAAAATGCACAGCGGCATGTTGGAGCGAATCGATCCTCGGTATGGTGGTCCCTTCGAATACACCAAAGCCAATGAGATGTACTGGAAGATGGAGACGCAGAAAATCGCGGTTCCCTAGAATAGGAAGAATTATTAAATTTGATAGATAACGCTAATCCAACGTGCATGCTTCGTTTATCTTCTTCCTCATCTGGTCCAGGCGGCTTATACGGTACGAACCATTCCTGCTGCGACGTCGCATAGAAGACAATGAATTGCGAGACGGCGACAATGAAGAGCTGCCCGATGACTGAAGCGACGCTTGCAATCGATAAAAGGCGAGTGGGTGGAGGCGAATGAGCCAAATGCGGAAACGCAGGCGTGTTTCCGAATAGAATCGCATAGCTCGTTATAAGGAACATGTCAATGTAGAGGAATTGACCATCGGTGAGAATACTGCCGATCCAATAGAGATGCATGACGGTGACGAATTGAGCCAGCGAGTAGCCGGCCATGTATTTGAAGATGCCGAACGATGTGACCAGCGCGCACCGGCCTTCGCTGATGATGGTTGGCACACATCGAATGTCGGGAACCTTGGAAGTGAATGGAGCTGCAATCGAGGCCTCCGCGTCGGACAGCGAGATTCCGGCGTGGGCGGCCTTCAGCGCTGCGCAATCGTTGGCACCATCGCCGCACATCGCCACCGTGTAGTTGACATTTTGAAGTTCCTCGATGAGCAACTGCTTCTGATCAGGCGCCATTCTCGCGAACACATCGCAAACGCAAACAAGTTTCGAGACGAGCTCCGGATACTCGTGAACAATTACGGCAAATGTTGGTCCCGAAATGGCCAAATGATACGAGCTGCTAACAAAACTTCCTAGCTCGTGCTCCCCGAACGTCGGCTGCTCATTTGCCACCGAATTGATACCGACGGTCGATTGTTTCCATGGCGGATTGTCCGACGAAAATGACGAGGTGTCGTCTTCAATCACCTCATCCGATGACGAGACAGATGGCTTCAGTGTGAGTTTCGTTCGGCCGAATTCATCAGTGGCACCGGGAGTATGCTCAATGAGGAACGCACGCTTCTGCGGCCGAATGATTCCGCATTCGCGAGCCACCGACAACCCGGTGAGCAAATTGTCACCGGTCACCATTACGGTTCGAATGTTGGCCCGGTTCAGCTGATTGATAACACCAAGTGTGACCGGTTTCACGCGATTCTCCATCACAATCAATCCGAGAAGCTGCAAGTCGCATTCCACCGTCGTTCTTGGCACTTTGGCGGCTCGATTGAAGTTCATGTTCAACGATTTTCGCGCAACAGCGAGAAGGCGAAAACCATGTTGGGCATAGGCGTTGACAACATCCTAAATCACGAGTTTTCAAGGACAATTCCAATTTTGTGGAACCTACCAAATAATTATCCGGAACAGTTTTCGGATCGCATAACGATAGAATCATTTCTGGGGATCCTTTTGAGTAGAGAACCATGTTATCCGGCCTTTCCACCGCTGGATCATAAACGATTACCGACATTCGTTGAAGAGACGAGCTGCAACACGGATCTGTCCAATGAAATCTTTGATAGAAACTTCAATTACCTGAATGTGAACTGCCTGATCACCGAATATTCCTCATCCTTTTTGCCTTCCACCTTCGGCGGCTTGACAATCGATGGTTGAACACTGTCGAAAAGTTGCGTCTCTTCTTCAATATCGCCCTCTTCGATGCTCCACTCAGTCTTCTGGAACAGAATCAAATCCAACGGATCGCCGTGAAGAATTCCGTTGATTCGCGTCAATGAATGACATGTGGCAATCGCGTTGACAATCTCGCCGCGCATTGGCAAATTCTCGCGGTCCATCTCGGTAACCTCGTTGAGGAATCCAATCTCTTTGGTGTTCTCGTCGCGCATCACCGGTCGCATTACGTGGAAATCGAGCCCGTCTTCAGTTAGAGTACCCGTTTTATCAAAACAAACCTAAAGAAAGAAAGAAATCAATAAATCATAATACAATTAATTGAGTAGATCAAAACTTACAACATTAATCGCTCCACAAGTGTTGATACACGACGGCGAGATACAATAAATCTGTTGCTTCTTGAGCCGCAACTGAGCATTGATAGTACCGACGGACATGGCGGCCGGCAGAGCAGGCGGCACCGTAATCGTGATGATGTCAAGCGCTCGAACGATAACCTTATGAATAGTGCTACCGCGCGAAATCATCACAATGATTGTGTAGATGAAACCGCATCCCGAGATGCACGCGAGGAATAGAACGAATTTGAACAAATCCTTCGTGAGCCGAAAATCGATTGGCTTCGGGTACATGATCGAGCGAACGAGTTGGCCTTTGAGTGTCGAATAAGCGGTGCGAAGAACAATGGCCTGCAATTAATTATTCACGATGAAAGGGGAATTTCCAAAACTTTAGGCATTTACAGCTTTTTTTGGCACAAATGTTCGATAAATGCAGAAAATCAATATTTGATTTGTTTCCTGGCGTTCATTCTACTCTGATCATTCAAATTACACTGCCATTCGGTAAAATTTGTGCAGTCATTTTTGGTTCTACGCCAATGTTTGCTGAAAGTCTCCGGCAGACATTGCCAAGATAACAGTATGGTTGCAGATTTTGCCCAAACACTCAGCGAAATCTTTGCTTCCACCTTTCCTTTTCTTATAAAAAAAACTACGCACATATATTCAGCGTCCGGCGACTGCTGTACGCGGGTAGATTTACGCGCATGCGCCTTGAAAAGGTCTCGCCACGCGTTAATGCTTATTTTGCTGTTTTCACGTGAACCGCTTCATTTTTCTTGATGAGTTTCGCATTTCCTTGAATTTCCAACATCATTCGATGAAAAAATTATCGAACCGGTCCATAAAATTTGAAATAACCAGTTTGTCCTTGCGAGACCAAATCTACCCACGTACAGCAGTCGCCGGAAGCCGACTATAAACACGTTTAAAATATTCAATGAACATTTTTTGCAAATTCCATTAAATCTCAAAATTAAAGTGACGTCAGAACGGAAAATTCCTGCGAGCAATTGAACATATTACTCTCTTCCATTTCCAATGGAATCACCATGTTGATTACGCCCGCAACAAACGCTCATACTGTATGAGAAGGAATTCCATTTTTAACTTCAAATCACTGGAATTCAAAGAACGTCGAGCGATCGCAAGAAACCCCGAATAAAATCAGCTGCAAATGTGCCTCGAATAACAATTACCTTCTAAAATAATTGCCCTTCGAACAAAAACAAATAGGCTACACTCAATTACCTAGAAATAAAAGCGCCAACAATTGTCTGACACCAATTCGCCACCCAATATGCTACCACCAACTGCGTTTTGGGTATGCTTAATAGGCTTCTTCCTCAGTTTATTCGTTGCAATATTCAATTGTATTCTTCTTTATAGGCTTCGGTAAAATTCCAAATACCTCTCACAAAACAATCATTTCGAGAACTCAAAAATATTTCCAGACATCGATTTAAGCACAAACCATCAGAATATCAACTATTTTTTATTCGTTTCGGTCTAGACAGTTTATTTGGTCTTAAAGGTACTAAATTATTTCAATTTAATAATGATTTATGAAAAATAAAATCAGGAACATTGTCCAATTTCGCGTTAAGTCTTACAATCTTTTATCCCATATATTTATTCGATTATCACATTTATTACTACATCACTCTGTTTTCATCAAATATTGCCTCTGCACGCTTCCTATTATCTTTGGTTATTGCGATAGAACGACTAATCGTAAGCAGCGGAATAGTGGGCAAGTCGAACAAAACCCCCAATATTTAGGCGATTACTAGTCCTGTAAAATTTTATTTCTACCGCCAAAAAATCCCCATCTATTCAATCTTCTTCGTTATCTGTTTAAGTCCAACAATCGAAGATATTCTCTATTTTTTCATTTGCGAAATCGATCCGTTCACTAAAAAATGCTCGGTATTCGTATGCACATGGAACACATGCTTCTCGAAATGCTACACCTCCTACAAAATTGTTATTGGTGGTCTGACAACAATAATAACAATTTTATTATTGTTCAAATTGCTATTAATGAATCACCGATCGCTGAGTAAAGAAATCTATAAGGTAGTGAAATAAATTGACGTGGACGGACGCATTTTGAATTGATCTTAATTGGTCCCACCACAAAACAACCCGCCATTCGGGACCCAAGACAAAAATTCAAATGATAAATCAATCTAAATTCAAATCTGTCCGTCTTCAACTACATATAATACATTTCTAATAAAACTTGTACGTTAAAGGCGAGCAAATTATGCTTAATTGATGTGTCTCTTAGTTTCGCATTCGATTTTGCTCCCTTCGTGCTCACAAATGCATTCTCGATCAATTTGACAAACGGCGTAAGTTGCTGCGGACATTTGACGAGTTCAACTTTCGCCACTCTCAGAATTTTGGTCCAATCAACACAGTTATCAAATCAGTAGTCTGTTTTGTCGACGGATTAGTCGCACTTATGATTTTCACAAATAATCGAACGTTTACAACACAAATTCGATCAGTCTCGAAAATTGCATTGAAATAAAATTGTGTGTCGCTCTTGAACGAACCATCTGATCACTTTCACTGTTCGAAGAATGCTATTATCGTTCGAAAAATTTCTCCTTATCAATGCTGCTTCAAACTTGTCAGTAAACCACAAACCAGGTCAATTAACGACAGAACATTAGCCGATAAGAGATTTCCGATGTTGCGCGATTTGGTATAAAACTCGAAATATGCGCATTCGCAGCAGCCATTTCGACAATGCAAGTGGCGAGTGCGACATTCATTGCGAGCAGCCTCTCAGGCTTAGCTCTTCTAACAAGCCTTTTCGCGCTTTCTTCGATCTACAACAATGTTCAAGAATATTGGTTCGAGTTGGACGAGGAGATGACGGGAGTTCGGGTAAGGTTTTCTCAATTCTCTGTAGATTGCTAAATTCGATTCCAGAAGGATCTTGATGACATGTGGACTGACATCATGCATCTTCAAACCAATTCCGGATTCAATGTTTTTCGCTCAAGAAGACCGCGTGCTTACGACGACGGCAGCTATAAAGAGGGCGGCTATGATACTGGAGCTCCTGCGCATGATATTGGAGCTCAAGCTCCATCTGGTCCAGCTCCAACCTCACCGGAAACCTGTCAGTGCAACGCGGAGAATAAATGTCATCCGGGACCACCAGGACCGAAAGGAATTCCGGGAAGTCCCGGTCCAAATGGAGTTTCCGGAATCGACGGAGTTCCCGGCTTCGACGCCGAAGACGTCGAACCGCAATCACAGGACACTGGCATCTGCTTCTACTGTCCAGCTGGTCCGCCAGGCCCTCCAGGGCCCATGGGTCATCCGGGACTGCGCGGAATGAAAGGCGCTGACGGGCAACCGGGACGACCAGGAAAAGACGGACAGCCTGGAAAGCCAGGAGAAATGGGAGCGCAGGGACCACAAGGGAAACCGGGACCCGAAGGCAAGCCGGGAGAGAAAGGCGCCGACGGACGCAAACCTATTGGACGACCAGGACCAAAGGGACAGCGCGGACCACAAGGAGTACAAGGACCGCAAGGAGCTCCGGGAGAAGACGGACCACCAGGAGATGCAGGACCGGAAGGACCACCAGGAGGGCCGGGAGTTCAAGGAGAACAAGGAGTCGATGGCCCGCCGGGACCAGAAGGCAAAATGGGAAGACCGGGGCAGGACGCGTAAGACACAAAGAATGCGCTAGAAATAACGAAACCACAATATTTCAGAGAATACTGTCATTGTCCACAACGCGGATCACATGGTGGATCATCAAGAAGTCGCGGTGGAGGTACAACCGGCGACTCCTACAACACCGGTGGCGAGCCGTACAAACGCAAGAAGTTGTTGCGCAAATTTGTTTAACAGAAAAAAAAAACGAAAAACAACAACAATTTCAATAAAAATTCATACCTTGACTTTTTTTCCACGATAAAAACGCGTTTGAAGAACCTGTGTGCCACAATACAACACGTTCTTCGAATGTTTCTCAAGATTGAAAACCATATCATGCGTCTCATCAGTAAGTGCAACCTGGAATGAGATAATAATAAGTTGAGTGTGTCGATGAATTGAGCACCTTGGTGATCGGAACCGATTCGCCAGTCAACACGCTTTCATTCACAATCGCCGTTCCGTTCATGAGAACACAATCGCATTGCATTAGGCATCCGTGCGGTGGAATCAAAAGAATATCGCCAGGAACGAGCTGCAATCAAATTATAACCAATTTTATAAAATTATGAACTCGGTTTGATTTTTGAAAAAGAATGCTAAATCAAAAATTCATACCTGCTCACTTCCAATCACCATTTCCTTTCCTTCTCGAATAACTTCAACTTCTTCCGTATTATGGACCATATTGCGCAATCTGAACAAAAGATCGAATAATTTATTTTCGAATTGAAAAAATGGAACGCATTTCTTGGTACCTGGTTTCTTGTTTTCGCAATTGTGCAACATCAATGCAAATCGAGGAAATTGAGAGAAAGACGATAAGCGATGCATAGTATGCATATTCGTCGTTGTACCAAACAGTTACACTGAAGATTTGGAACACGTAGAATGGTGTGATGACTTCCATAATGAGCAGGTAGAGAATTGGACGGACAGTCACGACGATCTCGTTTCTTCCGAAGAACTCAAGACGATGCGCGATTTCCTTCAATCCCAATCCTTGATTGGCTTCGGATGCTTCTATGAAGGAAGCGCAAGGAATCTGAAAATGCACTTTTTGGAGGTCTATTAAAAACCACCCCGACTTTTTAACCCCTACCCCTGCTATTCCACCCCGACTTTTTAACCCCTTCTTTTATTTATGATACCACCCCCACTTTTCACCCCCAATTTTTAGATTTCCCCTCTACTTTTTCACTGCACTTCAAAATTTGCAGTTTCTAACAGTAATGTTTAGCAGTAAATTAAAAAAGAAAAATTTTTAATTTGCAATAATTCAAGTTATCAAGAGGAAATTGGTAAAATTGATGTCTAAATTAGATTTTTCAGAAACTATGTAGGCTTGCAATGAAGCTTGATATCAAAATGCACAATTGGACACTTGAAATATTGACAATTGTTGGAAAATACGAAAATCTTACGAAATACGAAATCTTTATGAACCGGGTTTTCCGAGAATGGTTCATTACTTGTTAAAATTTTCAGCCTTTCATAAGAACAGTACATTGTTTCTGAAAAATCTAATTTAAACATCAGTCCTGCGAATCTCCTCTTGATAATTTGAATTATTGCAAATTAATTTTTTTTTAATTTACTGCTAAACATTACTTTTCACTGCACTTCAAAATTTGCAGTTTCTAACAGTAGAGGTGAAATCTAAAAATTGGGGGTGAAAAGTGGGGGTGGTATCATAAATAAAAGGAGGGGTTAAAAAGTCGGGGTGGAATAGCAGGGGTGGGGGTTAAAAAGTCGGGGTGGTTTTTAATAGACCCTTTTTGGAGAAGATCAGAGGTAAATTTTCTTCTTTTTCAAAAAACGATAGTTTACCGAATCTGCAATATCGCTTGAAGCCATCCATCCAGCTTCGTCGGTTTCCTCATTTTCAATCCAAACATAGACCAGCTTTCGGTAAAGAAACCATTTCAACTCTTTTATTTGGCTCATTTCTCCATTCGTATTTGGTATAAACTGAAATTAAAAATTCCAGAGATTTTCCATTCGTTTTTAATGGCTCTATGCAGATTTTGGCAAGAGAACTAGTAAAACTCAACAAAAAAAAAACGAGATTTTTTGAGAAATCTGCATAATACCATTAAATTTATACCACTGGGTTCTCCGGGGTCCCAACTTTCTTGTGGACTTCAAGAAGCTCCGAGACATTATGGCAATCTCTGAATAATCCAATCACATTATTGATTTGCCAATTAAAACAAGATAAAGCGACTCACATAACATGAACATATTCAGCGTGCGAAAAAAGGCAAGGGACCATTCGAAATTTGACGTTCCATCTTTCTCTCCAATGAAGAATCAGTCGAAATATTCCAAGTGTCAGTATTGAGAAAATATAGAAAAGAATCTGAAAAAAACACCCAGTTTATCTTGATGATTAATTTATTTTTTTGACGTGAAAAAAATTATTTTGAAAATGTCAAAATGTCGTCTTCCTAACTTTGCAATAAATATTTTTTTTGAAAATTTTAAATTTATGAGGAAAAACTGGAATAATTATTTTTCGAATAGGAAAAAGAGGCAAGGGGGTACGAATTTTATGCACATGGAGGTTCTGATAAGGAAAAGCCGATTGTTTTCAAAACACTTTTGTTCAATTACTTCATTCTAAGTTCATATCTTCGAATTTTATTTCGAATGGAAATAATTTCTATTTTAAAATTGTGACTCTTTCGACTACATCCACTAAAATCAAAATGGTTCTCCAAATCTATTTTCATTTTGAAATCGAACTATAATTTAATAAAAAAAAAAAGGATTTTTTTGGAAAATATACAATCTTGAATTTTTCCTTCAAAAACCGCCCAACGTCCATGTATGTTTCAATAGAAATATTACCGTTCGAAACAATCCTCTTCTATAAGCATAGAAATTGAGTGTGTGTTCTCCAGATTCGAGAGTCAATCGGTGGCGTCGTGCGCCACCCGCCTCCACCATGCCCGATTGTTTGGGTGTCTCGACGTACGAGATGACGAACGAAAAATGCCGTCGAGACTGAATACACGTTAAAATTGTGTTAATAAGACAAAACGAACGCGACGAAATAAGTATTCAATAAGAGAATGATCCAAATCGAGCGAAATCAATTAATCATTGAATGAAAGCGGCGAAAAAAAAAAGAACACACATGACAAACCCTTCGAAGTGTTTACATTGTATGAAAAATAACAATAAATTCGTGGATTTTTGGAATTGGAATCTTATAAATATTCAACAAACCATTGAAAATCGAAAAAAAAATGATTAGAAATTCATGGTGTGTGAAAATTTGGTATTGAAACAATACCCGATGGGTGATGGATGAGGTGTCAGTCGTGCCCACGTTACGAAAACTTGATTTGGTTCGAATTTCGACTTCTTGAAGCAGCCGGTGAATTGTGCGGTTAACTTTGCAAAAAATATATATATAAATATTATCGAATGACGATAAAGTTGGTTGGCAAATATTTGACGCGTCGAAATATTTTCGATACGGCGACAAAAAAAATTGGCCCCCCGGACGAGACCATATATTTAATTGGCGGCGGCGGCGAAAAGCGGAAAATAATTTTTTGGAAGGCGAAGGAGGAAAATGAGCAGGCTGGCCGCCGTTGTCTATTATGAGAGACGCAGGCGATTTTGCTGAAGCTCGCTTGGCCGAGGGCATACGGAGAACATTAGCTGCGGAGAGGAGCACAAGACCATTGGAGCGCGTTTCGAATATATTATTATTAAATATTCAACTCTGATTGTTAGTTTGAAATATGAGAACATATTCTATTCGTAAACATAACAAATTTGAAAATTGCTAAAAACTGATTCAGGCACAATATAAACAATTTAATGATTTTTTTTAAGTTTACGCCATTGATTGGGTATCGACGAAAAAACAACTTTCAAGTGGCGCCTTTGGTATGACTCATATGTATTTCGATACAAACACAAATAAACCACGCCCCCCCCCCAAATTGTTTTTCCGCCTTTATCATTTTAAGAGGTTGACGCAAATTTTGATGGAAACTTGTTCGAAAATAAGATAAGGCGTCGAGATTAAAGCAGCTTCGTTAATGCTTCGTCTCATAATTAATGGTTATTTAAATTTTTAGATTATAGCGTTTTTTTTTAATCAAAACTGTAAATACTGAAAAAAATTATTTTAATATGCTCTGAAACACTAGAATATTCTGAATAATCTTTTGAAATCATTAGAACGAAAGTTTATGATTTTTAATTAAATTTCACCAAAAATCCGCACGAAATTTCGAATTTTAATTATGCAAACGCGCTCCATCGCACTTTCGGTGACCTTCGTCCGATTTTGGTGAGCTTATTTAAATTTTATTTTTTGTTCGAATAAAAATTTTCTGTTTAACACGTAAATTTAATGGAAAAAAATTTCTTAGAAATAATTAAACCATTAAAAATTTACCGGTTCAACAAACATACAATGCCAAAATCATAAAATGTATCATTGATTTGATATTTTAGGATAAAAAATGGATGATGATCTGTTTGCTGCTTTTGATTCATCCCAAACATCCTACGCTGTAAGTTGTTTTCAAAAAGAATCTCTACGTTTATCATTAAAATTTAGGGAGTTCCTTCTAGCAGTGGGGATAGCAATGAGCATGTACTAATATCTAATTTATGCTATTTTCTAGTAAATACTTTTTCTACAGGTAGAGTTCGGACGCCAAAAACGTTCTCATCAAGACGATGACGATGACATCAAAAGTGTGAACCTTGTTGAAGAACGAATGGAATTTTCGGATGATTCCGCCAAAAGAGTATTATAATATTGATGAAGACATTTATTCAACAACTATTTTAAGCCAAGAGTTGAAGGAGCAAATGATCCAAACGACGATTTAGAAGAAGAATTGAAATATGAGAACATTGTAGTTCATACAATTAAAACAGATAATGAGAATTGCACTCATGAGGTCGCACTTCCGCCAGATCACCAATTCACTCCCTTGAGATCAAGTGGAAGAGAGCCAGCAAAATACTATCCATTCCAATTGGATGCTTTTCAAGTAAATTTGAGATTATTAAAAAACGGAAACTGTGGTTTTTTTTTAGAAACAAGCTATTATGTGTATTGAAAATAACCAATCCGTACTTGTCTCTGCTCACACTTCTGCTGGAAAAACGGTAGTCGCCACGTAAGAATTGCTAACAAGATTTAATAGAAAATTATAAATTTTTAGATATGCGATTGCTCAATGTCTTCGTGACAAACAGCGAGTGATCTACACCTCTCCGATCAAAGCTCTCTCGAATCAGAAGTTCCGAGAATTGGAAGAAGAGTTCGGAGATGTTGGATTGATGACAGGAGACGTTACTCTAAATCCAGATGCTTCGTGCCTCGTCATGACCACTGAAATTCTCAGATCTATGCTTTATCGAGGATCGGCGATTATGAAGGAAGTTGGTTGGGTAGTGTTCGATGAAATTCATTACATGAGAGATAAAGGTTCGTCAATTTCTGAGTAATTCTATTAAAATAGGACTGTTTTAGAGCGCGGAGTGGTTTGGGAGGAGACAATCATTCTGATGAGCGAGAAAATCCGTCACGCTTTCTTATCCGCCACGATTCCCAATGCCCGACAGTTTGCACGTGAGAATTTCATTTAATCATATTTTTTTGAATAATTTTTGTAAGAATGGGTTTGCTATATTCATCATCAACCGTGCAACGTCGTCTACACCGACTATCGTCCTACTCCACTTCAGCATTTCATCTATCCTGTCGGAGGAGAAGGTCTTTATGAGGTCGTCAATGTTAAGGTGTGTTAGCTTGGAAAATATAATGATTAGATTAATCCCTTAATTTTAAGGGCGAGTTTCGTGAAGATAAGTTCAAAGATGCAATGAGCTGCTTGGCGACTGCCGGAGATTCGGCGGGCCCAATTCAACGACGCGGTGGTGGGACCAAAGGAGACAGTAACGTTTTGAGAATCATTCGAACAATCCGAGAAAGCGATATGATGCCATGCATTGTGTTCTCGTTTTCGCGAAAAGAATGCGAAGCCTATGCGTTGTCTCTGAAGGATTTAGATTTTAACACCGGTACTAGAATATTATCGAACAATAAGGCATGTGCAAATGATATTTTCAGAAGACGAGAAGAAAATGGTGAGCGAGGTGTACAACAGCGCCATTGATAGTTTATCGGACGATGACAAGACGCTGCCGCAAATCGGAAGTGTTAGAATCACAACGTTGAATATATTACGATTAGAATTGCCCGTTTTCAGCTTCTTCCTCTTCTACGCCGTGGAATTGGTGTCCATCATTCCGGTCTTCTTCCACTGCTTAAAGAAACCATTGAAATCTTGTTCGGCGAAGGATTGCTCAAGGTTCTTTTCGCCACTGAGACATTCTCGATGGGACTTAACATGCCGGCGAGAACCGTTCTTTTCACATCTGCGAGAAAGTTTGATGGAACTGACAACAGGTATCGTTAGTTTTTTTGGCCTATTTGCCAATTAATCTTGTGGGCAATTTTTAGAAATATCACATCTGGAGAGTATATTCAAATGTCTGGAAGAGCTGGAAGACGTGGAAAAGACGATCGAGGATTGGTTATCTTGATGGTTGATGCACAAATGAGCGCCGATGATGCGAAGCATATTATCAAAGGAGCGACGGATCCATTGAACTCGCAATTCCGCCTCACTTATAATATGGTGTTGAATTTGTTGCGAGTTGAAGGCCTTGCTCCCGATCATATCATCAAGAAGAGTTTCTTCCAATTTCAAAATTTCGACAAAATTCCGGGATTGAAGAAAAGTTGGTCGATCGTTTTTGCGATGATCTCAGCTTGATAATGGATTTCAGAAATTGAGGACAAAAAAAAGCAGCTGGAAAAAATGAAATTGCCGTTTGAGAGCGAGGTCTCATCATATATTGAAATTGAGAAGGAAATTGCGAAGGCGGAGAGTCGAGTGAAGGAGATTCAGAGACAACCCAAGTATCTTGTTGGCTTCTTGCACGCGGGAAGGCTAATTAAAGTAATTTTATGCGCACCTTTTGATATTTAAAACGGAAGTTTAGGTGGTGAGCGGTGAAAGAGACTTTGGATGGGGTGCGTTGGTGAACTTCCGAAAACGGGTGAATCCGGATGATAAGAATGATATGCTGTGGGTTTTTGAATAATTTCAACATTTTTGATAATGAACTTTCATTTTTAGATATGTTATTGAAATTATGCTAGCCGTTGATCCGAGCAGTAAAAATGATACGTCGAATCCGGCCACTTTGATGCCGGCATTCAAAAAACCTAATGTGGGCCAATTTTCCAGAAATCCCTTTTTTCAAAAATCGATTTTCAGAGGACTTGGGAGGTTGTTCCGATGACTTGCGATCGCGTCGACGCGATTTCGGCGATTCGCATCAAACTGCCACAAGATTTGACGAATTCCGACGGAAAAATGAGACTCGATAAAATTATGACGGTATTGCCGACATTAATGGCCAACAGTTCTATTCATTAATTGCCATTTTAGGAAATGATGAAACGAATGAATAATGATATTCCACTACTGGATCCGATCACTGATATGAACATCAAGAATCCCGAGCTTATTGGAGCTGTTGAGAGAATCAAGACACTTAAAGAGAGAATGAAGAACCATCCGATGGGAAGAAGGCCCGATTTCGAGGATTGCCGGAAGGCGTTTGAACGAAAGGTGTGCTTTATCGAAAATTGTTTGAAAAAAATAAGGGGATTTTTAGGCGGAAGTTGAGCAAGAATTGAATTCTCTCAAGCATGAATTGAAACGGGCTCAGAATGTGCTCCAGTTGGAAGAGTTGGGACATCGTAAAAGAGTCTTGAGACGATTGGGATACTGCGCAGCGAATAACACCATTGAGCTCAAGGTTTCGCACAAAACCTCTCTCTCTGTCATTTAATTAGGAAATTGTAGGGAAGAGTTGCCTGCGAACTGTCGGCATCGGATGAGCTCATTCTGACGGAAATGCTCCTGAAGGGTGTATTCACACCATTGGACGAAGGCCAGATTGGTGCACTTTTGTCGTGTTTCGTCTTCCAGGAAAAAGCTACCCAACCGAAATTGGCTCAGGAATTGTCGGGATGCTTAAAAGTGTTGCAGGTAGGGATTTGAGAATTGAATTCTGAAATCGTGATTGATTCAGGAGCAAGCTCGACATGTTGCGAAGATCTCGAATGAATGTCGTGTGGAAGTGAACGAGGACAAATATGTGGAGCAATTCAATCCGGGGCTCATGGATGTCGTTTATCAATGGATCAATGGGGCGACGTTTGGCGAAATTGTCCGCAGCACCGATGTATTTGAAGGTTTTTTTCAATTTTTATTTGAAAATATGAACTGGGCGCATCTTTAAGGTTCGATTATTCGATGCTTCCGAAGACTCGAAGAAGTGCTCAGAGAGATGGTGAATGCCGCGAGAGCTTGCGACAACAAGGATCTCGAGCTGAAGTTTGAGTCGACCCGCAAGAAACTCAAAAGAGACATTGTGTTCGCCGCATCACTTTATTTGTAAACATCGAAACCTTATTGTTGATTTTCTGTTCAATTGTTGTTGTTTTTTTTTTGTCTTTGTGTCAAATTATATTTTTATTAGAAAACCGTTCGAGAATTGAAGCAATATTAAATAATTGCATAATTTGGAGATCACATATTTCCTATAATCTAAATACGTCACTCATTATCCGTTGTTGTCCGCATCCCGTACTGAACTTCGAAACTAGGCCGAGAGCCTAGCGATTCTCGTTAATTGACACTTTGTGATACGATGGAAGACCGCGAGACGGCAATTTTGTCGGAATTGCGTCGAACGACCACAGAGGATGCGAATCGGGTTTGCCGAAGCCGGTGTCGTCGGTGTCCGTCTGGAGGATCAGCGTCGGCGGCGGCGGTGTTCCGATGGTTGATTTGCGAGCAAAATCGCCCTCGCCTTCCAGCAAACGGAACCTGCAAACGAATTGAGATCATTCGTTGAATACAATATATAAATAATGGGCCTATCTATGCAATAAATAAATGTAAAAAAAATGACAAATGTTTTCAATTTAGAAAAACAAAAAATGAGCATTCACGAGCCATTGCAGAAACTTTTTTTTCTTTTTTTGCAGAATAAAAATTTTTTCAATTTTTTTCTGCATCGCCCTATAAATGTGTTTCATTTTCTTTTTACATTTTGTATTTCATGAAAAGGCCCATAAGCGAAGTGTTACTTAATTACTCAGAATAGAATATTTTGCCTTATGTTCAAATATATAAGGCAAATCTGCGGACAAGTTGGTTTTAAAGCAGTGAATTGTCCGCAGGTGTTAGTTTTGAAATTTTTGTGCCATGCGAAGGCAAAATAATTTAATACAGCGACAAAATATTGTCAGGATCGTATGGAAAATTGGCCAACTTCTCTTTTTGCATAAAAATTCAATTTAATTTTGCATGCCTTTCATTTTAGATTTGCATGAAACAAAAAAATGAAACTCATAAAATAAGCGAAGCATTAGTTTGCATCGGAAAATACGAATCCATGCATTGAGAATTTGAACGGAAAATGAACGGAAACCAAAAATCGCGAGCAGCACTTTTCGGATTAGTCGAGAAGCGGAATATAAATGACGACACGAAGAATAGAAACGAATGAGAGATCAGATAGAAAAGAGGCAGTTCTCGAATTGTGTGGCTTACAGTTGAATCGTCGCTCGATGCTGGATTTACGACGCCCGAATAACGCGAGCGATTTCGGAAACTGAATCGGAATTGGGTTTTTTTTTTGTGAATTCACATTTTTCGCCAAATATTTTTATCAACTTTTATAAAAGAAAATCTTTTTTTTTAATTTATAATAGTGAGGAACACAAAAAGTGCGATGAATTTGTTAAAAAAAAAACAAAAAATTGATAATTGTGCTTGAAAATTGCCGGAAATTTTCTGAAACAACAATTTCAGTTACTTCATTTTTTTTCCAGAATTTTATAGAATCCAAATTGCACATCCGGGCATACCTTCGACTATTGTTATCATTCAAAAAGTGGAACTCTTTGAATTTGATGCACGGTATCAATTTCGACGAGAAGAAGCTGAAGCCCTCGCGGAATTTCGCGTTTCGCACGTAATAGACGACGGGATTGACGATTGAGTGAAGCATCGCGAGACCATGCGCAAACCACCTGCCAATTAATTTATTTTTCAATTTTTCCATTCATAATATTAAAATAATCAGGCTTGTCGTTTCGGTCAGCCGGCCGCGGCCGTGGCCGAACATGTCTCGGCCAGGCTTCGGCCGACTTCAGTCATTTTTGTCACAATATCAATGTTAATTAAATATTGAAGGATTTCTATATCCAAACTATTACTTTCGCAAAAAAATGAGCACAAATGCATTATAAAGTCATTTCCAGTTTTCACTGAAATCGCATAATTAAATACTTATTTTGTATCAAAAAAATAAAAAAAATAATTCAAAAAAATCCAATTTCAGTTTCTAAACAGCGAAAAAACTGACTTGTTACTACTATTTATTTGAATTTTCACGCAACTTTCTTTGAAACCGACACAGGCCGCGACGCATACGCAACGCGGCCGATTCGCATTTGAATACTCGGCTTCGAAATGAAATGACAAGCCTGATAAAATGAAATTGTCAAAAATGATATACCAAAGATACAAAATGTATTCGTAGCTATTGATTTCTGGATAAACTTCTTGAATAACATTGATAAGAAGAAGGAGTGGAAGCCAGCAAAGTGCGAATAACGCGGAAATTAAAATAACCATTGGGACGAGCTGAAAATAATTTTTTCTTGAATTTCCTCGAATTGCAATCACCTTTTTGACCGATTCATGTCGATCTACTATCATTTTCGAAGTGGCCCCATTTTGCATTCCAGGCACTCTGCTGTTCCACATCTTCATTCCAATATGTGTATAGGTGATGATTAGCACCGCTTGTGGGACGATGTATTGAAGGATCACAACCATTGATGAGTACACTTTTCGGACCTGAATAGCTCGAATTATTGATGGGAATTGTTTCCTCCGAATGATTTCGTGCCTGTACGCCACTATCTCCAAAGTAGGTCCAATCCTCTCCGCAGTGTTCGATGCCACCATCCACTAAGAAGGAGCGAGTTGTGAACAGTAAAGGAAGAGCCATTAGAATGCTGAAATCGAGAAGTTGCCTACAATTCAATTGCAGTCGTCCATACCTGAAGACCCATGTGGCTGATACCAGATAGATGGCTTTTCGCATTGTGAGACGAATCGATGGCGAAAGGACGAACATGATGGCCATCCATCGATCGAAACTGATCGCGACGAGTGTCCACGCCGACAGAAACACTGACATCGCTTGAAGGAATGCGAGGAGTGAGCACATCACCGAGCCGAACAGCCATCGTTGATCATCGAAGATTAGGACTTGCCAATAGGAGAATGGAATGCAGAATACCGCGATGAAGAGGTCCGCTGGAAGTTTTAAAATTTCTTAAAATCAAACATTTTATTTTTCACGTTCAGCGTCGAAATATTCTACTAGCTATGTTGTCGAGCGCGTTGCGGCTTGCGTGCGGTCTATTTTTTAGTTTTTCGTTTTTCGGCGATTTTTTCTTCTAGCGAACTACAATTATATTCGAAAATGATGATACCATCATGTCCTGTACGGACCATCCTATTTTTTATTAAGTATAATCGAGGAGAGTTTTAAATATTGTCGAAATCGCGCGACTTCGAACCTACTGTAGAATTGGGTCTCGCCACATGAGTGTTTTTTTTCGCGCGAGGAGATTTTTGTACATGACACTGTCACGTAATGAATTGTCCGTGTGGAGTACACAGCGCTCGGGTCTCGTCGTCTCGAGACCATTTCTGACATTTAACCAATTTATTTCGACAATAGTGATACTATAGAATTAAAATGATTTATAAGTTACAGTAATCATCGATCTAGTTTTTTTTGGTGAATATGAATTTTCTTAAAATTGTGACATGAATTAAAGGCGCATGGATTAAGCCTATGGAAATTCTCTGACGTCTTGAAATTTAACTACAGTTCTGATCGCGATTCGTTGGGGTAAATGGAACCCCTGTAAATAAAATCCAAAATAATAAATTGACGATTCACAACGACCCGCTAATCTATGATCATCATTAATTTACTATATGTTCTACAAATAATCCATGAGATGAATGGAAACACGCAATTTCAATAATACGTGATATTATTCAATACTCTACTCGATTCGCATTAATCCGTCAACGTCATCTTAGTTGAAATTTGAATTCATCAAACTTACCAACGGCCAAGTTGAGAATTAGAATATTCGTCGCTGTTCGCAGACGCTTGAAGTACATGATAACCAAAATGACAAGTACGTTTCCATAAATGCAACACACACAAAGGACACTGTAGAATAGAATGCAAACCGCCTGAAAATGACAAATGGTAGAATTTCAGAAGATGATTTGAATTGCGCGTGGCTACCAATTAATCCGATGGCGCTAATTTAAAAATGCTTCTACTATGACATTTTTCACTTTTTTAAAAATCATCGAAGTACTTAAAATTCTTGAAAAATACCCTCTTCACATTACAATAGTTAATTTAAAAAAAAAACTCGCTGTTAAGTGATTTTCGAAACGAGATCTATTCAAAATAAAAAAAAAACACAAATTCGGGCTATAGAATATTCAGAATAGTTGACTAAATGAATACACTATTCAGAAGGGTCAAACTAATTTCAATTCAAAAAAAGATTTCGAGTACCTTCATAAACGGCGTTAGCGTCTTCACACTGGCGACCTCGTCGACAGTTGAACTCTCGTCATCCATCGTGTTCTTCTTGGGAAAAGAATATTCGGGTCGCCGTCTGAAACCCATCAAAACATCATCAAACGATTAACGATTTTAATTATGCGTCAAAGTGAAACAATTGGAAGCAGCTTTGAGCATTTTTGAGCTCTTCAAAAACAGTGAAATAGAGGAACCCAAAATGATATGAAACAAACAAATTGAACTTGCCGAATTAATAATCGGATTAGAAACCAATATGTTTATCGTTGTGTTCTTTTTTTTTTATTCGAAGCACTATTATAATTTTGCTAGAGACAACGACACATTGATTATCCTTCAAAAACAGGGGAAACAAATGGAATAATGACTGGAGCGTTGGTTTCCGAAGCGAATTGGGAGATTCCAATTCTAGAAGCTAAATGAAAGTGCAATGATTAAAGACGGTCTCGAGACGAACAACAACAACGATAGCGAACAAATTGAATTGTTCTGGAATTCCGCTAATGCATTTGCCCTATCCATATTTATATATATATATATGTATATATAAGGAAGAAAGTGGGAGGACCCCCGATTTTCCGAATGTATGAAGAAAAATGGGATAAATGAGGCGTGGCATACATTTTGAATTCAACTTAATTTGAGGCTATTCTAGTTTTTCCGAAAAAAAAATATTATTTCGTTGTAAAGCAATATTACTATGGCCTATAAGTCAAGCGAAAGAAAAATGAATAATTAAAATACCGAAATCCGAGCCTTGGATATATGAAAAAATACAAGTAATAGTCGCCACAAGACCCAGATTAATTTCGGCGGTATGCGCCTTTAATTCATGCTTTTCGCGATTGCATTTCACCATTTCCATAATTTTCAAATATCAAAATATTGTTTTCATCAAAATTGGACGCAAAAAGCAACAAATCCCAAAAAAAAAAGAATTTGTACAAATTCTGAAATTTTTCAAAGGCGCACATAGTTTTTTTTTGAGTCGGGTCTCACAGCGAATGAATTCGAAACAAAACTATTGGTTGCAACATTTCCTTAATGAAAATATTATGTACATTCGCTTAGTAGATTTACGGTGAGTTTTATTCGCAGGTTATCGGGATCCGAATTCCCACTGATTAAATTGAGATTTGAATTACCGCCTCGATGAAGTGCGATGGTCCAAACCCCGTTTTCTTTGCGATGATATTTTTCGAAGCCGAGAAATTGTCGGCAGATGGATTTTATTAAAAAATCGGACAAATCATCTATTTGAATAAGCATATATGGTGATAGTAGTTGTTTTGAGATGTCGTTTTTTTTTGCCTGCTCGTTTCAATTTCCCAACCCGAAGGAAATTAATCGGGTATTGTCACCGACAGAGACGCATCAAAATAAGTCGATACAATAATAATAATTCAATTAAACATATTATTCGCATAATGCGTTTTTTATCCAAATCTTCACCCAAAAAAACCTGGGCGAAAAAGATGAAGGGGGTGGGGGGCCGAAAAAAAAACCAGAAATAACATTATTGCAGGCGATCGGGATGCGAATTTTTTTTTGGCCTCGCATAAAATTTTTGGGCTCCCACACGCACCGAATATTTGATCACCTGCCTACACAAAAAAAAATTGTGGAAAAAAAGTGGAAAAGAGAAAAAAAAAAGTTGTTGCCTTTTAGTCTCTCGGCCCATCAATAATTCACAATAATTAACGGCGGGAAGATCGCGCCGATTTGCAAGAAATAAAAGCACGACGAGGAGACGAGCAAGGAATGGAGGGGGTCGGGGTGGGTGGCGATTCGATATTTCAAAGTTGCACTGCCACAGACAGACCCACCCGTCTGTCTCCATCCTTTAATTGGACATATTGGGGCGATGATGAATTCAAGAGGTGGGGCGGAGATTGTCTGTCTCGCCACTTGAGCGAATCATATGATTTTGAAAATTTTGCGCAATCCAATTTTGAGGGTTGCCCCAATGATCTACAAGAACGCGTCTATGCGTATGCGCCTTTAAATTTCAAGAATTGCTTGGAAATACGCGGCGATTTTTTCCAACAAATGTGAAGATTGCAATTTTTTTTTGGCAAAAACGAAAAACTCAATATTTGACTTTGAATATAAAAAAAAATGAAATGAGCGTTTTGAACAATTGTGGACCATCGAATTTTTTTTGAAGCATTAATTCAAATTTCGATTTGAACTGTTTGAATTTCGGGCAACCTGGAAATTTTTTTTGAAAAATTTAGAAAAATTATTGTCTGTGTGCGCCTTTAAAGTCTAGAGTGTTTTTTTAAATCCAAAAATCACGGTTTCAAAATTTCTTTTTAAAAATCGCGGCAAGATCAAAGAAATGGGCGGAGTTGAAACGATGATAAAAATGAAAAGAAAAATAGAATTTTGAAAACTAGCAGGTTGAAATGATCCATTTTTTTTACTATACCATCTATATAAGGTCAATAAGACGAACAGAAAAAGATTTGCATTCGGCAGGAAACGAAACGGCGGGAGAATGATGAGCGAAGAGAGGAATGAAAATCTGGGAGGGGATGAGATGAGCTCTAATTGAATGCTCATTTGGCGTTTTCCATTCGCCCATTTCTTCCAATCCTATCAACAAATCCGCTCCATTTGTTCTTCTCCTTCTTCGGTTTCGGTTTGAACTTTGACGAGGACGGAGCAAAATACAATCGAATCCAACGACGTCGAGGAGGCCATCCGACGATTGTGCAAAGAAGAAAATAAGAAGTGGGCACAAAGTTTTCGAGCAAGCCGTTCGGGCTTCTTTATTCGTGTTCGGACCCTTCTAATCGGTCATGGCAGATGAGCGGAAATGAGCACACCCCGCCCGCACACCGATTAGCCCTTTTTTCCTGCATTATTTCTTATTTTTTGTTTTCTGGTGTTCAACAAACAATCGCGAAAAAAAAATAAAAAGTTATAAGCCAATAATAATCATAGAAATTAATTATAATGTGTTGTGGCGCAAAATAAGCCGAAAAATTGGATTTCACTTATTGTTTTTTTTTTTGGCGAAACGCTAGTGTGCATTTTCGCGCCAATGTGTACTACACATTTCTTCAATTACAGTGGATTTTTGAAAAAATAAAAAATGTAAAGGAGAAAGTTTATCTCAAATTCTGAATCCGTTGTTATTAAATTCTTCCGGCTAGGCGATTAGCTCACGCATAATAATTATACGGATTTTTGTTTGGGAACAGGAAGTATGAAACCAATTTTTTCTCTCTCTCTCTCTTTTTTTGATTAGTTCAACCCAGTGGTCTGAATAATTATTTCCCTACATGGTCTGCAAAATGAATAGACGGTGGACACCAACATTTGCATTTATTCTCCATATCTCTCGAATTTCTTTCAGATAATTTCTATTCATTCAATAATACACCATGATTTAATTAGTTGTCGTCTATGAGACTGATATTTAGTGGTGTGATGCGGATTTCGCAAAAAGAAAACCTCAAGAAACCTCGGCCACGGCCAGATTTTGCGAATCCCATAGTACCACAGTTTTTAGGAAATCGCTGAAAGTATCATGAAAAGATTTTTTTAATCCAATTTTTTCGACTCTCGTTTTTTTTTCTATCATGGTTAAAGGCGCATATAATCAATTTTAGGATTCTTGCAGCGATTAAATAAAAAGTTGTGGTACACCATGGACGTGGCCGAGGTTTCTTCTTGTTTTTTGTTGTTACGAAATCAGAATTTTTTTGATTTGATCGGCGTGCCATAATCGGGTAGATTTACGGGATGCGCCTTTCGAAATGGTCTCGCCACGTGCGAATTTTTTGTGCTATTTTCACATGGAACTGTTGATTTTGTCATAATGAGTTTGGCATTTAGCTAGTCGGCGCGAGACCATGGCGAAAACCAAAATGGTCCCGTAAATCTAGTAGTCGCCGAACGCCGACTGATTTTCTAAAGGATGGTCAATTTTTAGAAAGTCCTGCAAAGAAAACAAAGAGCATTAAAAATTGATGTGAACACCAAACAGCATTCCCTCTCTCTCTTTCTCTCTAAAAATGGAATGGTCTCAAAGCGATTCAATGAGGATACGGTAAAGGCAGGTCTTCTATAGAGTTCGAATAAATTCACTCGAAATTCGTTCCTTTCAATATTGAAACGAAATAATTTACAGGTCTCGAGGCGAATAGTCAACGGTAGGGACCATAAGCCAATTGTTGTACCTGACCTTAACAGAGCGAAAAGGCGTCGCGGCGTTTCAGTCGAAACGCCTGAAAAGTCACGTTGTTTCGCGATTTCAGAATAAAATTGAATGTTTTCCCAATGGGTTCGAGCAACAAATAAATGATTGATACGATCTAAATGACACTGCAACTAAAAAAAAAATAGAGTGATGTCAAATTGTGCGCAGCGTGCACAGCAATAATGAAGCACAACAAATACGTCGGGCTTGGTGAGCTCACACCTGAGCTGTCAGGTGCTGCTCGAACCAAATGATTTATGTGTATTGGATAATTAACGAGTGGAAGAGGTGAAACGAAATGAAGCCGAACACATTAAATGTTGGACTACAAAAAAATTGTTTTTTTCGGAATTTTTTTGCTCTCCCATCGCAGATATTGTCCGCAGATGAGAAATAATATATTACTGACCCAATACTAAAATTTAATAAAATTGCTTGCGCAAGTAAATTTTTATTTAAATTGAAGTGGTTTCCTTGTCCGTGTGGAGTACACAGATGCTATGACTTTTTGCCATTAAACCGCCAACAATATGGGTTATTCAAATCTAATTTGAAAATCAATGCGCCTTTAAATTTATCTAATAAATTCCAAAAGCGTATTCACCGTAAATCTACACCAAGGATTATTACCTGAAGAATGAAGTATGGTAGATCAAAAATCGCAAACGAGAAGCAAAAAAGAAATGATAATGTCGGTGGTCTTACCACGAATTTATAGGACGCTGGGAATTCGAGACGATATCGTGTCATTTCGAAGCGAAAGTTTCGGATTTCGAAGGGATATCTCGACGACGCGCAATTTTGATTTATCGGACCTGCACTTGGCAAA